TCTCTATTTCACAACTATTGTCATCTTCGTCGACATCAATGACTACAACTCGAGTCGCCACATAACGGAGGGAGAGGTCAATGCGTCCGCAAACACTCGATTGATCGAGAAGTTGTTTAACAGGCGTTTCACATAATTCCTGTGTTGTTAGTTTTTGTATGGGATCACCATTGGCGTCAAGGCAAAGGCAAAGTATTTCTGATGATCCTTCTTTGATGCCCTTCGCCACACCTGCTGGCCATCGTCGAACGCCGCGTCTTTTGAGCAAGGAGTTCTCATAAACTGCTTCATTAACACTCAATGATAAGTTCAAGGCTGATAGCAGAAGATCTACTGATCTATTTGTCATCTCGTTTCGCACTCGTACTCGAATTAATGAAGGCGACGAATATTCCGGCATCCATCCACGCTGTCTAAATCCCTTTGGCCGGAAAGTCTCGCGAAGTCTGCTGCATGCGTTCCCGGTGAAAGCTTTTGCTTCACATCTCAAAAGAAGATCAATTCGTTGTTGTGATCTTGGCACTAATTCAAACAAGTCGTTTGTGGAAGTATTTCTCATACCTTCGACTGTATACGTGTAAATAATCTGCCCGTTAGCAGCAACAACGGCACACTCGACTTCCACTACCTTCCGCTTCAAGTCTTGTACCAAATTTCCAGGCCATACCCTTACTTTTCCAGTCTTCACGCTTCGGTTGTTGTAAATTGATTGATATAGCGAAAGGTCCTTAGAAAGTGGGACAATGAGGTCTCGAAACCGACCAGTAGTATGATTTGTGATACGGATCGCAATATCCTTGATTTCACAAGTATTAGTAGCTTTCGCAACGTTGCCTGTTTCTGTGTATCGCAGAACAAGTCGTATGAGGTCATATGGAGGCGGTGACAATTCCACAAGCTGCGTAGTGGTCGTTTTCTTCATCTCTTCGATAGAAAAAGTGATTTCATTTTCCTTTCCCATCATCACGCAAAATATTTCAGCGGTCTTGTTCTTCACTTTCTGTACTATATGCGACGGCCACATTCGGACATAACTAAACTTGACGCTTGCAGTTTGATAGATGATATCGTACAAAGTCATATTTCGTGATACCGGTACTTCCAACTCCTTGAATCTGCCTGTGAGATCATTCGATATGTGCAGTGACATTTCAGATCTCTCGTTTCCAACGCTGTGATACTTGAGGACCAGTTGCGGAACGTCTTTGGAGCTTGGAATCAAGTTAAAGAGCCGTTTCGTAGGAGTCTCTTTCAGTTTTTCAATCGAAAATACTTGCAGTTCGTTTTCGCTTGCTTGACCGTCAAATAGGTGACACTGAATCGTAGCAGTCTTGGCCTTGATAGCATGTAGAACCTCTTTGGGCCACATGCGGACTTGTGCCGCTCGCACCTCAGGCTTGTTATAGATGGAATCATACAAACTTAATTCCTCAGAGTATGGGACGTATAAGAACATACTTCGTCTTGTCTCGTGGTTCACAATTCTCAATCTCATCTCTTCATTTCTCGCTGCTTCGACTCCTTTTTTTGATTTCACACATCTCAGCATGATGCTTACAGATCCATCCAAGTTGCTGAGATTTTGCTTGGCTTCGCTTGTAGTGATCGTTTTGAGTCTTTCCACAGAACAAATGCGAATTTCAGCTTCGTGGTCTCCTAAGAACACACAAAGAAGACGAGAAAGGTCGGTTTTCATTTCCTTTGCGAACTTGGACTTCCATTTTCGGACATTTGCTGAAAGTACTTCATCGCTGTTGTAGGTAGCATCAAACAGTGATAAGTCACTGCTGATTGGGACTAGCATATCCCTGGATCTTTGTGTGGTTTCATTCTTTATCCTGACCGTCATCTTGGACTTCGATTTCATTGGAATCCAGCCACGCTGTCGAAATCCTTGTGCCTTGAACGGAAGATATAGTTCGTCTTCTTTCACGACTATCTCTTCAACAAGCACTAGCTTTATTGGATCGATGAAGGACTGCTCATACAAGTCACGTAGTGTCAACGAAGCCAGATCATTAACGCTGTATTTTGCAAACTCGTTGACCTTATTCGATGCTCGACATACGATACGAGATCTTGCATTGGTTACTCGCCAGACCACATCCTTTGGCCACTTCCGTAGGACGGTTCGGACGCCTTCGTGATTGTAAACGGTGTCATAGACAGTCAACGATCCAGAAAGCGGCATGTACAACTCCCTCGAGCATTTGGAATGTCCATTCAAAATAGTCACACACATCCCCTTGGGCTTCGTCGTCGGTGGATAAGAGTTAGTCAATTGTTTGTCATCCAATGGTATCCAGCGCAAAACCATGTCGATTTTGTCCTGTGTACAGCTCGAAACTTGAAACAGAACAGATGTCGAAACTTGCTTCAGCTCTTCTATATCAAAGACTTGAGAAGTAATACCATCACTGTCGATCATTGCGCAAATGATTTTGCAGTGCTTGCTTCGAACGTTTTGGGCAACCTCAGTTGGCCATGTGCGAACTCTTGCAGCTCGAATGCTTGGGTTACAGTAGAGCGACTTGTACAGCGATAGTGAATGTGACTTTGACACTAGTACCTCGGATGAGCGACCAGTTGTTCCATTTGTGATCCGAACTGTCAGTTCGTGTTTCTCCATCATTCTAGGTAAATCCTCCAGCTGATTAGTAAGATTTTTGCATTTTTGCAAGAGGTCTCTGTTGGCATCCTCAAGCTGTGCGTGCTCGTCCTGCGTCGCAATATTCTTCATCTCCAACATTTTTATTCTTGATTCAAGCACTTCGTTTTGAGCTGATAGAAAATTGCTCTTTATGTAGATCTTATCATGCATGTCCAATAAGTCTTGTTTTTCATCTTCAAGCGTTTTACATTTTTTCTCGAGTTCTTTATTCCTGTGGTTGTTTTGGTTTTCGATTTCTCGACGTCGCACTCTGAGCACATTGTTCATTTCTTCAAGTTCTCCACATCTAGTATCGTCCTTGGTCTCAAGCTCTTTGATTTTTTGCTCAAGTTCTTGATTCCTTGATTCGAGTGACCTGTACTTGTCTTCGCGTGTATTACTCTCATCCTTGAGCTTCCGGATCATCGTTTCAACATTTCTGTTCTTTGCCTCGAGCTGCTTGATGACCTTCTGTAGTTCAACTAGCTCTTGCCCTGTTTGCTCCAAAGATTCTTTCATGATTGCATCAACGGCTTCGGAACCACTAGCAACGCTTTGCGCATTTTCCTCTGTGTTTTGAATGCTAGTATGACTCACTTGGATATCGTCCGATTGCTGCTGAAGTACTATTATTGGTTCGCCTGACGTGTTTGGTATGTCGCGTGATGGCGTCGCTTCCGATTCAAAGCTAATGCGTCCTGCCTTCTGCTCCTGTTCCAGTTGAATCCTTTGAATTTCCATCTGCAAGAAAAGAATCTCATTTGTGTGCTTCTTTTCTTTTGCTTTGTAAGACTCCACTACGTCTCGAAGCTTAAGAACCGCTGTAGAATCTGAGGAGTTGGAATCAAAGCTCCCAGCTATTGGATGACGTGGGCGTCCATTTCTAGACGGTGGCCTATCATCGCTATCTCTTCTTCCAAAGATATTCTGGAAATAATCTTCTTTGGGAGGTGACGAAGTAAGGCGACGATGCGTCGGTGGTGGATCATCCCGGACGTCCATGATGTTTTCATCCTGATAGAGCTCCGTTTCTTTCTTTAGGACATCGTACTTGTACTTAAATGACATCACTTCAGACTGTAGGGATGCTTCCTTTTCACGATATTGCTTTTGCAAAGCGACAACTTCCTTTTTCAGACTAGCTCTATCAGAATAGACCAATCGAAGTTGTTCCTGGAGCAATTGTGTTATTGAGGAGTCATCGTGTTGCTTGTGTAGAGGTCCTGTACTGATAGTCTCAGTCGTCGAACCCTCTCCGACAGCAGAAGCCGATTCGTATCCCTTGCTCAAATGCTCTCGTTGTTGACTCTGAATGATGTTCTTGGAGGATGCAACAACCTTTTGCTGACTGCTTCGGACTTTTGCCCTCAATACGTCCAACCTTGACACATTTGGCGCAGCCATGCTGAAGAATACCCCCTTATTATCATCCGCCATGGCACCCTATAAGGGTCGTGCTGTGACGAAGATGTGTTGGTTGTGGATGCACAGCAGCAGCAGCAGCAGCAACAAAATACGAGTAGCAGTATCGGCACTAGGTACGTGTGTACCGTTGCCAGTAGGTATATATGTTCGTTTGAGTTTTATTAGAATACCGTTTCTTTTTGTGGACCGAAAAATTTAAAATTGGCAATGCCGGCGCGTAACGATTGACTCGTGCGACTACCTGAAGACTGGTAACATGCAGTACTAGCAAGGATACTAGCTAGCTATACCTCAATCTGATCCTACAGTACGATGAACGACCCTATTATGAGTACAAATCTTGTTATTTTCCCATTTACTATCTGAATTATATATATAGATTCGAAGTCTATGCACGTTGAATAGCGAATTTGTTCTAGAACACTACAGTACATGGAATTCCGCACAATTCCATCGAGAGTCACCTGAAATCTTGGATTGGTCAACAGGAAACCGGAGCCTAGAATCTCATGTCAGCTGTACCATTCCAAATCAACGCCCAAAATCAATACATGTATGTGATTTGATAACTTCGATCGGGGTCCTACCGTGGCTGGTTACCGACAAGGCGACTTGAAGAGATTCTTGCCAGCTTCTGCAATCGATGCTCAATTGACCAACACATTGTCATGTGAGCGCAGTTGAAACACTTCCGCATTGATGATCTTCTCTCCAGCCCACCCAGTCATGAGCCATATGTATCCCGACACAACAAATGGGTTTAGAGTAAAGTAGTGAAAATAAATTGGGCCAACTACTCGACCAACAACGGTTTTGCTTGGGCGAGGCTTCTTTGCGGTTTTACCCCATCTAGGCCACTGTATTATTGTATCATGCTTCATCAAGGCCCAGAAATCGTTGAGTCGCGTACCACTTTATCCACCATGATCGAGAGAAAGAAAAGGTGTATTGTTGGGTGTTTTTTTTCTTTCATCCTTGGCGTCCATTATGTGGACCTGCTAAACGATTGCAGTGGTCGGCGTGTCTCTTTTAAAAGTGAATATCTTCTCAGAAATGGCCCAGTCGCTTTTGTTGGATCCAAAGAAGACAGCGGCGCGCTGTTCTTAGGGTTTTACGGCTTTGGGATTTCACCAACCCCAATTTCCGAGCATGGCCAAAGATTTAGGAGCCAGAGCTTGGGTTCGAAATGGGCGCAGTGTAACAACATCAAACATCCTCCTCTTGGACCTAATGCTTTTCTACCATTCGAAGAACATATTGCGCTGCTGATAGGACTTTTAGGGGCAAGAGGGCTCCAAGGGAGAGGCCCAGAAGTGAAAGGTGAAGGATGTTGGGATTTAGAACGAGGTCTTGTTGGCGCGCAGGGATAGCAAATACTCCAATTCCTTTTGCACCGAGACCGTTCCTAGAAGGCATCGAGACCGTTCCTAGAAGGTATCGAGACCTATTGTGAGTGCCAATCCCACTTTTGTACATTGTACAACTCAGTATTATTGATACAGTATTGTGAAATGAGGTTAATTCCGTGACGGGTGACGGACATACGATGACAACCCTTCATCTCACTCACAATGAACAAGGAGGTGAACGATGAGAGTAATCGAGACCTGCATCTTGTACGATACGATACGACCTTGTTGTGATCACAAATCTCTTTATTTCAACACGCGCAATGTGTTATGCTTATTCATTGTAAGAGGCATGTGAACTTTGAATCGCAATCCTTGCTGTAGAATGAGTTAGATTCATTATCCACCGATTCGGTCACTGCGCTATTCTTTAAACGGGAAATGCTGTAGTATAGTCCAGCATCTCTGTTTCCACGACCGTAGCCCTCCAAAGCATTCGCCCAAACCGATACTACTGTGTATTTTCGAAAGTTTGGTAGCGGTCTCGCCCGTGTGATGGCACCTGCAAGGCGACTGGGAAGGATTCCTGACCACTTTTGGTATTCAAATTATATACATCAATGTGGTACAGTTGAAACAATTTCACTTTCAAAACCTCCGTTCTAACCCACGCATACTCATCTAATATACCTACTATAATAGAATAGATATGTGTCAGATTGTAAAGCAGTTACAGGAAATTAGGCCATGCACTCGATTAATAATGGTCTTTGTGAAAAAACTTACTTGCGTTTCGACCTCCATTTCGGCCACTCTATGCTGCTTGCTTTATTCCTAGGCCGGTTGATTCTATATGAGCGCAAGTCGCATAGTAGGTACCATTCTATCCACCAGGATCGATAGACGGAAAAGGTGTGTTGTTGAGTAATTTCCTCCCCACCATGGCGGCGATAACCTGTATTCAGTATAGCGAACCAACTACCACCCAAGATACATGACTGAAAATCCCAAAATGCATTCCACAAAACTAAAAGGAAGCAACCCCATAGAGCACATACACCCAACCATAGTTGTCGCATCTGATTTCATCTTCTGTATCTATTACTGTACTCGTAGGGCCCATGCCATACGATCATTCTTTTTGCCTTTAAAAATTTTGCAATTTACTGCTGGACTGACAATAATGACTCGGTTGAAAGGGATTGTCCAAAGAAAAGAATCCTGATAGCAAATATTATATCGGATGGTATTATGGCCTCCCCGTACCACGGTATGCCAACAACAGCAATCCCAGCCGAATTTTGGTTTGGAACCTTGGTACTGCTAGGGTTTCCAAAATCATTGCGAAAACCACTTTTTCAGACAATTTTGGGCGATGCATCATATGCTTCAGCAGTCGTTTGGGCTAGATCGAAAGAATCCAATGTGCTCAAATCATTCCATAAGATCAGGGTCAGATATGGACAATACAGAGATAGTGTTAGCTGCGCATCCATTTTCTTGCACTGAATGATGAATCATCCATGTGCCTCAAAAACGCTACAATTATGATACCACCGTCATCGTGCTGCGCAATCTATTACAGGCAGAAATTTTGGAAGATTAGGAAAATACCATCCTTTGCGCAGAGGTACTGTATTGTGGATGTCAACGAGCCTACGATACCGTACCAGTACAATCAATACTTCCATGGTTGACGATGTTTGTATCTTAAGATTCGTACTGCGAAATAATAAAATACCAGGTACCGACCGTGTTTCACTGTGGCTCAATTACATATCCGGGTTGGAAACAACTTGTCAGTAGGGTCATTTTTGTGGGTTCTTTCGTCCTCGCCACAAACGAGATTCTTTAGCCACAACGATCCCTTCACAGATCGTATATTAAAAACCACGATCTCACGTAAGTTTCAGTGTATAAAACTGTTCGGTTTCTCAAACTTCTTAACTCAGACATTCAAAACAATAAAACTAAACAACGTTACTTATCAAAAAGTCGGAAAAGTCACAAGTCCTCCGAATTCTAATGCCGCCGCTACCAAAATCTGAGCAGCTTTTGAACTTCTCGACTTTAGACAGAAGAATTGCAGCTCGCAGATACGCGTTTGCTTTGAAGAAACTGCGCACACCGGTTGCACATTGCACATTGCACATCGTCATCAGAAGATATTAATAAAAACCAAAAGGGGCACAGACAATGGCAATGAATAAGGCCTTTATGATGCAGCAGAACGCGTTAATGGCTCTGCTATTGGTTGTCCTTGCGTCAATTATTCCTCGAATCAATGCACAGGATGATTCTTCCACCGCTGATCAAATCACAGAGGCCAATGTTTCCTACATTATTGAGCCCTTTGAACGTCTCGGCGGCGGTATTTGGAACTTTTCAGATCCTTCCATAACCAACTTTACCACAGAGGGTGCCTTGTATGGGGATGGGGCCCTTGCCATTGACTTTACTGCTGTTGGAGAATCATCATCATCATCTGAATATGATTATGAAGTCAGCTGGATGGCCGAGCGTCATCCTCACAACTGTTTTGGTGCTTCCGAATTGTCTCTTGCCGTCAAGACCGAGTCTTCCATGTCCATTCAAGTCTCCATCCTAGATGATCGAGAATGCCTGCAGTCGGGTGCTGCTGCTGCGGATTGCAACGATTTGTCTCAAGTTTCCAGCATTCCATTGTTCCCACAACCACAAGAACTTACAGGATCCTCTGAATGGTACCATTTGTCGGTACCCGCCGTATCAATAGAACAAGATCTGAAACGGATACGTGGGTGGAAGATCCGAGTGGCCAATGCGACTGGCACCTTGTTACTAGATCAGTTTGCCTGTCACGGTGGTGGTGGTCTGTTGGGCGCCGCCTTTCATGTGCTTTCCCTTCCGAATGAAACTTCCTTTGCACAAGCCAAAGAGGAGAGCATGTGGCTGGAATATTTCTTTGAATCCCCACTTGCCGTAAACAATTCGGTCAATACCCTGGAAGAGGGTGTCTTGAAAATGGATTATCTGGTACAACAGGTGCAATCCTGGGGAGGATTCAACGACGTGGCGCATCTGGCGGCTGGAAATGGCTACTACAACCTCTCGCAAGCGACGGGACTAACCATGGACTTTGATATACTAAAGCAAGCATCGATCCCGGGTCGCTGCATCTTTCGGTTTGTCCTCCAAGACGGTAGCCACTGTATGGAGGATTGCGATCATCAATACCACAATCAAGAGCGGTGGTATTCTTTCAATTCCATCATGGATCTACAAGGCGGTGGCACTATCACTCTGCCATTGGAAGGAAGTACCGAGGCTACTTCCACCTTTTGGTTCACTGGGTGGTCGGGTATTTCGGGAAACAAGATTTTGGACCTAGCTCACATCAAGGGCTATACCATTGAAGTCGTACTGGACTCTGGTTTGGACCTCTTTGATTCTCTCACTGGAACTTTTGAACTTTCCAACATGACTGCTGTCGTACTTCCAGAAATAGATGAGACCTGTATCGGTGTCTTGGAGAAGGACCTATATTTTCACGAGTGGTCTGGAGATCAGTTCACCCGCGTCGAGTTCCTTGGTGCAAAGTGTTGTGAATTATGCGAAGCAGACCCTGACTGCCTCTATGCCATGAGCAACAATCGAGACTGCTTCATCGCCTCAGAACTGGACCCCAAATTCGTTTCCTTGCTGGCTACCGAAGTCACGGCCACCTTTTCTTCCTTTTGGATGGACGATCCCATCAAGCGGGGCGATTGGTGTGACAAATGCGATTGCGACCAAGGTTCTCTGACCATTGATTGCAAAGGCAAAGATCTACGAGTCATACCCAAGTCAATCAGTGTACCATGGGAGCCAAGGCTCATTGACCTTCAAGATAATTTTCGCCTTGTCATGATTGGTAGCGATTCCTTTGCCGAAGTCGCCAATTCCTTGGAAGAGATTCGATTCCCAACCGACGTGAAGTTTCTTTCACCCGGTGCTTTGGATTCGCTTCCAAAGCTCAACAATGTTGTCTTTCAATCCTTTTTCCAAGACGGTGTGCACCGTATGGTCAATGCCATTACAACAGAAGCTGATAGCTTTGGCGACATCTGCTGTGGGTTTGGTTCTACCATCGAGATCAACTGGGAACTTTCCATCACCAACTGTGACATGAAAGTGGATGCGCCCGGAATTGATGCAGTGTATGACCCTTTCTACAACTATCTCGATGCAACTATTCTGAGAGCCGTCCAAGAAGATTCAAGCTTTATGCGAGAAGCTGCTGAAAGTGTCGAAAAGTGTGCCGAGTTCTGTGCCATTGACGATGATTGTAATTACTTCACTTATGACCAGCGCCTTCCAAACGCCGACCATCGATGTCTTATGTTTCAGAATAACGGAACGATCTTTGATTATGTCTGCTGCTTGGATGATCACTATGCTGACGAAGAAAGGACGATTCCCGGAACCATCAGTGGGAGGCCACCCAGTTCGAGACATAGAGACGACGATGCCCGAGTGCTCGTCTCGACGACGGAATTGAGTTTGACAAAGTCCAACGACTACGCAACCGAGCTCACGCTGTCACTGGGGGCGACTCCATTGCGAGGCGCTGTCTGGGTGTATCCAAAGTTCACGACGGGGTCTTCCACTCTGAAATTCATTGTAGAACCTTCTCATGTTCCATTGTACACTTCGAATAGCACGGCCAAAATATTTGTTTCCTTGGAGCAAGACCCACCAGCTGGTTCTCAATCGACGACCGTGCTTGTGGAGTTGGATATAGTGTAAGTTATTTGGTTGCCTGACTCAGCTCCAACAGCATTTATTGCATCACCGAACCACTGACCCCATTTTACCGGTATATATAGGGCCTGTGATGAGGCATTTGTCATTGAAGATAGCGATGACGAAGGAATCATCTCTCTTTCTGTAATTCCGATAGAGTTGGCTGATACGAGTAATATCACGACCTCTATCATTGTTCCAGCAACGATTATTTGTGCTCTTTTTGCTGCAGCCTTTTTGTGGCACGATTACAAGAAGAGACAGAATGATATGATTTGGATGGTGAAGCAGGACGAGTTGCATTTCGATTCACCTCCGGAGGTCATTGGTCGAGGAACCTTTGGCTTGGTCCTTTTGGCAGGTATGCTTTCTCACGACAAATATGAATAGCGTTATGTGTCGTCTCGTGCTAACGACTTCACTTTTATTTTCAGAGTATCGCGGAACACAGGTTGCTGTTAAGAGAGTGATTCCTGCAAAATCAAAACGATCTGGGGCTGGAGGTTTGTCGTCGGTCGCATCAGCAATGTCATTGCCTGATCAGAGCGAAGTAGATCAGACTATGACATCGGATCATGTTGAAGAGTCGGAACGGGAAGACATGACTGAAATGGCAGAAGCGGCCATCTTGCCAGTGTCGAAAAAAAATTCTTTCGAGATGAATAGCCAGGCATATCTGAATAGCAAATCTTTAAAATTTGCTACATTTCAAGGATCGAGTACAGAAAAGGGCGTTTGGAAGAAACTTAGGAAAAACTTCATCGAGGAGATGCGACAGCTGTCGAAACTACGTCACCCCTGCATTTGTACAGTTATGGGAGCTGTGATTGGAAAGTCGGTTGAACCAATGCTAATCATGGAATACATGGATCATGGGTCGCTCAATGATTTGCTAAAGAATGATACCATTGTCATTGATGGAGAAATCATCCTCCCGATTCTGCGAGACATCTCACAGGGGTTACGATTCTTGCACTCCGCCAATCCACAAGTTATTCATGGAGGTATGTTGCATGAGAGTTTTCCTTGAGACTGATGTTTTCATTGCCCTATACTTACAGTTATTTCGTCATAGATTTGAAAGCTGCAAATATTCTCGTTGATCACAAATTCCGGGCCAAAGTTGCTGACTTCGGTCTTTCGCAGAAGAAACAGCTCGGAGGCACTGGAACACCATACTGGATGGCGCCAGAACTACTTCGGAAGGAAGCTGCCAACTCTTCAGCCAGCGATGTTTTCTCGTTTGGTGTCATTTTGGTAGAAGTCTACAGCCGAAAGGATCCCTACGAAGGCGAATCAACCAACAATATCTTGGAAGAGATCGCAGACAAATCTATTCGAAGAAGACCTACAGTGCCTGAGAACTGCCCCCCTCAGATCCGGTCCATGATTAGCGACTGTCTGGTTGACGAAGCGGAGATGCGGCCAACGTTCGAAGAGCTTGATACAAGGCTAAAGCGAATTGACGCCGAGGCTGCGGATATCAAAACCAGAAACTCGAGGATAAACAAGACTGTTTCCCTCTTTGATATCTTTCCTAAGTAAGTTGACAGTCCCTGTTTCTTTGACTTGGCGAAAGACAGATTCCAAAACTAAGTTTTTCGTTGTATCATAGGAAAATTGCTGAGGCTTTGCAAGAAGGGCGACAGGTTGAAGCGGAGCACCGTGATTGTGTGACTATCTTCTTCTCTGATATTGTGGACTTCACTTCGATCTCGTCGGAGCTGGATCCTCGGAAGGTTGCTGATTTGTTGGATCGGCTATACACGGCTTTTGATGAAGTGTCAAATGCCCATGACGTCTTTAAAGTGGAGACCATTGGCGATGCATACATGGCCGTGACCAACCTAGTAAAGGACCAGCCGGATGATCATGCGAAAAGAATTGCTGAATTCTCTATCGCTGCAATTGAAGCGGCCAATGAAACATTGATCGACACTGACGATCCCAGCAAAGGATATGTAAACATTCGTTGTGGCTTTCATTCTGGCCCCGTCGTAGCCGATGTCGTTGGAAACAAAAACCCAAGGTACTGTCTCTTTGGAGACACCGTGAACAGGTAAGGATCTTCACACTTGTTCCGTTCCCTATGGGATCCATTGACTCACCAATTGATGAATATTGCAAACAGTGCTCATCGAATGGAGAGTAACTCTAAGAGCAACCGCATTAATTGTTCAAGAGCTTCGGCTGATCTGCTGAAAGTGCAGTGCCCGGATATCCCTTTGAGATCACGGGGAAAGATTTTAATTAAGGGAAAGGGCGAAATGCAAACCTATTGGGTGAACGACAACCGTCGACCGAGCATAGTTCTAAGTAACCCACCGCTTACTGGCAGCAAAGTTTTTCTCAATGGCATGGAACTCGCACTGTCACAAGTTGACGAAGGAAATGAAACAGGTATGAGCGAAGATTTCTTGGCGGACATTGAGGAAACCAAAGGCAGTGGACATTTTACAGAGCCATCTTCCAAGTCGTCCATCTCACTGCCTGTGCAGGGATAGTCGCGGTGTTGTCTGAGAGTTTGTGTTTTCATTGTACCACTAATAATAGACATGATGTGTTAACAAAAGAGGTCACCTAACCTTTCTTTGTAACCTTTTATTAAAGAGGAAGAGCAGTTTGCATAGAGTCAGTCGCATAGTTACTGCCAGTGCTTTGATCAAGTCGTCCATCTATATAGGACATGTTGAATCATCAGATTGAATCCACGCTTGTTCATGCGTTCTTGAAACATGCAATACCTCTACGGTTGTCAAACATCTCTCCATTGTAGCAGGCTCTGCGGGGATTACAGCATAGTTTCCAAATCTTGTGTCCGCGTCTCTTAAGTTACAACTTCTCTGCAGCGCAACGTTAGACGCAGCGGATCATCAATTTCAGCAACAATGCCAGCTAATTCTGCCGTGCTAACAGCCTTCAGTTCACTTATTGAAAACACACGGGAATGCTTCTTGTCCTCGTGTTCCAAAAGGCATTGAATTTCGTGGGTCCCACTTGTGACCATTGCGGCTGTGTCTTGTGGCCACAATCGAACATTTCCAGATATGACAACATCATTCTGATAGACTGTATCGAATATGTTTAAGTCCTTGCTCGCGGAGACTCGCAGATCTCTGTATACTCCACTCAATTCATTTATCACTCGAACTCTAAACTCCTTCGCGGACAACGAACGCGTGGCTATCTTTTTCTCCTTGCATTGAAGCGCTAGCATGATGGTTTCAATTGGCTTTGACATCAGATTTACCAGGTCTTGTGTGGAAGTTTGCTTCATCTCTTCAACAGATAAGGATTGAATTCCATTGCTTTCGAAAATTCTACAACTGATTTCATGAGAGCCAGCCTTCACAAGTTTGGCAAGGCTCTTTTTCCATTTCCTCACTCCCGCTGCCAGCGTCTTTTCGCTGTCGTATATAGAATCAAAGACAGTCAAGTTTGATGATATTGGAACATACAAATCGACAGATCGGTCCGTGTGTTGGTTTGAAAGTATGATGTGCATTGAGCTTGTGTTCTGGTCTGATGCCTCCTCTAGTGAAGTTTGGCTTGCGACTTCATGGCCGCTTTCTGATCTCTCGCTTGCTTCTTCATAAACAGAGCTATCTTGTTCATTCTCAGGCAGATTAGGATTTTCCTCAGTATGTAACAACTCTGTGGAATCACGGAAACTGGTCGATTTTCCAAAGTCACTTGATGATGCGCTTTCACTGGAAGACGAGGAATCAGAGCTATCAACAGTCCTGTACCAGAGACTCTTAATCTGCTTTTCAACGCTTGGATGCATTGGTTCGTCCGTCAATTCGCTTGCTTCTGTGGAATCTGTTGTCTTTTGAGACTTTGCATCAGTCAAAGATTTTCGTTGTTCCACATCTTTTGCATATTCTTCCAATTCGTTGAGAGCTTCGTTCCGGTAGGCATTGTATTCATCTGAGGATGATGAATCGCTATCATGTACTTTTGCACTTTCTCCAATTTTCAATATTTGTTCAAAACTAGCCTGGAAGTCATCCGTGCTCAGCCACATGCTGACCTGCTGCGCCTTTGTTTGGATTTCGATCTCGGGGCCATCATGATTGTGATGGAGACTGCGAAGACTTTCACTTCCATCACTGTGGAAGTCCTTTGCTGACGTATCATTAAGAATTGCTGGCGTATCATTGAGATTTGCCGACATATCATTAAGATAAGTCTCGTAGTCAGCACTTTCAGAAGCGTCCAAATTGCTGTTGGAACTGCTGCTGCTTGAGCTACTGCTTGAACTTGAACTTGAAGTGCTGGAGCTGCTACTGGAACTGTCGTTGGATGCGACTTCATAGTCATCGTCGATTTTCGTTACAGACGCTCGTAACAACAGAGCAACACTTTCAGGTGCTTTGACGGGGTCCATCATATCCGCTTCCAGCTCTGCATCATCGTCACTGCTATCGCCGTAGAAATTCTTCGCTGACATCTCATTCAAATAGGCTTCATATTCCGCAGTTTTGCCCACATTACTGTTTGCTGGCTGGGTGTCTTGTTCAGTGCCATTGCTATTGCTACTTGAATTGCTGGAGCTGCTACTAGAGCTGCTGCTCGAGCTGCTGCTGGATGCGACTTCATAGTCGTCTTCAATATTAGCTTCAACTTCATATATCGAAGCTTGCATCAGGTGGGCTTGGCGCTCGGCTGCTTCAACGGAATCTGTGTTTGTGCCAACATCCGCTGTCTTGGTGACAGCTGCAAGCTCGACTGATCCTAGAGCATTCAATCCCGTTGGTGCCAGGTCCGCATCATCATCACTGCTATCGCTGTAGAAATGCTTGGTCGACATCCGATTCAAATAGGCTTCATATTCAACAGCCAGCTGGTCCCCATTGCTATTCGTTGGTTTGGAGTCATTTTCAGAGTCATCACTACTACTGCTCGAGCTGCTCGAAGTGCTCGAGCTACTGGAGCTGTTGCTTGTAGTAGTGCTGGATGCGACTTCATAGTCATCGTCGATTTTCGTTACAGACGCTCGTAACAACAGAGCAACACTTTCAGGTGCTTTGACGGGGTCCATCATATCCGCTTCCAGCTCTGCATCATCGTCACTGCTATCGCCGTAGAAATTCTTCGCTGACATCTCATTCAAATAGGCTTCATATTCCGCAGTTTTGCCCACATTACTGTTTGCTGGCTGGGTGTCTTGTTCAGTGCTATTGCTTTTGCTACTTGAATTGCTGGAGCTGCTACTAGAGCTGCTGCTCGAGCTGCTGCTGGATGCGACTTCATAGTCGTCTTCAATATTAGCTTCGACTTCATATATCAAAGCTTGCATCAGGTGGGATTGGCGCTCGGCTGCTTCAACGGAATCTGCGTTTGTGCCAACATCCGCTGTCTTGGTGACAGCTGCAAGCTCGACTGATCCTAGAGCATTCAATCCCGTTGGTGCCAGGTCCGCATCATCATCACTGCTATCGCCGTAGAAATGCTTGGTCGACATCCGATTCAAATAGGCTTCATATTCAACAACCAGCTGGTCCCCATTGCTATTCGTTGGTTTGGAGTCATTTTCAGAGTCATCACTACTACTGCTCGAGCTGCTGGAAGTGCCACTAGAGCTGCTGCTGGATGCGACTTCATAGTCGTCTTCAACTTTTGCTTCAACTTTGTTTATCGAAGCTTGCATCAGGTGGGCTTGGCGCTCGGCTGCTTCAACGGAATCTGCGTTTGTGCCAACATCCGCTGTCTTGGTGACAGCTGCAAGCTCGACTGATCCTAGAGCATTCAATCCCATTGGTGCCAGGTCGGTCTCATCATCACTGCTATCGGCGTAGAAATGCTTAGTCGACATCCGATTCAAATAGGCTTCATATTCAACAACCAGCTGGTCCCCATTGCTATTCGTTGGTTTGGAATCATTTTCAGAGTCATCACTACTACTGCTCGAGCTGCTGGAAGTGCCACTAGAGCTGCTGCTCGAACTGCTACTTGAACTGCTGCTCGATGAATTTCTCGCCGGATCGAACCAAGGATTGAAAGGCTTCTTCAGAAATCCGGGACTCGGAGGAGCTCCATCAGAAACCGTGCTTGCATCTCCGCCCATGTTATCTATACTTCCACCAAAGCTAAAGTCCTCACTGCTTGAGAAATCAACCCAATTTGATACTGATGGAAGTACAAGAGGCTTCTGAAGTCCACTTTTCAATGGCTCAAAGGAATCCGCAATATCGAAGTCGCTTTCATCATCCTGGCTTGCTGTATCATAGTTGTGATCTCCATAGAATTGGCTCTTCGACATGTGTTTCAAGTAAGACTCGTATTCCGCCGCCTTTGCTGCATCGTCATTCTTCGGATCATTCCCTGCTTGGCTGATGCTTCTACTCGAACTGCTGCTACTCGAACTGCTGCTACTCGAACTGCTGCTGATCGAACTGCTGCTGCTGCTCGAACTGCTGTCCCTATTTTCATCGTTGCTCTTCACAACTTGCTGGGGGTCCACCGGATTCCTAGATTCCTTATTGGCAGCACCACTCCACCTGTCGCCATAAAATCTCGCATTTTGCTTGCGTGCTAGAAAAGCCTCGTATTCAGCAACTTTAGCAGCGTCCACTGCGCTGTTTGCATCGTTTTTCTCGACATTGGACTTGCTGCTGATTGATCTGCTATCACTTGAGCTATTGCTACTTGAACTGCTGCTATTGCTGATGCTGGAACTACTCGAGCTGATGCTGGATGCAACTTCAAAGTCATCATCAAGATTCATTGGAGCTTCGTTAAGTGACGCTCGCAGCAACAGCGCTGCACTCTTCAATGGCAATGGCTTAGCGACACCGGCATCATTCAAATCGCTCCCGCCATCACTTAGCGTATCATAGTTGGGATCTCCATAGAATCTGCTCTCTGATATGTGATTCAAGTAATTTTCGTATTCCACCGCCTTTGGATCAGCCTTTTCGGTTGCTCTTTTTGGCTTTGCATCGCTGCTGGAACTGCTATCACTCGAGCTGCTGGAACTGCTACTTGAGCTGCTGGTCCCTGTCCCCTTTTGGGTACTTGCCGATGCCGGCGGCATTTCCTCAACCAACTTGAGTTCTTCACCTTTCGAATGCTTGCGAGACCTGTTGGCAAGTCGAGGTGTTTTGTCCTTGGATGGAACTTCGTCTTTGGCCTGCTTATCAGAGGAATGATAATCACTGTACCTGGCTTGCATAGGATTCTCCGTCGAGGCCACTTCATAGTCTGTATCTTCTCCTTCGCTCGCAAAGTCGACTTCCTCTTCTTCTTTGCCAACGAAAGTGTCACGGAAGGAACTGAACGATGCTTGCAACGACGAATACGAGAAGAATCCCTTGTTACTGTTGATCACATCTTCAATGTACAAGGCCGAACTCAAGGTGGCCGGTTGGAAAGGAAGAAAGGAATCGCTTGATAAAACCGAATTGTCTGATACCGAACCGCTGGAAGTGGTACTCTTCTTAATATTGCTCAAATCGTTTTTGTCGAATTCAAAAACCGTCCGAACCTTAATTCCAGTCTTTGGATAATAATCTTCCGAACCACTGTTGTTTTCTTCGACGTTCTGATCCAGCAGCAATGGATGTTCGTCTTCTCCCCCAAGCTGTCCTTGAAAATGTGCGGCAAACCAATCGCTCTTTTCTTGCCGCGACTCTTCGTCGCTGCTGCCACTTGAAGACGATGATGCTGAAGACGAAGAGGAAGATGATGACGAAGATGAAGACGAAGATGGTGATGCTGATATCATCGACGGCTGTCGCATTACCGGGTGTCGACGAGATAGCTTGGTTTGGATTTCCTGTAAAAGGGATTTCACTTTATCGACCGACTTCGCCAATTCATTCGTCTTGGCCAAGTTGGCTTCGCGTACTGAATTGGTGGAGTCTTGTCGTGTAAACTTCCTCACTTTACCTTTTTTCGTGTCGCCGTTCCGTGTTGGTTCGTCATCTACTTCTTTATCGGCATCATTGTTCGCCTCAAGCATGAATCCTGGGTGACTAAATTCATCCATTCGACGCTCCAACTCATCCCATCGTTCCAATTGTTCTTCAATCTGCTGCTCCATATCATTCATAGTGACTTCATCATCAGTACCATCGAGTTGCTCTCGTAAGTCTTGCAATTTGATAATAACTTGTTCCGTTTCCGTCTTCAACCCATTGAATTCCATACTGCTCATTCTCCTGTGTGCTCGAACGTCCCCGACCAGATTCTCATCTTCCTGTCGCTGCCGTTGCCGTATTTCTTTAATATTCTTGTTATTTTCCAAGTTCTCGGCAATCTGTGTCCATCGATCGAGCCAACTTCGCAAATCGTGCAGTCGTTGTTGGGATATTGGATCCCGAATTTCTAACCCACTGAGCAATCTGGAAATCTGTTGAGCTTCTTTTCCCGTCGTCCGACTCCATTCGTCTAACCAATCGTGGTACTCTTCTCGTTTTAATTTGCCCTTGGCAATCTGCAGTTCGTTTTGTACTTTGGAAAGTTGTTGTCGAAGTCGTTCCAATTCCTTTTGTTGTTCTTCTTCCCGCTGTTGCCAATCTTCGTGTACAGACTTTTGGAGGTCATCCTTGTCTTCTGATATTTCTTGTAGCTTTTTTTTGACTCGTTCAATCTCGTTGTTGGTCAAGGATTGAAAATCTTCACGAAGCTTACGAATGGTTTCGGCCTGTTGTTGATATTGCTTCCGAGACAATTCCTGTCGGGCTTGAAAGGCATTGAGTTGTTCTTTGAGGCGCTTATTCTCTTCCACGAGTGATATGTATTCGTGTTGAGGCAGTCTCATACCAAGGGGCGACTGCATGGCAGATGCTGCGCCGCCATCAGAGGATACGCTCCCTAGAGTGTGATCATCGTTGCTCGCATAGTCTAAGGAGTGTTTGGCTGCCTCCAATGTTTGAATACTTCTCATTCGAAGATTCTTGTGCCTCGCACGGAGCTTTTCGAGCCTTGATTCTTCCTTCATGATTGTCGTATGTTATGTTGCTTCTTGAACTTATATTGTCTCGTTGATTTCTGATTCAGGCGATTGGTTATTGATTCAGATGATTATTGATTGATTGTTTTTCAGGTAACGAATCCAAAGTTCAACTCGGAAGAAAATCACCGCATGCAGGCACAACTTTTATTAACGTCTTGTTGTGGCTAGTAAGAAGTTGTCAGAATAGGAAGGTGCTGTAGAGCGGTCCAGATGATTTGTTTGGTATTATTGCTCGATCTCGCTATCGTGCTGTCTAATAGCTGGCACTCAACGCTTGCAATAGTGACCAAGCATCGAGGTACTGAAACAGATTCGGAAGCTGAATAAGATGCTCTTCGTGTTTGGCACGTGTAGATATGTCGCATAAGACACGTTTTGGCATGCTGATTGAAAACGATCACTTTATCGACAACCAATCAAAACTGATGGAAATTTTCGCCAAAACAGATGACGAAATGTGGTATCCACAATTTAGATTCCGCGTCGTGTGTGTGCAAAACCAACATCGACCCAAAGCTTGTCCGACCATCAAGGATCAACCTCAACACCATGAAATCACTATCAATGCAGCTGGCGTGTCTTTGTGTCTTGACATGGACACCAACAAATCAAGGATTTCTTCCTGCTGGCCATCATGACTATTATTCTTCTCGGAGTCATTCCACCACCACAGCCGTGTCCCGATCATCAACTCCCTTGTATTATGTATCCAAAGGGTTCAACGACATTGATATTGATGATGTTTTGGCTCAAACTGAACAAGCGCTCATGCTCGCCCAAGACAACCTTTCCTCCTCGGACTCCTCTTCGATAGAAAGGGAACTTTCTAATATTTCAAAAATGCAAAAGGAACTGGGAAATGACAATCATAGCAAATCCATGAAGAAGAAAAAAACAAATGTGAAATCACAGACTATTGCTTCACCCAAGGCTTCTTCTCAATCAATATTTGGCAATTGGGTCCAAAAGGCAACACACAAAATGAAACCAGCCAACGCAACCGCCGATCAAAAAGAAGTAAAGAAGGAAGAGTCGGCAAAAGCCAAGCACCAGAGCACGGTCATCAAGGAGAATTTCCACAAGAAATTCCAGCAAGCCTCTCATTCAGCTGGCAAGGTCATTCAAGACGGCTTGGAATCCAAAGAACTAGACGATCTAAAGAAAAAGGCGACGAAGACAATCATGGATAGCATTTCGAAACACAAGAACAAGAAGACGAACAAACTTATTGACGTCTCGGATCGAGATATTGACATTACAGATGTTCTTGCAGAAGCCGAAGCTGCACTGCTTGCTGCCGAGTCAATGGAACTGACATTGCCAGCCAAGAAGGACGAGGAGAAGAAGCCAAAGGCAAAGACCAGCTTTTTCTCATCGATGGTAACCTCAAAGGAAAGTACCAAAGTTGATAAGAAGAAGAACAAACTCATTGACATCTCGGATCGTGATATTGACATTACAGATGTTCTTGCAGAAGCCGAAGCTGCACTGCTTGCTGCCGAGTCAAAGGAATCGGCATTGCCAGCCAAGAAGGACGAGGAGAAGAAGCCAAAGGCAAAGACCAGCTTTTTCTCATCGATAGTAACCTCAAAGGAAAGTACCAAAGTTGATAAGAAGAAGAACAAACTCATTGACATCTCGGATCGTGATATTGACATTACAGATGTTCTTGCAGAAGCTGAAGCTGCACTGCTTGCTGCCGAGTCAAAGGAATCGGCATTGCCGGCCAAAAAAGACGAGGAGAAGAGACCAAAGGCAAAGACCAGCTTTTTCTCATCGAAAGTAACCTCAAAGGAAAGTACCAAAGTTGACACAACAAATGGTAACGTGAATGACGTTGTGGGAGAAGCAATGGCTTCAATGTCCGAAACGATACCTGAGAAAACACCACCAATAAAAAAAGAACCAAAGCAGCAATCAGGAAAGAACTTCAAAGGCCCACCAGAAATGATTGACATCAGTGACCGTGAAACTGACATTTCTAATGTCATGGCCGAAGCTGAGGCAGCCTTGATGCGTGCAGAAAGTGCCAATGCGGCATTGTCCACTTCTGTTCCTGAAGCCGCTACGGAAGCTGTTCTACCTCCACACTCCACAAAGGATGGATCCATGCTGTCACAAAAGTGGAGTGACAGCATCATAGCAGCACTAAATCAGTGGAATGAAGGTGCAGCTCCCATTCGAAAATCGAACCGTGCCATCCTGCTCTACAATATGGTGCAGTTCATGATAGTACACAGGGACTTGGTGGCTGCGGCGGTTACACAAAGTGCAATGTTCATGCAATCGCAAAATCATCGCCTGAGTCCGATTCGTAAGAAGAATCGATCCAATGTGGCCCACACAACTGTCCAATTTGCAGTCTTGCATAAGATATTGGTGATTGAGGCCGCTCAGGCAGCTATGAAGTTTGCTCAAAATCAGAACCAGAAAATTAGACCCATTCGCAAGGCCAATCGTGATGCCCTTGTTCGTACCTTTGTCCAGTCTATTCTGCTGCACAAGATTCTCGCTATTGGCGCACGACATGGTATTGCCAGTTGGGTTCGTGCCCAGAATGCATGGATGGCACCCATCCGGGTCAAGAACCGACAGAATTTGACTCACAGCTTGTCTCGTTTCCTTCTACTCCAACGTCATCTCTTTCGATATGCAAAAGCAAATCTTGCAGTTTGGTGGTCGCTGGAATCCAAACGCATGGCAGCCAACCGGGGCATCAATCGTGACATTATATCTCATGACTTGGTAGAGGCCATGAAGGTACAGAAGAATTTCCATCAAGGGCTCCGGGCTGCTCCCTCCAACCTGAGCGCCATTTTATCAAGAGTGCTAGCAATTCTACTGGAGCAAATCAAGGAAGATGCACAGCCATCTACTCCAGAATCTGTCTTGGAGAGCACATTCTAAGAAGCACCAAGAATAACACAGCAACCAAGCTACTATAGTTAGCCGTATGCACTTTGTGAGGGGCCAGGACCTACCGATTAGACACGTCATCTGCCGAAGGGGGCGTCCGAAAACAAATCTATAATCGGTTTGCCACATGCCATGCTATTCCTCCCTCGAATGAGGATGTAATCAACGAACCCGTCAGTCACCAGCAGAACACTACCGGTATAAGCCCAACTTCACTGCGATTTGACATTGCCGTTTTGCTCTCTTGAACTACAAATATATAGTTGTAGTTAGAAGTATAAAATTAGGTAGAAGTATATTTTATCTTAGTGCTTCTGGTGACTCAATGCCTATTATACCGCAATATAATTTGATCAGTAGTGTAGTGCGGCGTTGATTGATTGATTGATTCATTGATTCATTCATTCATTCGAACCAGTCGAACTTGGTTGTTAATCATATCAAGATATATTATCTTACTATGATCGATGCATCCACCGTCGGCATATACTTCCCATTACATTCAATAAGCTATCACACTGTGTGAAAGGTGCCAATATTGAATATTTCAAAGCTTGTCATTCGTTTTACTTTAGCAGACATGGCAAAATGGACATGATGGATTCCTAGATAATGATGGAGACGAGGAACTCCGTTGGGAGTTGGTTTGGCCAATTGCGCTTGGTAACATCAGTAGTGCTGGGAATCAATCCACAAGCCCCATGAACAAAAGTCCTGGTTGTAGGATGAATGCCATGGTGGACGTGGATTTGCGAAGCCAGTATTTTTTATACATTTCAATTGGGTGGAATTCTATGGCAGGTATCGGCTAGCTCAAAATTATTGAATGTCGAAACTAACAATCAGTCTGGATCTTTCACACAATTGCTCGCGAAGTCATGACCAAAGAGGCTATATATATACACAGTAGAGTATCTCTCTTTTTCACACATAAAATTGGAAGATCGCCAAAACAAATTCATCAGACGAAAGATGAGAACATGATTGAAAGACTATACTGGCGCCCCACTTCAATTTTCTTTTACTGTTGTTTGTTTTTACATTTTTTTCTATTGAGTACTAGGAAGCACATTGCGATCACAATGGCGGTGGACACTTGCAGATCAAGCGCCGCCGTCGTCTGGATCTCCGCCAAACAGTGATTGAATCGTGAAGTGCTTCAAGCGATCCTGCAGAGTAACTTCCATTTCTGCCTTCTGTTCTCGTAACTTTTCAGATTTGCTGCTTTTGATAGAACCTGACTCACTTTTATCATCAGAATCGAACTCTTCTTGATCCGTCTTCCCTGACTTTGCAGCCTGTGCTTGCGGCTTTTGTACCCACGTAGACTCAGAAAATTCTCCCCTCTCCTCTTCCTCAGTTGATGAATCTGAAACGTCTTCCCCATTCTCTTCCTCAGTCGTTGAATCTGAAACATCTTGTTCCTGCTGGTCAGCGCCATCCGCCAGCTCATTTTCTTGCTCCCGCTGTTTCTTCTCCTTCAACTTTGAAATTTCGTTCCTCGCCGCTTGGAGCTTGGTCACTAGTGCTTCGGTGGCTTTGTTGGATTGCTTAAGGTTTACCAACTCTCTAGCTTTCAAAGCCTTCAGTTCTTCAGCTGTTCGTTCCGCCAATGCCCGTTGCTCCTGCAGCTCCCTTTGGATTGCGACTGGGACTTCACCCGAGTTATCGACATGAGGATTTGAGTGCTTCGGACCTATCTGCTTGTTTCCACTTCGCAGCAACGCCAGCTCTTTCTCAAGGGCTTCATTTTTCTCCAGATTAGCTTTTTCACGTGACTTTGCTTCGTTCAGGTCCGCTGTTGTTCGTGCAAGGAGTTCCTTCAAATCGTGCACTTCTTTCACCAGCTGCTTTTTCTCTTCAACCACTTCTTCATTGCTCTTTCGAATCTTTTGCAGATTCGAAATCTCACGTTGAATTTCAAGTTCTAGATCTGCCTTGATGTGCTCAATGGATTCGCGCTGTTTCTTAACTTTGGATTGCTCGTTCTGCAGTCGTTTCACTTCTTTCTGTAGTGCCACAATATTATCGTATTCGTTGGAAGACATTTCAGGCTCCTCTTCAACACTTTCGAGCTGCCTGCCAATGTGTGCTTTGAGTGCTTGTTTCAGATCCAACCTTAGCTGAATTGCTATGTTTTTCGCTTTTTCCAACTGGCTTTCCAATCGTTCGTTCTCTTCGACAAGTTCTGCAATCTCACTTTCTACTTCTGCCTTCAGGTCAGCCTTGAGTCCACGAACAATTTCCATCTGCTTCTTGATTGTTCCTCTCATTTTCTTCTGTTCTGCCGCCAGTTTGTCATTTTCCTGCTTGATTTTGTCCATTTCCTTCTCCTTCGAACCCAGCTGCTGTTCTAACTCTTCAATATGGTGATCAGTATCAGCGTCCCCCCCACCCATAATTTCTCTTTCAGTCTTCAATTTTGCAACGAGTTTCCTTTGATCACTCAACTGCTGTTCTAAAGAGGACTTGGCATTACTTAGACGCTCGTTCTTCTCTTTGATTTCTGCAATCTCGCGCCCTAAGATTACTGCTTTTGATAATTCAGGTTGAACCTGGTCCAATCGAGATTCAAGTTCTTGAAGGGATGCATTTTGACTTGCCAGTTGCGTTTCGATCTCACTTTTCTCTGCCTCCAACTGGGATATTTTCTGATTGAGCTGGATAGAGGTGTTGGTATCTGTTGATTCCCTTTGTTGGATGTCTTCCTTTAGCTGCTTCATGGTCGCTTTTGCTTCCGCTAGTTGTCTTTCCAATGATGACTTCTCATCAGCATCCCCACCCATAATTTCTATTTCAGCCTTCAATTTTGCAACGAGTTTTCTTTGCTCACCCAGCTGCTGTTCTAAAGAGGACTTGGTATCAGCCAGGCGCTCGTTCTCCTCTTTGATTTCTGCAATCTCGCGGCCTAAAGTTGCTGCTTTTGATAGTTCAGGTTGAACCTTGTCCAATCGAGATTCAAGATCTTGAAGGGATGCCTTTTGACTTGCCAGTTGCATTTCGACCTCACTTTTCTCTGCCTCCAACTGGGATATTTTCTGTTTGAGCTGGATAGATGTGTTGATGTCTGTAGATTCTTTTTGCTGACGCTCTTCTTCTGAACGCTTGATAGACTTTTTCGCTTCTTTTAGCTGTCCTTCCAATGATGACTTCTCGCCATCAAGTCGTTGGTTCTCTTCCAGGAGTGCAAAATACTCGCGACTCAGTGTGTCTGCCTTAGATGCCTTGACCTGCATGCGCTCGAGCTCTGATTCAAGGTCTCCAAGGACCTTGTTCTTGCTTCTCAACTTTGCCTCTATTGCAGCTTTTTCTGACTCCAGGTGCACTATTGTGCGATTGAGCATGCTCGTTTCCTCAAGCTTCTGTGTTTCCTTAAGTTGAAGCTGTTGTTCCAAATCAATGACGGCCGCCGTTGTTTCCTTCAACTTTTCTTCAAGCGTAACCTTTGAATCATTCAATCGCTGGTTTTCTCCCTTGAGTACAGCATTTTCGTCACTCAATACATCTGCTGTGGATAGTTCAGCCTCCATTCGTTCCAGCTGTGATTCCGAATCTCTAAGAAGTTTGTCTTTGCTTGTCAGCTGCGTTTCGGCAGCGACCTTTTCTTTACTCAAATTTGCCAAGCTATGATTGAGAGTAGTGATCTTGGCGGAAAGTTCAGTTTCAATATTTTGAAGCTTCTGCTCGAAACGATCGGATTTTGTCTTTGTCTGCCTCAGCTGCTGTTCCAAAGATGACTTCTCTCCATTCAATTGCTCATTTTCCCTTTTCAGTGCCGTGATATCTTGGCGCAAAGCTTTTGCGTTAGATAGTTCAGGTTGCAATCGCTGCAGCCGCGACTCTAGACCTTGAAGTGTTTCATTCTTGCTTGTCAGCTTTGCTGCAATTGCTGCCTTTTCCGACTCCAAGTCTTCGATCTTGTGATTGAGGAGACTCGCTTCATTTGACCGTTCTGAATCCTTCACATGCAATTGTCTTTCAAATTCTGTCATTGACTTTAATGCTTCCTTCAGATGCTCTTCCAAAAGAGACTTTGCGTCGCTCAAGCCATCATTTTCTTTTTTAAGCACAGCGATCTCGCGACTCAACGTATCGGCTCTGGTAAGTGCCGGTTGCAATTGCTGTAGTCTTGATTCCAGATCTCGGAGCACATCGTTCTTGGTTTTTAGCTGCGTCTCAATTGTAGCCTTTTCAGATTCCAAATGATCGATCTTTCGGTTGAATAGGCGAGCTTCGTTTGCTTTTTCTGTCTCTTTAATCTGGAGTTGTCTTTCCAAATCCCTGACCAGTGCTGCTTTGGCGGTCAAGTCCTTCTCCAATGAAGATTTTTCGGCACTCATTCGCTGAAAATCGCTTTGAAGAACACTTATCTCGCGACTCATCGCTGCTGCTCGGGATAGCTCAGGTTGCATTCGTTCCAGTCGGGACTCTAGGTCTAGAAGCACTGAATTCTTGCTGGAAAGCTGTCTCTCAATCGCTGACTTTTCTGATTCCACAAGAGCCAGTTGCTGCTTGAGGAGCATGGCTTCGTTTGACTGCTGTGACGTCGCTGTTTGAAGCCTCCCTTCCAAACTTGAAAGTGCTTTTGTTGTTTTATTTAATTGCACTTCCAACGAGGATTTTGCATCGTTCAAGCGCTGGTTTTCTCCTCTGAGCATAGATACTTCCCGACCCAAATCATCTGCTCTTGCTGCATCTGGTTTCATGCGATCTAGTCGTGACTCGAGATCATGAAGGATTTCATTCTTGCTTGTCAGCTGTGTTTCTATGGCTCGCTTTTCTGATTCCAGGAGGGCAATTTGGTGATTCAACAGGCTAGTTGCATTGCTTTCTTGAGATTTCTCCATATAGAGCTGCCGTTCCAAATTGACAACAGCCATCTTCGCCTCACGCAGCTCTCCTTCCATAAAGGATTTTTCACTCTTCAAAGCTGCGACCTCTTCCAAAGCAGAATTGCGTCTGGTATGCTGGTAGGCTAATGCTTCTACTTCAGATTGCAACCTCTTCGCTTTCGCGGCCTCATCGTGCATCAGCGCCTCAACAGCGCCTTTTTCATCCCGAATACGCTGACTTTCCACCTTCCAAAACGTCACCTCTTGTTCCATCGAATTCCTATGAAAATCATTTTGCTTTTCTGGTGATTGTCCAAGGGCTAGCGAAAGCAGTCGCTGGTTTTCAGATTTGAGTTGTGCTACTTCGTGCTGAGTAGAGGAGTTCACGTGGACACCGTTCGAGGTGTCCTGATAGCCTTGCTGATACCGAGACGGTTCTGCAAGTTGGCGTGATTGATTCAACCCCAAGATATTGGCACCCGCCAGTGTTCTGGACTCGCGACTCTTCGCTTCATCCAAAGAAGACCGAACGTTTTGTAAAAGTACCTCGTGGATCTTTGCATCCTTCTGAAGTCGCTCCTTTTCGACGACATGCCCATCTATCTCGCGTTGTCTCTTCCCCAACTCTTCTTTGAGTTTTCCAATCTCTTGATTCAGTTGGTTTTCGCGACTGAAGATTGAAGTCATCGAAATTTCTCTCTGGCGTTGCTTTTCAGCGTGAAGATCCAGCTCTTTTTTCATCTTGTCTATTTGTTCGGTCTTTTCTCTCAGCTCCTTCACAAGTTTTTCACACATCTCGTTGGATTCTCTCAGCGTTAACATTTCGCGGCTGGCGGCCTCTTCTAGTTCTTTCTCCTTTGCAAGTATCTGCGCTTCCAATTGATCGATTTGCCCTTGCGATTTGTTTGGCATTGACTGCTGTTGCACAATGGATTCGACTTCTTCCTTGTGCTTGGTTCGTAGATGATCGAGGGAGCGCTCTGCCATGTTCAAGTCTTTCTTGAGCTTCTCGACTTCAGATCCTGCAAGGGCATTTTCGGTTTCGATTTGTTCCTTTTCAGTGCGCAACACGTTTCTCTCTTCTTTCACCTTTTCTATTTCTGCCTTGAGGACCCTCACCTCACCCTTAAAAAAAGTAATATTCTTCATATCACGTTCTTTGTCATGTTTCCATTCAGCTTCGCAAGTTTCGAAGTCGGATTGAAGTGTGTCTCTAGCAGTGACTAGTTCATTCTTTTCTTTTACGGCATCGTTGAAATCCTCTTGCAGTGCTTCTATTTGACTTTTCAAAGCATCCATTTCTTGCAAATGAGACTCCTTTAGATGGAGGAGCTCTTGCCGATCACTACTTATCGCCTCAATTTCCTCCTGCTGCTCTTCTATCCTTGCGACTAAGGATTCGACTTGCTGCATTGAATCTGTGAAAATCAAAGTACTTTCCGCTTTGATTTCGCTGACTTTAACGGAGAGAACAGCATTTTGTGCTTCCAACACCTCTTTCTCGTCCAAAAGATTATGTTTCTCCTGGACCGTGGCATCGAGCTCCTGTCCTTGTGTTGCGATATGATCGTTCAGCTCAGCGATGTTATCTTCAAGCTTCTCCGACTCTTCGACATAAAGTTCCAGGTCCCTTTGCGCAACTTCAAGCAAACTCTCCAGTTCCTTGACTTCTTCTATATATTCCACCAATAATTCTACTTTTTCATGTTCACCCATGGTTGCCAAGTCAGTGCGCAGGACACGTCCTTGGCTGTGTTGTGATGATTCCCCATGCTTGTCGTCCACTTCTGACGACTCGAGGGTTTGTTCCACTACAACGATGCTCCTAGATGTAGTGTAATTGTTGCCTGAATGATTTGGTGCTTCTTCAATGTCGGCTAATGCTTCGCCATCAATCGCGCCAGCTACTTCTTCGTCAGCAGCATCGGTTCCCGACCTCATCATCGTCATGTTTTCCTCACCATCAATCACGCCGGTTACGTCTCTGTCAGCAGCTTCGGGTACCGACCTCATCATCTTCAATTCTTCTTCACCCACAATCGCGCCGGCTACTTCTTCGTCAGCAGCATCGGGTGCAGACCCCATCATCCTCAATTCTTCTTCAAAAATACGAAGGATATCATCGTTGAACTGGTGTTCAGGAGACGATTTCCTTACATCAGCTATCAGTTGAAGGGCAAGCTCCTCAAGCGTTTGGACATGGTCTTCTAACTCTTGGTGGTGCTCTTGATTGCCCTCAACTTCTGCTAACAACGCTTCAACTTGCTCGTTGTCAATCTGACTAGCTTCTCGCAAGGTCGTGTTCTCGTCTTGCAAGGCTTCAAGTTCTTGACGGAGCTGTTCAAATTCTTCGTCTGTTGCAACCGGCGGAGTGGCCCTGTCTTCCGATGCAACGTGGTTCTCGCGACGAGCTTCCACTTCTGCTAAGAGTGCTTCAATCTGCTCGTTATCAATTTGGCTAGCTTCGCGTAGTCTATCGTTCTCATCTTGCAAGGCTTCAAGTTCTTGCCTCAGCTGTTCAATTTCTTCCTCTCTTTCTTGCGACATATTGACGTGGTCGTCAGAATCCGCGTGATTCTCATGACGAGCCTCAACTTCTTCCAAACGAGCTTGAATTTGCTCGGTATCAATCCTCTTCTTTTCTTCCAGCAGAGCCTTGTCTTCTTGTAATGCAGCGTTTTCTTCCTTTAGCAGCTCGATTTCTTCATCTCTTTCTTTCAACAGATTGATATGGTCGTCTAATTCAGCATGGTTCTCTTGAGCAGCTTCTACTTCTTCCAACAATGCTTCAATCTGCTCGTTGTCAGTTTTGCTTGCTCCTTCCAGCCGAGCCTTGTCTTCTTGTAAGGCAGCATTTTCTTCCTTCAGCAGCTCGATTTCTTCATATTTTTCGTTCAACAGATTGTCATTATCACGACTAGCTTCCAATTCTTCCAAAAGTGTTTCAATCTGCTCGTTATCAATCTTACTCGCGTCTTCCAGCCGTGCAATGTCTTCTTCCAAGCTAGCATTTTCCTCCTTCAGCAACTCAATTTCATTCTCTTGCTCTTTTCCAAGGTCGTGCATCTCTTGAGTCAGTGCCTGCACCTGCTCCTCGAGAGCTTCGATTTGCTTTTCGGCTTCTTCCTTTGCCAAAGCGATCTCTTCATTGGTTTGTTCAAGTTCATTTATCTGATTTCCTCGACTTTGCAATACTTCTTTCAATGTATCGATATCTGACTGAAATTTCTTCTCCATGTTTGCTTTTTCCAAATTCATCTCATCACTGGATTGTTGTAACGAATACATTTCGTTTTCTTGATTGTGCATTTCTTCCGTCAGCGTATTTATCTCTGATCGAAGTTGCTCAGACAGGAGTTCTGTTTCCTCCACGGTTTTCGTAAGCCGAATTTTATCTTCTTCGAGCTCATCAAGAATCTCAAGTTGCTCCTGAGCTTCCTCCTTGTCTGTCCTTAGCTTCTCGTTGGATTCTTTCAAAGACGCTATCGTCTCCATTTTTCTTTGTACCGAATCAGTCAACCTACTGATCTCAGCTTGAAGTTCCTCCGAATGGATTGCCATTTCTTCTGATGACAACTTCTCTGCATTTACAACTTCTTCCGAATCTTCCAATTTCTTCTCCAGAGTCTGTATTCTATCGTCTGCAGTCTTGATTTGGATTGCTAATGCATCTTTCTCTGTTTGAAGGTTCTTGATAGCAACATCGTTCTTCTGAATCAAATCTTCTGCCTCTTCACGCACCCGACGATTTGTGACCTTGAGAGACAAATACTCGATTTCCATCAACCGTTGTTTATCTCGAAGTTTGGCATTTTCTGCTTCTAGCTCTTGCGTTGCCGCTTCTTTCTCGGCATGAAGCATTTCCTTTTCCTTGGTGATGCGATCGTTGACAACCTTCATGATATCGCACTCTTTTTGTAACACCTCCAATCTTTCCGTTAGGAGGGTGGACTTTTGAGCATACTCATCAGCTTTTTCTCTTTGGTCACGGGCAATATGTTCCTTCTCCTTTAGAAGCTGCAAATTCACGATCTTGCTGGCATCAAATTCGTTTTCCATGAATTTCAATCTGTCCATAAGCTTGGATTTTTCATGACGAAATTCCGCGAGCAATACTTCGTAGTTCTGATCGGCTGCCTCTTTGTCTTTGATGACCTTCAGTGTTGTAGCCAAGCTCGAATCCAATCCGACTTCTTTCTGCTTCAATTGATCTGAAAGTTTGGCGACCTCATCTCGAAGCTTCGTCTCCATCGAATTGTATTGCTGGGAGAGTTCTTGGTTTGCCGTCTTCTCCAACTTGATCTCTTCATTGAGCAACGATTGCATAGCTTGCTGCTTACGTTCCATACTTGACACTTCTCGAATCAACTTGAAAACAGCTTGGTTTTGGTCACGTGTTTCTTGTTCCAACTCGTTCTTCGTTTGAAGGACAATGTCATAGTCCTCTTGCAACGCCTTCAGTTTCTTTCCTTGCCAATGGACTTGGTGAGCAAGCATTGCTCCCGTTTCCTTGAAGTGATTTGCGTTCGATTCGTTTCGCACAACCTGCAACATTTCCGCCTGCAAAGCAGTATGATCCTCTTGAAGACTTCTGTTCGTATCCCTTTGTATCAAAAGCTCCTTTTCTTTTCTATGCAGCTGATCCACCAAGGATAAATTTTGGGATTGAACGCCGACGTGACTCGACACCAAAGTTTGCAGCTTTTCTTCGATCGTTTCTAATTCCTTGGCTACAGCAACCTTGTTCTGCAATAAGCTTTCTCTCTCCACCTTCAACTTTGCAATTTGCTGCTTCTGAGCAAACTGCTCATTCGATAATCTATCGCACTGAAGTTTCGATTTATGCAACTCTTTCTCGACTTTAAGAATCGATGATGCAGGGAAGGCTGGTTTAAGGCTCCGATTTCGTCGCGCTTCGTGGGCTCGTTTCTCTAATTCAAACTCTTCTTTCTCTCGTTGCAGAGCCTCCCGCAAGGCCTGGATTTCCTGCTTCGTAGATTGTAATTCTCGGTAAGGATTTCGTTTTGCAGGATTTCGAAGGATTCGCTCCAAGTATACATTTTGTGCCTGTAGCGTATGATTGTGCTGCTGGGACTTGCTCAAATACCGCTTCAGCTTGGACGCTTCGTCTTCGTCTTCCTTGGCTTCCTCTTCTTCCTCCTCCGATATTTCCTTTTCGTCCTTCGATGGGTAGCTTTCCTGCAGCTCATGATCGTAGGGAATATCAAAACTTTCGGCGGTTGGAAAGTTTGCGGTGACAGAAATGGAAGGAGCAGTGATCTCGTCGGATGCATAAGCTTCTGTTTTTGATGGTGAAAGCGATCGCCCTTGTTTAGGCACATCCGCACACGATTCAGACGACGAGGACTCCACTTCGTAGGATGGATCCTCTGGTGAATCGGTTATCGACAATTTTTCTTGGGATATTTTACATTGTGACTCTTGAACTTGCAATTGTACTTCTCGTTCTTGCTCGTCCGCCTGTTCCCTTGCCTTTATTGCCGCTGCCAGAAGTGGTTTGGATTTCGCCAGTGCGCTCTTGGGAGGATCAAACAGATCGGTAGTGCCCAACGACTCTTCGTCGTCCTCCATGATGCTAGTTGGCTGATTCAACCCCTCCAAGTGATTCGCATTCACTGCTCGTTCTTGCTCGTCCACTTGTTCCCTAGCCTTGATCGCCGCTGCCAGAAGTGGTTTGGATTTCGCAAGTGCACTCTTGGGAGGATCAAACAGATCCGTTGAACCCAAGGATAGTTCATCGTCGTCCATAACAGTCGTGGGTTGGTTCAAACCTTCCAAGTGATTTGCTTTCATCGCTAGTTCTTGCTCGTCCGCCTGTTCCCTTGCCTTTATTGCCGCTGCCAGAAGTGGTTTGGATTTCGCAAGCGCACTCTTGGGAGGATCAAACAGATCGGTGGTGCCCAACGACTCTTTGTCGTCCTCCATGATGCTAGTTGGCTGATTCAACCCCTCCAAGTGATTCGCATTCACTGCTTGTTCTTGCTCGTCCGCTTGTTCCCTAGCCTTGATCGCCGCTGCCAGAAGTGGTTTGGATTTCGCCAGTGCACTCTTGGGAGGATCAAACAGATCGGTGGTGCCCAACGACTCTTCGTCGTCCTCCATGATGCTAGTTGGTTGATTCAACCCCTCCAAGTGATTCGCTTTCACTGCTCGTTCTTGCTCGTCCGCTTGTTCCCTAGCCTTGATCGCCGCTGCCAGAAGTGGTTTGGATTTCGCAAGCGCACTCTTGGGAGGATCAAACAGATCCGTTGAACCCAAGGATAGTTCATCGTCGTCCATAGTAGTCGTGGGTTGGTTCAGGTGGTGGAGGTGCTCTGGGCCTCGGCTCGGAGTATTTTTCGCAGACAAATTGGATGATAAAGAATTTACTTCAATGTGCGAAGACTCTTCATCATGTGACTCTGCTATTACTGACACCGAATTATTTTCATCATCGTCCTTTGGCAATTTCCAGCGGGAGTCGGAAGATGACAACGACGACGAATCGTTGTTAGTCGATGAATCATCAGAAGAAGACCCGTCAGATGGTATGTAGATAGGCACCGACAACTTTCTGAGGAGCGGCATGGATCGACCTTGTTGGGGAGAAGACGAAGAATCGTCGGATGAAGAGGATTCGGATTCCGAAGCCAGTCCATATTTCTCTGGTACATATTTCTCTGCGGGTGGTGACTTTCGCGATGATGACTCTTCTTTTTTAGCTCCTTTTGATAACAACTCTGATGATGATGATGAGTCGTCAGATGCTGAAGATTGAACTTCCACGGGCATTGCTGGCGGTGGATATCTTGCTGGTTCTGGTCGAGATACATGCATTCCCAACGACTTCTCAGAAGAAGACTCGGATCCCGAAGATTGATCATTGTCAACGTGTAGGCTTGGCGACTTGTTTGTTAGTGCAGTTCCTTTTCGAAGTTCATCTTCTTCTTTCGCAGAATCGGAGCCAGATCCTGAAGATTGATCGTGCATGGGCATGCTTCGCGACTTGTTTGGCAGTGCCGCTCCTTCTCTAAGTGCATCTTCTTCTTTGGACGAATCGGATTCGGATGCCGACGATGCATTGTCCATAGCTACCTTTGAAGACTTGTTTGGCAGTGCAACCCCCTTTCGAGGTTTCTTTTCTTCTTTCGACGAGTCGGAACTGGAGGATCCCGAAGATTCATCGTCAATGGGTACGCTTGAAGACTTGTTTAGCAATACCGCTCCCTTTCGAGATTTCTCTTCATCTTTCGAAGACTCGGATTCGGATGCCGACAATGATTCATCGTCCATGGCTACCTTTGAAGACTCGTTTAAAAATACCGCTCCCTTTCGAGATTTCTCTTCATCGTTCGAAGACTCGGAACTGGAGGATCCCGAAGATTGATCGTCAATGGGTACGCTTGAAGACTTGTTTGGCAGTGCCGCTCCCTTTCGAGGTTTCTCTTCCTCTTTCGAAGACCCGGAACTGGAGGATCTCGAAGATTCATCTTCCATGGCTACCTGTGACGACTTGTTTGGCAGTGCCGCTCCTTTTCGAAGAGCATCTCCTTCTTTCGACGAATCGGATTCAGATGCCGACGATTGATCGTCTATGGCTACCTTTGAAGACTTGTTTGGCAGTGCCGCTCCCTTTCGAGGTTTCTCTTCATCTATCGAAAACTCGGACTCGGATGCCGAAGATGGATCGTCGTCAACAACGGGCGGTACTTCTGGTCGAAACTTGGCTGGTAGTGGCGGCATGGACGGTGTTTTTCGAAGCGCATCATCTTTCGACGACTCGGATTTTGACGACGACGACGATGAGGATGATGATGTAAGTGATCGTTGCACTTCTCGTCTATATTTCGGTTTTGGTTTCGACGCTTCGAGAGAAGAATCATCAGATGACTCGGAGGATGATGGTGATGGTGGTGGTCTATATTTCGGCGGTGGTTTCGACACGGACGCTTCCACCGAAGAATCATCGGATGACTCGGATGCCGACGATTCCACTGCAATTGGTGCATCCTCCTCTGGTGGTGGCAACTTGTTGTTGTTGGATTTCACTAATTCTTGTTGTTGTTGTTGTTGTTGCTGCTGCTGATCGGCTTGTTCCCTAGCTTTGATTGCCGCTGCCAGCAAAGGTTTGGATTTCGCTAACGCACTCTTGGGAGGATCAAACAAATCCGTGGACCCCAGCGATCCTTCGTCGTCGTCTTCAACAGTCGTTGCTGGCTGATTCATCCCTTCCAAATGCTTTGGTTCTGATGATGGAAAAGCAGTAGTACTATCCTGATTGAATGGCGAGAACGATTCATCCAATTGCACATAGTCTGCCACATTTTCATACGCTGGAAAGGAGGAGGAGGATGATGCTTCATTCGTTTTGCTTGCATTGTTGTTGTCTGAGCTACTCTCTTCAAAATCTTCGTTTTCCCCTTCCAGTACAATGCTAGCACGATGATCGGATGTTGTGGTTGTCTGGGAAAGGCTCAGACGCTTCCGGTCTCTTCTCTTGACAACATGAGGATTCCGTTTCTTCTTTTTGATGGCGCGATCGCTTCGCATGGATCCCGTTCGTTTGGGAGGAGGGAAGCGATCAAAGCCAGGAGCAAGATGCAAGGGTCGACTCTCTTCCATTGGTGATTCGACAGACGATCCATCATCATCATCATCGATATCTTCTGTCCGATGACCTCGATCGTCGTCACCATTCATTGCCTCCGTCTGTATGTAGATGAGCTTCTGTTATTATTAGCAATAGTTCCACTCTTAATTCATTTGTTGTGTAGCTCTGCCCTTTCGACTCTTGATTGTTCCGACTTGAGACTTTTCCTTCCCAGTGTTGCTTTTTCTTCTCGACCTCAGTTGGTTGGCCTTTTTGCTACTGTATATCGAGTGAGTCTTGTAGATGCAAGAGATGATGACAGTGAGGTGAGGTTCTGGAATGATATATGTGGACATGGCCAAAAATTTGCCCAACCCGTTTCAGGTTCCGAATTTTTGTCGATTATGTGAGCAAGCCATAAGTAGATTGATGTCGCAAAAGACTTCTTCCATCAATTTTCCGGTGGTTTGATTCAGCGTCTGTGTTCGCCCGTCTTTCGGAAGACAGACTTAATTTTTATTTTTCAGTTTTGTCATCATAAAAACAAATCACATCTCATCGCATACGTACCATCGCATATCTGCGTTCTCAAACTTTCCTCCAGACATCAACTATTGTCGATGCAGTACTGTACAATCGTACCCTAAGCTTGTGCCTAAGAGTTAAAAGTCTACACAGCATCATAGATACGAAAATAATGGACCCAATAACGGCACTGCACGCAGCCATCTTGCAGACTGTACGAAAGATTCCATCCACAGATGACTATTATGCAAATGATAATGATGATGACGATGCTCCTCCTCATGCTGATGATGTTGACAACGACAATAGCAGTACAAGCAGTGTCAGCTTCAATGATACTCATCCTATTCCGATCGACGCTCGAACCGGCCTCCCCAGTATCGTTGCAGATGCTCTGACACGGCCTCCGACCATTTCCACACCCACCATTTCCACAGCCATGTCTGCAGATTCCTCCTTTTTGCCACCCATGGGAGGAATCAGTCGCCGAGATTCCTTGGAAGTCCGATACCATTTAGAAGACGAAGCCAAAAATCAACTAACGCAATTCAATCAAACCTTGCGCCAGCAAATGTTGGCCATCCAACAAGAAAACGAACGATTGCAACGGCAAATGGCCATCCAGAACAAGGAACATCGATTTGCCAAGGCCCAATGGAACGATCGGTTTTTGGATTTGCAAGTAGAATTGGATGCTACTAAGTTGGAACATTTGCGAATCCAAGAAGCCAAAGAGGATGCCATACTCCAACTGGAATTGGAAGATCTCAAGAATCAAATGGTACTAAATGGAGATTATGACGACGACGAAGGTACAAGTAGTCATGCGGGCGACGATTACGAAGAAGAAGAAACCAAACAACAACAAACACCGACCGCCATTGCACATAATAGTGCAGTTGATGCAATAACTGTACAAAGCCAACATTTTGCGATTATTCCACCGAGACAGAATGGTGATTTAAAACTAGTAGATACCACAGGTGCCGCCAGCAATCAAGCGTTGCAACAACAACAACAACAACAACAGCAGGCAATACTACTCCAAAACTTGAAATCCGAGCAATCCATCTGGAAACAAGAAAAGCAAGAATGGGAATTGGAAAAGTCCCAATTACGCACATTGTTACGCAAGATGACGGATCAAGTCGAGGATAGTCGGATTCGCGTGGAATGGTTGGAACGAGAATTGATTGCCATTTGTCCCTCCGATACGGATTCGGACAATGATAAGGATAATGAAGAAGAAGAAAATAATAGTGGCGGTTCCAAAGTAGTGAAGGAGCCACGAGATGGGGTTGGCAATAAGGGCGTGAATGGAAGCGATATCAGTGCGGCAAGCACCAAAAAGAGTGGGAAACCTGTTGAGGCAATTCAACAAATCTCCCAAGGTTCAGCTGAAAGCAGCGCTAGAGTCACTATTCAAAGCAGATCCAGCAGTGGTCTCGGTGACGATCCACCCGAGCAATTGCTAGAACGCCGCCTCCAACAAGCATTGGAATCCTATGTTCAAATTCAAGGCCATCAGAATCGCAAGATCAAAAAGCTGACCAAGCAATTGCACTCGTTGGAAAAGGAAAAAGAAATGGACGAAGGAATGCAATATCAACAAATGGCGGAGATGAAGCAACAGATATCCTACTATAAACATGAATTGCAACAGCACAAAAAGACATTGCAGTTTCAAGTACACAGTCGGGATGAGTTTCATGACGAATGGACGCGGCGGATTGAAACACTGGAATTGGAAAACTTGGATTTGAAACAGCAAGCTATAAAATGGGAGAAGCAATGTATGCATCAAACGGGGCTGTTGAAACGAGAGGTCGCTTCGTTGCAAGACAAGCTGGATCAAGGTTCGAAACGAATCGAGGAATTGGAACAGGAACTGGCAGAGAAATTGAAGATAGAGAAAACGATGCACTACGTCGTGACAGAATCCATGTCTTCGCGGGATCCGGTCGCAGAAGTGGATGCCATAATTACATTGCAGCTAGCGCAAAGCAAGGAACGGGAAGCAATGTTGGAGAAGCAACTTAAGGATCGAAATGAAAAATTGAAAACACAAGAAGAGGAACTGGATCGATCTCGAGAGCGAATTGAAGTGTTAATGGCCTACGCTGGCATGGATGCTTCAAATGATGATGGGGAAGAAGGGGAACTATAAATTTGAATTGAAGTAAAACAGCAATTTGGGTTGGATCTAAACTTTCACTTTAGCACGTCGCTTGTTTGCTCTCACAATTTGATGATTCAGGGGATGACGTCTTTCTTTGGTAATTCTAGAGCATCATCAGGTGGAGAGTCAAAAAGGTAGGGATCGACATCGTAAACACTGTAGACAGCTTTGGCGATGGCTGTCCCCAGGCAAATTGGAACAGCGTTTCCTATTTGCTTTTGCACCTGTTTTGGATTCCCTGCAAACTTATAGTCGTCAGGAAAGGATTGAAGTCTGGCGCCTTCCAGATTCGTACAGGCTCGGTTCAGTTTGTACTGTTTGATGGCGTGTCCACAGAGAACCGTATTTGCAGGCTTGTTGGCGACCAGAGAGTCAGTCTTGGAATAGCAGTCTCTATCATCATCGCTTTTCATAATAACGTGATGATCCACCTCGATGATTCTTTCACTTCCATCACTTCCACTTTTTCTTGGTGGTAATGCAAGAATACCGGGCTTGTTTCGTGGTATAACTTGTTCCAAATCTCCAATGGCATCTTTGGGTGTCTGCAAAGGTTCGAGCGGCCGGGCAGGACCGTGCGTCGGTTCGGGAAGATCCGGTAGTTTCCATCCTTTCTTGGAGACAAACATGACGACCCGTTGCCGCTTTTGAGGATCACCGTATTCGGAACTGTCGAGAACTGTACATGTATTCAAAACGTGAGCAACGTAGTGAGCTTTGGTTCCTTTGATCTATATACACTTACTTCCAACTCGGACTTGATCATCATTCATAATGAACTCGTATGCTATCCTTTGAACATAGTGGACCCGATCATCATCGAGCATACCAGTGACATTCTCGAATGAACCAGTTGTACTCTTGATTCCAATGACTAATCGGGGGAAGGTTAAGGACAGCTGGTTGTTCTTTTCCTTGCTGGCTTCCGATTCAGTCGTGTTCATGCGACTAAAACCCTGACACGGTGGTGAGAGATGGACGTGCACAGTACCATCACAGTTGTAGGGATCGTTTGGGTTCGCATGAGCTTCCAAAGCGTCATCGATAAAAGAATTGATATCTTGATCAACAACTCTAGTATCCTCAGGAATATGGTTCAGCTTCAATGTTGCGACTGCAATAGGTTCATTATCGATGGCATGCCTAGAATAAGAAGAGTGATATGAGTCAGCTAACAAAGACCACTGCAAAGGCACCCGTTGGATACTATACTTACGTTACCTTGAACCCAGCCAATTCCAGTGCATGGCTCACGCCACCTCCTCCAGCGAACCCGTCTAGTGCATTGGGCGATTCCGCAATGAGACAAGTTTCGTTTGTTCCAAAAGATTGATTGAAACTGAAAGCATTCGTCCAACCAGGTCGCTTGGTCTGCCTAGTTGGAGGATCAAAGTAAACGTTGGGAGCGACAATGCCCGTTGTATCTATGATTCGGTGCAGCTTTCGCAGCGGCTTGGTTTGGCTGTATCGGCAGCTCACATACCTGCTACCAAACTTCTTTTCGAAATCTCTAACACTGAATACAGGGTTTTCCTTTCCAATAAAGGTGGCTTGTGCCAAGATTGCAACATGGCACATTGCCATTTTCCCTACTTTCGGATCGTGGAAGAAATCTTGAATGGTGTACACGATTTCGGGATGGCGGGTGTCGACCTGAGCTCCAATACTGAACCGTTCGCCCACTTTGAACATTTTCCAGGTGCCATCAACATCCAGATGCCACTTGTTTTCCGTGTCGACTGGTACCCTTTGGATAAGCGATGCCAGGTGAAACTCATTGTGACGTGTGCGTTTTGGTCCTCTCTGATGATGTACTTCTTCTTCTTCCACAGCATTCTCTTCCTCATCAGCTGCTGGCTGAGTAAGCTGAGCCTGACTGAAATCAATACGGTCTGGTTGGTCGTCCGGTACTTCGTTGTCTTCATCGTAATATTGGGTGAAGATGTCCCACTTCTGAGTAAAGCTTTGGAGCTCGACTTGTGTCAGATGAACAGCGCTTTCATCCAACTCTTCCGCGTCTGCGTCGTCTTGACTTTGATTTTCAAGAGTCGATTGTGAAGAAACAATATCCTCTTGGCAGGGTGACTCCTCCTCGTCTTCGGGTGAGTGGGTACGCGTCGTTGAAGACGATGAGGTGTCACAAAATTTGATGGGGCATCATTCAGATCTGATAACTCAATATTGGAGTCATCGTCACCCTTTTCAGGATTGACCCTCCTGAACTTTTGTGTCAAGGTGGTCTGTACCATTGTCAATCGCTACAGTAGGTGTATCTGGTTGATGTTACATCTCACCGCTTCGTGTATATATTATATGTTGCGGTATTGAAATGAAATTGGACCGCGCAATTGAGAAATGAGAGAGCCGGCCGAGTATGAGTCTGACGAGCACAAATGATGGCACTCGAATATTGAATTTCACAGTTCACAGTTCACACGAGTAGGGTGACAGTACAGTACTGGTACCTAGTACAGTATGTAGACGATGATAACAACTTTGCCAGAGGAAAGCTGAAAGTGGAATAAAAGGACGGAACTAGAAGAAAAAAGGCTGAGGCGAAGGAACTATCGTTAGTTCCTATACAACCTCGCCGAGATCGAGACTCTCTATGGTTGAGCTGGTGGTACTGTATACTATCCGAATCAGCATCATCATCATCTCATATACGTTCATCTCTCGGAATGTAGGAAAACAGCGAATTATTGACACCCGGAATATCTACAATGACAAGCTGAGTATCCTTTCGCATCTCGTACAAAGGTTCGTCCAACTCGATCTCGAATCGCTTTGTCTGAACTTGATCGCTAGCTCGAAGCTCCAAGTTGTCTTCGGTCATTTCTTTCAGATCCGATTTGGATTCACGTGGACTGTCTGCAACCAGCGCCCATTCTTCGCCAGCACTCGAAATAGCAAATTCGTTGACACCGGCCGTAGTTCGCTTCATGGACACTTCGCCAAACTTATCTCGAAACAGAGCGTTGAGAACAGCGGTCTTGCCAGCTGACACATTGCCAATGTTGGCAACCTTAATCTGAAAGGTAGGTGGCGTCTTCATATATCGGGAGCAGGAGATGTATCTTCAGTCATTGCATGTCTTGAAAGATCGTGCTATGTTCCTCCTTGGTTCCAACTTGTATCTGTAGCAAGGGCTTCTCGTTTCGTATGCTGTGGAATATTATTATCGCGGTATATGACAAATCTAGCCTTTTGGAGAGGTTTATTCTTGGCCTCATCGGGAATCATTATTGCGCAGAATGACAGCCGCGTCTTTTCGAATGGCGAGCCGCAACGGTTGATCAATTGGTGGGATGCGAACCGAATCAAACCTGAACTGAATCTTCGCGGCTGCCTCATTTCAGGACTGGCAAGCTACTGTATGTCTTCCACCGGATCAAAAATCCCAGTGTGGACGTCGTAGCCATTCGACCAATATGTTGTTCGAGCTCGTCTGGCACAATCGAATCTTCAATTTTGGACTGTCGGTACAAAACTCGTCGGTTATTCTATTCGAAACAACAATCATTCGAATGGAATAACCGCATTGACTAGAAATTCTAAATAACCATCATTGCAAGTTCCATGATGATGATTGTCAGAGTGCACGTAATAGTCGGATCGGACCAACAACTTGAAGGAAGAGGAGGGGGAGTCGCCAAGTCAGATGTACTCCAAGCTTTACCAACGGGGTCCGAACAGTCCCTCTTGAGCCATTTGATTCCAAAATGATAGCGACAGCTTTCAGCCATTTGGCATCAGTTGCTATATTTCCAGGTCAAACCATGATGGTGCTGCCAGTGCAAGTTTGGAATCAATCTTCGTACAGTAATTTTTCTTCGCGCCATTCGGTTCGCGCGCAGGAAGTGAAATCGACTCACCTGATTGCATATTCGTCTATCATTCCATAAAATATTATTCTTTCTGAATCATTCGAAATCTTTTTATATTGTCATCATCGTCATCGTCATCGTCGTCGTCATCACACAACGGAATAACGAAGATGATGTTTGCACGAGGTTCCAAGATTGCTTCTTCTTTGGTCAGTCGGACGCCCACCACAAGCAGACTGAGGTCCCTATCGACGGTGGAAAAAACAAAAGAAAATACGCTCTATCAGTATGCAATTTGTCCCTTTTGCAACATTGTCAAGGCAACCTTGGATTATTCTCAGACTCCCTACAATGCCATTGAAGTGAATCCCTTGAACAAGAAGGAATTGAAATGGTCGGAAGAATACAAAAAAGTCCCCATTGCTTCGTTAGAAGGCGACGTGATCTATGGATCCGCCGAGATTGTGGAAGGCTTGTTGACCAAACACAACGACAAAGAGCTGTGGCCACCGTCGAAACAAACGGAGAAATGGACCAAATATGCGATGGACGACTTGGCACCCCTTCTATACCCCAACCTGTGCAATACGTTGCCAAACTCGTACAATGCTTTTGGGTATGTGCATGGCGTCGACACCTTTTCCACAGCCGAAAAGTATTCGATTCAATACATTGGATCCCTTGCCATGTATTTTGCAGCTTCTAAGATTAAGAAAAAGCGTGGAATTGATGACGTCGAAGAAGCACTGAGAGGAGCACTTGTGGAACTGGAAGAGCATCTGAAACGAGGCTCGCCGTTTCTGAATTCGGCTTCCAAAACCGAACCTGATCTCGGAGATTTGTTTGTCTTTGGAGTGCTGAGAGGATTGGAAGGGCTTCCAGTACACGACAAAGTCATGGTAGAATTTGATAGTATATCCAATTGGTACCAATCAATGGATTCCATTGTGAAAGAACAAAAGATGGGAACAGCATAGTCATGTTCGGCCTGAGGAACATTAGACTAGGACGCGATATCTGAGTATGGACCATCCTAATCCAAAATACGCATATATTGCCCAATTCAACTAGTCACAACTAAGAAGGTATAAGAAACTTGAAGCTATCTTTCTAGATTTTGTCTACTTTCATTTGCGATCAGATCAAGGTCGTTTCGCACGTAACGGCGGGGCACTAGAGCTTGGCTGACTCGATGGAATGTCCCTGAATTCCATGTGTTCTAGGCCAAAAGTACATCTCTAATCTATAAAGATGAAGCAAACAGTCCATATTGAAGTAACAATATTTGTGATCAGAACAAGGTCGTGCGTTCGGTACCAGTACCTGGTTCATATTGCCGTATATTCTTCAGTCGAGGAGTTATCTACCAGTACATCCTAAATTATGCGTGCCCAGAGCGAGATTCAATCATCGCTGTCAAAGAAGGTATCACCTTTTGTGCTGCATTTATTTTAAAATATTCTCTGATGCCGTCGTCAACACTGCTGCCTAGTGTATATCCTCAGTTGCCGCGATGCTTCTGGTACTATAAGCACACCACGGGTATCTTTTACCAGCGCCGTGCCACTTCAAAGATTCACGGTCGCTGGCACCCGTGGACAACAGCCTAACCACTAGCTTCGGCAATCGATATTGGACATCTTGGCTTGCGTAATGAAGTCTCTAATCTTTTACATTCCTATTTACCATTGATTGCTTCAGATATATACAAAAAAGTTATTTTTTTTATGTCCAAGGAATCTACAATGATCATGCTCAATGTATTTCTCTGCTAGCCCCTCAGTCTTCCAAGTCGCTCTCATCATCGCTGCTGGAATCGGCCAAATCATCTTGGCTTTTTCGCAAGAGCTCTGACAAGTGGGCGCTGTTGTCTTTAAGAAGTTCAATTGCTCGTCGTTCGCAGAGCGATGAGCCTTTTCTTCGCAAAGGCCCAGTTACAACAAGAGTCTCGGAAATTATCTCTTCGGAGTTGACGATCCTCAAAGCTTCATCAATAAATTCGAATCGAGACTTCTTGTTACATCTCGAAAGAAAATTTGGCATTGGATCTATCATTGCAGGAATCTTGGATAAGAAGAACTTCCTCTTCATTGCAACGGTTCGCTTCACACCGCTTGAACTGGCATCCATGTTGGTCGGTTTCATGTTGATGTTATTTGTTGTGGTTATTATGATGGTGTATTTGGTGAATTCAAAAGATATTTGCGATGATGATTTGACAATGAAACTGAATTGTGAGAAATCGATGAACTTTTGTCATTTCTCATGACGTTTGATATTTCCTGTCCCCGGATTCGGTTCGACACGCGAAGAAAAGTTCAACCAGGAATACATTTTAATTAGTACAATCGAAAACCGGCGAAGGGAAAAAAACTCCGAAGAATGAATGAATCACAGTCATCCCGCAGTTTTCAACGTCGGATTCGAAATAATAAAATGGACGTTTTAACTCTGTTGGGACCTTCAACGAATATTTGTACATTCTCCGAGCTATTGACTGCACCGGAGGAGTACCTGGTACGTCCTGACAGTTCCACAGGAAACTTGAAGAATGTCCGAACACCACCGATTGCGTCCCAACACTGATTGCTACTCCGGTGAAGAGTTCGGCAAAAAGACGGATCAATATATCCATCTTGGAACTTCAATCTACTTTCTAAAGAGAGTTGTGGATGGGGAATCTACCTGTACCTGTCTGCACGTTCCAGATAAGCCGGGAAACCCTTTCAAAAATATCTACTATTTCTGCTAGCACCTTACAGTAGGTCTCCCAAGTCGCTCTCATCATCCAATCGACCAAATCGTTTTGACATTTTGGCAAGAGCTATGACGAGTAGGCGCCGTTTTCTGTGAGAACTTCACTCCTTGCAATGGCAAAGTGAAAGTAGGGGTTAGTGGGATCACCCCACTGTCTCATTCGGTATGCGAGAATGCGATCCTCACAATTTCCGTTTCAATTAGGCCAGCAAACAAAATAATGCCATTGAACCAACATTCGAGAAACAAAGAGTCCCTGGAAAATTTGACCAGCTTCAACTGCCATTGACGTCTGAAAAGGTATGGCATCATCTATTCTTGTCAGCTATAGTGATGACTTTTTTGTCTGTACTGTTGACTGGCATTCTGGTAACCTCATCAAGTGTCCTCCGGCGGTATCCAGTTTGCCAAATAGCCACGGTTTTCCTGGTAGGCAACATGTTGCCTTCCGAGCTCAAGCTACTCGTAGATACCATGCGTTTGATCAGAAGGTATGGGTAGGCATCTGTGGGTATCAGCAAGCAGTACCATTGGCGATCAACATAAAGTATCTACTTGTGGTGTATTGAAGATGAATTTCTTTTTCGTTGATTGATGTTTTTCTTTAAATTTTGTTATTGCAGTTCAGGCTTTTCATGTCTTGAAAGAATGTACGATACCGCAGGCAGGTCGCTTGAAAAAATGTCTTCAAAATTTCTCTCTCGGCTAGCACCTTAGTCTTCCAAGTCGCTCTCATTGTCAGTCCCATACCCGACCAAGTCGTTTTGACTTTTTCGTAAGAGCTCTGATATATAGTCGTTGTTGTCTGTAAGAAGTTCATTTACCCTTCGTTCGGAGAGTGATGAGCCTTTCCTTCGTAGAGGGCCTCTTCGTCCAGCTACTAGTACTACGCTTCGCGATGAAAAGTTTTCGTTTTCAAGAGCCTCGCCAATTAAGTTGCGTCGAGACTTCTTGTTCGAATAATGGTGCTCCTTCATACTCATTTCGATGGTGTTCAATGCGATTGGGGCTATTTTCATATCGCTTGAGGTACACATTCTGTTAGTTTGTTGATTTTCTAAAAATGAGGATTTTAGAATTTCAAATTATGAGTGAAGTACATTCATTTCTCCTTTGCGGCGAATCGCGGGATTACTTCTGTATTTTTTCCTACTACGAGTACCGTACGGACAATAGTGAAAGGGATACTTTCAATCGACTGGAACACCCGGCAAATGTTCAGACCGAGTATTTTCGGGACACTGATCGCAAAGTTTGACGTGCTCGTGCCCGGAGATATAAAATTATATTTTTAGCTTCGAAAAATCTATATTATTTCCCTTTAACTATTAATGACATATTATTATGTGATGATTTATCAAATAGGGACTTATGGACACAGATGACCGATTGGTCATTGTGACTTTTTCTGAGTTATAACTCAGATCACAACGGAATCCTGAGTTATAACTCACGGCGTTGAGTTATAACTCAAACGTGTGAGTACGTCTGAGTTATAACTCAAACGTGTGAGTTATAACTCAAACGTGTGAGTTACTCAACTTCCCGTTCATCCAGCAAATCAACGAATTCTTTCCAACCAAAACCCTTTCTTCTGACCTTGTCGGTGAGGAAGCGGCTGAAAGTCTCTCTCCTTTCACCTCCTGCCTCGCCGTAGAACTCGTTTTTGTCCCAATGATGTTGCGTGACAAGTTCTTTTATAGGGTTTGGATCTGGAAAAGTACAGGACTGTATCTTTTGGTGAAAGTAGTCGTTGGTCCGCCAGCTCGAATTTCCAGCAACGGTTTTGGAAAGGGGGAAGCTCGCACGTTTGAGTAAAATCTCACACGTTTGAGTAAAAACTCACACGTTTGAGTTATAACTCACACGTTTGAGTTATAACTCACACGTTTGAGTTATAACTCAAACGTGTGAGTTATAACTCAAGGATCTCCCAACTTCAGGATTCCGTCTATTGATATGATTTGGAATTCGAAGTTTCTTAATGACCCTGCGACCATCAAATGACCCTTTGTTATTTACAGAATTAGGATCAGGAACACCCGGCAAATGTTCAGACCGAGTATTTTCGGGACACTGATCGCAAAGTTTGACGTGCTCGTGCCCGGAGATATAAAATTATATTTTTAGCTTCGAAAAATCTATATTATTTCCCTTTAACTATTAATGACATATTATTATGTGATGATTTATCAAATAGGGACTTATGGACACAGATGACCGATTGGTCATTGTGACTTTTTCTGAGTTATAACTCAGATCACAACGGAATCCTGAGTTATAACTCACGGCGTTGAGTTATAACTCAAACGTGTGAGTACGTCTGAGTTATAACTCAAACGTGTGAGTTATAACTCAAACGTGTGAGTTACTCAACTTCCCGTTCATCCAGCAAATCAACGAATTCTTTCCAACCAAAACCCTTTCTTCTGACCTTGTCGGTGAGGAAGCGGCTGAAAGTCTCTCTCCTTTCACCTCCTGCCTCGCCGTAGAACTCGTTTTTGTCCCAATGATGTTGCGTGACAAGTTCTTTTATAGGGTTTGGATCTGGAAAAGTACAGGACTGTATCTTTTGGTGAAAGTAGTCGTTGGTCCGCCAGCTCGAATTTCCAGCAACGGTTTTGGAAAGGGGGAAGCTTGCACGTTTGAGTAAAATCTCACACGTTTGAGTAAAAACTCACACGTTTGAGTTATAACTCACACGTTTGAGTAAAAACTCACACGTTTGAGTTATAACTCACAGGATCTCCCAACTTCAGGATTCCGTCTATTGATATGATTTGGAATTCGAAGTTTCTTAATGACCCTGCGACCATCAAATGACCCTTTGTTATTTACAGAATTAGGATCAGAAAAGATCAAAAATAAAGTTGTTCTGTGAAAATGATATTGTTTAAAAACTGAAATATATTTAAGGCAGCGATCGCCCATCGAAAGACATCAGAATTCCCACAGTCGACCCCGCGCGGTACGGATTTTCGTCATTTGCCGGGTGTTCCTGACGGAAGTGATAATAAAATAATTTCCGTTTTAACTAACGATGTACGAAAGAATAAAACCCAATGGAAAATATGGAACGAATTTCAATGTTCGTTGAAGTCTGCAATACCAGGTAATATATTTCCAGCCTATGTATGTCTTGCCCATCATGGTGACGTTTCTTTTATCATCGGTACTACTTGTTCCCAGAAGGGAGCTTCAATATTCATTGAAGAATGCAAAGGGTTACTGTAGCTCCTGTGGCGGTGTCTGTATCAGTGCTCTCTGTCCTCATCGGGAGTGCTAGTTACGCGGTACCTATGCCATATCTACAGTAGCAACAGTGCTCGTGGTAAGCAAGGTCCGAAGGACTTCAATTTTTCGAGTGCAGCAATGGCACCAAAAATCGAGAAACAATAAATGAAGAGGAGTCGTCCCTGGAAAGTAGGGTAGTGCAATAGCGAAGTTCAATACTAATTGAAAACTGCAAACGGTCATTACCATCCTTGCAGCTCCCTATATCACGTTGTCTTCATCATTTTTCTCTATTAACCAGCAGATCCGTACTAGCTACTTCCCTTGTTGTTGACGTGTGTTTGAAAATACAACAAGTGTGATTGAAAATACCGAGAAACCATAAAGTGCTTCTGGAAAGTTGATCGAGACTCAATGTTAGTTGAAGATTTTCTCCTGATTTGTCTCAATTTGTCTACAGTCTCGCTGATAGAGAAGAACATGATGGACAGTACCATGTACCGATATATACCATACTTGTGTTAGGTACCGCCTTCCTGTACATATACCGGTACTGTCAAGGATATCTTTGCCTCTCAAATTTTCTCTGGTTTCAATCTAATCGCACGAGTCAAATATTTCGGACGTCATGTCATGCATGTCGTATGTCTGCTTCTCGTCGCTCGCATCCGACGCGCAAAGGCACTGGATGTCGGGATACTACGACACGTCTGTCATCATATAAACCGTAGGCCTCATCATCGTTGCGACTACTCGTATACGTGTGCCTATAAAACGTTATTTACCCATCCGCGAAACAAGGATAAACTCCGTGAGCTACCAGGTACCATCTTCAAAGCGGCTGGAAACGTCAGTGGTCGTCATGCCCGATATGAAATTTCAATGCAGACATTGTGGGCTTTTGATGTCAATATTCCTGATTTCTTCATCTCTGCATGGATCAATGGCGTTTCTCTGCCCCATAAGTTCACCGCCCATCAGTATGCGCAAGCTCGGAAAGATATCAGAGTGCCAATCAAGTTCTCTATCCACCAATCCTGTCCATCAATTCTTACCACCAGGCACGACATGGCCAACATACACCAAATACTGGGCCTTGCCCAGAGATGAGGACAACGATTCACAAAACGAGGCTCTTCAAGACAGCACCAGTATTGAGAACACTAAGCTTCAGAAAAATACCAAAATTGATGAGCAAACTCAAAACATGCTGGTTTCTCTTCTTCGGAATACGGATTTGTTGGAGGTGCGATTGGATGCCACCTTATGTGCCATTTTTGGAATGGCACGCTTCTTGCTCTATGACTTGACACTTCCACGAAAAAAAATTCCTGGGATGGAAATTGTGGATGTCGTTGCCGTCCTAAATACCTTTTCCTCGGCAGCCGTTTTGGCCATATTATGGAGTATTGCAGGAGTTGCCATTGGACTATTTGACACAAGAACAAACAGCAAGGATGACCCCACGTTATTGATTCAGTTAATAGGGACCACTGCCTTTTCAGTCCCCCTGTGGGTCTTTGTAGAAAAGGTATGTCACTGGCCAATCTCCGCTGGATTGGAGAGTGCATCTCTTGTTTATGCAATGCTTCTGTCAAGCTTGGGGGTTCTGGGAACTATGCTGATTGCAAGGACGCTATCTCGATTCCTGCCATGACAATTTGAGCGATATGTATCAATATTATACAGGCTTTATCTATGCATTGCGAGGGGCCGTGAGGGGCGTGGGATTTTCCCAAATATCTTCGTTGCCTTTGACTTCTTTTTCATCGGCCGACTCTACGTCGGCATAATGTTGGCTCGTTGTGTTTGACTCGATTTCCATGGAACTATTCGGTCCTACTACCTTCCCAGAATGGTATTCAGGATGGCGAGCTTTGAAGCGACGTACCATATACCATGAAATAAGGATCAACAAAATCGGCAAACCAACTGAAATACCAATTACGCCGCCAGACGTCAATTGATCACCATGAAGGACATTAGCGGTTACCATGATGTTGCAAACTACCAAGAAGAAAAGAGGAACCACCACTCTGCAGACACGGTCCACCATCTTTGCCGCCAATGGATGGCCTTGAATGTGCAAAGTTCGGACAGCTACGTTCTCAACTGCCGTCAAAATCTGCATCACAAAGGTCACCAGCACAAAGTTTGCCAAGAATGTGTTATTGACATGTCTTGGTACGACATCCGTGACCACGAATTGATAGGCAGCAGATGTGAGCACACCGGTAAAGGAGATAGCCATGCGGTCTGCCAAGTCAGTTGGGCCCATCCAAAAGACTGCCCACGAAATGGCCACAATCAAGCCGAGCGGGATGCAAACCTTGGTAACATAGAACGCTGGATTTCTGTACACATGAATCTCAGTCACCAGCTCGGAGAAAGGATGGCGATCGCGAGCTTCCATGACAGTTTCAAGATGTTCTTCAATGTGCGTCATGGTTTGTTCTGGGATTTCGAAATCTTCCGAAAATCCTACCAGGTCTTCTTCGATATGAAATAACATTTGGTTGCTATTCCATGCGAAAGACTCAACTTCGGCTCTCAAGATTTGCTTGTCAAAGGGAAATCGCTCCATTTCATACTTTGAGGTCAAGGTCACCTTAAACTTTTCCCTGTACTCGACAGTACCATCGCTCTCAATGATGACTTCTTGGTTTTCAGTGACCCGTTTCCCTTTTTCGTTTTTGAATGTAATAGCTGGCCACCAGATGGCTTCCAGCTCTTTTTCCGCGTCTCTTTCTAGGTAGATGTGTCGTGCTTTGCCTGCTTCTTCGCCATCAAACTTGGTATGTGGATCACACCAAATGAGATCCAGATATCCTTCCATATCAAAAGTACTTAGACCTGGATCAAGGTTGAAGATATTGTGTATGTAAAGCCCAATATCCACAATAGTAGGTCCATCCGGATTAGGCGGGGACACGTAAGCGGGATGGTCCAGGTGAATCAAAAGTTCATTGAGAGGCAAGGAGTGTGGATCGACCTCGGCGAGATAAGTTTGGTTTGCATAATCCACATTGGAGCAAGCTCCAGCTCGCTTGGGTTGCTCGTCATCAGCGTACTCCGATGGTGAAGAGGATCCCAAGTTCCGAAGATGTTCGGGAATGGGACCGGCTTTAATTGGAGTAGTAGGTGCGTTCTGATGGCAGAGCCCGAAAACTCCAATGAAGAGGATGGCGATTGAAGGAGCGATGCATTTTATGAGCATAGGGCGGTTCTCTTTCTTGAAGCTCCGTTCCATGGTTGTTGTGTTCGTTTGTTTGTTGAGAAAAGGATTCACAATGTGTATTCCTGCTCTTACCAGAACAGCAGTTTCAAGTTGTTCGGGAATGTTTTATGGATGGGTGCGATAGTGATAGATCAGGTCGCTCCAAATTCTTGATGATATTTTTTTGGGCTTCGTCGCGAAGGGGAGAACTTCAATCATGGAATCGTTCTCGGGGTAAAAAACCTGGAGAACAAAAGTTTCCCTAATGTTTTGGTGGTGCGGGGCTGGTCAATATTTCACTGTTGAATATCAATGCCATCGTATCGAAATTTTGTGGAGCTAAAAACCCGAACTCTCGAAGGCACGAAGACGCAACCAAATCATAAAATAGAAAAGACCCGCCCCGCCTATTCCCCAGGTCATACCGGTACCGGTAGAACCAAGCACCCAAGAGAGTAACAGCGTTGAAAACAAGAATTAATGAGAGTACCAATAGCAATAAGTTTCCAGGTGAGTCTAGTTTGAGTTAGAGGAAAACTATTTTGATTCAATTTGTAGTTCAGACTATTTATCCTCTCCTGACTCTACATCGATATGGTCTTGGCTAGTTTTGTTCAAATCCTTTTCGATGGGATTATCTGTCCCTGTCTTCGCAGAGCCGTATTCAGGGTGGCTAGCTTTGAAGCGACGAATCATGTACAACACAATTAGTATCAGCAAAACTGGCAAACCGATCGAGACGCAGAGGAGTCCACCATACGACAATTTATCATCATGTAGAATCTGAACGCTTGCCATGATGTTGCAAACTGCCAGAAAGAGAAGCGGCACAACAACTCTGCAGACACGGTCTATCATCTTTGCTGCCAAAGGGTGGCCTTGAAAGTGCAAATTCCGGACAGCCACGTTCTCAATCGCAGTCAAAATCTGCATCACAAAGGTCACCAGCACAAAGTTTGCCAAGAACGTATTGGTAATGTGTCTTGGTAGAATGTCGGACACAACAAACTGATATGCAGCAGACGTGAGCACTCCAGTAAAGGAGATCGCCATGCGGTTTGCCAGATCGGTTGGGTCCATCCAAAAGACTGCCCACGAAATGGCCACAATAAGGCAAAGTGGAATGCAAACCTTGGTAACGTAGTACGCTGGATTCCTGTGGATATGAATCTCAGTCACTAGCTCGGAGAATGGGTGGCGATCGCGAGCCTCCTTGACAGTTTCAAGATGTTCTTCAATGTGGGTCATGGTTTGTTCGGGAATTTCGAAGTCTTCCGAAAAGCCTACTAGGTCCTCCTCGATATGAAACTGCATTTGGTCGCTGTTCCATGCGAAGGACTCAACCTCGGCTCTCAAGACCTGCTTGTCGAAAGGAAACTGTGTCATTTCATATTTGGACGTCAAAGTTACCTTGAACTTTTCTCTGTACTCGACAGTACCATCGCTCTCAATAACAACTTCCTGGTTTTCCGTCACTCGCTTCCCCTTTTCGTTTTTGAATGCAATCGCTGGCCACCAAATAGACTCCAATTCTTTTGCCGCGTCTCTTTCTAGAAAAATGTGCCGATCCTTGCCCTCGGCTTCTGCATCAAACTTGGTATGCGGATCACACCAGATGAGATCAAGATATCCTTCCATTTCAAAAGTACTTAGACCTGGATCAAGATCGAATATGCTGTGTATGTAGAGTCCAATATCCACAATGGTAGGTCCATTTGGATTTGGCGGGGACACAAAGAAGGGATGATCCAATTCAATCATAAGTTCATTGAGAGGCAAGGAGTGTAAATCAACCTGGTCCAGATAGGTTGCGTTTGCGTAATCCACATTGGCACAAGCTCCAGCCCGCTTGGTTTGTTCGTCGGTATTGTAATCAGATGGCAAAGAGGATCCCAAGTTGCGAAGGTGTTCGGGAATGGGTTGCGGACTTTCAATAGGAGGAGCAGATGGCCCCTCGTGCTGATATAATACACCAAAGACGAGGAGGGCGATTGCAGGAGTGATGCATTTTATGAGTATGGGACGGTTCTCTTTCTTGAAGCTAACATCCATGGTCGTGTTCGTTTGTTGGCTGAGAAAGGGATTCACGATATCTATTGTTGCTGTTACCGGTGCTAGCGCAGTTGTTGGAGTTGAGGGATGTGAGTTCGTAAATTAAAAGGTTCTCTCAAAGGTTGAGGTTTCGTTTGGGCCTTTTGGTGGAGTGCAAAACATCAAAAATGAGAACTCAAATCACAAAAACCAACAGAGCAATAGCTGGGAAAAACCTGAAGAACAATCCTCCACAAATTGTTCTGATCGATTTGAAAAAGGGTAGGAAGGATTATATAAAATACATTCGAATACATACAGTACCGGTACGTAGTGTACCGGTACCTACAGTAATTTCCGAAACTTTTGACTACTCGTCGCATGAAATAAAATTTCCGAAACTTTTGACTCCTCTAAAATTTCCGAAACTTTTGACTCGCGATGGAGTCAACGCATTCACAAACAATGCAAAGGAACTTCTCTTGCAAAAGTAGTATTACGACATTTATTGTGTCTTAAAAAACCTCAACTAGACTGATATAATTTTATATTTTGCATCATTTTCATTCGATTTCGTTTTCCTGCCATCTGGCTCCTCCCTTCCTTCCGTCTTAAAGGCAATCCCAATGATTCCCATCGGTTATGATCTCTAGTCTGTCGCTAACTTTGAAGTGTGGTTAGAAAACTTTCAGACGCTGCAAGCGAGGTTCTGGCGATGTTACAGATGACAGCAGCCGTGAAGGGTGTCACAATTCTATCGCCCCAGTCGGCCTTCGATCGCCAGACGGACAATTAACGGATGAATAATCAATCCACCCGCCCGCCCGTCGGATCGAATGAATCGTTGGATTCAACATCATTCATTCGTGAACGAGACACGGGACGAATATTTTACAAACGCAGCACCAAAAGATATCAGCAACATCACCATGAGCGAAGGGTTCCAGCAAAAGTTTTTTGACCATGTCGACAAGAACCAAGCCCTCTATATTGAACGGCTAGCTGAAGCCGTTGGAATTCCCTCTATTTCGTCTGACTTGGAAAACCATTTGGGCGATGTCAACCAAATGATTGATTGGACCAAGGCACACATTGACCGTCTAGGAGGAAAGACGAATCTCGTGGTGAATCCACTCAACTCTGACAAGATAACCTATCCACCGATCCTCTTGGGAGAGTTCCACGTGGACCCCAAGAAAAAGACAGTCTGTGTGTATGGACAGTAAGTCTCTCCCAGCGATGTGATTCGTGAAGTATTTCTCCCTTATTATTATTCCACCCGCGCTCATATATGTTAATCTATCTTCAGCTTGGATGTTCAGCCAGCCGAAAAAGACGACGGATGGGACACGGAGCCATTCACTCTTGTAGAGAAAGATGGAAAGCTCTATGGTAGAGGAAGTACTGATGACAAGGGGCCCGCTTTGTCTTGGCTATGGATTGTGGAAGCCCACCAAGCGTTGGGTGTCGACTTGCCACTCAACATCAAAATCATGTACGAAGGTATGGAAGAATATGGATCCGAAGGTCTTTTTGAAACGATTCGGGATGAAGGCAAGCCGGGACAGTTTTTGGATGATGTCGATTTCTTTTGCATTAGCGACAACTACTGGGTGGGCAAAACAAAGCCATGCTTGACATATGGACTGCGAGGATTGGCCTACTTCCAAGTTGGTGTCAAAGGATGTGAACAAGACCTTCATTCTGGTAATCATGGTGGCGGTATTCACGAAGCAATGACAGATTTGGTGCGCTTGATGGCCACTCTAGTCGATACCAATGGAAAGATTCTGGTGGACGGTGTTATGGATTCCGTCAAGCCATTGACTCCAGAAGAAGAGGCCCTCTACGAGAGTATTGATTTTAATGTCGAAAGCTACAAGGAAGAAAACGGTGTCAAGAATGTCAGTGACAAACTCTTGTACGATAACAAGAAGGACCTACTTATGCATCGTTGGAGGTATCCAACACTATCCATCCACGGAATCGAGGGCGCATTCAGCGGCAAGGGTGCCAAAACTGTCATTCCTGCTGGAGTCAAGGGCAAGTTTTCGCTTCGACTGGTTCCCGATCAAGATCCAAAGCAAATTGAAAAGTGTGTGAAGGCACATTTGGAAACCGAGTTTGCCAAGCTCCAATCTCCCAACAAGCTAGAAATTGAATTGATTCATGGGGCTGTGGCTTGGTTGTCGGACCCGAAGCATCCCAACTACCAAGCAGCTGCAAGAGCGGTTGAGAAGGTGTATGGGTGTGAACCTGACTACACGCGTGAAGGTGGTAGCATTCCCATCACCTCTGCGATTGAAGAGGCTACTGGAATGAACGTTCTGTTGCTTCCCATTGGGGCTTGCGATGACATGGCACACAGTCAAAATGAAAAGTACAATATTTCCAACATGATGAATGGTATCAAAGTGCTTGGTGTCTATCTCCATGAACTAGGAAAGATCCAAGGTCCGAAACCATCGGATTGCAAATGCATTCCGCTGACGCAAGAAGAGCTTATGGTTCCAGGAGCCTTCCTCCGAGGATTCAAATGCAAGTGTGAGATGTAGACATCTGAACGTCTAGTTAGTTTTATACCATAGCTTCTATAATTAACGAGGACCAATTCCTAAATCTATTCGGATGTAGTCAGTTTTCGACTTCGCATCATTGTTTCGTCAGACCAAATTCTTTGCGATGGGATTGATATCCCAAGCACTTTCTGAGGAGACTTCAACTATAATGAAAGGGAGTTGATACTCTGGTATCAACTGTCCGCCGCCAAGGGTGGCACGCTGTAACGCCTTTATAGCATTGGCAACGCATCGCTTTCCCATGATAGCACACTTTGTGCCATGTCTTCCTCGAGTACAATCTCAGGGATATTAAATGGGGTTGTTCCCCTGACGTGTCTGCCAAGTCTCGGCCTCGATGTTTCGATTGGAGCTGCCCCGTGTTCCAAATCCATAATACCAGCAATACCAGCTTCATTCCCTAGACTCCAACTACGGCGACGGCCATTGTCCTCTGCTCTTTCTTGGTCGTTGTCGTTGTCGTCGTCTTCTTCTTCTTCTTGCTCTTCCTGTTGCGGCGGAACCCAATTGTGTCCATCTGGATGGTAACCATAGAACATGATCATTAGACTCTCGTTGAATTGTGCTTGGTAATTATTCAATGGGAGATCGTTGGGTACATTCTTGAAGGGGTTCTCCAATTCTCGGGCCACCTCATGCAGTCCCACAAAGCAAAGTACGGTAAACAAATTCAGTAGCAAGCCCATAATGAGGTTGTTGACAAAGGTGAGCATCAAGAGCGGCATGAATGCCACAATGACAAATACGAAAAGAGTCGTGATTTGTGCGTGTGGAAAGGGGAATGGAATAAAGGCAATCTTGCGGGCTTGATTGTACCTATCAACAACAGATCCAGTAATGAAACATGATCAAAGAAGCAAGAGGAATCATGAATGTGAGTGAGCAAACGTAATTTTTCAATGAGCAGTCCGTCACCACGAGCATCCAAAAAAAAAAATCGACACTCACCCTGCCATTCCTTCGCTGACATATTGGTATAGACGACTGACAATCGGTGGAGCAATGTTGCCCGTACTCCCTTGCAAGTATTCTCGACTCAAAAATTCTTGCAACCACAGGGAACATAAGGACACCTTGGCCAACGGCCCGCGTGCCTTTTGCAAGAGTTCAATTTCCGCATCCGATACATTCCCAATCACTCGAAAGGGCCGTGCTGCATTGTACAAGGTCCGACTGACATCATTTCTAGAAAGGCCCAACATATAGCGTATGCTGCTTGGCAAGCCAATGTTCCAACCGGTAATGAGACTCGAACTGGATTCCCATTCTTGCCGGACGTCCGCCATGTAGTCATCCGGGTCCACATGGGGCCAAGGTTCATTGGGAAAGAATTCAATTAATGGAGACTCGGCCTCTTCCAAGTCATTTCGCAGTGTCGACATGGCCACGGCCGACAAGAGGGATAACAAATGGGCAATTTCTTCAAGAAAAAGTGCATTGGGTGGGATGGACATGATGGGTGGAGGTTTGGGTGGCTCGTCGTCGTTGTTGTTGTTGTTGTTGTTCCCCCACTCCTCCTCTGGTGGTGGTGCCAATTGAACCCCTTTTCTCCAGGTCCTTCGTGCGACTGTCGTAAATGTAGTAGTGTTGGCTCCGTATTCATTGTACAATGAGGGTTGCCGCTTATTCTTTTGCGTCTTCTTGTCAAGACCAAACAATTTATTCTTGCTTCGAGACCTTTGATTGTTGTTGACACCGCCGAAACAATCATCGTAATCATCGTCATCATTGGCCAAGCAGTTGTTGATATTTTTGCTATTGTTCCGCTGGTTGATCATTTTCGTTCGTTCACTGGTTCCTTTTGGCATGTGATAATTTGAGCGGGGAGAGTATTCCCGCTCTGGCTTGCTCTTCTTCTTCTTCGTCTTCTTCTTCGTTTTGTGCAGTGGCGGCTCCTCCTCTGGTGGTGGTTCGTCCTGAAAGTTCACCTTTCGTCGAAAGAACCGACTCCGCAAAGTGGAAGTCACGGAAGCATCCCCATTGATAGTGGCTTGATCGGCCATTTCTTCCAGGTGCAGTTCCAATTCTTCCTTGGTCATGGGTTCGTCCAGTCGTTCTCGTTCTCGAGACACGGCCATCATGTGCTGGGAGGGTGCCCCCGAAAATACCGAGGCTGCCATGGAAGCCGCGGGCGTACCAATGTTCTCGGGGTCACTCCAGTTCAAGACAAACGGCGACGCTATCGGCTCATAGGTACCAAAGGCCGGTGGTGCGTATTTTGAATACCTTTCGCTTTGGTAGTGAAAGGAAGCGACTTCGGTGGCAAAGTCAGTCCATTTGCTGTGCATTAAATGAATCGCCGAAAAGGCTTCCCAATACCGATGATAGGCAAAGTTGGCTCGAAACACGAGCAAAAAGGAAAAGGCAGATACCAAGGCTCCGATCGGATACGGGTGATCAAACAGCACAACCTTGTTCGGGTCAGTAGCGTCTGCAACGTAGTTTTCCGGAACTCCCGAGTAGAAATACAGCAGCAAATATATGCCACACGAGAGAACCGCAAGAGTCAAGGACTTCCAAATTGCAGAACCATGCAGTCGAAATAGAACTTCAAATCCAAAGGCACCGCCGCCATATGTAATCATGATGGATGCGATGCGATGATATGTCTTTTTTTTTTAGTTACTGCTCCTCAAATAATGACAGCTCGAACGGTTATTGTGGTATTTCTTTTATCTCTTTGAAGTTGGGTGGCTTTTGTCGTATTATTAAATGATGGGTGCAATTATAATGCAGGAATCACGATACAGTCTCACTATAATAATAGCCAGCTCGAAGGATTACTGTGGTATCTCTTGTATTACTTTGTAGTTGTGTAATCTTTGTCGTCTTGGGTTCAGTAGAGGAATCAGGAAACAGTCTCAGTAAAGGTTTATAAAATAGCCGACCTATTACGCATCCATCATTGCTTTTTTTTTTAAAAACAGGAAAGTTTCCAAAAATTCTGAGAGGCTCTGAACATTTGGATGTCGATCGAAGAAGTCAAACCAGATGCCAGCGACGGGTCATAGGAATCGCGTCACGCACCTATCATCATCAAAGCAACAATCATCATACGCGCAGGAACGGGATAAGCATAATATATTCAGTTGATATCTTGTATCGTGCTATAGAATAATAATAGTGGAGGAGCAAGATTGATTCTGTAGGTTTGAAAAGGTGAAAAAAGGCCTGAAGCTGCCGAGAGATATAGGATCAACACATATATTCCAGAAAACCAAAGTGTCATCGTCGTCTGACATTTTATCTATAAAAGAATAATAGAACCCAAGACTAACATCATCAAAATATATATTTGTATACAAAGATGCCAGACCAACATGCAGATATTGAAGAATCTGATTCTCAGGATATTAGTGAAATTCGACGGAAAGCCTTGGCACTCTTGGAACGATGTGGTGGCAACAGTGATGAAGAAATCGATTACGATGATGAGGATGACGAAGACGACGAAGAAACTAATGCCAAAGACTCCAAATCGCCGGAAATGAAACATATTCATAGCAGCGAACTGTTGAAGGAAAAAGATGATGGTATTGAAGAAGGGAAAGGAGGAAGAAGGTCACCGCGACGAAGAAAACGAAATGGTGATGCTAGTTCTGGGGACACTAATGATGATGATGACGATGATGAGGAACGATCCTATGGGGACGAAGAATTGGATCCATTGGTCAAGGCAGTCCGAGAATTGTCCTATTCTCTGGAAACGGAAATGGTCGAACGACAAGACTCGACCGTGAGTCGACTGACTGATATGAATGGCGGCATCACTGGGAGTATTTGTTGGTGTTGCAAATGTTGTTGTTGTCAACGGTGGAGCCGCCGAACCCAATGCCTTGTGGTCTGGATCATTGTGATTGTATCTCTTGCCGTGTCCTACTATTTATTTCTGACTCAATATCCACATTTGAAACGAAGACAACATGCTGGTGGGGTATGACGAAGGGTATGAAGAAGAAGAAAATCACGAGATGCATATGTGGAAAAGACAATAAGGAAGATCTGTCAACTATAGTACGGTGATTCAGATACGTCTACCGGTCCCCAACATTTGGGTGGCCAAAACCCAACAAGAATATATAGGGGAAGTTGATGCTGATATTTGTCAGTGATGGCGCAAAGAGATGACGCCAACCCGAAACCAAAAATCCAACGGGGGGAGAAACGAATGGTTGGTGCTTATTATTCAGTCTAATGTCAATGAATCATCTCTGGAGATCATTCCGCCACGGGAGAATGCATGAATGAATGAATGATAATCTTCGACTAAAAAGATACTATAGTGAAAACTTGAGAAATAATGTCCAGAAGTATGATCCTGAGAGTGTACTGTAGTGTTTTGTATATATTCTTCAATACTATACAACGAGCCGTTTCTCATGACGACTGGTATTTTCGAGAATATACATAATGCCATTTTCCAAAGGCACCCAACCAATAATGTTGGGTATTAGCCGTCGGTATTACCAAATCAACCAAAATGACTGCTCCTCCAAAGGGCAGCATGGACACTTGATACCCTGGCATGGTGGCCAATTCGGTCGTCACCGAGGCAGCCACTCGTGTCGCCATTTCGGCCAGGAACCCCTTGGGCTTTTCCGGATGACCCTGAGGCAAGTGATGCCCTCGTAAGACGCGTTTCAGTTCCTTCTTGGCATCAAAGGTACTGGCGGGTGGACATGTTTGAAGAGCATATACATATACCAATGGAAGACCGACAAAGTAAATCACTAGCACCATGGAGGAACTCATTGCTCTTAATACTATACTGGCAAGGACAACCATGACTCCATATCGTAATATCATTTGGTTGTCTTCTGGTGATAACGTGGTGTTGTGGTTGGCGGATGTTGTATTTGACGATTGGTGGACTCGTCGATGTTGCGTGAATCTATCCGCAGTATTGTTGCTTGTGGTTATTGTCGCAGGACTAATATTGTTGTTGTCGTTGTCGTTGTTGTTGTTGCTGTTGTCGTTTGGATCATAGGTATCCTTGCAGGACACAAACCTTCGGACGGAGGACGTTGGTTGCCCAGTTTGAGTCACCAATACTTGACAAGTCGTGGCAGCCTTGGTCAAGAGACCCACCACCACTTTGTTCTCAAGGCAATAATGAATGTCCACGAATGAATTGTCGGTCAAAGCCACGTTGCGTCGATACAATCGAAGACCATTCTTGTCTCTCTTGATAGACCAACCATCATTGGGTTTGATTGCTTTAAGATGTGATAATGCGGCATTGGAAGACACCGTCATGAGTATAGATATAGAAGTAGTACCTAGTAGACAATAGTGACGCGACAATGCGAATGCAAAATGAATACAGTAGGTATTCTCAAAGGGTCCAGATGCGACTAAGAAAGTACCTGTTCGAACCATTTTTATTGGCAATACCGGTATGACAATAGAAATCAACAACACTGGGGTGCCGTATCTATAGGGCCACCTGTTACAAACAGCCTCGCCACATGATATTAGCAGCTCTCAACGAGGGTATAGAAAATGGACGTATCGACCTTGCTGCGGTCATCCTCTGGGTGAGATATCGAGATCTTTCAAATGACATACTTTCGTGTCGCCTGTCACTCTGAATCACCAAAAGTAGTGATGATGACGATGACGCTAAATATTGCGTTCGTTGCAAGGGATATATAGGGAGAAAGACGATATGTTAAACAAGACACCTAAAATCAGTACACTCTTAACACTGTTAACATATAATCATATAAGTTCGAGATCCAAGTCAAAAGCCATCTTGGTACTCTTCCCTCCTGTAACAATTCCATTCTTTCGGCGACACGTTACACCTCACATAGGAGTCGAACCTGTTCCGAGTCGGCCAGTAACGGTAGGACCGCATGCATTTGATCTTCGGTCCCTCCAGTTCCAAAGAATGCCATATTGGCGAATCTGGGATGGTCGGGACCGTAATAGTAACAGCCCTTGGCGTTATCAAAAGCGCCTGCAGATTGAAAACCTCCTCCACCCAACTCAAAGGTCCGTAGGAAGCCCACAGGTCTTCTCAGTTTCCATGATTATGCCTTCAATACCAAAGAATGCCATGTTGGGAAAACTGGGATGATTGGAAGCGTAAAAGTAGCATCCTTTGGTTGTAAAGACTCCCGCAAAGTTGGCGCCGTTGCCCCAGAGCGATAGGCCCTTAGCGACTGCATATTGTTCACAATGTTGCCTCGTTTCAATTGTGTTGCCAACACTAAATCCGGAATTGCAAACAATTGGTGGCAAACTAGGAGATGGAGTTACAAATTTTGGCTGTGGTATAGGTGGTGGAGTCGGTGTTGGTGGTCGAGTTGGAGGACGCGAGGCTGCTGTTTTGGTCCAGGAATGGGTGCAGGCGATGGTGTAGGGGACGGGCTACGTGAGGAAGTATGGTCGGCGATGCGATTCCCAAACCCAACGTCTGGATACACTTTGAACGCACACTCGATCGTATCAAGAAGACCACCAAATAAGGTTAGGTCTGCCGAAAGTCGCCCAAAAGGGCAACAGAGACACTGCTCTGTCCATTGCAGACACCTGAAAATACTGAATACGATAGGCCCGCAAGACATTGCACTGCACAAGAAGATGATTCACGACATTGGCTTCGATCAAAGCCTTGATATCTAGTTGAGCGTCCCCTGAGTTTGGTGCTTTGTACTGGACTTCCCCTTGTTTCTCTTCTTCTTCTCTGATTTTGCTTGTACTTTTGCTTGACCCTTGCCCTTCTTCTTTTGCTCTTCTTCGAGAATCACTCCTGTCATCTTTCTTCAGTCGACTCGATCGGGACGAGTGCACACCAGGAGCGCCGATGTGCCACTGCTGCGTTCTTTGCGAGTTCAGCTGTCTTATCCATTTTCTTTTTGTGCCGATCGAATGATCTCTACAATCCTTCTTCTTCCCCCCAGATATGGAAGCCAACAGCGGAAAAGTAGCATATCTCTAAAATCTTCCTTTTCCCGAGGTATGTCCTGAAATGGATCGTACCTCTACGCAGTGCCCTTTGGTGAGCCACTGTTAAATTCTTCGAAAGTAGCGACAACTAGACACCGCCCCAATCAGCGATGATATGGTATCTCCCGGTCCCGTCATTGGTAACTCGTACGCATGCGCGAACGAAGAAGTGGCAGGGCTACCACTCATACGACCGGTTGGTGGTTGTCTGAAACATTATTGGTGGCGTACTTGGAAGTCGTTTCAAAAGTCTTGGACGAATTTGCAGCCATGACATCAACATCATGCAACTCTGACATCAAAGGAAATATTTCGGTTCAAGCATATCAACACCCGCCTAGGCCACTTGTCGCATTGATGCGAGTGAAGCGAACGAGGCATTCATTCCACCACTTAGGTCCTATAAGCAGACGTCGAATACTAGAACTTCACTTGAGATGGTGAGAGTGCTAATGGGAATAGAGAACCTGAATTCAGAGAACTTGAAAAAGAGAACATGCGGTACTCGTACTTGTACACCCCATCAGAAAACGTTTTCATGACTTCGACAATAACTCGAGTGAATCTATTCTCTCTCCCATCATTAGTCTCAGAAAGATGGATATCCCAGTACTTACTTTTGACAATGAGTGAAGTGGAAGAACAGATGAAAAAACGCCAGCTTTCCAATTCGAATGCCACAGAATGACGGAGTTGTTCTTTGATAAAAAGGGTTTCCGTCGCACTTAGGAAAAGATGGCGAAGAACAGAAGGTAGCGCGTGCGTAGACTTAATCCGAAGCCGTGATTGGGAAAAGAACACACATCTTCAACTGGTGTCGGTAAACCTATTCTCATTCCGTCCTTGTCTTCTCATTTAGATCACAAAAAACGCTGTCTCCCATCGTATCGGGAATCTTTGACAGCCATTATTATAAATTTGATCATGGACGACTACAACACAACAGAGCAAAGACGGGGAAGCATGTTTGGTGGAGCACGACGTGGGAGTTTCTTTGGTGGCTGGGCTGTGGACGATGGAGAAAAGTCACCTGAAGCCACAGCACATCGACGAGCAAGTCTACAAGACAGATACCGCGGCATGGAGCATGCCACTCAGCGACGGGGGTCTCTCTTTGTGAACCATCACCATCATCATTCTTCTGAAAATCATCCCACTGAGAAACAAGGTCGACGCTCAAGCTTCTTTGGCAACCTCCACCACCATGAAACCTCAGAGGAAGAAAAAGTAGACGATGGCCATCATCATCGACGATCTTCGATCAGTTTCTTTTCTCACCACAATCACAATCGCCGTGGATCGGTTGGACCAATGGCCACGCTATCATCTGTAACAGCCAAATCGCGACGAGGGTCCATGGGCTTTTTCAGCGGACTGAACAAAATCCATGCCATAGAACAACCGAATAACGAAGATTTGGCATACCAAGTCATGGCTGCGTTTGCTGACTTTGATGTATGAGTCATTGCAATGACATTCTTTCAATATCAGAAACCATAGAATATATAAAACTAATTCCACTTGCTGCTTTCCTTTTTTCAGTACTATTCTTCTCGTTGGTTAAAATAACACTACAGTAATTGCATGTTTGAAACAAACGTGAATCTATAGTTACATATGGCGAAGTACCATCATTTGGCATTTAGTGTGAGCTTTCAATTGCATCTGATTCCTTGGACGAGAAGGTGAAAGCTTCAAACTCCTGCACCGGGTCAGATGCAAAGAATGGCGTCCTTCGGGTATTACTTCGACGATCCAAGCGTGCCAGCATATCTTCGCTTAACGAAACTGGCTTCGAGCCCTTCTCAGCTCGATTCGAATCAGGGACAAAAGCCGGCTTTCTTCGTGACGAATGCCGTTCCCACTGCTCTTGAGTGGAGTCAGCGTATTCATTCATGGCACAAAACTTGCTATTGCAATTGTTGAAACGAAGAAGTTCGACGTAGTTGATCTTGAACACTTCGAATCGATCATCGTTTTGCTCTCTTCCGAACTTGGTAGCCCATGTTTCATACTTTTCCTTGAAGAACGAATCCAGCTCATATTGTCGTTCTCGTGACTTGGTCAGGTAGAATGGAACACTATCATCTCTCTCTTGCTCGGCCTTCAAATGACCAAGATAGTTCTTTTGGAATGATTTGAAGTTGGACTCGTCGTTGGTCTTGTTGTACTGCTCGGTCCACTTCAAAAACTCCTTTCGAACATACTCTGGTGCAGATACCATTTGGAAGTATGCCGCTTTGGACGTGGCTCCGAACTCATTGAAGGCAAAAGTCTCGTTGGTAGTCTCTTCAAAGGCCAGTTGCTCCAAGAAGTTTGTCTTGAATATGAAATATTCCTTTCCATTCTTGCTTCTTCCAAATGCCCGTGTCCACTTGGCATACACAGCCGAGTATAACTGTTCGAGCTCCATGCTTTCGTCAGTATGCCTGTCTGCAAACTCGTGGAGATCGACAGCCTTTCCGACGCATCGAGGAAGTTTCCGTAGGAAGTTGATCTTGAAGACCGTATATCGCTTTTCATCCTCCACTTTGACCCGCGACTTGCACCACGACTTGTACTCCCTTCGACACACGGCATCCACGGCATGATGAATGTTCGTCTTGTCCGCATTTTCCTCAAGATTCAAACTCTCGCAACTATGATCCATGGAATGAATACCCAGAGTGTACACGTCCGCAAAGGTATCATAGTCACCATCATCCTTGTCGTGAGTTTTCAGCCACAACTTGAAAGCTTTTCGTATGAAACTTTTGGAGGTGGCGATATCCACAAATTCTTCCTTCGAGACATCGGCATATTGTGTCAGCTCCAATGCCGTTCCATTGGTCACATTTGCATGGATTTGGTTTGCGCAGTTCTGCTTGAAAACCTCATAACGGCTTCGGTTTTGATCCGTTTCATACGCCTCGCACCAGCTGTCGTATGCTGTCGTGTAGAATGGTTCCCATGCTCGCTCCACGACAGTCATGTCTGAGTATTCATCTAGAGCAAACGTTTTGAAGCAGTGAACATTCTTTAGTGTCTCGAGCTGTTCCAAGTAATTGCTTCGAAAGATATCAAGATTTCCCTTCTTTTTGTCGTAGAATTGCAACCACTTGTTGAATTCTTTTTCAATGAAATCTTTGTTTGATACATTGTTGGCGAATTCCTCTGGAGTCAGATCGGCCTCCTTATTCAATTCCATGTTCAAGGACAAGCTGCGAGCATAGTTTGCCTTGAAGGCTTTGAATCGCCCCTTAGTGGTAGCCTTCGAATTTTTCGTAGCCCACAAGCGGTACACCTCTTGAAGTCTGGTTTCCTCTTGTCGTTCTTTGGAAGTCAGATCTGAGTGTTCGTCAAATAGAAAAGATTTGAAACTGTAGGTATCCTTGAGCGTTTCCAATTGTTGAAGAAAATTTGTTTGGAAGGTTTCAAACTTTCCAGTTTCCTTTCCGTAGAAGCCCAACCACTCTTGGAATTCGTTTCGAATAAATGTTATATTGGATGCCATGGTCATGTACTCATCGGAAGTCAGATCAGCATCCTTGGTCATGGACTTGGTGGAATTCTGAGCGAGCGCAATGGCATGATTCACACGGAAGATTTGGAACCGCTCCCGGCTTGCCGATTTGCTGTAGGCGTCGCACCACTGCTGGTAGTCCAGCTGACAAATGAGTTCTTGGTCGTACTCGTCTTGAGTTAAATCCGAATATTCATCAAACACAAAGGATCGGACACAGTGACCATTTGCGAGGTGCTCCAATTGGAGGAGGTAGTTGGCCTTGAACACCTCATAAGAGCCAGTAGTCTTGTGATAGTGGTCCGACCATGCCTGAAACTCTTTTTGAATAAAGGTTTCAGTCGAGACGATTGTAGCAAATTCACCCAAGGAAAGATCGGCAAACTGGTTTAGAACGGGAAGGTCAGGGACGTCAGTGGCATTCAAGTCGATCTTCGCAATCGTTTTTAGGATCTGCTGTTTGAAGTTCATCTTGAAGATGTCGTAGCGTGCTGGATTCTCTGGCTTGTTGAATTGAAGACACCATGATGTGTAGGCATCCTTGTACTCCCGTTCAATCTTGTAAGATTCGTCGTCGAGATCAGAGAGTTCATCAAAGATAAACGACTTGACAACGTGCTGATGTTCTGCCCTATGAATCGACGCCAACTGTTGAGCATATGTTCTCTTCCATTCTGGAAAGTTACCCTTCTCTTTGCCGTAGTCCTTGAGCCACTTGGCATAGCGGTGATTCAGAAAGAGTTCATCGGAAGTCAACCAAGAGAACTGTTCTTCTGTCAAATCAGCATATTCAGTCAGTCCCTTCCATGCATTCATATCATTCAGAATTTGTGACTTGTCCTCTGTCGAGTTGGTAGAAGCAGCTGCCTTGCTTTCTTGGACGACTCTAAAGTTATGCTTAAAGACAGGATACTTGACAGGATCTTGTTGACGGCCATGAGCCTTGCACCAATTTTCGTAGGCCTCCAGAGTGACCATTTCATGCTGATACTCCTTTGGTGTCATATCACCAAATTCATTCAGATGAAAAAACTGAGGATTTTCTCCTTTTTCCTTGGCGCTCCTAACGTCATATTTCAATTGATTGAGAAAGTTCTCCTTGAAAGATGGGTATCTCGATTCATCCGCCTCCTTATTGTGAAATTGAAGCCACTTGTTGTATTCGTTGCGAATGAAGACATCCATATCCTTAGGATCATCAATGAACTCCATGTTGAGGCCATAGACAGTGTCGTCGTCACCTTCCGTTTTCTCAGTAGTCTTCGTGGGCGTGTCCTCGTCAATTGTGGCGACAGTTGGTTTCGCTTTGGTGCTGAACCCCCCACGACGATCGCGGTGCGAAAAAGATTGCATGTCATTGGTAGTGATAGGTTGAGTGCGAGCCGATACGTCTTGTTTGCTCAGTTTGGAAAAAGAAGTTTGACCTTCCACGAGATCGATCGTCAGAGGAGCATTCGAAGTCAAGGTGGGACGCTTCATGGAGAATGCCTGGACATTGGCAATTCCAATAACAGAAGCTAGCGCCAGTGACAATGTTCTTCCCCTCATTTTGATCTATGTACAGTGGTATCGTCGTTACGCTGTCTCTATTGAGTGAGTGAGTCTCCCAGTATTTTCACCCACTGATGTCATTCATTCATGCATTCGTCGTTCGATTTTGGAAATTCAAATCTTTGAAGGAGGGCTGGCCCGGCGTGTCGCGCAAACATCGTGCGAGGTCACAACGGCACCACGCACTCTCCGGGTTACGGTCACTTTCAACTTGCCAGAACACAGATGGTCCGTCCACCTACCGCCAAACGCACGAAAATGCGGCCGGAAGAGAAAGAACCAGGAGCGGCCTGAAATGGCAGGCTTGCTGGGAATGTCCTCAGCGATGTCGTATAGATTGCCTATCAAGGATGACGGAAGCTGACTTGCCGGTGACAGACTCTGCGCAATGCAGAGCTTGGGCTTCGCTGAAAACGAGCCTGCCTAAAGATTCATTTCATTCGTGGACGTTCCGTTGAAATGGGTGAACTTCGTCGGACACTTCGTCGGACCGACGAAACTTCGTCGGATCCGACGAAACTTCGTCGGACCCGACGAAACTTCGTCGGACCCGACGAAACTTCGTCGGACCCGACGAAACTTCGTCGGACCCGACGAAACTTGGTCGCATTAGAAACAGGGTAGATTATTTTTAAACCTCTTGATCGGATTAATCCTAAATCTATTACTCAACTGAGTACAATTCGTGGTTGACGTTTGAATTTCTGAAAGCATGCAACATGTCTGTAGCAGGTGGTATTAAAATACCGTTTTTTGCCGTTGTTGCTTGTCATTCTTCTTGGACCAGCTTGCGTGCAACGGTATGCCAACCATAGAATTCATTTAGAATTTTACACGATTCTTGCGAGCTCCGAAACCAGTTTCGTCCATTTTGTCCATTTCGTCCATTTCGACGAAGAATAGTCGGACTCCGACGAGAATAGTCGGACTCCGACGAGAATAGTCGGACTCCGACGAGAATAGTCGGACTCGACGAAGGGTCGACTATTTTCGTCCATTTGGACGAAGGTTCAACGGTTCGGAAGCATTTAAAAAAGGCACGCACGCCGAGTAGTTTTGAAAAGAAAGACGCGCCAGTCAACCAAACTTGTGTAAAAAATTGAAGACTATGCTATTCCCATCATTTTGTCCGAACGACACCCCCGAAAAGCTGACTTGGCGCGTGTAGGTCCAGTTACAGGCCGCTCCAGTAAATACTGCCCCCGACGGATTCGCATCTCGACCAAACGATCGGATCTTTTCTTCTACCGAACTAGAAAGACTCATTCAAACACCGTTTGACCATGTTCGCTGTCTCTCGTTCTTCCCTTTTGGCCTCTCGTGCCGCCTTTACTCGCAGGTAAGAAAGACCAAGGGTTGTAATCGGAGGCAGTATCCTCTAAAGTGGCTCATTCGAAGTATCTTTCAAGATTCGGCACTTGTGTTCTTGGTGCCGAATAATAACAATAATAATAATAATACGCTTGTCGGATGGCTGGAACGCATGGTCCATTGACTGTTGCTGATGCCGCATATGGCATCTTCGTTGTCTTGGCATATTTTTTCTCACCACTTGCCCTCTTTCATACTACTCGAATCTATCCAATGAATGAACGAACGAACGAATCATAATCATCATTTACATCCGATGTTTACCTTCGCCAATTTTGCTTCTTCTCCTTCAGTTTCGCTGCCGTCCAAACCGCCGACAAGCACACTTTGGTCCTGGTTCGTCACGGTGAATCCACATGGAACTTGGAAAACAAGTTCACTGGATGGTATGACTGTCCTCTTTCTGAAAAGGGAAAAGAGGAAGTCGTCGAAGCCGGTCAACTTATCCTGAAGGAGGGAATCAAGGCCGATATTGCCCACACTTCCATGTTGAAGCGTGCCATTCGTACCTTGTGGGCTGTCCTAGAAGAATCTGATCGTATGTGGATCCCCATCTCCAACGCTTGGGAACTTAATGAACGTCACTACGGTGCCCTGCAAGGATTGGACAAGCAAGAAACCGTCGACAAGTACGGAAAGGACCAAGTCTTGCAATGGCGTCGTTCTTACGACATTCCTCCACCAATCGTCGATACTACCAGTGAACATCACCCTGCCAGTGACGAGCGATATGCCGCATCCACTTTCCCGGAGGAGTTTACTGAATCTTTGGCCACCACTTTGGACCGTGTCGTCCCTTACTACAACGACAAGATTGTTCCTGAATTGAAGGAGGGAAAGACTGTCTTGATTGCCGCCCACGGAAACTCTCTGCGTGCTTTGGTGAAGCATTTGGATGGCATTGATGAGTCAACGATTGCTGAACTCAACATCCCCACCGGAACTCCTTTAGTGTACGAGCTGGACGAAGACCTCAAGGTCATCCCACAAGCAGGTGCCATCTCACCTCTTCAAGGACGTTACTTGGGTGACCAAGATGCCATCCGTGCCCGTATCGAAGGTGTCAAGAACCAAACCAAGTAAACAGCAAATGCCATGGTGGAATTGGATTTTTTAGAATATCAAACAGAAAAAAGAAACATGATAAACTCGTTCGATTACTCGTTCATCGGCGCAAGGTGTTAAAGTGATTTTATTTAAAAGCGGGTCTTCCAAATCCGCCACCTAATACTTCGACTAAAGACATGTTATAATGAATTAGAAACTGACGATTGGAATGGGCATAATATGTCGCGACGGATGACTGAGGAGATACCCAACCGATGTTTCGGATTCAAAGTGTACTCTCCTCTGCAGTAATGGAAATTTACTCAATATCCATGGTAATATGTGTACCTATAATTATACGAGGACAGCTCCGTAAGTTTGCAAAATCATGATGATTCCAGCAACTTCAGCTTTACAACTAATGATATAACTTGTCCGAAGGGTCCTGACAACAGTGTCAAGTCCAGCTCTGCCTCCCGTTGTGAAGCAATGACCCTATTAGTTGATTCGGATATTTCCTTCAATATCTTGGCAGAGTTTATAAATCCAAAGGTGAACCAGTAAAGGCCAGGGTGTCGATTGACTTCTTCAAGGATGCCTTTTGCTGCGAACGGGCACTTTTGGTAAGCTCCTTTTTGGACAAGGCTAGTCGTGCTCGTTCCATCGGCGACAGTTCGTCTTGCGCAGCTGGTGACTTGGGAACATTGGGAGAAGCAATATCACTTGCATGGCTGCTGACCGAGTCTCGACAAGTGGATACGGTACCGGCGGCACTGTTAAGAATACTATCCTTGTCCTCAGCAATTTCTCGCAACTTGGGACTGACGAATTCCAGTTGCACTTTTGTCATCTTTTGGACTGGTGATTCTGGCTGTTTCGGATCTAACTTAGATATAGGCTGAAGAGCAAAATCGTCGTCGTCCTCGTCGTTATCACCAGAAGCGACAAGAACGCCACCCCAAGCACTTGAGAACTGGCCGGACACCCTCCCACCTTTGTTGAAGGTCCACTTCGCATCTATGTCTCCTTCATCAACAAGTGTCGTGCTCATGATTGATTTGTTTTGCTTGTTTGTTTTGTGAGTTGTCTTTTGCTCTATGAACTATGTGAAAGTAAAGTGTACCGTTGTCTGGTTCGAAAAAGTAGCGAAACTTCTATCCTTGGCGAAACGGTATTCAAATCGCGCGGCTATCTGCATTTAACGATAACGCATCCTTCAGAGTAGAATTTTCGAATTCAATATCTATCTACAGTATCCTTTTTGCAATATATATATATTATATAAATATATTCCACCAGAAAGGTATAATTCTTTGCGGTATTATAGTGTTCTAATTTAAAAAAATAGCATTGCAAAAGACACCTCAGGCAACAGAACACAGAACGCCGTTTCGCATCCTCGTAAAGGGGAACGGCATCACATCCCAATAAGAAAATGGCACATTGAAATCATATGATGCTCTGTCCGACTTGAGGATGATCCATCTAGACCCGAACAATGGCTGCAGAAGGTTTGGCAACAATGGGGCGCGGACGGGTAGTACATGCTGATGATTTTCATCATGCATTCTCCATGTTAGGTCCCATGGTATAGTTCCGCTGAAAGTACATCAGTGCATATCAATTTCCATCCTCCGTCGCTCTCAACGTCGGTACCTTTCGAATTTGCAGTGACAGATAATATATTATCTAGCTCAGGAGATAAATGGTAGGACTAATCGGCTGATTGAAGGCACCATCGTCTAAGCATAAACAATGAGTTTATCATCCAATCGCGGTTACTTTTTTGAGATCATCTTTTCGAATTGGTGAGAATCTATTTGGCGGTTCGTTTGTTAACCATGACAGAGAGGCGCTTCCAATCATGATGAGGATGTCAAAGTGGGCGTAAAGATGCGGCATCACCAGGCCAGTATGTATTCAGTATTTATTATGCATGGTATTAGCGTGTGCTCTATTGGTTTGCAAACACCCGGACGGACGGTACCAGCAACTTTAGCTGCGACATTGAATAATAGCATGCGGAAGGTCATGACACCAGTGTCAAGACGTCCTTCATCGTCGTCTCCCCTTTTGTACAAGTACCCTGGTAATATCCAGTCGTCGTACACAACTCCCCGTAATTTCTTGTCAATAGTTACATATCCAGAGTTGAACCGGTAAAGGCCATCATGTCCAAAGAAAGCTTCAAGGATGCCTTTTGCTGTGAACGTGCACTTTTGGTAAGCTCCCTTTTGGACAAGGCAAGTCTTGCTCGTTCCATGGGAGACATTACGTTTTGCGCAGATGGCGATTTGGGAGCAGGAGGGGGCGAAGTACCACTGTCATGGCTGCTTATGGAGTCTCGGCAAGTGGAAGCGGTAACGGGGCTGTTCGCAATCTCTTTGTCTTCGGCAATTTCCGGCAACTTGGGACTGACGAATTCCAGTTGCAGCTTTGAAATCTTTTTGACTGGTGGTTCTGGTTCTCTCTGATCCACCCTTGGAACGGATTGAAGTACAAACTCCTCTTCATCTTCACCAGAGACGCAGACGCCAACCCAATCATCTTCCTCGTCGTCACTACTATCACCAGGAGTGATAAGAACGCCACCCCAATCGCTTGAGAACTGGCTGGACACATTGGCACCTGTGTCGTAGGTCCACTTGGCATCTAGGTCTCCTTCATCAGTAAGTGTTATGTTCATGATTGATTTAGTTTTTGGTATATCTTCCGTTTTGTGAGCGATTTCCAGCATGTCGTGTTTTGCTTCTGATCGGGAAAAGTGAACCGTTCCGAACCCGCAACCTTCGGAGATTAGGCATTTAATACACGAAAGTTCGCTAGGTAGAATTGTCGATCAATACATATGCCTTCTGCAATATATGTTGAACGTGGAAAATTTGAATGTTCGCCCGCTAATTACATCGACTCTCGGCTACGATCGAATGTGTGAAGTTTGATATTTCCTTGTCCGCTCCAAACATGGCCCATAAGCGCGGTGTCGAAAGTGAGCACTGAGTGATCTAACAGTTCTGGTACTGGTGGGGTACACGGTACGTACCCTAATAACTGATGTATCTTACACGGCACCGCCTATTCCACCAGCTGCAATGCTAACCTCGAAGCCGAGTCCCATTCCTATTTTTTCAACTGCGAGTCATACAAGCAAAAGCGCCTCCCACGCGCCACCGAGCAGTTCTATACTCTATGGTATTTCAATATTCTGACAACTTTGTAGGTAATGACGCATTCTTGAAAATCGAAAAGTGCAGGAGATTTCGCAACGATGATGGAGTGATACGGATGGTGGTCATCATCCATCATCCATGCTAGATAGTTCGGTGGAAAGTCCACTGTATAGCATTTTACAGCACCGACGAGGACCCTCAAGGGAGACGAACGACCTGCACCCATCGCCACTTGTACTGCAAAGCCCGCGGATGGATTGGCTGGTAGCAAACTGAGTTATTCTTTGTTCTCAAGTTGCCACACGATCATAAGTGTGCAGTGATATATGAGAGACATGTACTATAGAGCTCTTTAGTCCGAGTTGTATAAGAGAGGATATACCAATTGATGGAAGAACGCATCGATTACTGCGTCTTAATCAGCAACGTTACCGAAAAGTCGTTAGCAAAAGATCGCCTTTCCGATTCGTAAAAACCAGATGGCCGGTCCGTTTGTTGCTCATGGCAGAAAGGAGCGTCCAATCAGGGCTGCAGGCCTAGTAGTAATGAAGTAAAAAAATGAACAGCCAGTTTGAAGTTGTCATCCAACATTTTTTAACGATCTTATTTGGCAATTGTTACTATATATCCAAAGGGGGGCCGGTAAAGGTCAGCGTGTCCAATTTAAGCTTCAGGGATGTCTTTTGCTGCGAACGGGCACTTTTGGTAAGCTCCTTTTTGGACATGGCTAGTCTTGCTCGTTCCATGGGAGACATTGCTGCGTCTCCCGCATCAGTTGGCGAGTTGGGAGCAGGGGGAGGCGAACCACCGCTGTCATGGCCGTTGATAGAATCTCGGTAAGTGTAGGTGGTAAGAACAAACTCTTTTTCTTCCTCATCATCAGAGACGCAGATGGCGCCGTGCCAATCGTCTTTCTCATTGTCGTTATCGTCGCCAGAAGTGACAAGAATACCACCCCAATCGCTTGAGAACTGGCGGGAAACATTATGACCTGGGTCGTAAGTCCACTTAGCTTCCAGGTCTGCTTCATCAGTAAGTGTCATGTTCATGATTGGTTTGATTTGTTTGTCAGTGCTTGTTTTGTGGACTCTCTTTTGTTTTGTGAGTATTGTGTGTGTTTTTTGTTTTGAAAAACACATTGACAAATAAAATACTTCTGTGGACGGCCAATAAATATGCCGTTTGATATATAGTGTATATATTGCAGTGGAAGTGGAAACCATGAAAGTTCCCCCGATAATTTCATACACCCTCCTGCGATGAGCGAATTCGCTCCGTTTGCTCTAACGAAACCAAACTGTACAGTATTTCATGCATGCGGGAACAGAACCTTACAACACCGCTTATTATTATATTTCACCAGTAGTAACGGTAACAGGGTACAAAATCAAGTTTTGGAGGAAATGGCGCATCCTTGACAATCTCGAAAAGTGTAAGAGATTTGGCAACAATGGGCTCGTGATGAATTTTCAGCCATGTGCATTACTATGTATGTACTCTGCTTGGTCGAAAAGCAATATGTCAATGTCTACCCTCAACAATAAAAGGAGATTTGCGTCTCCTTTGTTCCTTGTTCTTGTGTATCTTTACCGTACTGTACCCTGGTAGTGGTAGGTGCTGTTTTGTGCCTATCGATATTGAATATTGAGATTGTCTTTTAAAATAAAAATGGTCGGTTGGGTCGAAATACATAGCAGACTGGCGCGCGCGCGCGCTCGTGCTGACGTGTGTTACTGAAAGTTCATGTGTTCTGACTCAAATCCGCGACTGAAAAAATTGAAACGTTTTCGGTACAAACACACGTGTACCGGTAACTATTCCAAACTCGAAGCAATCAGATCTTCCGTACAAGCTGGATAGCATTGATAACAACTTCTAAACCCTTTACTTTAAGAAACCCCCAACAGACTATATTACAACTTTCTATCTTCTTGTATCCTTTTGATACCTCGAATACACAGTCCACAAACTCCAGAATACAACACAATAAATTTTTAAAATGGTAGAAACACACCCCAGCCACATTCCCGATGATTCATTCGTACTAGAATTCAAGGCTGGCTAACGATTCGGCTAACGATTCTCGAATCGAATCCCTTCGCTCCATGCTCTTAACCTTCTGCTTTTTGATCACACCCCGTACCGAAGGTCGTTTCCGGTGTGCTGCACTTAGGGTCAGCGACTTGGATACATCAATTGGTGCTGGAGGAGGACGTCTCGAGCCTGGTGAGAGGGAATGCGCCTCTTTGGTCAGAAGGCGAAACTCTTTCTCGCAGTTCTCTCCACAAAGTTCATTATATACCCGCTTGGGAGATGGATAATCATCGTCGTCTGTCTTGGAAGTCTGTGTTGGAGTTTTTGGAACTGGTGGGTTTGGAATGTACCTTCTTCGTGATGGTGATTCCATCTTCTCTCCTTTTAGGGTTCTTATTTTTCTTGGAGTAATCGGAGACGGTTCACCAAAGGAGCGTTCACTTGCGTCTTGATCAGCCGTATCATTTAGGCTGATATTCTGGTCTTCTTCTTCAATCATCGAGACAGAATTCTTGGCAGTTCCAGTAGGAGACAACCAGACGTCGTTTTCGTCATCAGAATCGTCTATCGGCGAACTGGAGACGGCACCAGCATTGAAACTCCATCGCGCTTTAGCTTCAGTTTTCAAATCTTCTTCATCCTCTTCCGCTTCGTATGGGCGAGCACCACCAATGAAACTTTCGTTTCCATCCTCGAGATTGTCTGGAGACGAACTGGAAACAGCACCAGCATTGAAACTCCATCGAGCTTCAGCTTTCACATCTCCATCATCATCCTCTTCCGGTTCGTATGGGAGAGCACCAGCATTGAAACTCCAGCGCGCTTGAACCACTTCGTCATGATCCTCAACACGTACGCCTTTCTGCCAGTTGCCGCCGGTTTTACTCCATCTAGATCTAGGCCGTCGTTCTTCTTTGCTACTACTTCCCACGGTGTGGGTTGATACATCTTCTTCGTTTGAGTCTCGCATCGTTCCGTTTGTATTGGAAACCTTTTCTGGCAACCAAAATGGTATTGTCCTGTTGTTCTGTGTTGAATGTGACACATGACACAAAGCAAGATTGAAAATAGCGCTGCTGGGCGAAAAAAATCGCACTTATGTAAGTTTGGAAGATTTCTATTACCAACGTAAAGGACGACGTGCTCGACAAGGGCATATGTATTAATAATTCTAAAATAAAACGGAGATCAAACGTGTGGATGGATGTTACCACCCACCATACGCATGCATAATATACGGCCGGTAATCTACATTTTCAATTCAATACTGTTGTAGTTTCGTACCGGTACCGTTACCGGTACAACCAATCTTCATCAATAAAATCTCTAATGAAGGACAACATACAGCACCAAATATTATGGATGCACGAATCAGGTACTGTGCAGTAAGATTCTCGTCCAAGCGCATAAAAATCTCATGACCTGCAGCCAAGAACAACGAGCTACTACTAGAGTAGTAGTAGATACTGCTATGAGGATATCCTACAGTAGTATTTCGATCTCACATACAGTTTTCTGCCTCAAAAAGTCTTCGGTGAATTCGTCGCCCTCGTTATTATAGAAGAGTATTCAGCAAGTATAATACCAGGGTACCTATTTACTCGTTCGTACCCACCGGTACAGTACAGTACGCATTCTTTGGTCAATGATACGGACGAGGACGTACACGTGTATCGTACCGTACATCTCGTCCTCGTTTACGGTGACCGAAGGCAACTAAAGTCAAATCAAAAGATGAGAACGAATGCCTTCAATCTCGACGTTGGGATCATGATTTTTCCTGATTCGATGTACTCATTGTCAATTGGATTCTTGTATCTATCGAAAGCGCTCGAAGTTCCATTGTTCACTCGAATAAGATTGGGGTTCACGAAATCCACAAGCTGATCCAATAATAGTCCTACAATCGACAACGCACGCAACTCCCACCAATACCTCGAGGCTACAAAACAAATGACTGCCGTGTATCTGTTCGCCGCGACAATGGCCACAGGACACGAACTCTTTCACTCTTCTTTACCAGAGTCATTCTGGTATTCGTGTCGTTTTCTTTCCCGAACACTGCAACGACTGCCTTCCAGGCTAAAATGGAGACCGCAAGTGGGGACTTTTGGGTTCGGATCGCGAGAGGCCTGCTGGCTGCTGGTCAAGTGTATGTCACTGTCTATCTAATCTTGGGAAACATGATATTCGTCAGGCCACTACAGGTGCCTACAACAAGACCCATGGAAAAATGTGCTGCAAACTGTCGAATTCCAATAGAAAGGGAAAATGGACAAGTGTCGATTCATCGGGTTAGCTGTATCTCAAATGAATCAATCCCAAAGTTTCACTTTTGCACTGGAGCAATCTGATGGGATTCAAAGCCACGCTGAGGTTTCCAATGATCTACAGCAGACATCCGATAAGAATTCAAATGGTGCAAGACTATATCTGAGTGCCAGTCATACAAGGAAGTCTGATTGATCTGATATCAATGAAGTAACTTGGGGTCTGTGCGTGGGGCTTTCCACATCTGTGTGGGTGTAACTGGACACACGACTGCAGGTAGTACATGCAAAGAGAGAATTAATCACCACAAACTACCACAGGGCATGTTGTGGCGATAGATATAGAGTCCGCAAGAAGATCCCCGTGCCCAAAGCATAATTAAAACTAGAACTACTGTACTGTAGCACCTCACTCTCGACAGAAGGGAGAGCAACGTTTCCGAGATTGGTAATGGGAGGATTGTATCGGGGATTTTACCTACCGTACAGTAAAGCAGGACATTAAATTGCTTCAAGTCGAGTAGGTCGTTTCCGCTCAAAAGCCGACGAAAACTGTGAATACCGCGTGGAACAGAATTCTCAACCAAAAAAATCTTCGCGTTACATGCAACAGTAGACGAGCGACAGCAATGTTGTAGTGGATAGTGTATAGTGGATAGTGGAGAGTGGATAGTGGCAAGGGCGACAAATGTGCATGAAGTAATGACCGTATCAATACCAGAAGAAGATGAGATTCCCTTGAACGACGTCGACGGAGATGGTGTATCAAAAGTGCTTTCACTTGTTCATAGTAATGATGACCTGTTGTCTGTGTTCTCGGACGAAGATGCTTTACTTTCCCTTGCGCCCAATGCCATTGAAGTCAGCAGCTATGGTGGCAGTCAAAGAAGTGACAGGCATACCGGTACCATTGACATATCCGATCAGTCCATCAAGTCGTCAGAGCTGAGAGAGCAAACAAGCAAAATCAGATTTGATGGCGATGTATCGTCAAAACATTTCGCTATAAAGCTTGATTTTGATTCGATTGGGTTGGTCGGCAGACAGAATCAAATATCGACGTTGATATCCTGCTTTGATCGACTCTGTAAAGACAAGGCCTCAAACTCGCCAAACGACGACCGCAACCAAAAGGAAATGGTGTTTGTTTCGGGGGAAAGTGGATGTGGAAAAACAAGAACTGTGAAGACACTTGAAAGTCGCATGCTGGAGACCAAGACTGGTCTATTTGTCGAGGGAAAGTTTGATTTGAACACAGTCGACGAACCATATTCGGGTATTGCCAAAGCAATCGCTGCGATCTGCGAGAAGATCCTTAATGGTGATAAAAGTCATGCGAAGGATATTCGGGACAAGATATCGAATGCACTACATGACGAGGAAGTTCAACTGCTAGTCCACCTCGTACCGGCTCTGTCCGATATTATTTCAGCTGATGCAATAGGGGCCACTGTCGGCGTAGACATTGACGATTTAGAAAGCGGCATAGAGAGGCTAAAACGCACTTTTCGGCTGTTGCTTCGCACTTTCTGTGAACATTTTGCCCCGATGGTTCTTTTTCTTGACGATTTGCAATGGGCGGATGTTTCATCGATACAAATGATCGATTACCTGATATCCGATACTGAAAATGAAAACTCCCTAATGATCATCGGATCGTACAGGTCCGATGAAGTTGACGAAAACAGTTTATTGCACAACAAGATCCTTGCATTGCGAGATAAGAGTGTAACGTATAACTTCCATGTAACGGAAGTGGACATTCCTTTGTTTGATATCGATGATATAATGACAACGATCAAGTCCGTGTTTTTATCGGTAAAAGAGGACGACAGCAGAGCACTGGGGGGACTGTGTCTGAAGCGAACGTTGGGGAATCCATACTTCGTCTTGGAGTTCTTGAAGACGTTATATCATGAGGGACTGGTTAGTTACAACACTGTCACTAACATGTGGACTTGGAACCTTACCAATATTGAAGATGCAGCCATGTCGACGGCGAACGTTGTAGTATTGCTCCAGGATCGAATGAAACGGTTGTCGAAGTATGCACAAATGTTCCTAAGGTGCGCTGCATATCTAGGATCAACCTTCAGGAATACCACGCTAGAACTTATTTGGAAGAGTCACAATATGCCAATGACAGTAGCTGATAAGCCCGTTTTGCCGTTGCTGATGGGAATGGCAGTGAAAGATAGTTTCATTGAAGAATGCGGATCTGACAAGTATAGATGGGTGCACGACAAAGTGCAAGAAGCAGCTTTTTCTCTTATCCTAGATGTCAAGGTGTCCCAGTTTGACATTGGACGGATTTTGTTCTATTATCTAGAGCCCAGTCAGCTGGAGCAAGATCTGTTCGCTGTGGTTGATTTGATCAATAATGGGAACAAAGAGAAAAGTTCAGAGTTTGCGCATGCGAACTTGCAAGCTGCCGAGAAGGCGTTGGGTCTTTCAGCCTTTTCAGCTGCGGCCAAATATGCAACGCATGGGATCGATCAACTCAACGACAACCGATGGTCACAAAATCGTCCAATGACACTCAGGCTTTACACGATTGGCGCGGAAATGGAACGCCTGTTGGGGAATGTGACAGCCGCTGAGCGCTATCGCTGTGAAGTTCTTAGCCGGACGGACCTGGACATCATGGAATCTCTTCCTTTGAAACTGGCAACAGCTAGTAATTTGTCATCGGTCGAGCTAAAGTTTGATGAAGCTGTCGCCTATTGCTTGGACGTGCTGAAAGAGTTGGGATGCAGAGTGTTCATTTCACGAAAGATTTTGAAAGCACAAGCTGTCATGTCTTTGTTTCGAACGATACGGCGGGTGAAGAAATTACCTAGTGATCATTTTGACCATGCCAAGATGATGGAAAACGAGAGACAACTGGGCATTGCGAAATTAATAACAAGGGCTGGAGTCTCGGCTTATCTCTCTGGCGATATCATGATATCCGTGATATGTGCCTGCAAGCTAGTTGAAGGCTCTCTTCAACATGGTCTCAATGAGGCCTCTGCATCAAGTCTTTCAGGCCTAGCAACCATGACTATTATTGTGCTGCAGGACTTCAAAACAGCCACCAAATTCAACGAAATGGCCCTCAGTCTACTGAAGAAACACCGTCAAATGCACAATGGCGAGACTTTGTTGAATGCGTACACACATGGTCACGTATGGGTTAAGCCAGTGGATTCTTGTCTTCCTGCTATTTGGGATGGGTACCGATGTTCGATTCGATCTGGTGACAGTGAGTTTGCAAGTTGGAATCTCTCCTTACACCAGATTCTCCTACCATTCTATTTTGGCAAACCCCTACCCCAAATCCTTGCCAGATGCCCATCTGTGATGCGTCAATTCGAAGACGGAGCTCAATCGCAACAAATACTGATTCACAAGGTCATATGGCAAACAATGGCAAATCTACATGACTCTTCATGCCGAGAACCATGGAAATTGGAGGGAGAAATCTTCCATGAAAACGACGATATTGAAAAAGATAACATTCACGCTGGAACGGTGCTTCTAGCTCAAGGCGAACTACTTCTATTTCATGGCGACTGCCGTACCGCAGCTGACATGGCACTGGAGAATGGGGATGCATATCAAAAGCTGGTACCAGCAAACTTTGCCAACATGTTCGAAGCGTTTCATCGAGCGCTTGCATCATATGCAATGGCTCTTCGAACAAGGAAGAAGAAATACAAGAAAGAGGCGAAACGGGTACGACGGATGCTGACAAAGTGGGTATTGGCAATAGAAAATCCGGAGTTCAACTACTTCAAAACTGTGCTCGACGCGGAACAGTTTGCGGTGGAGAAGAAACACGACAAAGCAGAAAAGCATTACGATGAAGCAATCAAATCAGCAACAATCCGGGGCCACCTACACTATACAGCTTTGTTTCATGAGCGCTACTCCGAGTATCTCTTGGTTGAGCTTTCAAATCTGGGGAAATCCAACGAGGAACTAAGGAAAGCCATAGACTGCTACAAAGCATGGGGTGCGGATGGCAAAGTCAAAGCACTGGAATCCAAATTGGCTCTTCGAGACGGGCAATAGAGACAACAATTACCTTTTGGGCTGACCCACAGCTGAAATGTGCCCCGCAATAAATCAACAAAAAAGAATCAGACTCAGAAAATGCCCTATCGCCGGTACATCAAAGGATGGATTGGGTACCTGCAGTATCGATCGCATTTCAATGAGCGGTATACTGGATAGTGGTCAAAGCAACCGCCACTACAGGCGAAATGGAGCAACAGAGACGAAAGGCAATAGAGTGGTTCAGTACCTCCATGGAAGCATCCAGATTCGGACTCCGCACATCTTCCACTAAAAAGCCTTGCGATGACAACGGGTCGGATTATTGACATGCCACTGATGGTTTAGGGTCAATGTTATGGGCTTTTCATGCTGTCATTGCCGCCAAAAAAATATAAACCGACAACTAACTGGCATTTAAAAAATATGAACAGGATTCAGCGTCTGTGAATTTCAAAGTGTGTGCCGACTCAAATTATACTTATATCTAGTAATTTGCTAAGATGTATTTTTAAGAACGGGTGTTTTACCAGAAGTCAATTTAAAAGTAGGTCCTGGTCATGGTAATCTAATATGACCAAATATTGGGCCCTTAAATTGGAAGTACGCCAATGGTAGTTGGCTAGTTTCAGAAGCTAAGATGTATGACCAGAGGTTTGACCGCCAAGGTAGATCAGGAAGTACAGTATGTTGCAATCTTGGTAATTTAGGACTAGACTTTGAGGTTGGGCAATGGGTGGTATCCAAGCTTCATACTAGTCAGTACTCAAAATATGGTTGGTTGGTCGGCTAGAACACTGGGGCGATCTCTACTTAGTAGAACAAGACGAGTCAACGGGCACCACGCACAACGGCACTGGAAGACTAGGCTAATGTTGCTTTCATGCATGTCAGGTAGTACGAGTAGGAAAGGAGGGAAAAGGTGCAGGGCCAGAACATAAAATCATCATGGATAACATAGGAAAGCACCTCAAGATGCTTCAAATTTTTAAGAAGGAACCTCATGTACAGTAACTATATACAGCAGATGCGGGTCCAATACAGATGCTTTTTGGCCTGGAGACAGGCAGACGTGAACCAACACAGTTATCATAGTTATAAACACCGTGTTTCTAACTGTTACAACCACTTCTGTAGTGTACGTTTCCGGGAATTGATTTCCCAAGTCAAACGGTTTTTGCGCCAGTCTACATGAGCTGCGAGTTTTGCGTGGTTTTCTTACGGCGCGACTCGCGGACATCATAAAACTTTCTGGAATCGGTATATAATATATTGTATACAATACAGTCGACGAACCATACTCGGGTATTGCCAAAGCAATCGCAGCGATATGTGAGAAGGTCATTAATGGTGACAAACGTCATGCGACGGATATTCGGGACAGGATATCGAATGCAAACTCCCTAATGATCATCGGATCGTACCGGTCAGATGAAGTTGATGAAAACAGTTTACTGCACAACAAGATCCTTGCATTGCGAGATAAGAGTTCCACGTATAAATTTCATATAAGGGAAGTGGACATTCCTTTGTTTGATATCGATGAGATAATGTCAACGATCAAGGTCGTCTTTTTATCGGTAAAAGAAGACAAAAGCAGAGCACTGGGGGGACTGTGTGCCGCGTATCTGGGATCAACTTTCACGAAGTTTCATTGAAGAATGTGGATCCAACAAGTATAGATGGACTCACGACAATGTGCAAGAAGCCGCCTTTTCTCTTTTGGAACGTTTCAAAGTATCCCGGTTTGATATTGGACGGGTTCTGTTTTATTCATTGGAGTCCAGTCAGCTTGAGCTCGATCTGTGTTTGCTGTTGTTGATTTGATAAATAATGGGGACACAGAGAAAAGTTCAGAGTTCGGGCTGGCAAACTTGGATGCAGCCAGAAAGGCGCTCGGCCTTTCAGCATTTCAATCTGCATCTAGAAACTGTTCCCGTGGAATTGATCTCCTTAAGGATACTGACTGGTCAGCGAATCGTCAGCTTAAGCTTCATCTTCATTCAGTAGGTACAGATTCGGAACTGGTTATCGGGAATGTGGAGACAGCGGAAAGATACATGGAAGAAGTTTTTTCCTCGTGGCCATACGACGATAGAAACGTTTTCTTTGATGATGGCAAAGGTGACGGCGATAGCTATGACTCTTCGATTTGAAGATGCGGTTGACTACTGCCACAGGGCACTGCAACGGCTCGATCATAAAGGGACTTTAAATCGACGTTTGGCACCCTTTAAAGCGATATATAATTTGATGACGATCGTGAAGAAGTTCAGGAGAGTACTTCCACAAGCATATCGGGGTCATCACGGACCCGAGACAAAAGGGTATAGTTGCTTTGATTGCATCGTTAAATTATGTTGCGTACAGTGCCGGCGATAGTATGCTAGCTATCCTTGCGGCTGAAGTATGGCTTGAGCGATTATTCAAGAGAGAGCCTTGCTACAATAGGCGCGGCTGTTATGATCATGAAGCAACATTACAAAACAGTGCCTAGGGTGGAAGGCGAAGTCCTGGATCCAAGAGTGCACAAACTGTCTGAAATTCAGCACTTCGCTTCGCGGAAGCGTCCTGCTTCTCCTGTTCTCGGACTACAAGGCTGCTGCTCAGCATGCCATCGAGAATGGGGATTACTATTCCAAGTCCACTCCTGGAGTTGCCACCAATATGGGCGAAACTTTAACGATTGCGTTGTATGCCGAAACACGCCAGACCAAAAACAAAAAGTTCAAGAAAGCTGCAATCAACGTGCAAAAAAAGAATTGTCGCATGGGAAAAGGCCGGCAATCCCAATGTGAAGCACTTTATGCTGGCATTGGACGCTGAATCTGCTGCGCTTAGCAACAAAGTCGAGGTGACCAAGGCTAAATATCAGGAAGCAATCGCCGTCGCATTGAAGGTTGGATACCTGCAGTACGAAGCACTTTTCAATGAGCGCTATGCGAATTATTTGCCAGAACATCCATCGTCGGCGGAACGAGGCAATTGAGGCAATTGAGGCATACAGACGATGGGGCGCCCATGCAAAGGTTACGGATATGGTGGGTAAATTGTGAAGATAGTGCATTCTACAGGGGTGCGAACATTCTCGAGAATGTGAGCAACAAGTCACAATCTTGCGAAATCGAATCACACGTTTTTCATTGGTTACAAAAAACTTCATTTTCTTGTTTGCGACACCCAAAAATCATGACATTCTCGATTTTCAGTGCCTGCCGGATAATTTTACTATGTGTCATTAAGTACGCGTGTACTGTATGCACTATTCAAAGGTCATTTTTGCTCACGCAACGCGAGACTTCCACTTCTGAACTGACGCACCTTCCAACTAGTACGTATGATACCCCCGAGTATGATGGACATCATAAAAGCGCTCCGGTCATCGCGAGACTTCCAAGCTGACACTTTCGAATTCACAAAATCGCGAGGGTATTCGAATTCACAAAATTATCAAGATTATTTTCCGCAATGCACGGCCTCGTATATGAAATCTTCGAAGAGTGGGTGCTCGAGCAACAGGGAGTCAATGCATGGCACGCAATCAAGGCAAAGGCAGGTTGCGATGTCCAGGATCAAGCCTTCGTCACAAGAACATTTTACAGTTACGATTCTTGGGTCGACCTCATCACAGCTGCCGCTGATGTGTTGGATTCATCATTCGATACAATCCTTGAGGCATATGGTCATTTCAATATCAGATACCACTTTTCACATGGTTACGACGCATTGCTGAAATGTCAAGGGTCAACCTTGCGACAATGGTTGTCGAATCTCAATGCTATGCATGATCATATTCAGAAAAGTTTCCCAGGTGGAAACTTTTGCCCCCCTGTCTTTTGGTGCGAAGACTCAGACTCAGAAGCCTACGAAGGAAGTATTCTATTACATTACTACAGTCAACGTGGGAATCGGTTAGTAGCCTGGGTTGTGGGCATTGTGAAGGTAAGCAATATTTGGATTTTCTAATGCACGATTTTTCAGTACGATCTGACGGAATTGATTTGTAGGAGCTCGCGTCGTACCACTTTCGGGTCGAGATTGACATGGAAAGGCTATCACTGCAGGACGTGGATGGTTCAAGTTTTACAACCTGGAGGATAGTTGCTACTGATCCGACACAAACCTGGAAGCTCTCTCCAAAGGTCTCCCACAACGTTGACGAGGAAGAAGTCAACTTCGATGACGTGCCGTTGCCTGCCAAGTGCCCATTTTCGGGACGAAAGCTGAAGAAAAAGACAATCGAAACTAAAGAAATCAAGGAACCGACCGCACAATGTCCTTTTCCACAAAGCCAAGACACCAAGACCTCCACACTGGAAATTAGTGAAGAATCTGATGCTTCCACGAGCAAGTGTCCATTTCCTCATCACCAAATCATCAAGGCCTCTGCTGACGAGACTGTTGATACTGCTGATAGCTCAATGACTAGCTCAGAAGACTTCGCTGGTGTTTCTTACGACAGAATGAAGGACATTTTCCCGTTCCATGTTCTGGTGAACAACGATTTCCATGTTGTCCAAGTTGGATCGAAGCTTCCAAAGCTTCTTCAGCGAAGGGCAAGTGAAATGATGGGAAGTCATATTAACAAGTTTCTGGAAATCACCAAACCGGTTCTTGGAACATCATGGAACTGGAATAATATGAAGAAGCTGGCCGATCAAAACTTCATCCTATCTCCTTTGATCGCTACAAAGCCTCTGGGAAGAAAGGTTGTCATGTCAGATGAGAGAACCAAATTCAAGGCATCTATGGTCGAAACATCACATGAAAGGGTAATGTTCGTCTTGAGTCCTGAAGTTTCAAACGTCACTGAACTGAACAATATGGGCTTGACTCTATCTGATCTTCCATTGCAATCCAATCAACGCGATGCCGTTTTCTTAGGAGAATATGTGACACAAGAAGCTGACAAGGCTCACAAGCTTGACAAGCTGAGCAGAAAGCTTGATGAGGAAAAGAATCTATCAAACACGCTATTGCATAGCATCATCCCCCACAAAGTTGCTGACGATCTCCGTCGAGGAAAAACAGTTGATCCAGTCTTTCATGAAAACGTGACTCTTTTCTTTTCTGATATCGTCGGCTTCACTAAAATATGTGACCAAGTTGAGCCTTGGGATGTTATTGATATGATGAATCAACTCTTTTCTATCATGGACTATCTTGCTGCGCATTTCAACTTGTACAAGGTTGAAACGGTTGGCGATGCGTACATGTGAGAATATTCGAATTGACTTGTACCTTCCTCATTTTTATTGTCCCTCACGCTATTTGCTTTTATGATCATAGGTGCTGCTCAGGACTTCCAGAACCGGATGAATTTCATGCTGAGAACGTTACGAACTTTGCCCTGGCTGTTATTGAATGCACCAAACACGTCAAGTCACCAGTCGATGGATCACCAGTGAAGATGCGCATTGGTATTCATACTGGCAGCTGTACCTCTGGAGTTGTCGGCACCATGACCCCCCATTACTGTCTGTTTGGAGATATGGTGAACGTAACGGCTCGCCATGAGTCTACTGGTATTCCTGGCAAGATTCACTGCTCGAGTGTTTTGTTCAGTCGCCTCCGCACTTTTGCCAAGCTGGACGAACCACTGTACAACTTCAAGGCCCGTGGTCTTGTCGATATGAAAGGAAAAGGGCAAAACTACACCTATTTTGTCGAGAGTGGAACTGAATTCAACCGAGGGGCCAACTCCGAGGCACTTGCAGAACTTTCAAAACAAGCTGAACACATGATCGCTTCGAAGACATGGAAAAAGAGAAAGTACTTTCGCAAGGGAGGATTGGTCGATACTCTTTCAGTTGCTGAGAACTCCATGAGCTCTCAAAGTGAAAGTTCTGGCAGTGGACCCGAGGAAGAGAGCAGCATTGGCTGTATCGTCGAAACACTTTCTCCACAAGACGAAGGCAACGGCTCGTTTTGTAGTTGTGATAGCCTCCTTGAAGGTGACATCGACCTTGATGAAGATGACACCGCAGGGTCCGGCCCTACAATCATTGATCTATCGGACGAGCAGCGTTTGCACTTCGGCAAAAGTTGGGAGAGTATCAAGTGGGACGAGACCTTGACGTTGGAACAGTCTCTGGAGCGAATCACAGATGTGCTTTCATCGTGTTTACAGCAGTGTGTTCACAAGAGCGCCAACAGAATGGAAACTGTCATTGCTGAATTGGAAGAATTTGTAAAGCGAATCGCCTATCTCTACAATGCAAACAATCCGTATCATAATTTCGATCAAGCAGCACAGGCATTCACCAGGGCAATATATCTTTGGGATGTTTGGGTGACTTCTCGGATTGATCAGAACAAGTCGTTTTACGACAATCCTTGGGACCGTTTTGCTCTTCTCTTTTGTGTTTTGATCCATGGAATTGGTCACGAGGGTGTGGCAAATGCGCAGCTTGAAGCGGAGAAGCATGTGTATTTTCAATTGAACCCGGGCAGAGGAGCGTACCAGCAACGATATGCTTTCATTACTGCATTTGAATTACTTGAGGAAGATTTTGCGGATTTGTACGAGGAGATCATCTTTGGCTGCCCAAGTTTCCGTGGTTCGTTGCGCAAATTGATGGTGGCCACCGACATCGAAACAGAAGAGAAGCTTCTGGCGATTGTTCAAGAGTATGATGCACTAACTGAGAATGAGTCGATGGACGCGCGTGGAGTCAAAGAGTTGAACGACTCGAAACTCTGTTTAGTTGTATGCACTGCAATGATTGGCCATTACACACAATCCTACGATGCTTTCATTCAGCGAAATCAACTGCAGTTTGAAGAGATTCTGAAGGCTTTTCGGAATGATCGAGCGGAGGATCCACGCGACAGTTGGTTTTACGAACAAAACATGTACTTCAAGAATGCCGTGGTGCCTCTCATCACACGCATGCAAGATGTGTTTCCGTCCCTTGGCTATGTCCAGAAACTTGTCAAAGCAAACACTATTCTCTGGGGAGACACAGGAAGAGAATGGGTTGCGGCAACCAGGCTTCCAGGGGCCATAGTCGGCAGCACTTCGGCGAAGAAGTACTGCGATATGTCTATGGAAAGTCTCATTGCCAATAACGTCGACATCTTGGAGACGCTGCTGAGAGATGTCGCTGCATCTCATGATTCCACCACTCCATTTGACACAGGTCTTTCAAGGCAGTCGATTGGAGCTACCAATCCTGTTGATGAAATCAAACTGGTGATCGAGATGAAAAAGGTGAAAAGTGATTCCAATTCAAACCAAGCTACTCCAGAACTCAGCCCAGAAGTTCGCTCTGAGCTTCGTGACTTTGTTGTTCAAATTGCCAATGGCTATGAGGGAAACCAATTCCACAACTTCATGCATGCAAGTCATGTTACGCACCTTGCAAATCTACTTCTGACCGGAATCCATGCCAAAGAAGGGTCCAAAGATGCGAGTGGTATTGCTCATGATCCAGTTGCCAAGTTTGCCATTGTTCTCTCTGCTTTGGTCCACGATGTTGGCCACACTGGAATTCCGAACCGTCAGTTGGCTGATGAAAATCCAGGTCTCGCCGAGAGGTACAACAACATGAGTATTGCCGAGCAAAACTCAATCGACACGGCATGGGCAATTCTAATGTCTGACACCTACCGCAATCTTCACAAGTGCCTCTTTGAATCGCTCGAGGAGAAACAGCGACTCCGTCATTTGCTTGTCAATTGCGTCATGGCCACTGATATTTTTGACCAGAACCTTCGGGAAACTCGCAAAATTCGATGGGAAAAGGTTTTCCATAAGAACTCGGCTGCCTCGTACGAGGACGACGAATCCAATACGAAAGCGACGATTGTGATTGAGCAACTTATGCAAGCATCTGATGTTTCGCACACAATGCAGAAGTGGGAGCTTTACCAAGAGTGGAACGAGAATCTTTTCAACGAGTTGTACGATGCCCATCAGGATGGCCGAACACCCAAGGATCCATCGAGCAACTGGTACAATGGCGAGCTGTGGTTCTTTGACAATTGGGTGATTCCGCTTGCTGAAAACCTTCGAGAATGCGGTGTTTTGGACATTGTCAGCAACCAGCTCATCAAGCAAGCTCACAGTAATCGAAAGCAGTGGGAGCTTGAAGGGAAGCAAATTACTGAGGCCTTGACAAAAGCTGCAATAGCAAGACATAAGCAGCGAAGTGCCCCTCGAATACCCTCAGTCACCTCCAGCACCTCGCTTTCCTCGCTTGCCTCTACGACGTCACATGGATCGGAATTGATATTGACGTCCCGCATTATCTCTGAGGTCGAGACATTGTCCAAGGTCGTTAGGCGGTACGAGCGGAAAATTGAGACTGCCTGTGGCAATCTTATCGCGGTGGCCTACAAAGGGCAATTAGGCTCTGAAGAGTTGAAGGGGCAACCCTGGGACAAGATCCACAGCCATTTCAAGCAGCAGGAATGGTATCGGATGCATTCGGATGATGGCTTTAGCCTCCCCGATGGAAGTGAAGTGCTAGCATTTCGAGACCCATCTGGACGGTCCGGAAGCCGGATGGTGCAGTGTTTGATGGAAGATCTGTCGGATGAATTGTCCGAAGTCGAGAATATCGTCAACGGCTGATTTTAATTTTGTTGTAGATACAGTTTTGCAATTTTATAATATAATAGACTATATTACTTCCTTTGGTTGCTGCCATATGTTGAACGATCAACCATTTGCTCGCACTCTTCAATGTGCGCTGAAGCTGTTTAGTTGTCGCAGCATCCACCGGTGACAGAAGACGAAAGAGTCGATGGAATGAGGCGATTGAGGCATCTAGGTTGCGGACATGCTGAGTAAACTGCGAAGCTAGGAGAGACTCAATTGAAAGTGTCACAATGACACTCTTAAAAGTCCATGAAGCTCCATCACATTGGTTCCGCACGGAACGGATTCAGGACGCTTGTAAAGGTCCAAAATAGTCAGTGATGCGGCGATTCTTGGAGATATCTGGGAAAAAGTCAGTGATGAGGTGGTTCTTGGATAGATCCGGAAAGGGAACCCAACCTCCTGGCTCCCATTTGCCAAAACCAAGCGGTTCGCTTCCTCGGTTGATAAAAGTCCGGTCGAATTCGACAAGCTGGTCACATATCAGCAAGGCATTGCAGCTGCCATCATTGCTGTCAAATTTCATTCGACCAATGGCGTAATCCCCCGATGTTACCATGCCACGAATGACATTTTTCCAGAGCTTCGGGCTCTTGTTGCTATCTTTGGAATCCACGAAACATATTACAATATCCCAGATTTTCTTCCAGACTTTTGTCTTTCCGTGCCTTTTTTTGCTCGTACAATCGGATCTTGTGAAGTTCGTGCTGAGAAAGTTCTAGCTCGGAAAGGTCGTCTTCGTCCATGTCTTCATACGACCAGTATTTTTTCCTGTTTTGACAGGGGGATCATTGGAGTAGCTGGTATCGGAATCGTCATCGACAACGGAATTGGCCTCATCTCGGCAGCAAAAATCACCATCAACCACAAGCCGTAGCAGAAGATCTTCGTCCAGATACCCATGTGGACTTCCAATGATTGATACCCCGTTCTAAAATGGCATATCCAAGCTCCTCATGATGAGATAGTGTAGTACCACATCCGTCCTTGGGGTCATCTCCGCCATTCTCCGAACTAAAGGTGTTGTAAATCATTTGCCTGAGTTCATAAACTGGATCTTGGATGGTATCACTGTGACAAATAAACCAACCGACGCAGTATTCTTGCTCCTTCTTCTTCTTCTTGTAAGCCTTCCAAGTTCCATTCTTGGCCACAAACTTGGTCGAGTAGCAACCCCGATGGTTCGACATGCAAATGGCAGCCTGCTCAAAATCCATGGCTTGGCTTGCGGCCGATTCAGCAATCTCAGTGGACAGACCAACGCAAATTTTGCCAGAAGTCACCTGCATAGTTTGATCTGCTTTCCATTCTCGTCCAAGGTCGGCATGTGATGATGATGCTATATTGGGTATTCCAATCGGCGCCGGAGTTTTTCCATCACCTGTTGATCACGCTCCAGTCTCTCTCGCTCCCATTCACAATCTAGTTTTCGTGGACGTTTCTCCTGTTGCTCTTCGTAATGCTTCCGCCGTTCTGCTTTGGTCCCCTGCTTCTTCGCTTTTTGTTTGCGTTGTTGCGACGACGTCCTCTTCATTTTCCTTTTCGTATTCAGCATTTTTATTTTGAATGACCAACATTGTTAGCTCGCGCGATAAAAACGCGCAGTCGTGTGAATCTTTTCAACAAAATCTCATCTCATTCTTATACTTTATATTTGCCCGCATGCAACATACATATATATTCTCCATTGAATACACATAATATTCCAACGAAAAGGAGAGGATACAACCTGGCATGGGCAGGAAAACGGCTCCCAGTTCCAGCAATGGAAGCAACAAAGAACCATCCAACAAATCTTCAAATTTCATCAGCATGATCATCAACCTCGTTACGGCTTTCTACACGTCGGGATTTGTCTTCTTTCGTATCATGGAGATCGGCTCCTTGATCGTAGCTTTCCCGATGCACGTCTTGACCTCCTTTGTGGCCTGTATCTTCATGATGAAAGTCGCCAAGGTACCCTGGAGTCTTCTTGCCATTCTCAGCATGGCAGCCTTGGTCTGGATTACCGATGACTACATTTTGGAACCCATTCCCTCATCACAACAACACATGGTTGTGGTGATTACTGGTGCCAACAGTGGAGTGGGGTTTGAAACAGCCAAGGCCTTGGCTCAGAATGAAAACCCCGTGACTGTCATTATGGGATGCCGGTCCGTCACCAAATGCCAGGCGGCGGCCGAGACTATACGAGCCACAACGACTTCATCTTCTCGCGATACCAATGTGATTCCATTGCAGTTGGACTTGTCCAACTTTGAATCAGTCCATCGATTTGTGGACTCAGTCAAAGTAGCAACATTTGGTGTACCAGTGGATGTCTTGCTGAACAATGCTGGTTACGTTCCTCTTTGGAAGGAAGCTTCCAATGAATATGGATTGGACCCCTCTTTTACATCAATGCACTTGTCTCATCATCTTTTGGCCGAGCTGTTGGTGGAACAAAATCCCCGCCTCCGTTTGGTGACCACTAGTTCGATTACTCATCACATTTGCGGCTTTGCTGCCGTGTTACCCAATAAGGCTCTGGGCAAAATTGTTGGATTGATCAATGATCCTGGTTGCATCAACAGTGACTATCTAGCAACGAATATTTACAGCCCCATAAATTACCGCAGGTACGTTGTGGCCAAGATGGCCAATATGTTGCACGCCAGTGAATTTTCTATTAAGCATCCGGAGTCTACGTCTGTAGCAATTGATTTGGGATGGGTGGGAACCTCGATTCAACCTTGGATGACGGGACAAGTTTCATTTACATCTTTGGGGTGGATGCGATCAGCCAGTATTGGTATTTATCCGATATTGCAAGCCGTTTTGCGGCCTTCTGTTGACCTTCCTACTGATGAAACGAGCATTAGCAGAAATTGGTCCCAACAAGGAGGAGTGACCATTGATACCTTGGGCAACATTAGGGAACCTTTTTCGTATCCCTGGTGGCGGGGAGATGCCAGTTCAGAAAAGATGAAACAGGTGGCTAAGGAACTATGGACGAAATCCACCGAGATTTTACAACAACAAGGTGGTTGTACAGTATGCCAGAAATAATAGCCTAATAATCCTAAGTAGGAGAATGCTACGCCTTACCTTGAACTGTCTGCTTTTGTTAGCTTGGGTTTCAAACTTTTAAGGTCTTGCTTCAAGCCTCATCGTTTGCGTTTGCGTTTGAGACACGACCGTCCTCTGCATTGATTCTATCCTGAGGCCCGTTTCTGAAATAAAAATCGAACATTCCCCAGCGCCGCATGAGCTCCTGTGCTTGAACCGCACGGTGTAGACTTTCATTTGCGTTTGAGATTACTCTCCGACGAGTCATGTAGTGACACTTTGCTCTGTCCCCCCGAATGAAGATGGGATGTTGGCAACCACCTTTGTTTGGACCCTCGGTGATGCTTTCAAAACCCCAAAGATTTAAATTGCGCTGAAACGACTTGTATTTCGTTGCATTAAAATACTCTGGAAGGATTTCATTGGTAAACTTTTCCTTATTCTTCACCTTGAACGCATTGTTAGTGCCAGGAATCCACGATATTATCGCATCGTTTCCGTTCGTTTCTGCTTCCGTCAAGAGTTCGTGAAGTCTCCACGGAAATTGAACTGTTGGCCGATCGCTTTGGGCTTCATTGCTGCTGCTGGCGCTGGTCGTCCACATTTTGCCTTCGAGACGCTACCGTCTCTGCATTATTCACTCTCTACCGGTAGATGTATCCTCATCTGCGATACCGGAATGCTCGCATCACTGCTGCGCTTGCAGGCACGTTTGTTTTTATTTATATAAAAGCGTCAATAATGACGAGTTTTCGATGGTTTGCAAAAAAATTGATGGTGGAATAGAGATTTTTTAGCTATTTTGAATTTTGTTTTTAAAAAAAGTGGAACGAAGAGCAAACGCGTTTTCCCCCACCGCTCTCAATCACACAGTAAATCACAAATTATACACGTTCAGGAACCCTTGTGGGTTCACTAGACATACAGTACCTATTAAAAGAAGAGTATAGACAATATATATTGCAGTATGGGGAAGAAAACAGCTCCAAGTTCCAGCAATGGAAGCAACAAAGAACCATCCAACAACAAGTCTTCTTCATCAAGTCTCATCAGCATGATCATCAACCTCGTTACTGTTGTCTACACGTCGGGATTTGTCAGCTTTCGCATCGTGGAGATTGCTTCCTTAACAGCATTATTCCCGATGCAAGTATTGACCTCCTTTGTGGCCTGTATCTTCATGATGAAAGTCGCCAAGGTACCCTGGAGTCTTCTTGCCATTCTCAGCATGGCAGCCTTGGTCTGGATTACCGATGACTACATTTTGGAACCCATTCCCTCATCACAACAACACATGGTTGTGGTGATTACTGGTGCCAACAGTGGAGTGGGGTTTGAAACAGCCAAGGCCTTGGCTCAGAATGAAAACCCCGTGACTGTCATTATGGGATGCCGGTCCGTCACCAAATGCCAGGCGGCAGCCGAGACTATACGAGCCACAACGACTTCATCTTCTCGCGATACCAATGTGATTCCATTGCAGTTGGACTTGTCCAGCTTTGAATCAGTCCATCGATTTGTGGACTCAGTCAAAGTAGCGACCTTTGGTTTACCAGTGGATGTCTTGTTCAACAATGCTGGTTACGTTCCTTTTGAAAAAGTGGAAACTCCCAACGAATATGGATTGGACCCCTCTTTTACATCGATGCACTTGTCTCATCATCTTTTGGCCGAGCTGTTGGTGAAACAAAATCCTCGCCTCCGTTTGGTGGCGACGAGTTCGGGGACCCATCACACTTGTGCGATGAATACACTTTTGCCCAAACAGTTGCACAACGTTGTTGGATTGACCAATGCTCCCGGTTGCATTGACCGTAGCTATTTGGCGACCAATATTTACAGTGCTACCAATGACGACAAGTATATTGTGGCCAAGATGGCCAACGTACTCCATGTGAGTGAATTTCCCCGCCGACACCCTTCCTCAACATCGATTGCAATTGATTTGGGATGGGTGGGAACCTCGATTCAACCTTGGATGTCGGGACAAATCACGCCGACATCATTGGGGTGGATGCGATCGGCCAGGGTCGGTATTTATCCCATGTTGCAAGCCATTTTGCAGCCTTTCCCTCAAGAAAATAGAAATTGGTCCCAACAAGGAGGAGTGACCATTGATACCTTGGGCAACATAAGGGAGCCCTTTTCGTATCCTTGGTGGCGGGGAGATGCCAGTCCTGAAACGATGAAAGTTGTCAGCAAGGAACTATGGACGAAATCTACCGAGATTCTACAACAGCAAGGTGGTTGTACCGTGTGCCAATAGTAACAATAACAAGACTAGGGCTAAGGCTAAGGCCAATTGATGAAGTCAAGACGTGATTCATTAGTTCGCGCTACGTACTATCCTTCCTCTGCTAGATTCCGCACTTGACAGTGTTCGTACCAACTCAAATCTTAATATTAATAACTGCCTTTATGTATTATATGGTTGATGATTTATTCTAGTATTGTATACAGTACGTATAGCACACACCCAGTGGCTTTTTTACTCTTTGTTTGCTGACATTCATTTCCATTGATATTTAAAAAATTGCGTTCCATTCCTGCATCAGTAGTTGAGGCACAATGAATCGTATATATATATATATTCTTGTTCGTGCTTCCTTTGCTACTGGAGGTCGTTCGAAGTATCGGACCGATGCCGAATGGGCAGGACCGCTGGACGATCCTTGGGTCGCTGCCGGTTCAGTGCTCGTTGGCCTCTTGCAAAGGGCATGTCCTGAATGTGCATCATTTTCTTGGAAAGCTTTTTGGTTCTTCGTTTGTTGTTGTTGTTGTTGTTGTTGTCTTTGTCGTTGTCGTTAGTTGGACCACATGCGGCATCCACAGTCTTTGGGCTGAACAACAAATCGCCTTCATCCAAAAAGCAGCCCCGGGAATCCACCGATTCCTTGGACAAGAGACGGGTGGGACGTTTGACTGGTTCTTCATCGGAATTGGGACTGTCAAAGCCAGGATGTTCGTCATCCTCATCCACTGTGCGCATTGCGTTCTTGTTGTAAGGAAACAGGGAAGAACCAGTAGACTCTTGGGACGCAATTCGTCTTGGTTTGCGAACGGGAGAACTAAATTCAACTTCTTGGTTGGTCCCTGCTTCAAAGCCGGGATGTTCTTCCGCTAGATCATCCTGATAGGACATTAGCGAGCGCGTGGAGAAGCCTTCCACGGTCAAGGCAGAAACGTGGCTGGCATGACGTTGAAGGCTTGGTCGAGAGATTTCAATGAAAAAGCTATCCTTCCGGCATAGAAACCCTCGGACCAATGCTTGGATTTGTGTGGCGGATGATTCCGGCCGTTGACGGAGAGTTCCTCTAAGTTGTTGGTCCATTGTTGCTTTGTTGCTTCGTTGCTTTGTTTCCTTTGTTTCCTTGTAGTACTATCTTTGTTTGCTGGATGCAGGAGGCGGTCAATTTTATGATACACTGGTATTATTGAGGTATGGGATTCGGAGATGATTGCTTTGTATGTGGCAAGAACTATTTTGCTCAAACCTCCCACAATATTGTCGGCGATCGAAATGCTCTGCTATCGATGGTGTTGAAACGACATTCAAGTCACCCGTAATGTTCGAAACTTTTAACAGCCGCGGAATGCACCCTGTCAAATTTCAAGACTAATTATTTATGGAATTCATTGGATACAAATGGCCGTAATCCAAACACATAAGTGTTTGATCGGAAACGGTCGTAGTTGAGAACCACATTTATAGTGCCAATCAGGTGATGTTAAGCAAAATAAAACACAGAACGCGGCCAAAAATACTTAACTGTTATAAGTGACTAGCTTACCTAAGTTCGACATATTTATGCTTATAGCGTAAGTGTTTTTCATACATATATATGACCCGGCAAGGCTCTTACGAAAACAGAAAAAAAGTGTCATTGGACCGATCAACTTTTGCATTCACACTTACGTCAACATTTATATGTAGAAATGCTACTGAGAACCTCCCGAACCATAGATGTTAGCGCGCGCTTTATACAGAATTTTGAAAAACTTACTCGTGGTACCTGGTACACATGTAACATGTTCCGATAAATATATGACACAGTAACATACCGTATATATATGAAGCTGTTTTATTAATACAACTAGTAGTGTCATTCGTGCTCCGTACTAGGTCTTTTTGCATGAACAGATAAGTTCGCTTCTAAAAGAGTCGCAAAGGGAAAGAGGGCAATGACGACTAGAGAAAGCTGCAACATGCATGTTGTAGTACTACCGGTAGGTGTTATTTTATACCAACCACAAGTGCTGTCATCTGTACAGTGCGCATGAGAACGAACCTTGTGAAGCCTAACATATAAATAGTACTGTATGTCTCGATATAGTATGTATAATTTACAGCATAGTATCCTTGCGTTTGTTTCTGTCGAATCGGCAGATCAGAAGGAGATACTGGCTGTTACAAGAATAAATGTCATTGTCACTTGTGCTCCACGAAGGTGTTTGGCCGACACTGTTCAAGTCGGATGGGTCAAATTGGGTAACACTTCCATCAATCAATTGCATAGTGTACCGTATGCATATGCATCTACTGTATGCATCTACTGTATGCATCTATGCATCTATGCATATATCTAGTTATCTAGCTAGCCATGACAAGTACAGGCTTGAAAAAGAACACCAGGGAAACTGGTCATAGGTGAATATTATTTTAATCTGGAGCTATTGTAACTGTTTACACCTATTGTTGGAAAATCCAAAGCATGATCACAGACTTAGTCGTCTGGTCCTCAATGGTTTTGGGGATGAAACTTTTTGTTCATAGTACTCACAAATCACTTCTTTGCCTTCTCCGTGAATGGTTTCTTCTTCGTATTCGTCAAAGTCTTCCTCGTTTTCGTTATTTAAAGCAGCACATCCATGAAAAAGAGTTTCCAAATTCAATGGAGGATCGGTTTCATGTTCCGATACAAGTAGCTCGTCTTGATGATTTTCAAAGCTCTCTTGCAACCTCGCTAGTTGGTGGAGTTTTCGTGCATTGATTTGGAGTGCCAGAGCTGCGTCTAATTGCAGAGTAGAAGCCTCCTGTTCCATGGTTTCGGCAGATAGAGCTGTCATTGCTGCCGTTGAGTGAGTAGCAGCACTTTCGGATGCGCCTGATGAGTATTTCTTTTCTTTTCTTTGTTTTCTCTTGGTATTTTTGCTCTTCTTCTTGTCACTCTTGGACTTGCTCCTTTTCTTCTTCTTCTTGTCGAGAGACTTGTTGATACACTTGATGGTCTCCTTGTGCTCGGTTTCAGTAACGGGGCAGCTGTGTCTAGTTTTGGCTTTCTTGTTCCTTTTCTTGATGGAATGGCTTGTGATCGGTTCCTCACCGTTCAGCGCCCACCAACTAAAGCGGGTCTTGGAAGGTTTCGGTGAAGACTCCATCGATGATTCAACAGATTTCCATGATGTCTTGAGGAATGCTGTTGCAACGGTATCCTCGTCACTGTTCTGCTCGTAGTCGACAAGAACTTCGGATGAAGATGCCTTCCTTGTGATGGGATCAACATTATTTTCATACTCTGAGTACATCATTTTGTAATGTGTCGTGTTTGTCTTCTCTAGTTCGCTGTTTTATGAACATCCTTTCGGGAGTCATGTCAGTTTGTCGTGCCACTTGCAACCTTTGCGCCTCTGTCAAAAGGAGTCATGTGCTTCATTTTATCTGATTTTATATTGTATGTGTTTTGTGACAGTGCCCTTTTCGATTTCTCCGTTACTCCGCATCGACTGAGTCGAATCGACGGAATCGACTGACGAGCGAGCAAGACGCCGAAGGAGTCTGTGCTTTACTGGTGACAGTCGTCTATACTCCATATCTACGATACCTCAATCGCATCTATAATATAAGCTTCCTTGTGTACTACAACACAGTGGAAATGGGGTTCGTTCATGAGTGTCATAAACGGGCTCGTCAGCTTATTGTTCTGCGGCTGGAGCCGCTTCAATGGCTCTTTATTTCGCGTTGCATTCGTCAACAAGGCATCAACAGTAGGAGCAGTCTGTAGTAGTACTCCTCTAATAGTAAGCAATGATAGCTTCATTTTCACACCTATTCTTCATCGCCACTGGAACAGTTCCAGCATCAATCGGAAACTATTGACAAAACTTTCGACATCTGGGCGGTTGCAAAAAGAACCTCCTCCATCCGAGATTCATGGTGCCGATAATATTAGTCATTTGGCATTGAGCCTTCTTGATATCATGAGATGGCCAGCAATGCACAATGAGTTGGGCAAGGCATTGGCTTTCCGCATGAAAGTCTAGAACGAAACACTGCTATCTCCCCCGTGAAAATATGTTGCAGTGACAACATGTACCAATCTTAGGCGACAATCAGTTACCAGGGATCACAGGTTCATTTGTACGAGTACGGTATATTCATTGTACATCATACATTGATTTGAAAGGTCTCCGGCCGCGTCAAGTGATGGCGTCAGGGACTTGTACCTTTGGGCTTTGGACTTCCCAGCCACTTGATATTGCTTTGCTTCTTTGATTTCGATGGACGCTTGGAGGACGACGATGCTGCTTTGTCACTAGTTTTCTTGCTCTTTCTCTTCTTGCTCTTCGTTTTGGATGATTTATTGGATATGGTGTCGAGTCCAGGGAGGAAATAATGAAGCCCAGAAAACAATTTCCGAATCCCAGAAATCTATGGATTCTGCTTCAGATTTCGCACTCTTTCTCCTTTTCTTCTTGGACGACGATTTGGAAGATCGCAAGGACTTGTTGGATTGGCGGATATTGGGAGAGAGTGGTTCAAGAGATGACCATGATTTCGATTATCGTTTCACCGTCACTCTCGTCCTCCTCCTCTACAACCAATGGCGTGTAGTGGGATTCCTGCAACTGTTGGTAACCGATGTTTCATTATGCAAACAAAACTAGAAGGGTAATTTGCCACAGCACAACGAGACTCAGTATATCAACTGCGACAGATGATCTACAGCACTTCCTGACCTGACATAAACGGTGAAGTGACTTTGCTAACAACAACATTCGAACAGAGCAACATCACAAGGAACTCAGTTATCAGTTCAGTCGGTACATATTTGGAATCCTGCTCGCATTAAATGTAAAATGCCAATTAGCCGTTGGTTTATATGGTCTTGACGACAATGATAGCAAGAAGATCCCAAAACATTGGCCCAAAACCAAACGCAGCGGCATTTCAACAATCTGACCCACAAAATGGTCATAGCAAGACTTTTTACTGGAAGTTGTCCGGAGTCCGAACCTGCAGTTTTCCATGGAGGGACTGGACCACTCGATTGGCTATATATCGCTCATTGAAATGCGATCGATACTGCAGCAATCCATCCTTTGCTGCACTGGCAATAGCCTCGTGGTATTCTCTGGCTATTTTTTATTTGCGCGGCACAAATCAGCTTTGAGTCAGCCATAAGGGTATTTGTACTCTCTATTGCCGGTCTCGAAGAGCCAATTCGGATTCCAGTGCTTCGACTTTGCCATCCGCACCCCATTCCTTGTAACAGTCTATAGCTTCTCTTAGTTGCTCGTCGGATTTCCATCGATTTGAGAGCTCTACAAAGAGATACTCGGAGTAGCGCTCATGAAACAGACCTGTATGATAGAGGTGGCCTCGGAGTGTTGCTGATTTGATTGCTTCATCGTAATGCTTTTCTGCTTCATCGTATTTCTTCTCTACCGCAAACTGTTCCGCGTCGAGCGCAGTTTTGAAGTAGTCGAACTCAGGATTTTCCACTGCCAACACCCACTTTGTCAGCATCCTCCGTACCCGTCTCGCCTCTTTCTTGTATTTCTTCTTCCTTGTTCGAAGAGCCATTGCGTACAATGAAAGCGCTCGATGAAACGTTTCGAACATGTTGGCAAAGTTTGCTGGTACCAGCTTTTGGAATGCATCCCCATTCTTTAGTGCCATGTCAGCTGCTGTGCGGCAGTTGCCATGAAATAGAAGTAGTTCTCCTTGGGCTAGAAGCACCGTTCCAGCGTAAAGGTTATTTTTTTCAATATTGTCGGTGTCACGAAAAATTTCTCCCTCCAATTTCCATGGTTCTCGGCATGCAGAGTCATGCAGATTTGCCATAGTTTGCCATATGATCTTGTGGACCAATATTTGTTGTGATTGAGCTCCTTCTTCTAATTGACGCATCACGCCTGGGCACCTTGCAAGGATTTGCGGTAGGGGGTTGCCAAAGTAGAACGGTATGAGAACCTGGTGTAGGAGGAGATTCCAACTTGCAAACTCACTGTCGCCTGCTCGAATTGAACATTGGTACGCATCCCACAGGGCAGGAAGACAAGATTCCAGTGGCTTCACCCATACGTGTCCATGTGTGTATGCTTTAAACATAGTCTCGCCATTGCGCATTTGACGGTGTTTCTGTAGAAGACTGAGGGCCATTTCGTTGAACTTTGTGGCCGTTTTGAAGTCCTGTAGGGCAACAATGGCCATGGTTGCCAAGCCAGAAAGACTTGATGCGGATGCCTCGTTGAGACCATGTTGAAGAGAGCCTTCGACAAGCTTACTGGCACATAGCACGGTCAGCATGATATCACCAGAGAGGTAAGCCGAGACTGCCACTCTTTCTAACAATTTCGCAATGCCCAGTTCTCTCTCGTTTTCCATCATTTTGGCATGGTCAAAATGATCACTAGGTAATTTCTTCACCCGTCGTATCGTTCGAAACAAAGACATGATAGCTTTTGCTTTCAAAATCTTTCGTGAAATGAACACTCTGCATCCCAAGTCTTTCAACACGTCCAAACCGTAGGAAACGGCTTCATCAAACTTCAGCTCGACCGATGACAAAGTACTAGCTCTAGCCAGTTTCAAAGGAAGAGATTCCATGATGTCCAGGTCCGTCCGGCTAAGAACTTCGCAACAGTACCGCTCCGCCGCTACCACATTCCCCAATAGACGTTCCATTTCCGCGCCGATCGTGTACAGCCGGAGTGTCAGGGGACGATTTTGTGACCATCGGTTGTCGCCGAGTTGATCGATCCCATGCGTTGCATATTTGGCCGCGGCTGCAAATGCTGAAAGACCCAACGCTTTCTCGGCAGCTTGCAAGTTCGCATGCGCAAACTCTGAACTTTTCTCTTTGTTCCCATTATTGATCAAATCAACCACAGCGAACAGATCTTGCTCCAGCTGACTGGGCTCTAGATAATAGAACAAAATCCGTCCAATGTCAAACTGGGACACCTTGACATCTAGGATAAGAGAAAACGCTGCTTCTTGCACTTTGTCGTGCACCCATCTATACTTGTCGGATCCGCATTCTTCAATGAAACTGTCTTTCACTGCCATACCCATCAGCATCGGCAAAATGGGCTTATCAGCTACTGCCATTGGCATATCATGGCTCTTCCAAATAAGTTCTAGCGTGGTATTCCTGAAGGTTGATCCTAGATATGCAGCGCACCTTAGGAACATTTGTGCATACTTCGACAATCGTTTCATTCGATCCTGGAGCAATACTACAACGTTCGCCGTCGACATGGTGGCATCTTCAATATCGGTAAGATTCCAAGTCCACATGTTAGTGACACTGCGATACTCAATCAGGTTTTCGTGATACAGAGTCTTCAAGAACTCCAAAACGAAGTATGGATTCCCTAACGTTCGCTTCAGACACAATTCCCCCAGTGCTCTGCTGTCGTCTTCTTTTCCCGACGAGAACATTGCCTTGATCGTTGTCATTACATCATCGATACCAAATACAGGGACGTCCACTTCCGTCACACGAAATGTATACGTGGCACTCTTATCTTGCAATGTAAGGATCTTGTTGTGCAATAAACTATTTTCATCAACTTCATCTGACCGGTACGATCCGATGATCATTAGGGAGTTTTCATTTTCCGTGTCGGATATTAGGTAGTCGACCATTTGTAGCGATGAAACATCCGCCCACTGTAAGTCGTCTAGGAAAAGCACCATTGGGGAAAAATGTTCACAGAAAGTGCGAAACAACAGACGAAATGTGAGTTTCAGCCTGTCAATACCGCTTTCTAAATCGTCAATGCCTAAGCCGACAGAGACCTCTTTCGCATCAGCAGAGATGATATCGGAAAGCGCCGGTACGAGGTGGACTAACAGCTGAACTTCTTCGTCATGTAGTGCATTCGATATCCTGTCCCGAATATTCGTCGCATGACGTTTGTCACCATCAATGACCTTCTCACATATCGCTGCGATTGCTTTGGCAATACCCGAGTATGGTTCGTCGACTGTATTCAGATCAAACTTTCCCTCGACAAATAGACCAGTCTTGGTCTCCAGCATGCGACTTTCAAGTGTCTTCACAGTTCTTGTTTTTCCACATCCACTTTCCCCCGAAACAAACACCATTTCCTTTTGGTTGCGGTCGTCGTTTGGCGAGTTTGAGGCCTTGTCTTTACAGAGTCGATCAAAGCAGGATATCAACGTCGATATTTGATTCTGTCTGCCGACCAACCCAATCGAATCAAAATCAAGCTTTACAGTGAAGTGTTTAGACGATACACCGCCATCAAATCTGATTTTGCTTGTTTGCTCTCTCAGCTCTGACGACTTGATGGACTGATCGGATATGTCAATGGTATGCCTGTCACTTCTTTGACTACCACCACTGCCCATGACCACAACGGCATTGGGCGCAAGGGAAAGTAAAGCATCGTCGTCTGAAAACACAGACAACAGGTCATCATTATCAGGAACGAGGGAAAGCACTTTGGACACCCCATCTCTGTCGACGTCGTTCCAAGGAATCTCACGTTCTTCTGGTATTGGTACGGTCATTACTTCATGCAACTTTTCTTATAATCTTGCCCTCTATTCTTCTTCCATCACAGACACGCGACAGCAGTGACAACATCCCAAAATGTACGAATATTTTTTGAAAAAGGGCTCCTCCTGCAGTATATATACAGTATGTACCGAATACTGCATACGGAATTAGAAGTTTCTGTGCGCGTCAGCGCACTTTGTACGAAAATTAGGAGTAAGTGCGAATGAAATAGTGAATAAATGATGCATTGATTTTGATGGCAACATCAATCTGGCGATGCTTACTGTGCTCAAATAAGCTCAAATCTGGATGAACCTGTTGAAATAATCCTACCCAACGCTTCTACGGGCTGGTGGAACATGGTGAGGCAAAAAGAAGTGGCGAAATATGCCTTGGGGTTACGAAAATGGCATTTTTGTAGTTTCCGATAATCGAGGGTGTTCCAGTTTTGTTTATCTACTGTCTTTGTAATTGCCTCTAGTCACCCGGAGTGCATATAACATTTTACTTTCATAAATTCATATAGATTGTGAGTGAAGTTTATTGGTTGAAAATTATTTCAGACTTCTCCGCAATCCATTCTTTAGCCGATCACGAAAACTGCAAAATCGACATTTTGCTCAAATAAGCTCAATATGGCCCAATATGACTTGAAATATGATCTAGTGGAGAATATTATTCGATTTTCCATCAAAGCTATAGGGCGGTCACAATCCACCATCGATGTGCCATTCATTGCCAATGGTTTCGAAAATCCGCATGCTTATTGTGTTTGATGAAAAGCCGTCGAATGAGTCGATTATTCGGACAAAGGAAGAACAGAAATATTCCTTGAAGAGATTGACATACTACCGGAACCGAAAAATTGGGATGTTTGTTTTTCTTCAAACCTACTAGGACCCTTCCGGTACACGTACTTGTATAGTGCCAATATAGTATCTAGATTTGAGATTGGCAGATGGGGTCACCGAATTATTGTGAGTTGATGACGAATGCTGACAGTTATTGGATGACTATCATTCTATTTTTCATCACACGCCTACCGTATACCATTTTAGCTTGCCATGTCAGGAGCTGTAGCTTCTTGGTCTGCAACACCGCTATATGTCATCAAGACTCGTCTACTGACGAGCGAGTCAAGACAATCTTTCTCGTTCCCTCCAAAATGAGTCCAGCAGCGTGATCAGCAGCACCAATGCCAAATCGTCCAACAAGAGGGTCCGAAGGTCATGTTTAGTGGAATTAACGAACGATGTTTGTAAGCTATTCTTCGATTTGGAACCACCTTGGCCATACACGATGCTTTAAAAGCCTTTGTGTCGTCGGCTGGGTGGCTATCACCACATATGTTGTCATGACAATTTTAGCAACTTTTGTAACGTCGAGTCGTCTTTTTGGTTTCGTAATACAATAGTATCATAATGCTAAGCCATCTCTTCCCCTTGGGCATGTTTCCTCCAACCGAATCACACAGTAGATAGAATTCACGAATGACTGTATTGAGGATTTTATATTGATGTATACTTTTTATTTTTCTCATCTCGATGATTGTAGGAAATATGATCTAGCGTCTGTCTATGGGCGCTTGCGGGGCTGCTGAATCGGCTGCTGCTTGACTGCAAGCTTCACAAACCTCTTGCCAACACGTGGCTTGGTGACCTTATTGTTTGCTTGTTGTTCTCTAGTAGTAGTCCTATCGCGATGATTCCGAGGAGTGCCTGGCGATGGAAGCTCTTGACTACGAATGAGACCAATTTTTGCTTCCAAACGCTTCTTCAACCCTTCGCGAACAAGCATAGTTGCTTCTTCCGTCCGCTCCAACATATCCAAGTTTGCCATGAGGTTCTGCGCAACAGACGGTGTTGTTGGTCAGGAGGTGAGGCCCACCATAAAGGAAAGTACTAGAAAGCATTCAGTCAATCTAATAGTACTTACGACAAACACTTCAACAGCTTCGAGTTCAGCTGCCTCCTGTGCTGTAGGAGGAAAAGCTTCTTCCAACGTTTCGTCGGAAAACGTTCTCAGAAAATCGGTGTCAGATTCTTGCATCTGTAAAGTGGGGATTCCTACAATGTAGATATGAACGCGAACTGAAGCGTGAGTGGTTGCTGACTGACAATATGCTAAAAGAGAATAAAAGTCACTTCTTTCGTACCATTATTGTAAATGACTGCATTGAAGTCTTCTCCTGTAAGAGGATGGAAAGGATGGGCAAGAGGTGATAGCAGCATGTTCGATTCGGTTGATACGAGTAGTTCTGATTTTTGTGACGACAAGAAGTCAGAAACGGTGTCAAAAAAGACGTTCGTGTCAAATCCAAAAATCCAAAGCAAATGTGAGACTATTTCAGTCCGCAAAATTTGTAAACTTCCGAACTCAAACCTCGCACATGATACAAAGTACTGGTACGGGTGAATTGATTTTAAGATGCAGTTTATTATGAGTATTCGTGAGATATCCATAGTGTGAGCTCTCAAGAAATAGATAGATCCTGAAGGATGAATCGGTGTATGGTGGTGAGTGTGTGGGAAATTGTCAGTCTTTGGAACAAAAGAATAATATCTGAATCAAGTGCTTGCGTGCCATGAATGGTATCCACACGTAATGTGTAGTAGAATCATCTCCATAGGTAAAGACGTTTGGCTGCGCACAACGTGCCGTTCCGTTGAAGGGGTCCACGATCGACCTCCTTCTTGTACTGGATGGATCATCATTAATCTTGCTACAGGCTAGCAGTATTATTGATACTGTACTACTAGCCATGGAGCAAGAACCTAATGTGATTTTCAATTCGAATCAGTCAGTCGTCATTGGGCATGTATAGCATGGTATACTATACCCACAGCCGTTCAGATCGCCATCCAGTACAGGAACCAACACACCAACAGACCAATTAGAATATAGTCTTCCCACACCGGATTATTGCTGGGCGGAGAGGTGGTAGTCACAACAGCAGCAGCAGCAGCAGCCTTTGGAGTAGCAGTGTTGGAAATTGTTTCACTGGCATTGGTGATATCCGCCGAAGCATTGGCAATAGTCTTCGTAATCCCCGCCGAAACATTGGAAATACCTGCAGATACATTTGTCCTTGCCTCCGAAACCACTTCTGCCACCTTGGCCGGTACCGAAGCCCTTGCCTCCGACACCACTTCTGCAATCTTGGCTTGAACAGCCGCCATATTAACCATATCCTTGGCATTATCGAACATGACCTTGGGCGAGGACGGCAATGTCGTCGTGACTGGTACGAAATCCTTGACCATGGCCTTGGTTTCCGCAACCGCTTCCATGGCACTTTCTTCGACTGCGGCAAAGGTAGTATTGACCATGGCCACAGCCGCCGTGTTATTGCCATTGAAGGCTTCCTTGGCCGCTTGAGCGCCTTGGAGCGCCAGGTCCTTGGTGGATTCCATGACATTGGCCCAATCCATCAAGGGCTGGATGAAGAAACCCTTTTGGTCCAAGTGCACCAGGCAGGTATCCACTCCCACCAATATTGCCGCAATAATGAGCACAAAGGCAAGAATGGATAGAGTACTACCTTGTTTTTCTTCCTTGATCAAAGTTGGCTTGTCCAAAATACTATCTTTGGTTTTCTTCTTTTCGACCCACCCCTTGGTATCAAATCCATTCATATCCAACTAGTAGGACAAGATAAGAGCGAAGGGTGTGTGAGTATTATAATTCGTAGACACAAACGATACAGCAAGATACAATGTATACCGTTGTCACAAAACAAAACAAAACAAAACAAAACACAAAACACAAAAACAATCAACGCACCAATTTCCCCATATTCCTATCCCCAAGTATCGGTCGCACACTTTGCACCAATTGATCCACCGGTACCCCCATCGGCCATCCCACCAAAATGTCCTTTTTGGCATCAAATCCCATGGCCTTGGTCAGAGGAACATTCGGTTTGTGTGTTTGGCACAAGCGATCCACCAATCCCACAAATTGCAGCTGCTTCAACGAAGCTTCCGTCACACACGTCTTGACCTGTGCTAAAACGTCCTTGACCTTCAAGTCTTGAGGACGATTTTGTTCGAGTTGCAACAATTCAAATCGTCTGGTAGTAGGATCCACTAGCAAAATGACCAGCGTAATGGTTTCCGCAAATTCACCATCTTCACCACCACTGCCCAATCGTTTGGCTTTGGCACGGATTCGTTTCTTTTTGGGAGTAGGAGAGATTCGTCGTTTGGATTTTGGTTTCAATTCACCATCACTGTCATAGTCGTCTTCATTGACTTCTGTGACGGTTCCCAATTCTTGATGAAATTCTTCACTGGACGAAGACGAATAGTCATTATCGTCATTATTGCCTTTGCTGACAGGCCTTCTCACTTGTTGCGGAGGGTCATACGGTGGTTCCTCACTCGCACTGCTACCCACACTCTTGGATGAATCGCCAACGGACTTTTGCTTGCCGTTGCTTCGTACCAAGCCTTTGAGTTTGGACCCAAAGCCCTTTTTCTTCTTGTAACTGCTTCCATTTATGGGAGCACTGGCAATGGATCGAGGCGACCCATTGTTTGGTTGTTGCTGCTGTTGCTCGTAGATGGTGCCAGAATACGCTGGATAACTAGCGGCACTACTGGGACTGGGGGCCGAGTTCTCACTTTGAGAAACGTCCGATCGTGACTTTTTTTTAAAGATCCCCATGCTGCTGAAAATGATCGGAAGATTGATTGATTCAATCAGTTGGATCTTCTGCTGTGGTTGATCACTCTTTGTCTTGTATGACTACTATTATCCTTGTTGTCTACTGCTACTACTACTCCTTCTGATGTAGACAGTCAGTTAACAATCCATGAGACTGGCCTAACGATGATGATGATGATAGTAACCTAACGTAAAAGTGGAAAGCGTTTCCACAATGGGTCACAATTTCGTGTTTTGTTTTGTTGGTTCCGGATGCAGGTGTGTGGGGTGTGGGCATGATCGGACATCGTGTGAGATTTTCCATTGAATTATGCACATAATGTGTAGAAATCTACGGTGAGCCTACCAGAGATCCGACCAGAGATCCAACGCTTGGTTTCATAAGAGTGGTCTAACTAGTCAAACGAAATCGAAATCTAGTCGTTGAAATCGTTGCGCAAGTTAAAATCCGATCCCTTGGTGGGCAAGCAGATTCGTATTTTTTTAAATGAAGTTGGGTAAACATGCATATCTAGGACTACAGTACCTACATTGTTAGTCAATCGAAATTTGGTCTCTAAACTTGGGATGTTTTGGAAAATACAATACAGTACATCGACAGAATAAGATACCGGTATGAAGTATTTTGTTCATTTTCCTGATCCTGCCTCCTTTCCCAAACACGGAGGAAATGCTACAGTCTACAGGACAAGGTGCAGTACCTACAGCAATTCTCGACACACTCCAAAAGCCCGCACCTTCGACTGACGTTTTCCTTTTTGTACAGCACGTGCGGTACTTTGTACGTATCAATTTTCGCGCTTGTAGTTGCGCGAGAGCCTGGCCGCATTGAAAACCCATCATTTTCATTCAAAAAGCAAGGCCTGCTGCACAGTCTTACTTGTACTAACACACACAGACAGTCTATCACAGGTAAAACCCAATCCACTCACAAATGTCAGATCCCAAACGCATGAAAATGACAGTCTCCAAAGTTTCCGCCGAAGAACGTAACTTCCTTTTCTCCAGTGAGTCTGTGAATGAGGGTCACCCCGATAAGCTTGCGGATCAAGTGTCCGATGCCGTTTTGGATGCGTGCCTGAAGGCTGACCCTTTCTCCAAGGTCGCTTGTGAGACCGCCACCAAGGACAACATGGTCATGGTCTTTGGTGAAATCACCACTTCCGGAAAGGTCGACTATGAGGCCATCGTCCGTGAACAAGTTCGTGAGATTGGATTCGACTCCTTTGTCGATGATCTTGGATCCGTCGTTTCCAAGGGATTGAACTGCGACGACTGCGAAGTCCTCATCCGAATCAACAAGCAATCCCCTGATATTGCCGGAGGAGTCCACGTTGGTAAGAGCGAACTTGACGTTGGTGCCGGTGATCAAGGTATCATGTTTGGATATGCTTCGGATGAAACCGAAAACTGCATGCCTTTGACCCACATGATGGCCACTCAACTCGGAAAGCGCCTCACTGATGTCCGTAAGGATGGTTCTCTCTGGTGGTTGCGCCCCGATGGAAAGACACAAGTCACCATTGAGTACACCCAGCATTCGGACGGTTCTGTCACCCCCATCAAGATCCACACCATTGTCATTTCCACTCAACACGCCGAACCACTCAAGGCCAAGCGTACCGAGGAACAACCAGGAACCGACAACCGTGGCAAGTACACTGGAGACGAGATGATTGCTCCCTCCATGGAAGAAATGAACGAACTCATCCACGAGCACGTCATCGTCGACACTCTCAAGTCCATCAAGCTCAAGTCCGGGGAATCTGCCCTCAGCATTTACAGCCGCGACACTTGCAACCTCCACATTAATCCCTCTGGAAAGTTCATCATTGGTGGACCCCAAGGAGATGCTGGTCTTACCGGACGTAAGATTATCATTGATACTTACGGTGGGTGGGGTGCCCACGGAGGAGGTGCCTTTTCCGGAAAGGACCCCACCAAGGTCGATCGATCTGCCGCCTACGCCTGTCGTTGGATGGCCAAGTCCGTCGTCAAGGCTGGACTTTGCAAGCGTGCTCTGGTCCAATTGTCCTATGCCATTGGTGTCGCCAAGCCATTGAGTTTGTTCGTCGAGACCTACGGAACTGAGAAGGAAGGACTCACCGCCAAGCTCATCACCGACATTGTCAAGATCAACTTTGATGCCCGTCCAGGAGCCCTGGCCCGTGATTTGACTCTTCGCGAACCCAAGTACAACAAGACTGCTGCCTACTGCCATTTCGGACGTGAACCATTCGTGGAGAACGGTATGAAATTCTTCTCTTGGGAAGACCCTGTCGACCTCAACAAGTACGCATCCATGACTGGTGCTGAAGTTGAATCGGAAGTTTCTGCCAAGAAGGAAGAAATCTTGACCAAGTGGGTTGACTAAACTACCTACACATTTTGAAGAAAAACAAACAAACAAACAATCGATCTAGTATTATTATATCACACCGCATTTCGTGTATGCGGCTACCAAGCAATAATCACATTAAAGTATATAAAAAGTTGCACTAATAGAAGCCAAATCAATCAATGTTGTCATCGAGTGGTCCAAAAGTTCATCACGTCATTTTTTCCCAAAATCAAAACACGTTGGTCATTTTTTCAAAAAAAGTACGTGTTCGCGTCGTCATCGCATGTGCCAATGACGAGGAGAAAAAGATACGAAAAGATTTCAGCCGCACATTTTCGACACCCCGTCTGCTCGTCTATCGGAGTTGTCATGGCCACAAGTGATGTGCAGGCGCAGGGAACGTGTGTCAAAAAGGATCAAACAAGATTGAAGAAGATTCGTGATCCAATGTCAAGTAGTCGATGAAGTCAAATGTCATAAGCGAGGAACCGCACGCGAGCCAAAATACTGGCGATCAAGATACTTAGTGCTACTCCAACTTGGTACACGTGTCATCCTAAGTATTTAGAGTCGGCCAGATTCATACCAAGATGGGAAATTTGCTTCCGTGAGTGAAGAAACCAACAACAACCAACATCAACGTCAACTATAGACAATAAGGATCCCTTTTGTGAACAACTACCATGTTCCGAAGGACCCCCAAGAAGGGGAAAGCAGAACTTCCTTTAGGGGCGTTAGATACTCTTGCATTGCAGCCTCAAGTGGGAGGTAGACCAGCACCGAAAAGTGATGATCCAGAGCCTGGGGGACTCGAAAAGTTTGACAGTTTCTATGACAGAGGTGCAGGTGGTGCTACGGGTGCTGGCGAGCCTGGTCCAGGCACTGCCTCTCGAATGGGATATGATGCCGGTCCTAATATGACAGATCCCAACGACAAAACCACAGTACCACCTGGTGGAGGACCTAGAGGAGGCAAAAATGGTGGTGCCGGAGGTGCAGCTGTTGCAGGAGCTGCCTTGGTAGGAGCCGGAGCTGCAGCTGGAGCCTATGCCGGAAGATCCAATGATGAATCAGACATGGCGGATCCATCAAGTCCAAGAGATGGCTCTGCTGGAGGGGCTGCTGCTGGAGGGGCCGCTGGGTCGCCTTCGGACCCATCCAAGAACACGACAGATCCAGCTAGTACTCGAGGTGGAGCTGGAAAAGCTGCCGGTGCCGCTGCTTTGGTCGGTGCTGGAACAGCTTCTAGAATGGGCGGTGGAAGTCCATCCAATGTCACAGACCCAGCAACTACGAGAGGTGGAGGAAAAAGTGGAGGAAAGAACACTGGTGGTGGCAAGGGCGGGTCAGGTGCTGGGAAGGCAGCTGGAGCAGCTGCACTAGTTGGCGCTGGCGCAGCAGCCGGATATGCTGCAACGAGATCTAATGATAAATCTGATCTCACCGATCCAGCAAGTCCAAGAGGCGGTGCTGCTGGTGCTGCCGGAGGCTCTAGCGGTACTGGCGGAACCTCTGGTGCCGGTGCTGGAGGCCCTAGCGGTTCTGGAGCCTCTGGTGCCGGTGCTGGCGGAGCTAGAGGCAAAAGTGATGCTTCCGGTGCCGATGGTCGTAGCGGTAAAAAGAATTCCAAAGGAGGCTCAGGTGCTGGAAAGGCTGCCGGAGCAGCTGGACTCGTTGGTGCCGGCGCTGCTGCAGGATATGCTGCCACGAAATCCAACGACGCAGATCCAGCTAGTCCCAACAGAGGCGGTGCTGTAGGAGCAGGTTCCAGCGGAGGCAAAGGTGCTTCTGATGGTGGTGGTGCTGCTGCTACTGCCGGTACAAGTGGCAAATCTGGAGACAAAAGTGGAGATAAGAGCGGTGACAAAGGCAGTTCAGGTGGTGCTGGTAAGGCTGCCGGTGCCGCTGCTCTAGTTGGCGCCGGGGCTGCAGCAGGTTATGCTGCGACGCGATCAAATGATGGATCCAGTACCGACCCAGCTAGTACAAGAGGCGGTGCTGCTGACGGTACTAGTGGTGGAGGGTCCAGGGGTGGAGGCGGAGACGCTTCTGTTGCCGGAACGGTTGCTGATGGCGAATCTGGGGCCAACAAAGATGAAGAAAATGGTGGTACGGATTGCGCTTCAGGTGCTGCTGCCGGTGCTTCCGCAGCAGCTGCTGGAGCGGCTGCACTTATTTGCTGTGGCTCCGGAACTACTGGATACGATGACGTGGGAGATGGAGAAAACGAAGCCGATGATCCAGCGAACCCAGAAAGTGGTACTGAGGGAGCCTCCGGTACCGGTGCTGCTGCCGGTGCTGCGACTGGAGGAGCTGCTCTGGCTGGTGCTGGAGCTAGAGCTGCCACCGGAGCAGATGGAGCTAATGATCCATCAGGCGGAGCATCCGAAGGAAAGGAAGACAGAGGCAAAGGAGACAGCGGAGGTGGACTTCTTGGTGCTCTGGGACTCGGAGCATTGCTTGGAGCCGGAGCAATGGGTGCTGGAGGAAGTGAAAGTGACGCTTCTTCAGCTTCATCATATCAGAGTGACAAATCGGGAGGCTCTCAAGGCGGTGGTCCTGAGTCTGCAGATCGCGCTGGCGATGACGACCCAACCAGCGCCAATGCCTCCAAGGATTCCAGTGGTGTCAATAAGGCGGCGATTGCTGCTGGAGCTGGGGTCGGTGTTGCTGCTGGTGCAACAGCTGCAAGCTCAGACCAAGAAAATGAAGATACAGTCGGGACCGTTTCTCCGCTTCGAAAGGATAGAAATGGTCTTGCAGATGCAGATGCAGATGCTGCCGATGCAGAACAAGCCCAGATGGAAGACCAAAGGGAAAGAAGCCAAAAGGCCAGACAACCCGAGCCAAAAAGGACGAATCCTCTCCTCCTTCTATGCTGCATATTGACCGTTCTTGCTGGAGTTGTCGTTCTTGCTCTGTTACTACCAGGAGCTTTGGAAGATGACGATGGAGATCGTTCAATAGCTGGAATTGGAGATCCAACACCGGCACCAACCGAACTCATCACGCCATTTCAATGCGAGGAAGCTGCTGTACTTTCTGGGAACTCAACGCTTGCTGCCACAACGAAAGGAGCTCCAGCACCAGGAGACATTCCACTTTGTTCTGGATTGGCTGCGAACGGATTTGGTTCTTGGTTCCAGTTCGAAGGTGATGGATCCGTTGTTTCTTTATCAACTTGCGACCCTTCAACGGAATTTGACACTCAAATCAGTGTGTTCTCTGGGTCCTGCTCAGAACTTGAGTGTGTTGCCGCGAACGACCAAGGTTCGGACGACATTTGTGGAAGCAAATCGGAGGTTGAGCTGAGTACAAACCCTGATGATACGTACTTTGTTTTTGTTCACGGAAAGCGAGAAGGCGATGAAGGTCAAGTTGTTTTGAAATTGGAATACATCCCGCAAGACAACGATTCTTGCGACAAGGCTGGCCCAGTGACATCCGGACTGGATGAAATCGTCGGCAACACATGGCTTGCTGCTCAAAATCCGAGCGCTGACAACATCACCTGCACCAACTCTACAGTTCCAGGCTTGTGGTATGCGATTGAAGGGCAGGGCAAAGAAGTCACGATCTCAACTTGCTCCGAGACTACCAAGTACAATGCGGAGATCACGATCGCCTCCGGAGGCTGTTCCGAGCTGACTTGCACAGTGTCACGAACTGAAGAGTGCATTTCTCCTTACCAAGGAAGCATCAGGACGTTCTTTGCTGTCACAGGGGCCGCCTATTATGTGAAGATCCACGGAAGTGAAGCCGCACAAGCTGCATCCCCATTTCGTCGTCTCCAAGATGCCAGAGGCCCAGCAGATGGTCAATTTGGAATGATAATCAGGGAAGATGTTGGAGATTCTGGTTTCTTTGTTGACCCACAAGAATCATGCGAAGAAGACAGAGTGATCGAAATAAACGGAGATGCAGTTTCTGGAGTCCTATCTCAAACTTCGAATTTGCTGTGGGATTCCTTTTGTGATGGGGATGGCCAAGGTCAATTCTTCAAAATCATTGGCAATGGAGAGACTATACAAGCTGATTCATGCAACAACTCCACAGACGTTGATACCACTCTCTCTGTCATTGTCGGTGATTGTGCAAGTCAAATTTGGTCGTGCGAGGCTACCAACGATCAATTCTGTGGTGACCAATCGTCTGTCAAGTGGTTTGCTGAAGAAGGCGAGACATACTTCCTCTTGCTTCGATCCGTCGGTTCAAATCAAGGAAGCTATTCCATAACTCTTCAGACGGCACCAACGCCGGTACCTAGTCTTTCACCTTCAGACTCCCCCACGGACAAGCCCAGTGTATCACCAACAAATGTCCCAACGAACCCTGACGGTTCTACGCCGACGTTGAGTCCGACTGGCTTAGATGGTTCCACTCGAGCACCTGTAACTCCTGTTCCAACATTTCCGGATGGTTCTACTCGCGCACCAACAACTCCTGCTCCAAGTTTTTCAGATGGCACTACTGTGGCGCCCACCACTACTCCACCCACTTTCCCTGATGGCTCTACTCGGGCACCGACGACTCCTGCACCAACTTTCTTAGATGGTTCTACTCGAGCACCGACAACTCCTGCACCAAGCTTTTCAGATGGCACTACTGTGGCGCCCACCACTACTCCACCAACTTTCGCAGATGGCACTACTCGGGCACCGACAACTCCTGCACCAAGCTTTTCAGATGGCACTACTGTGGCGCCCACCACTACTCCGCCTACCTTTCCTGATGGTTCTACGCGGGCGCCAATCATGCAACCTGTTTCACCTCCAGTCTTTGTTCGTCCAACAACTCCTGCACCCACCTTTCTGGATGGTTCGACTCGGGCACCAACAACTCCTGCTCCAAGCTTTTCAGATGGCACCACTGTGGCCCCCACCACTACTCCACCAACTTTTCCAGATGGCTCTACCCGGGCACCGACGACTCCTGCACCAACTTTCTTAGATGGTTCTACTCGAGCACCGACAACTCCTGCACCAAGCTTTTCAGATGGCACTACTGTGGCCCCCACCACTACTCCACCCACTTTCGCAGATGGCACTACTCGGGCACCGACAACTCCTGCACCAAGCTTTTCAGACGGCACTACTGTGGCCCCCACCACTACTCCACCCACATTCCCTGATGGCTCTACTCGGGCACCGACGACTCCTGCACCAACTTTCTTAGATGGTTCTACTCGAGCACCGACAACTCCTGCTCCAAGCTTTTCAGATGGCACTACTGTGGCGCCCACCACTACTCCACCAACTTTCGCAGATGGCACTACTCGGGCACCGACAACTCCTGCACCAAGCTTTTCAGATGGCACTACTGTGGCCCCAACCACTACTCCGCCTACCTTTCCTGATGGTTCTACGCGGGCGCCAATCATGCAACCAGCGGCACCTCCAGTCTTTACTCGCCCAACACCTACACCAGGAGGTCCGACTGATCCAGGCACACCAACAGTTCCAGGAACCCCAACTGTTGCTCCAGTCTTCAATCAAGTTGAACAGTGTCTGGAAGCTCGTACACGTGTTGGAGCCCTTGGGAGTAGTGATAGTGTGGCTGTGGACGTGCCCAGTAGGTATTCCTTTGAACCACCATTCATTGGAGCATGTGGAACTTCTTTCTTCAACAACGATCCGGGAGTCTGGTTCAAGTTTGAAGGACCCAAAACGGGAAACAATATCATCGCTACCGCCGAAGTCTGCGACACACCCTTTGACTTTGAACTCACCATCTTCATGGGAAGCTGTGACAACCTAATGTGTGTGGCGGGAACCTCAAGGTTCTGTAACGAAGGCTTGACTTGGAACTGGGACATTGAAGTGGGTACTTACTACTTGATGTTCCACGGCTTTGGACCGGCGGTGAAAGGAAACTTTGTATTCAACCTCGACTCACGCTAAATGTGTATGTGCTCCTATGCAAAATGTACTGCAAGCACATGGTGTTGAATGTGTGTTGTTTGCAATCAATAATTCATAATTGAAAATCAGTATCAGAAATACTGTATAAATGTAATAAATGTTAAACATGACAAGTCTGAATATTGATATGTGCGGTAGGAAAACTTCACTCGGAGTTTTTTTAAAAATATCATCGTGCGATGGTTTTGGTTTGGTCATATTAGTCGAAACCATGATTCATTTCGGAAATGATTTGGATCATGGTCACTTTGACTGTTGACACATAATAATAATTCAAACGCTCTGTCCACAAGATGGCCAACATTCACAACGCTCCGGGAGGCAGTTTGGCCAATGGGGAACTGCAGTACATTGATGGTGAACCAAACTGTCACGATGTCAAACTTGGACGAGGAGGTGGCACAAACACGCATCTGGGAAACAAACTGTTAAGACAAAAAGTGGAAGAATTGTTTGAAGAATACAATAATCAGAACGAGCAAGGATCTAAAACGGTGATTGCTCAAGGTATCATCACATCCATAAATAGGCTGGACCCACCTGGTCGATTTGTAAAGAAAGAGAGCAGTAGTGGACGATGGTACGAAGTTGGAAACAACGAGGCTCTAGAAAAGACTGCTCAAACCTTTCGGAATGTTCGGCACAAGCGGAATACTGCTGCCTCATCAACAGATAAAAAATTGCCTACTAGGGCGCCTTCTGCAGACGATGATGGTACAGATCAGCCACCACCACGAAGAGCTGAGTCAATGGTTGGCGGTCAACCAGCTGTACCAGCTCATCCCACAGCTAGTGAATCGCAGCAGCCGCAATTGACCAATGGCAGTCAAGATTCGCAAATTATGCACGAAACCACGCACTTGGAAGGTATTGTGGTCAATCCAATGGCTCGCTCGGCCATTTCTACAATTCTATTTGTGAGTGCTGCTATTACCCAAGGAAAAGACAATCGTAACCCAACGCAAGAAATCAAACAGATAATATCAAACCCAATGGTCATTGACGCGACTTTTACCATTCTGTACTCGGCTACGTCTTCCTACTCGATACCTCAAATTCCAACCATGCAAGAGGTACAGACACTTTTGAAAAGTTCGGCTGCGACAGATTCCTTTCTCATGATATTGCAGGCGGCTGCCTTCACCGCCGACAAAAGTGCGGCCGCTGCCATGGAACAAGTCCTGCAAATGAAAAATAATGAAATGGTCGTTTGGGCTGTGTCCAAGATTCTAGAGGAAGCCGCCATTATTCAAAACAACAGTAGTAATAACGAACCCATGCGGACGACCTCCATTGGTGATCAAGACACCTTCCCCGAAATGCCTGAAAGTGGTATCATGTCTCTGTCATCACCCAAAGACCTAAAGTCGATGAGAAGCATTACGTCCAGTTTTGCAGGTTTGTCCTTTGCAACAGAAAGTTCCTTTGTGGAACAGGTGGCGACCCAAGATGCGAATGGAAATCATGGTACCTACACGGGATATGTTTGGGCCAATACCAAGGAGCCACATGGTGTCGGCCGAATGCAATATCACAGTGAAAACGCGGAATTTCATGGGAATTGGTAAGTAAATACAGCAATATGATGCACAAATGGATCGCTGAATTCATCCATTCGCACTAATTGCCACGACTTCATCAGGCTCGGCGGCGGGATGGATGGGCTTGGAGTCTATGTCCGCGCCAATGGGGACAGCTTCGTTGGTCAATTTAGCAAAGGAAAACTGGAAGGACCAGGCTACATTGGATACGGCAGTGGCGATTTCTACTTTGGTGGCTTTTCTAATCACCAATTTGATGGAAAGGGGCTCTTCAAATGGGCAGATGGACGACTCTACATTGGGGAATATCGAAAGGGCCAGCAACTTTCGTACACTTTGACCGGTCCCGATGGACAATATCAACTAAGTGATCTTGGTACTGCCTTTAGTCCTAATGCACCATTTGTGGAGAGTCAAATGGTTGTCACTGCCTCGGGAAAGATGGGAAGGTATACGGGCTACGTCTCGGAACACACATTGTTGCCACACGGTATGGGACGAATGATTGAAAATGATACCAACGACGAGTATCATGGAACCTGGTAAGTTGCATGCAACATGCTGCTACACTGTCTAGGAATGAAGCAGCGTGGCTCACGTTAGCTTGGTTCTTTGTTATGCAGGTTTGAGGGTGAAAAGGATGGTATGGGCCTGTATAAACGAAGCAACGGCAAAACCTATGTTGGAGACTTCAAGAAGGATATGTTTGAGGGCTACGGATTCGCCACCAACGGATGTGGGTATTCTTCGACGTCCATGGAAACTGGGACGATTTACTTTGGCAAATTTAGGGGTTCCAAATGTGAAGGACAAGGATTCCTGAAATGGAAAAGCGGAGGCGTCTACATCGGTGAATTTCGCAATGGTCAGCGTAGTTTTGGATTTGGCAACCGTATCACAGGCGACGATGGTCGGTATCTTCAACAAAAGAGTCAGACCATGGGCAGTCTTGGTGGTATGGACGTCGATAGTTTTGCATTCAGCTCTATGGCTGACGGGTCCGCTACTATTTTCTCAGAGGTGACAGGTTTTTAGAAAATAGAATAGGTACTATACTTTTATTTTTATTACACCATCGCTCCTGATGCACTCTCCATTGCTCCAAGTTTCAGAACACGAGGAAGTTTCAAAATAAGCTCTGAGTCAGTACTTCGATGCCAATCGCCGATTGCGACGGGTATTCGCATCATGACAACCACCAGTCATTTCTTATCAGAGGGAGGTGTCAGACAATGGCAGCAAAGCAACGAAAGACTACATCGAAGACACAAAAGAAACAAAACAAAAATTCTACCAGGAGTGAAAAATCCAGTAAAGACGACTCTGTGAACGACACCACCTCAGCCTCATCGTCACCTTCAGCACAGGCACGCTTCCTGTCACCAATCATCGCAATGGTCTCCTTTGTTGCCTTGGCAGTTGCCATTTACGTTGCCAACCAACAGCGTTCCGAAGCACCAATATACCCAACTGAACATGTAAATTCGCCGTCCAGGCCGTGGGAATCATCATCAGCACCAACTCTCAAAACTCAGAAATGGGCAGGCTTCAATGGCCTTGCTTCCATCACCAAGGCGTACCGGGTCTTGAAGATGGTCGATCACGATCCCACAGCCTTTACTCAGGGCTTACAGGTACATGGAAACGAACTTGTCGAGTCTGCGGGGAACTATGGGGAATCTCTGGTGCGAATTTGGGATCCCCACACTGGAATTATTTCCAAGGAGGCACCTGTGGACAATCAGTATTTTGCAGAAGGCCTGACTCACTATCAGGACGAAGACGGCAATGATCGGTACATTCTACTCACATGGCAAGAAAAAACGGCATTGATTTATGATATGGACTTGAATGTCATCAATTCGTTTGTGTACGAAACAAAGACAAAGGAGGGCTGGGGAATTACCTTTGATCCAGTCCAAAAGATATTCTTTGTCAGCGACGGTTCCGCCTTGATATACATCTGGAATCTGAAGTTTGAAGAGATTCATAGATTTCCAATTTCCTACAAGGTAGATCCAGCGACAGCAGACCGCATAGAGGTTCCTTATATCAATGAACTAGAATGGGACGCCACGTTTGGTACCATCATGGCCAACGTTTGGTACCAAAATGTGATTCTTCGAATCGATCCTGCTCGAAACGGACAAGTTCTTCAGATATATGATTTGACAGAATTATATGTCGATCGAGCAAAGACTGCGGATTGCTTGAACGGGATTGCCCATCAAGGAGGAAATCAATGGTGGTTGACGGGGAAATGGTGGCCTCACTTGTATCTCGTCGAGTTTTTGGAATGACAATCGGAAGAAGAGCGCCAGGCTAGATGGTAAAAAAGCTTGGAAAAGAACAGGCGAAAGATGATTGGAAACTGCTAGCCGACTATTGCTGATCGAGAGAATACGTGTTCTCGCCTTGTTGATGTCAATTGATACGGTTGGACATGCTTACAATGCTTGGATGGATTGCTTTATCGCCACCCAATCGATACCTAGCCGAGCAACCTTGCGGTGGCTGGTATCAATCACATCGTCAAGCAGAGCCACTGTCACATTCAGTTTACTCTTAAATGACGACATGGTATATCCTCCTTCTGGGCAACTTTCACACATTCAGTTGGCTACTAAATCAACATCTTTCTCGAAAGTTACTATGCTACCAGGCGACGCGTTGTGCTAAACCCGCACCACAGCGGTAAAGGTGCCAGTCTTGGCATCCAACATGATTGCATTTCTTTCTCGTCCGATTGCTCGTGCTAGAGTTAGTAGCCGCTTTGTTCTTTTTTGATCACTTCTCTGAGCACTGTGATGGTATGACTAATCGCCCACTGACAGAAACAGTGATGATCTTATAAGATTATTGTATTTGATGCATGCCTAAAATACATACAGTATAATACATAGTACACTGTGTTCTACCGGTGTATCGTACCTATACCGTTACTCTTGATCGTACCTACCGGTATTGGTGTAAAACGTGCACAGTACAGTACAGTATGTAAACCGGCGTAGACTAATACGAATAAACATTCAATGAAAATGACTGCAATATTCTAATAAAACCCAGACGCACATAATACATTATGACAACAGCCTTTGGAGGGCACTTACACCAGCAGGCACAACTTGAGAGCATCGTCAACACAAAGATCATAAGTCGCCAACATGGATGAATCGCACCAAAAAATTGAATGGTTCATCTACAAGGGGCAACCAATTCGAGAAATTCCGAGAAATGTCACTCACGTTCTCGTGGATCCATCAATGAAAGAGATTGAAGATGGTGCTTTCAAGAATTGCAAGGATCTTCTTAGCGTTGTGGTTCCTTCCACAGTCTTACAGATAGGCAAGAGAGCCTTTGAAGGTTGCCGTCACCTCTCTCATGTCCAGCTCCACGAGGGGATACGGGGCATTGGTGATAGAGCGTTTGCGTCCTGCGCGCTTGTCGATTTACATCTTCCTCATGGACTAAGATCGATTGGCAACTATGCATTTGCTAGGTGTCCAGAGCTTCGAGCCATATCTGTGCCAGCAAGTGTAGAATGGATAGGTTGTCACACCTTCTCTTCATGTGTGGCTCTTGTTCAAGTTCACCTCCAAAGGGGACTGAAGAACATCGGTCACTCTGCTTTTGATCGTTGCCTACAACTCGCCGAAATAGAGCTACCAGAAGGTCTGGAAAGGATCGATGCCAGACTTTTCAGGGGGTGCAGATCGCTCACTACCCTGTCTATGCCGTCGACAGTAAAGACAATTGGTTTTGCAGCATTGGAAAACTGTCCTGGCCTTGTTCATGTGTATCTTCACGAAGGCCTCAAATGTATCGGCAAGAGTGCTTTCGCAGGTTGCCGATCGTTGTGTGGTATTACCTTACCGTCAAGTCTGGAAGTAATTGACAATGACGCGTTTCGGGAGTGCCTTAGCTTGCTAGGGGTTGAGTTACCAAGTGACATTGCTGTTACGACAGCCGACGACTGCTTTGACGAGTGCTCAGCTTTGGTGAACGTGGCCTTTCCACCTTCGGTGGACCCTTGGTGTGTTCAAATGCTGTTGAAAGGAAGATATGAAATTACTTCGTTTGAAGGTCTTCCAATTCACAAATTGTGCTACAATTCTACCCACACAACTACACGAGAATTGGAGGAACTGCTCATGTCTCCTGGCATTCTGGAAGCCAGCAAATCGAAAGATGTTAGACTCATGACTCCTTTCCACATTGTGGCAACCTCGCCTAATCTGAGAGCAGACATTTTGGAATGTCTCTTGGAAAGATACCCTACGGATATGCTTTTGCGTCAGACTGACAGCTTCAATAACACAATGATGGACTACCTATTGAAACATAAATCAAACAAGGCGGTACAACTGATAGGGATGGTTTTATATAAAGTTTTGGTGGAATCGATATCTGGCTGGGACACCAAAGCAAGAGATAGATTTTACTTGTCAGATGATGAGAGACCCAATCTAAATGACAGCGAGAGAAGACAAGAGCTTCTCGAAGGTATGGTTATACAAGTGGGTTTCTACACGGGGTTAGAGACGAGGCTAATATTGGATCTAGCGTTGTGGAAGATGAAAATAAGTTTATTGGAAGTTGATTCAGAAAACCTCGACACGACGGATCGGACAAGCTGCCGCTATCGCTTTGGAGCTGATGATTTGATTAAGGGCGTTGTTGGATATTTGTGGGGTGAAAATTGCACACGCCATTCTACTGCTTTAGCAACCTATCCCAAGTTGGACTTTTACCCTACCTCTGACCCCGAAAGCACCGAGTTCGATTTTCAAGAATGGGAAACGTGGGAACCTCTTAACGACAACCTTGCTTCTAATTCTGACTCTGATTCTGACTACTACGACAGCCTTGCTTCTGAATCTGATCCCGACCCTGATCCCGACTCTGATTCTAGCTCTCAGTCTGATTCCGGCTCTTATTATTCTTACAATTACGGCTCTGATGATTCTTACAATTACGATTTGTGAGATTCTATAAATCCGACAATGCCATACTATGATATGGAGGATTACGACAAAATGTCCCAAGTACATAAGCTGAGACAATGATCAGCGCAACATCATTGCAGCAAGACACATGGCTTTGTGGAATGTCCCAAGTTGAATTTTAATAGATTATTTATAAAAAACGGTGTCACAGGACTATAGGACCCATGTTACAAAGTATACCGCAATTTCAGGAATATCGGTAGGTTAGGACCTAGATATCTTACTAATATTGTTACAAATTATGACAAAAGTTTGTCTACCTACAGTATAAAACGCATCTCTCTGGACGCGACTTGAATGTTACGAAACGGATCAACCATTCCCGCCGCCCTTTACACTATGGCCGTCATCACCCATTGCTGCGAGTCGTCAGCATAAGTTTCGCTACCAACAATTGGACAGGTACCGACGACGACATCGTGCTTGAGCTCATCATCTTCTGCCGTATTACTGTCCAACTCGTGCGTATCCAAACACACTTGTGGATCCTTGGTGGTACGAATGGAGTAATCATTGAAATGCATGGTCCACGAGCCAAAGGTTTCGTGTGGATCACAGTCCCACAACACCAAGGGAACATTTGCTTGAGCAGCTCCTGAAGGGACCAAACACATGGCCGGATTGAGTTTGGACCGAATCATTCCAATCTTCATTTGATTGGGATCATCCTCGTGGGTTTTGTGTGTGGCAGAAGAGTGCTCCCATAGCTGAGAATCCGCTGACTGATCGCAGGGTTTGAGCACAATGGGTGCCAATTTGAGGGCCTCTCCACCTTCGACAGTGATGCACTTATCACTACTTTTGCTCTTGAGAGTCATCCATTCGTCGTCATCGTCATCATCCTCGTCCTCGTCACTATCACCCTCTTCGTCTTGAGCCTCCTTGGCGGCAACCTTGGCTTCTACCGGCGGATAATCAGTAGCCAATTTGGTGACCCACTCTTTCCCATGGCCAATGGTTGTGGTCCTAGTGTCGTCGACTGGACAAGTTCCAACGACCACGTCGTACTGTTTCGATTCACTGCCACCATGATCATTGTAGGTATCCAAACATACTTGTGGATCCTTGGTGGTCCGAATCGAAAAATCTTGTGTCGAAATGGTCCAAGATCCAAAAACTTCGTCGGGATCGCAATCCCACAAGATCAAGGGAACCCTGGCATTGGCGGACCCCGACGGGACTAGACACATGCTTGGATTGAGCTTGGATCGAATCATTCCAATTTTGGAACCACCTATTTTGTGTTGGGCAGTGGTGGTGGTGGTGGTGGATGCTGCGGCTGCTTCCAATGACAAGTGCGTCCAGAGCTGTGCGTCATCCGACTGGTCGCAATCCACCAAGACAATGGGATTCAATTTGAGAGGTTTTCCTCCTTCCACCGCAATGCACTTGGCGTGTTCAGTAGTAGTGGTAGTGGTAGTAGTAGTAGTAGTAGTAGTAGTGGTAATCTTGCTTTGAATGGTCAACCAATCCGTGTACCCTTGCGCTTTCAATTCGGCTTCTCGGGTAGCTTTCTTTACTTTGGCAATGTTGTTTACCACTGTCGTGGCACTCCAATGTTGTTGTTGTTTGTGGTCACAAACTGCCATTTCAATCATACCCTTATGAATTTCTTGCAATTGCCAACATTTGCGTGGATTGGATCGTAGACGAATGGTATCATCGTCGTATGCCTCAAAGGCGGCATCCGTGGGCAAGGCCACCGAGACTGACTTGGAAGAGGAGGCACGAACCCCCGTCACCACCTGCGGTTGGGCGTCGGGACAGTTTTTGAGCATGAGGAATCGTCCCGTCGTGACAATGCACTTTTGAGGATTGAGCTTGGACCTGACATAATAATTGTCGGTGGTTTGAGTCCACAAGGTCTTGTCTTCATTTGAGTCATCATCCTCACCACAATCAGTCAAATGAATGAGGGTATCAAAGTCAGTTTTTCCATTCAAGACCGCCACACATTGGTTACTGGATGTGCTTTCAATACGGAACCAAGATGACTGGGCATTGGATAATAGTCGTGATTCCACATTGTTGTTGTGGTTGTTGTGGTTTGCATTTTGTTTGGCGGCATCCAGATGGAACACTAGATTTTTGGTGACGCGGGCACTATTCAAGGAAGTACGGTTATATTTTTGTTCTTCCTGTGCTTGAGTACTGCTGCAAACAAGTGCTATCCAACAAAGCAAGGTGATTGTTCTGCAAGGTCTGCTGCTACTTTGAACAGACATCATTCAGAAATGACTGTAGCTGTCTTCGATATGTGATGGTCTATTGCTATGACTGTTCGTGTTGCCTTTGGATTAAAAATGGATCAATCAATCAATGGATCAACGCAAAGAGAGACAAGGTATGGTTTAGCAGAAGGTAACGAATCGAAATAAAATCCAAAAACTTTCGTACCAACCGTAAGATTATACGAGTATTACAGTGTGACAGTCAATCAATCTTGTTACTGAAATCTTTTTCTTCGTCGTGCCGCCAAAAATCCATTTCGGCGGACAGTTTTGGGGGCCGAAACAGAATTTGGCCGGCCGGTGGGGGAAATAAAAGAATTCTAGTTCCCCCAACCCCTTTCAATTTTCAAATTTTTACACACGACCGACCAACTTGAAACTATATTGTTCATCACATGGTCATCGTCAGCGAAAAAAACATCATCATTCTATTGTGCTTATTACTGTACTGTACTGTATCTTGTATGATAGCAAAAATAGTTAATGAAGGACATCCAACGCTAGAATAGTATATTATTGTTGCTTCCCTTCAACGCCTCATCTTCTAATGAGATCAAAGTCCCGACCACGCAACAACGACGACATTGAGCAAAGCACCAGCAGTGGTGATCATCATCATCATCATCATCATCATCATTCGGAAGTAGATTCTCAGGCGGAGGTGCAGGCCAAGAAACGAAAAAGAATGAAGCAAGCTGCAGCAATGTTGGCCATATTAGTGGCAGCCATCATAGCTGCCACGCTTCTTCTCTTGGGAAACAATAATGCGGACAGTGATGACTTTGTAGTAGGTATTGACAATGATGCGAATGCTGTGAATACGGCACCATCCTTGGCCCCTGCGATGTCACCAAACAACAGCAACAACAATGGTAAGAATGATAACGATGAACCTTCCTCCTCCTTCATTCCAACCATTGGTAATCATAATTCACCAACGCTAGCGCCATCTCTTCTTCCAACCGTTACTACATCGGCTCCGTCAATAACAACGACGTTACCATTCCCGAACCCAACCATGATACCAACAACACTCAAACCATCTGCAACACCATCATTCAAACCAACCACACAAAAACCATCTGTAACTCCGTCATTCAAACCAACATTCAATCCAACAACAACGCCTACACTCGATCCAACAACAACGCCGACACACAATCCAACAATCCAATCAACAACTCTCCAACCATCTACAGAACCATCCGTCAACGATAATATATTTTTGGACAATTTTGATGAAGTCGTCTCGCTCACGGACAATTTCCAAATCCTTCAAGTCGTCGACCATGACCCTTCTGCCTTCACTCAAGGTTTGTATTACGACAAGGATTCAGGCCTCTTGACGGAAGGCACGGGAATCTATGGACGATCCTTGATCCGAACCTGGGATCCAATGACGGGCCAAGTCCTACAAGAAACGAAATTGGAACGAGCCTTTTTTGGAGAAGGCGTGACGTGGTATATGGATTCGTTTGGAGAGGAACGATTCATTCAGATAACTTGGAAAGAACAAAGTGCCTTTGTGTACGATACTACCGACCTGAATCAACTTCAATCCTTTACTTACGACCAACGAACCACCACCAATGAAGGCTGGGGAATTACCTTTGATCCTATTGAGCAGATTTTCTATGTCAGTGACGGATCCCACTTCATTCACATCTGGGATCTGAACTTTCAACTGGTGCGCAAGTTTCCAGTCACTTGGAAACAAGAGAATGGCGATACTCGCAATGTAGACCGTTTGAACGAACTGGAATGGGATCCCATCACCAAGACCATCTTAGCCAATGTATGGTATGCCAATTACATTGTGCGGATATGGCCAGGCACGGGAAAAGTTATACAGGTACATGACATGGCGTCCCTACAAAGTGGAGGAGGCGGTGGTGTCTTGAATGGGATTGCACACCACTCGGCCAAGAAGTGGTGGGTCACGGGCAAGGAATGGAGGAATTTGTACCTTATCGAGTTCAATGAATCTGGTTAGTGTACTCTAGGACAGTACAGCATAATGCAGCATTTACTCTTTCGACTCATTTTATCATTCTATATAGTAGTCTATTCATTCGATAGCTGATTACAACCGTCGAATGATCTTGCGCTGTAGATGATCGACTGATTCCTCCGACATGAATGGAATCAACCGTCGACACAGATTCTTCGCTTCCTCTAACAGACCCTCGCACAAGAGCGACTCCACGACGCTTGCGCCTTCCATCTCCAACAGACGATACTCGGATGACAATTCACCATCATCATCCTCCAATGTTGGCTTATCTTTTCCATGCCCCCCTGGTGTCAGGACAGGGAGTCTCATTTGAAACCGAACGCTCGATCGATGCGTTCGCGCCTTGCGGGCCAAATCATCATCTCCGGCCTCTCGAAAGCAATAGATGGCCTTGTCCCACAATGATTCGGCTGCCGACAAGTCTTCCTCTACTTCCGCGGCTTCCGCATTGTCCATCCCTGACGATAGCCATTCGTCCCTCGTCATTGTCATATTCTCCACATCGTCCACCTTGTTGCGACTCGCCAGTGGAACCAATGGCGTCGAAGATGATGATGCAGATTGCGACTCGGTTCCCTTACGAGTCTTGTTTCGCGCCATGGACGTCGTCGTGATCCAACGGACAAAGGCATCTCCCGCAACGCTGCCTTCTATTTCCACAAAGAACAAACGTTCAATGCTACGAGTCACAGCTGTATACAACAACTTCATGTGACCTTCCACTTCTGGATACAAATTCTGATATTCATCATTGGCTCTACCCAGCAATAAGTCTCGCCATGGCTTTTGAATGCCATCTGGAAGCTCACCAAAGAATCCCAACACCATCACACTCTTGAATTCCAAACCCTTGGCCGCACGAATACCATACACCAAGGCGTATCCACCCAAAGCACGACGCCAACGAGATACACTGGAATCGTGGACCAAGATCATCGTTCCGTTTAGCTTGGTCTTGATGACAGACTCGACCATTGCGGTCGATACCTTGTACAGCACTCCAGGTCTTGGACCCACAAAGACACCTCGATCTTCCTTCAGCTGCTTGGCGCTATGAGGAAACGCACCAAACATGCACGACAAGATGGCTCCAGCCGTGTTCAGAATACCAGCGTGACTGCGGTAATTGACATTGACCGTCTTTGGCTTTTGCAGCAACAGCCCACTCTTGTCCTTGGCGATATGATATTCGACGGAACGGATGTCTTCAAATCGAAACTCAACTCCCTCTACGACACTCTGTGCTGGATCGCCAGCCAAGAACAGATCGCCAGGTCCGCTCAAATAGAAAAACAGCAAAATCTCCGCTTGAGTGTAGTCCTGGATTTCATCCACATAGATCTTTCGCTTGCGGATTTGGTGGTAAATGTCGGGAGCGGTGGTCTTGGATGACTCCAGCCGTTGCAACAGCGCCATGATGCGATCGCAGTCGTCCCACAGGTTGTACTCTTCCATATACCGCTGGTACTTCACAAAGATATCGTACACGATGGGTCGCTGCTCGTCGACACCCAGGCGACAACGCCTGCTACCAAAGATCTCCAAATTCAAGAACGACTGTCGATCCACGACATGATTGTCTGCCTGCAGCTGTGTTGTAGCCTCGATGGATCCCTTGATGAAGGATCGGATACATGACCATACCAGCAACGGGTCGATGCCTTTGTCGCCCGAGTACACCTCCGTCTTGAATCTTTGAAAAGTCATCCGTTCGCTGCGCCGAAACATATCTCGAATATTATCCACTCTGGGTAGTGCGTACTCCAACCTCGACAACAACTCATCAAATGTGGTAAAGGTCATGCTTGTCGTGACCACGGTTGTATCACCATTGGCATTACCATTTGGATTCTGTGTCTGTCCCACAGTCTCTGATACATACTTGCACAACCGACGAGACCGAGCTACAAAGAGCTGTGTGAAAGTCAAGTCGTGCACATTGACCTGACGATCGTAGTCCATTCGACTCAAAATACAAACAGTCTTTCCTGTTCCCGATCTACCTAGAAGCAACACGGTCCCCGTCGTCTCGACGATGTCTCGTTCTTCATCGGTCAACTTCAAACGGGGCGTCCAAGAGTCTTCCACGACTTGGCCGACCTCATCGATGCCACCAAACTGATATACTTTCAGAGGAACATTTCCAGTCGGATCTAACATGATACGACTTGGATTCGTATTGTGATCCATCGTTTCAGACACGTCAACAAACAAGCTATCACCAGGCACAAGTTGTCGGTTGCTTCGAGCATTAGAGTCATCAATCAGCCTTACCATCCGAGATACATTGTCGTGCTTTGCAACATACCAGATCAGCATGTTGGCACCTTCTTCGGTCCACAAAATTCGAAAGCCTGACTTTTGTTCCAAATAGGTCTCGTACACGGTGACCGTCTTGCTGCCTTTCAGTCGTTTGGCAAGGATACGGCTCCGCTCACCTTGAGAAAGCTGGGTGATGCGACGAACGAAGAAATCTCTGTATTTGGAATCTCCCTGCTTCAGCCACTTGACAACGTGAGGAGTATACTGGATGGTTTTGTATGCAATTTCGTCCATTGTTTTGCTCATATCTGGAGATGGCATCGGTCGGGACATCTTTCTGATTTCATTATCATCAACGTTTGGTTGGTTTGACGCATTGTCAAAGATGGTATTTTGGACACTTTCCATGGCAGTATCAAGCACTTCCAACGTCTCAATCATATCGTCTGAAATTTCACGAGTGGTGCTGATGTCGTTGACAATAATACCCTCATCAGCTTGTAGTTCTTCGGACGATTTCACAAAATCAACTGTTGAGTCACGGATTGATGACCACTCAGAAGCGCCAACCATCGTATTTCCGATGAGGTCAATACATTTGCACCAAACATGCTGAAACAAACGAGAGCTCTCCACATGCATAAGAACCTGCGTTCTTGTAGCTTGTCTCACTGACCAAGCACGACATACTGCTTGCAGTTTGGAAATTCCGCGACGAATTGATGCCATCCTTCGTCTCGCGTTTCTCTCGCAAATTGCATTCCTCAAAAACTTGGTGATTGCCAGAGTTGCCTTTCTCTGTCGAATCCATAATGTAGCATTCTTTGCCTTGCTCGACTCTGCAACCTGCAACACGGTCCGACCATTGGCATCCAGTTGGTTTAGACTGGCGACGCCTTCATCAATTAACCACTTCAATGCATCAACTCTATCATACGCAGCTGCAGCGTGAACAAGATAAAGACCACTTCGATCGCATGCCCTCTCATCAAGACTGCCTCGTGAAATTGCATCGCAGAGATCTTTCACAGATCCTCCGTTTTTCAGTGCGTCCAATTGCCGAAAGCGGCATTCTTGCTGCATGTGCAGACTTTGGAGGAATTCCCTTGCTTTCTCCTTACGCAACCAACGCCAATCTTTTGGGTCAACAAGTAGATCGATGCCGATATTTGACATCTGTCCAACCCATGATGAAAGAACAAGGTTCCAATCCATGGTGTTTTGCGATCGGCTTGGATCCACAAATAATAGGCTTGCCTCAATGTATGATACAATAGAAGTTGTCAATCGCTGGAGAAGCTTTCTTTCTTCACTTGTACATTGGCGCCCTACCCCAAGACAGTCGACCAAATACAACATCCCTCGGATTATCTCAACAACTTTAATATCGGAATATCGAGATCGATCCACTACCCATACCGCTGCAAGCAAGATGTGTCGCCTTCCGTACGCCCCGAAAGCAATAATTTTTTTGACTTCGTTTTGAGATGTTTGCTTCAAATGACCAGAGCTTTCGTTTGATGATCCACCATATCGAACCAAGAAACCATGGATGTAGAAATAGCAAATAGATTTTGATACGTCATCCATCGATAAAGTCTGGATATGCATCCCATACTCAGGATCGTCCTCCTCTTTGTGATAGTTCTGGCGTGGAAGATCACCTTCAAAATATGTCGCATACTCTCCCTTTACAGGATCAACTACGCTGGTGGTGTATTGCAGATAAGCATGAAACTCTTCAAAGCTTCCTCTTTCCAAAGCTCCTAATGCTGCGTACCAGCTTCGGTCATGCAGCGAAGAGGAAAAAACAATTTCGGGTGGCTCTGCGAGTAGGAGTTTCACAACGTCATTTCTGCCTAAACAGGATGCCAAATACGTCATAGTGACCTCTTTTCTCGCATTCAAGCTTTGGCTTTTCGTTAGGCAAATCCTAATCACATCGATATCCCCATCAACAGGAAGCAGTAAGTGGAGTTTATCCAGATTGGGTGGCTTCCAAACAAAATGTCTCAGGGATTTCAACTTTGCCATATCAAGCCTAGGATAGTACGCATTGAAATTAATTTCTCCAGAGTTTGTGATGGGATTGTATGTGTCACTAGCAGGTTCGGCTTCCTGTTTGATTATGTTCGCACAAGCCCGAATGAGCTCGATCAGGCTTCGCAATTGATTGTCACCGGATTGCGAAACAAGTAGCCTTCGACTTTCCAGCAAACATTGATTATGCAATTGCAAGATGACAACTACTCTTGTGACCATCGATACCAACTTTTCCTTCAACTTGACATCCATGAAAAGTTTCATCAGAGGGTGGGGATCAGCTATGTAGTCTCGAACTTTGACAGATCGTAGCAATTTTGAGGCTGTCGCGCCGGAAAGGAGTTCGGTACCAACAAATACAGAGCAATCAAGTTTGATGTAGACAATATCCCAGCCTTTATCCCCAAAGAATGTATAGTGTCCATTCGAATCCATTTCTTCTGCTGCAATCATCCTGGTGCACATCCAAAGACAAAAATCGACAGCTCCAACTTCAAGGCATCGCGTGATAACCGACGCGTACGAGTAACTTAGCTCTTCTGTATCGTCCATGGTCCAGCAGTCAACAGCCTGCCAGGATTTCAGATCCATGCATTTCGTTTGAAGTACATGATCCTTCAATGCATCCAACGACGGGGACTCCGTTCCGGCTAAACTCAGAAGCAAATTTAGATCCTGCTCCAATTGCGAAGATGCAAGTGAGGGTGGAACCCAACTCCGAACAAACTCATAACTAGATTTCGATGCAATCTCCACAATCGAAACTTGGTTCATGTCAACTACCGGACACCCACGCGACAGTAGCACATCCGCAATAGTAATGTGCCCACACGATGCCGCAACATGAGCTGCGTACAAGCCTTTGTACTTGCCGTCTCCAACAGACTCCATCACAAACGATGCAAATGTTGACAGAGTGCTCAAGTAATGCATTATCTCAATGCGCCCAAAATGCGCTGCAGCGTGAACCAAGTTGAAATCCGCAGTCGGGTCCGAAAGAACGCCAGCCCCGTGCAGATCAAATAACCAATTCAAAGTTTGAATGTCGTCGTACTGTATTGTTAGGAGAGACAGAAGAAAAAGCTTGTTTTTCCTCCATGCACGTGCTGAGTGTCCTAGCCCAAAAGCAGAGTCAATTGTCATCTCAAGATGGGATTCAACTTCCGGTTCGATATCACCAGTGAGAGATGTGTAACCGCCTTCAACAAGCCATCGAACAGCACTGCATTGTCGAAAAGCGATTGCTAAGGCCAGGCTTGGTTGCGGGGAATTTTTGTCTTTCACGAGATAGTCGAGCAGCTTCCATTGGTCTTCAACATTATCATCGTCTGCCATGAGTGCTATCTTGCGCTCAAAAGTCGCGATATACGAGTCGGTATAACTGAAGCTATCTAGTCGAAAGTCAGATACTCTTGTCATCATTTCGTCGATCCATGCCTTGCGATTGAAGTCCTGTTTCGCAAGGAAATCTTGTAAGCATAAAAAATACATATTCAACCCTTGGTCCCAGCTATATTCAGAGAAGCTTTTGGTTTCGCCACTGGCAACGGCATCAACCAACGAAACGTAGGTATATTTTTCTTCATCCCTATTAACCCATTTTTTCAGATCTGGCTGCACGAATTCTTCCAGGTCGGCACGGGTTTTCAGAAGAACAAATGAATCCTGGTGATCGAGCAACGTGGGGTCCTCTTCTATCATCAGTTGAAGAAGATTGTAGTCTCGATGCCGACCAAGTGATTGGAAGTCTGACTTCGCTTTGAACTTTTCATCCTTCATATGCTCATTGCCATAAAAACTACAATGGCCTACATCAATCAAGCGATAATCCCAACAGTGTCGCAAATATTGCTGCATTCTGGATTTTGCTTTTGATCCCTGAAAATGCTCTCTGACCAATTCTTCTTCAAAACCGAACGAATCCGAGATATTAGACACTCGTTTGAATGAAGTGAAGCGACCTGCAATATAACGAATTTGCCAAATAACCGAGGGCGTCAATGTCTTTTCCAGATCTTTGATCATGTCTTCTAAACAAAGACCATCCGATTCGCCATACGCAAACAGGCTCCCCAGGGCCAGTGGAGACAACGCATAGTCTAAAGCTCTGACGTTGTTCTTCATTACCAATGTGAGGAAATAATTTCTGTTCGCGTCGAGATAGATCCCTCGAAAGCATCCTCGAAACAATCCGTAGATGTTGTCAATGCCTGATTTTGACCGCGACTGATTTTGTGCAACCACTTGGTGTATGAAGCGCAGAATATGAGGAGACGATGCAAAACGCTGTAACATCGCATCCCCGCCAGCTTTCAGCAAAGTAGTCAGTTTTAGTCCCAGATTGTCTTGTATCCACAAAAGCGCATTGTAACTACCAAGGTCCAATGCCTCTGCAATGAAAGAGTCTTGGAAGGAAGATACATCGATTCCAAACTCATCGACCAAATATGATATGTGCTGCAAACTACAGTCATCCTCTATTGCATTTCTAAGCCTTGCCCGAGGATCGTCCCGAGCGATGTATTCATCCGAGTCTTCGAGGATTAAGCATCGGTGTACCTTCCCCTTGTGCTGAAATGAACATTCGTAGAATCCCAAGAAAACTGCGTACTTTGGACTCTTTCTAGCGTCTTGTTTGATTTTCATCGGAATGGTGTCAACGATTTTGCCGTCTCTCCAACCATCTCCAAGATACCTTCCTGCTAGTTTGATTCCTTCTGCTAAAGCTGCATTGAAAACAACCTTGTCCCCAACATCAAAGCGTGTAGACAGTGGGATGTCTTTAATCTCTTCTTCTGACAAGTCATCATAGACTGGCGTGACATACTCCAATTCCACTTCTGGTTGGCAAAGATACAACGGATAGGCCCGCGACAAGACGTTCCGATTGTCCGTTGCAGCCGGATGAGGCCATAATTCAATGACTTCATGCTGGATCCACTCTCCAACATCATCCTCTGGAGTGTCTTTCACGTAGCATAGCACATTGTCACCTACTTTATATCTTAGCTGGGTGAAGTGAAGGTCCGTGTAGATGTCTTTTTCGTCAACGATAATCGCTGTGGCGTTCTCTCCGTAGGCCGTAAATTGGAACTTTCCTTCTGGAAGTTCCTCGTCGCTCCCATCTGCTTTGCGACGAATGACTCCCCGAAACATGCGATTTCTATTTGCAGGGTCGTAGTAGCGAACAAAATCGCCATCCAGAAACGGCCGAGGCTTTCCGCCGTAAGCAAGCTCGTGCTCGTTAGCAGATGGATCATCCTGGTATTCTTCCTCTTCTTCGCCTGCTTTTCTTTCTTCTTCCCTACGCTCGGCCCTTTCTCTCATACGAGCCTGATGAGCCTCTTTGTTGGTGCTTTTTTTCTTTTTGCTTTTCTTGCCCATGGTTCATGTTTTTATTCAACGATCGTTTGTTGCATATTGAATATTGGTGGATGTATCATAGTATAAAATATTGAATGCCAAAGTTCGCATCGTGATGAATACAATTATTATTATATAATTCATATTTAAAAATTAGAAAGTTAATATATTGCTTGCATATATTGGTATGAAACCAGAACAAGTACACGGTACCTAATAGTACTTGAACAGCCGACAAAGGGCAGAGGATTTTGTTTTTACTTACAGTTGTCCTATATAAGACTACTTATGAGATAATGATCGGGCATTGGCAAAGAGATGGAGGTGTGTAATATTGAATGTGCTACTGTCTCGTTTCAATCTTCCATCATTCTATATGCATTATAGGATACTTTCCCACGATACAAGGCACTGATGGTGAATACAGTCTAGCACGATCTGCCTGATCACAATCGTCGAATGATCTTGCGCTGTAGATGATCGACTGATTCCTCCGACATAAATGGAACCAACCCTCGACACAGATTCTTCGCTTCCTCTACCAGACCCTCATACAATAGTGACTCCACGACGCTTGCGCCTTCCATCTCCAACAGATGATATTCCGATGACAATTCACCATCATCGTCGCCCACTATTGACTTATCTTTTCCATGGCCCCCTGGTGTCAGGACAGGGAGTCTCATTTGAAACCGAACGCTCGATCGATGCGTTCGCGCCTTGCGGGCCAAACCATCATCTCCGGCCTCTCGAAAGCAATAGATGGCCTTGTCCCACAATGATTCGGCTGCCGACAAGTCTTCCTCTACTTCCGCGGCTTCCGCATTGTCCATCCCTGACGATAGCCATTCGTCCCTCGTCATTGTCATATTCTCCACATCGTCCACCTTGTTGCGACTCGCCAGTGGAACCAATGGCGTCGAAGATGATGATGCAGATTGCGACTCGGTTCCCTTACGAGTCTTGTTTCGCGCCATGGACGTCGTCGTGATCCAACGGACAAAGGCATCTCCCGCAACGCTGCCTTCTATTTCCACAAAGAACAAACGTTCAATGCTACGAGTCACAGCTGTATACAACAACTTCATGTGACCTTCCACTTCTGGATACAAATTCTGATATTCATCATTGGCTCTACCCAGCAATAAGTCTCGCCATGGCTTTTGAATGCCATCTGGAAGCTCACCAAAGAATCCCAACACCATCACACTCTTGAATTCCAAACCCTTGGCCGCACGAATACCATACACCAAGGCGTATCCACCCAAAGCACGACGCCAACGAGATACACTGGAATCGTGGACCAAGATCATCGTTCCGTTTAGCTTGGTCTTGATGACAGACTCGACCATTGCGGTCGATACCTTGTACAGCACTCCAGGTCTTGGACCCACAAAGACACCTCGATCTTCCTTCAGCTGCTTGGCGCTATGAGGAAACGCACCAAACATGCACGACAAGATGGCTCCAGCCGTGTTCAGAATACCAGCGTGACTGCGGTAATTGACATTGACCGTCTTTGGCTTTTGCAGCAACAGCCCACTCTTGTCCTTGGCGATATGATATTCGACGGAACGGATGTCTTCAAATCGAAACTCAACTCCCTCTACGACACTCTGTGCTGGATCGCCAGCCAAGAACAGATCGCCAGGTCCGCTCAAATAGAAAAACAGCAAAATCTCCGCTTGAGTGTAGTCCTGGATTTCATCCACATAGATCTTTCGCTTGCGGATTTGGTGGTAAATGTCGGGAGCGGTGGTCTTGGATGACTCCAGCCGTTGCAACAGCGCCATGATGCGATCGCAGTCGTCCCACAGGTTGTACTCTTCCATATACCGCTGGTACTTCACAAAGATATCGTACACGATGGGTCGCTGCTCGTCGACACCCAGGCGACAACGCCTGCTACCAAAGATCTCCAAATTCAAGAACGACTGTCGATCCACGACATGATTGTCTGCCTGCAGCTGTGTTGTAGCCTCGATGGATCCCTTGATGAAGGATCGGATACATGACCATACCAGCAACGGGTCGATGCCTTTGTCGCCCGAGTACACCTCCGTCTTGAATCTTTGAAAAGTCATCCGTTCGCTGCGCCGAAACATATCTCGAATATTATCCACTCTGGGTAGTGCGTACTCCAACCTCGACAACAACTCATCAAATGTGGTAAAGGTCATGCTTGTCGTTACCACGGTTGTACCACCATTGGCATTACCATTTGGATTCTGTGTCTGTCCCACAGTCTCTGATACATACTTGCACAACCGACGAGACCGAGCTACAAAGAGCTGTGTGAAAGTCAAGTCGTGCACATTGACCTGACGATCGTAGTCCATTCGACTCAAAATACAAACAGTCTTTCCTGTTCCCGATCTACCTAGAAGCAACACGGTCCCCGTCGTCTCGACGATGTCTCGTTCTTCATCGGTCAACTTCAAACGGGGCGTCCAAGAGTCTTCCACGACTTGGCCGACCTCATCGATGCCACCAAACTGATATACTTTCAGAGGAACATTTCCAGTCGGATCTAACATGATACGACTTGGATTCGTATTGTGATCCATCGTTTCAGACACGTCAACAAACAAGCTATCACCAGGCACAAGTTGTCGGTTGCTTCGAGCATTAGAGTCATCAATCAGCCTTACCATCCGAGATACATTGTCGTGCTTTGCAACATACCAGATCAGCATGTTGGCACCTTCTTCGGTCCACAAAATTCGAAAGCCTGACTTTTGTTCCAAATAGGTCTCGTACACGGTGACCGTCTTGCTGCCTTTCAGTCGTTTGGCAAGGATACGGCTCCGCTCACCTTGAGAAAGCTGGGTGATGCGACGAACGAAGAAATCTCTGTATTTGGAATCTCCCTGCTTCAGCCACTTGACAACGTGAGGAGTATACTGGATGGTTTTGTATGCAATTTCGTCCATTGTTTTGCTCATATCTGGAGATGGCATCGGTCGGGACATCTTTCTGATTTCATTATCATCAACGTTTGGTTGGTTTGACGCATTGTCAAAGATGGTATTTTGGACACTTTCCATGGCAGTATCAAGCACTTCCAACGTCTCAATCATATCGTCTGAAATTTCACGAGTGGTGCTGATGTCGTTGACAATAATACCCTCATCAGCTTGTAGTTCTTCGGACGATTTCACAAAATCAACTGTTGAGTCACGGATTGATGACCACTCAGAAGCGCCAACCATCGTATTTCCGATGAGGTCAATACATTTGCACCAAACATGCTGAAACAAACGAGAGCTCTCCACATGTGCATAAGAACCTGCGTTCTTGTAGCTTGTCTCACTGACCAACCACGGCATACTGCTTGCAGTTTGGAAATTCCGCGACGAATTGATGCCATCCTTCGTCTCGCGTTTCTCTCGCAAATTGCATTCCTCAAAAACTTGGAAATGATCCGCATTGCGTTTCGCTGTCGAATCCATAATGTAGCATTCTTCGCCTTGCTCGACTCTGCAACAACCTGCAACACGGTCCGACCATTAGCATCCAACTGGTTTAGACTGGCAATGTCTTCTTCCACCAACCACTTCAATGCATCAACTCTATCGTATGCAGCTGCAATGTGAACAAGACGCAGTCCACTCCGGCCGCACGCCGTCGCATCAAGACTTCCTTTTGAAATTTCATGCTGATGATCTTTGACAGATCCTCCGTTTTTTTCAAAGCATCAAATTGCTGAAAGAGCTTGTCTTGCTGCTTGATTAGACTTTGAACGAGCTTTCGTGCTTCCTCATTTCCCATCCAGGACCCAAGCTTCGAAGCGAAAAGTATAGGGATACCTATTTTTGTCATCTTGTCTACCCATTTGGAAAAAAATGAGTTCCATTCAGTGCCTTTTTGAGATTGGCGTATTTCAATCAATGAAACAATAGAAGTTGTCAATCGTTGGAGAACCTTTCTTTCTTCACTTGTGCACTGATGCCCTACTCCAAGACAGTCGACCAAATGCAACAAACATCGAATGGACTCAGCAATGGTCAAAACGTAAGATCGATTCACAATCTACAATGCCGCAAGCAAGATGTGCCGCTTTTCATACTCCCCAAAAGCAACAAAAGTTTCGATTTCATTCCGAAAGGCTTGGTTTATTTCACCCGAGGTTTCAGTGGACACCCGACAATATCGAAGCAAGAAACCATGGGTGTAGAAATAGCAAAAAGATTTTGATACATCATCCATCGATAATGTCTGGATGCTCCTTCTAGACTCAGGATCGTCCTTCCCATCTTCTGTAAAGTAAGTGTTTGGAAAATCACCTTCAAGATATGTCGCATACTTTCCCTTTACAGGATCAACTACGCTGATGGTGCCTTCACCAAAATCATGAAAATCTTCAAACCTTCCTCTTTCTAAAGCTTCCAATGCCACGTACTAGCTTCGGTCATGTAGCGAAGAGGAAAAAACGATTTCCGGTGTCTCTTCAAACAGACCAATACGCCAATGGAAATACATCGAAAATACGCCAACAAGTGGTCATTCGGAATGAGTCTTACAATGTCATTCCTGTCAAGACAAGATGCCACATATGCCATGGTGACTTCTTTTTTGGCATTCAACTTTCGATTGCTCTGTAGGCAGAACCGAATTACATCAACATTCCCATCAAGTGGAAGCACTATATGGAGCATGTGGAAATTGTCCGGGACCCAAACGTTTGCCTAAGGGATTTCAGCTTCACACGATCAGGCTTAGAATAGTAGCCATTGAAATCGATTTCTCCAAAGTTTGTGACACAGCAAAATTCGTCGCTAGGAAGTTCAGCTTCCTCCGCAATTATTTTTGAACACGTCCGAATTAGCTCGAGCATGCTTTGCAATTGCTTCTCGCCAGATTGCGAGACCAGTAGTCTTTCAGTCTCCAACAAACTTTGATTGTGTAACTCTCTGATAACCATTACTTTTGTGACCACATATGACAATTTTTTCTGCAACTTATACGGCAACAATAGGTGCATCAAAGGGTGGGGATCAGAGATGTAATCTCGAACTTTAACAGATCGTAGCGAAATAGAATCAAATGCGTGAGCTAGCACTTCTGTACCAACAAATTCAATGGCATCAACTTCCATATAAACGAAATCATAGTCCTTATCCTCAAAGAAATTATTGCTCCCGAAACGATCTACCCGAGAAGCTGCAATCATCCTGGTGCACAGCCAAAGACAAAAATCTAAAGCTTCAACTTCAAGGCATCGCGTGACAACCGACGCGTACGAGTAGTTGAGGTCTCCTGTATCATGCATTTTCCAGCAATCGACAGCTTGCCAGCATTCAACATCCATACACTTTGATTGAAGTACGTGATACTTTAATGCATCCAACGACGGGAACTCCTCACAAGCCATGGTGAGCATCAAATTTAGATCCTGTTCCAATTGCGAAGATGCAAGTGAGGGTGGAACCCAACTCCGAACAAACTCATAACTAGATTTCGATGCAACCTCAACAATCGAAACATGGTTCATGTCAACTACCGGACACCCACGCGAAAGTAGTACATCCGCAATAGCAATGTGCCCACACGATGCCGCAACATGAGCTGCGTACAAGCCTTTGTACTTGCCGTCTCCAACAGACTTCATCACAAGCGATGCAAATGTTGACAAAGTGCTCAAGTAACAATGCATTATCTCAATGCGTCCAAAATGTGCCGCAGCGTGAACCAAGTTGAAATCCGCAGTCGGGTCCGAAAGAACGTCAGCCCCGTGCAGATCAAATAACCAATTCAAAGTTTGAATGTCGTCGTACTGTATCGTAAGGAGCGACAAAAGAAAAAGCTTGTTTTCCCTCCATGCACCTGTTGAGTGTCCCAGCCCAAAAGCAGAGTCAATCGTCATCTCAAGATGGGATTCAAGTTCTGGTTCGATATCACCAGTGAAAGATGAGTAACCGCGCTCATCGACCCAGCGAACGGCGCTACACTGTCTCGCTGCGATTGCTAAAGCCAGGCTTGGTTGCGGGGAGTCTTTTTCTTTCACGAGATAGTCGAGCAGCTTCCATTGGTCTTCAACATTATCATCGTCTGTCATTAGTGCTATCTTGCGCTCAAACATGTGGATGCAGCAATCTCTTTTGTGTTCAGAAAGCCCAGCAGTTTGCCTCAAACTAGATACTCTTGTCATCATTTCGTCGATCCATGCCTTGCAATCGAAGTCCTGTTTCTCCAGGAACTCCTCTAAGCGTCGGTGGTACTCTCCCAATCCATCAGTTTCCAAAGAATATCCATCTGTATAGAAACTTTTAGTTTCACCAATGACAGTGGCATCAACCAACGAAACGTAGGTATATTTTTCTTGATCCCTATTAACCCATTTTTTCAGATCCAGCTGCACATATTCTCCCTGGTCATCACGGTTGTTTTCGATGAAAATCGAGTCCCGGTGATCGAGTAACGTTGGATCCTCTTCTATCATCAGGTGGAGAAGGTTGTAGTCTCTACGTTGACCAAGTGACAGCAAATTTGACTTTGCTTGCAACTTTTCATCCTTCATAGCACCTACGGCAAAGTAGTCACAATTGCCAACATCAATCAAGCGGTAATCCCAGCAGTGTCGCAAATATTGCCGCATTCTTGATTTTGCATGCGACGCCTGAAAATTTTCTCTGAGCAATTCTTGATTGTAGGTGAAAGCAAGGGTAATGCGAAACATTTCTCGATAGGCTTCGAGTCGATCTGCAATGTAACGAAATTGCCAAATTAACGAAGATGGCACTGCTTCAGTCGATTTGTGCTGACCAAAAAACAAAATCCCAAGTGCCAACGGAGACAAGAAATAGTCGTAAGCTCTGATACTGCTCTTCTTTATAAGTGAAACAAAATGATGTCTGCCGTCCCTGTCGTCATCAATTCCACGAACCACTTCGTGGAACCTTAAAGGATTTGATTTGGATTGCGACTGCTGGTCTTCCACCACTTTTTGTAAGAACCGCAAGATATGCCTAGACGTTGCAAAATTCGTCAACATTTCATCCCCGCCAGAATATAGTATCTTAGTCAGTTTGAGTCCCAAGTTCTCTTGTATCCACCACAGAGCATTGTATCGTGCATGCCCCACTAACGAGGCAATAATTTGGTCTTGGAATGGAATTACATCGACTCCAAACTCGTCTACCAAATATGAAATATGATCCCTGCTGCAATCGTCCTCAATCGCATTCATCAGCCTCGTTCGAGGATCGTCGCGAGCAATATGTTCATCAGTGTCAGCCAAAATATAACACTTGTGAACCTTTCCATTGTGTTGAAACGAGCACTCGTAGCTCCCCATGTACTCTGTGAACCTTTTGCTCTTATTTCTGCTACTGCGGTGGATCGTTGGTGGAATCGTACTGACCACTTTGCCGTCTCTCCAACCATCTCCAAGATATCTCCCTGCTAGTTTGATGCCTTCTGCTAAAACTGCATTGAATACAACCTTGTCGCCAACATCAAAGCGTGTAGAAAGTGGAATGTCTCTAATCTCTTTTTCCGACAAGTCATCGTAAATCGTAATGGTATGTCCGACTTCCACTGCTTTGCAATCATATAAAGGATAGGCGAGGGACTTTACATTCCGATTGGCCCAATCCTCAAGGGGCCTAGGCCACAGTTTCAATACTTCGTGTTCGACCCACTTTCCGTGATCACCATCATCGTAACCTTGAAACAAGCATAAAACCCTATCACCTACTCCAAATCGTAGCTGAGTGAAGTGCAGGTCCGTGTAAATGTCTTGTTCGTCAACGATTTTCGCCACAGCGTTTTCTTCATAGGCCTTGAATTGGAACATTCCTTCAGGAAGCTCCTCCTCGTCACTCCCTTCTACTTTGCGATGAATCACTCCCCGAGACATGCGATTTCCATTTGTAGGGTCGTAGTAGCGAACAAAGTCGCCATCCAGAAATGGTCGACTCTAGCCGCCATAAGGCGGCGGATCATCATCGTAATCATCATTGTAGGCTTCATCTTCTGCTTCTTCCTCCTTCGGCTGCTTTTCTTTCTTCTTCCCTACGAGCAGCCCTTTCTTGCACACGAGCCTGATGGGCTTCTTTGTTGGTGCTTTTCTTCTTTTTGCTTTTCTTGCCCATGGTTCAGATGTTTATGCGAAGATTGATTGGTGCTATATGTACTGTATATAGTGTAGGTCGTTTGCATCGCATCGCGTACTGGCATTTTTTGGGACGTACAGGGATATTCCGCATTTTGGTGTGAATCTGAACTGGAATCGGGGCCTGACCGGCTTGCTCACTCCTTCTGCACGGGGATCTGTGATCCGACATCATCACTGCTCGTGGAATTCATTCTTGGTCGGTGATCGTCGCGTTTTGGTCGTAGTTCGTTAAATTTTCTGTGAATTTTTCACAGATGTTCCGAAATCTCTGTGAATGACCAACAGATGTTCCGAAATCTCTGTGAATTTTTCACAGGTTTTTTAAGGGTCTTCACAGATGTTCCGAAATTGCCGTGAAGTTTCAACAGAGGTTCAGCTGACATGCGTGCACGCATGCCCTTTCGTAAAAGCACCATACAATTTCGGTAGAGGAAAAAACGGTTAATGGTGTGCGCAAGCAATGCTTGGTCGTCTGGGTCAAAAATTCTGTGAATTTTTCACAGATGTTCCGAAATCTCTGTGAATTTTTCACAGATGTTCCGAAACTTCTGTGAATTTTTCACAGGTTTTTTAAGGGTCTTCACAGATGTTCCGAAATGTCAAAATTGTGGCGAATGGTGGGTTCAGCTAGGAATATAACATTTATGGCTGCACTATGTAAAACTAGTCGTAGACTTTTTTCCACGGTCGTCTGAGTCAAAAAGTCTGTAAATTTTCTATCGTCTGAGTCAAAAATTCTGTGAATTTTTCACAGATGTTCCGAAATCTCTGTGAATTTTTCACAGATGTTCCGAAACAAACAATTTGATGCGTCATCGATTTGCACAACAATGACTGCGGAAAGAGATTGCTGTTAGAAAAACGTTATTGCTGTAGAAAAACCAGAGTCACACATTGTAGGCAAAGTCACACAGCGCAGGTACGTAAAAAGGTATGGATCTAGTTTATTCATGATAAATTTTCTTCCTGGACCATAGTTCTTTTGTTTGTACTCTTTCTCCGACCAGCTGATCACCTTTGCTTCCAGTGCCCAAAGAACTTTCACCCAGTGCCATAGGTTGTCGTCTTGGTCCCGTTGTGTGCTTATCCCAGAAGCTGAGGCAAGGGAGTTGATTGCAACTAGCAATCGCTTAAGCCCCTCCTTGCTCCTGTCAGATGGGCGGAGCCCCAAGTCTTTGTTCGTACAATTCAAAATGTCTTGCCAGAGAATGAATAGAGTGCTGGGGCGTTGGCCAAAATGAGCCTTGAAAACTCCAATATTATGCTCCTTGAAGTTGTCATCAGTAATTGTGGTAGGTGAACCCCCAATCATTTCAAATCCGTAGATCAGCACCTGTTCTGGTGTCACTTCGATTCCAAGCATCATCCTGAAAGATTCTGAAACTCTCTTCGCGTTTTCTCTTCAAAATCTCAAGCAAGCGTGACCAAATTTGAAAAAAACGGTTAAGTTGGCACCGTCTTCTGAGTTGAATTTTCTATCGCCTGAGTCAAAAATTCTGTGAATTTTCTATCGTCTGAGTCAAAAATTCTGTGAATTTTTCACAGATGTTCCGAAATCTCTGTGAATTTTTCACAGATGTTCCGAAACTTCTGTGAAAAATTTACAGGTTTTTTTGGGGTCATTACAGATGTTCCGCAATTGCTGTAAAAATAAAACAAACTTTAAAATTAAATCTGGCGAATGAAGTTGAATACTTAACGGCATTGTGAACATTTATAAAATTCCTTGTCGTAGAAGTTTCTTTCTGGCAGGCAATAAGTGAAAGTCGATTTTTTTGAAGTTTCGTGCAGAAGAGGGTGAAAATGACCACATCGACTCTCCAAAAAAAGAAAAAAGCTGGCTTCACAGAAAACTGCGGGATATCCCAGTAGTGCTTTGGATCTTTCAAACTTATTGACGGACACTCGAACACATGATTGATTTGATTTTGATTGTGCTCAATGCGCCGTTCACGAGCACGAATGAAGTTGAGATCGGAAGTTGATTCGTACGACTTAGCTGACGTGTCTCTTTTTACAACGGACGCGGTAGGAATTTGCGTACCCTAGAAAGGCACATGTATTTTTTTTTAAAGAAGTTGAGTCACACCTACTCCCATCACGATCGATCCATCATCGTTTTCGGAACACAAGAACACAAGTCATTATTTCAAAACACACCGACAAACGATACTATGGAAATCAACCTGATCAATATCCTGAACTTTATCTTTTATGTCATCAACATTATCATCACCTACGGTATCGGAAATGCCGGCTGGGCGAACACTCCAGACAATGGTGAACTCTCCGAGAAGTATCAGACGCTGATTACACCCAATGGGTCGGCCTTCTCCATTTGGGGATTGATTTTCGTTGCCGAAGGAATCTTTGCCGTTGCCCAACTGTTCCCCAAGTTCAGCAATGAAAAGATGGTTATGGAAGGTGTCAAATACTGGTGGGTTTTGGCATGCATCTTTCAATGCGGCTGGACTATTGCCTTTGCATTTGAAGTCATCTGGTTGTCCCTTGTATTCATGCTTTTAATCTGGAGTTCTTTGGCAGCCCTTCTCTACTCTCAATACTACACCGAATCCAAGGGAACACTTTTGGAATTCTGGCTACTCCGATTCCCTTTTGCCGTCCACTGTGGATGGTTGACTGCTGCTTCGGCCTTGAACGTCAATGTTGTGGTCGTGGATATTGATCAACCTGCTGATATCCAGTTGGCCTGTGGAATCATTTCCTTGGCTGTGCTCCACGCCATTTCGGTTTGGGTCGTCTTTGGATTGCAAAAGCCCAACTACACCATCGCCGTAGTCTTGGCTTGGGCCAATTACTTTATCTACGTCGAACTCGAAGAACCCAAGCAAACACTCTTGGATAGTGGATTCTCCTCTGACACTCTATCGGGAGTTCGTTACGCCGCTGTCGCCGTTTCTTGTATCATCCTACTGCAAATTGTCATTCGTATACCAACTGATATCTACGCAAGAAAATTCAAAAAGCAAGAACCACAACAATCTGATGAGGTCACCAACAAAAAGGACGAGAAACAAGAAGGTGCTCCAGTTGGTGATGATGTCTAAATGATGTCATCCTCACACGCGGACATGTCCAAAAATGATATTGTGTACAGGTACTGTACCGGTATGTCTCGACGTTGATAAGAATATCCGATGCTCGTTGGAAAGGTGAATATCTCAGTTGGACTAGAAATTGACAAGATCGAGCATCTATCGAACCGGCAGCGGAGCATTTGTTACAAACGTTCCTAGAAATTTATAGATTGTGATTTTTCATTCATTTCTAGCTTTTTAATTTACATCTGATGGGATTTTCACACACCGCAATAGAGAGCTTCCTTGGGACATGTATCCAATACATTGCACTGTTTGGAGAGGTTTAGTGGCCTAATTATGATAAAACGACAACACGGCCTCGAACGAATACACGACGGGCCCTGACGTCCATTGTTCCAGACCACGACTACCTGGCCAATATGATACACACAGAAGGATCCACATTCAAAGGAAAGCTCAAAGAAAGTAACAAGTTTACTTTTTCATGTAGGCTTCCTTCTCCTGTGCCCACTTCTCGTGGTCAATGCCAAGGCCCTCGGTCCTGACACCTCCTCGGAGCTCGACAAACTTTTCCATTACTCCTGTCTTATGCTCCTCTCCCCAAGTGGTCAACACAGCTCCACGCTTGTTAGGGTTGACGTAAACACCCTTGTACGTCAAGGCATTGATTGTCATTCCAGTCATGAAAAGCATTCCGCCGCTCATGATGGCAATGATGGGGTAAGTGGATGGGTCGCTCAGCCATTCCTTCTTGAAGTCGTATCCTTTGCGAGGCTGATAGGTAGAAACAAAAAGGTACGTATGTGAGAACAATTGTCGTTGGCAAGGTATATGCGGATTGGGTTGACGGGAAAGAACAAGAACAAGAACGACTTACTGGGAATGCAGCGCTTGCCTTGGTGCGCATTTGGCTGCGAGAAGCTTGTGCGACAGAGCGAGAGATTGTAGGTCTAAGTGCGTTCATGATGAATATGATTGGGGTATAGTCGTTGGTTGGTTGGTTGGTTTGGAATTGTAGCTTGTTTGTATTTGCTCAAGTTTGTTTTTGTGAGACGATGTGTGTCTCATTTTCTCACTCCGTACCCGAACCCTAAACTTGATGTTTCTGTTCGCCGGTTCGCATTCGAACCTTTTCCTTGCGCGTTGTGTAGAAATGTACTCGGATTCTACGATATGTGAAAGCTGGGTTGTTTTCGAACAGCTACAAGAACGAAAAGGGAGCTCCAGGGGGCTGATGAAGGTGGCTGGTGAGCCTTATATCCAATACTGTATTGTGTACAAGCATGTCAGCTTCTGGAGGACATGTATTCGACGTTGATGACATCATCCAATGCTCGTTGGAAAGGTGAATATCTCAGTTGGACTAGAATTTACAGAGGTGGAGTATCTATCCAACCAGCAGCTACAAAGAGCATTGTTACCAACGTTCCTAGAAATTAATAGATTGTGATTTTTCATTCATTTATAGTTTAATTTACATCCCATGGGATACTAATACACCGCAATAGAGAGCTTCCTTGGGACATGCATCCAATGGCCTAATTATGATAAAACGACGCCACGGCCACGAACGAATACACGACGGGCCCTGACGTCCATTGTTCCAGACCACGACTACCTGGCCAATATGATACACACATAAGGATCCACATTCCAAGGAAAGCTCAAAGAAAGTAACAAGTTTACTTTTTCATGTAGGCTTCCTTCTCCTGTGCCCACTTCTCGTGGTCAATGCCAAGGCCCTCGGTCCTGACACCTCCTCGGAGTTCGACAAACTTTTCCATTACTCCTGTCTTATGCTCCTCTCCCCAAGTCTTCAACACAGCTCCACGCTTGTTAGGGTTGACGTAAACACCCTTGTACGTCAAGGCATTGATTGTCATTCCAGTCATGAAAAGCATTCCGCCGCTCATGATGGCAATGATGGGGTAAGTGGATGGGTCGCTCAGCCATTCCTTCTTGAAGTCGTATCCTTTGCGAGGCTGATAGGTAGAAACAAAAAGGTACGTATGTGAGAACAATTGCCATTGCAAAGGTACATCCGTGATTTGGTGGATGGGAAAGAACATTGAGAAGACTTACTGGAAAGGCAGCGCTTGCCTTGGTGCGCATTTGGTTGCGAGAAGCTTGTGCGGCAGAGCGAGAGAATGTAGGTCTAAGTGCGTTCATGATGGATGTAATTGGGTTAAAGTTGTTGTTTGGCTGGTTTGTATTGGCTCAAGTTTGTTTTTGTGAGACGATGGTGTGTCTCATTTTCTCATATCGTACCCGAAGCCCAATTTCGAAATCTAGTATGATGTTTATTCTCCGGTTCGCATTCGAGTTCCGTGTGTAGAAAATGTACTTGAATTCTACTAGGATGATGTGAAGTGAGTATTTTCGAGTATTTTCGAAAAGCAAGAACCGAGTACCTGGTAGGAGTAGAGTGTGGCTGGTGAGCCCAAATGATGTCATCATCACGCGCATGGAAGGAAATGGAATCGACGCTATTGACATCATCCAGAGCCCGCTGGAAAGGTGGATATCTTAGTAGGACTGTCAAATTTGACCAAATGAAGTATCTGCTAAACAAGAACCAGCCGTGGAGCATTGTTATCAAAGAAAAATATAGATTGTGATTTTTGATTTATTTCTAATTCTAATTGTTATTTACATCTGATAGGACTTCTATATACCGCAATGAAGAGCTCCCTTGGGACATGCATCCAATGCCTTGCGCCGTTTGGAGAGGCTTAGCGGCCTGGTCGACACGGCCACTCATAAATACAAGACGGGCCCTGACGTCCATTGTTCCAGACCACGACTACCTGGCCAATATGATACACACATAAGGATCCACATTCCAAGGAAAGCTCAAGGAAAGCTCAAAGAAAGTAACAGTTTACTTTTTCATGTAGGCTTCCTTCTCCTCTGCCCACTTCTCGTGGTCAATGCCAAGGCCCTCGGTCCTGACACCTCCTCGGAGCTCGACAAACTTTTCCATTACTCCTGTCTTATGCTCCTCTCCCCAAGTCTTCAACACAGCTCCACGCTTGTTAGGGTTGACGTAAACGCCCTTGTACGTCAAGGCATTGATTGTCATTCCAGTCATGAAAAGCATTCCGCCGCTCATGATGGCAATGATGGGGTAAGTGGATGGGTCGCTCAGCCATTCCTTCTTGAAGTCGTATCCTTTGCGAGGCTGATAGGTGGGAAACAAAAAGGTATGCATGTGAGAAGAATTGTCGTTGGCAAGGTATTTGCAGATTGGGTTGACGGGAAAGAACAAGAACAAGAACGACTTACTGGGAAGGCGGCGCTTGCCTTGGTGCGCATTTGGTTGCGAGAAGCTTGTGCGACAGAGCGAGAGATTGTAGGTCTAAGTGCGTTCATGATGAATGTAATTGTGTTAAAGTTGTTGTTTGGCTGGTTAGTATTTGCTCGAGTTTGTTTTTGTGCGAGACAATGGTGTGTCTCATTTTCTCATATCGTAGGTACCCGAAGCCCAAGAAGGTCAGAAGGGCGCAATAAAAATTTCTGGTTCGCATTAGAGCCTATTCTTTGGGTAGAAATGTACTGCGATTCTACACATGAAGGCCGAGTTCGGATCGTTGATTGAAAGCCTGCTTGGAGTATTGCCGTCTTGCGGTCTCCCGGAAAATTTTGCATGTCGCTGGGACATCTTGCTGTCGAAATTTTGGCATGAAGTTCCAATTTTCAGAGAGAAGTTTGTTGACACAACCAACATCACAAATAGCAAAAGACTTTTTTGGGATTTTTGCTCTGTAACAACTTTTCCACCACCACGTCCGCCACATCTACTACAGCATCTTTATGGACATGCGCCAAATGCCATCGACCTTCATCGATATCCAACATGCTGATGCTCTATCAGCTACCAATATACCACTTACCCCAGTCGTCAAACCTACCGCAAATGCCGACCCGAATCCTGCAAACACGATTGATAGTGACATTGTGAGCACCGGCTCCGATGGAACAGACACTACCGCGAACGAAAGAAGCTGCTGTTGCCATCACGACGATAGTGACTTGGATCATGGGTGCATGCATTACTGCGAGGCAGAAGCTGCTGTGGGCAGCCTCACATGCACCAAAGTAAAGTCAATCCTGAAGGAACCCTATCCTGATTGGGCCTCCATTCGAAGCGAAGGCCCCTGGAAACGGCTGTCAGAGCCACAATTGCCACTTGGGCCTGTCGAAGAGAAACCAAAAAGAGCTCGACACAATCGAAGCGTAAGCTTCGATTCGGTTAAACTACGCCAGTACAATCAGACTCTTGGGGACAATCCATGTGTTCCGTATGGGCCGCCCATCCAATTGGATTGGAAGTACGAAGAGGAAGAGGTGGCCATCCCTGTTGATGAATACGAAGGACGAGACCGAAAGTGGAAATTTCGACAACAGATGGTCATGAACTGTCACAAAAGAAGGACTTTGCTGACATTCTACTATGGGTTCTCGGAAGAGGAATTGAAACAATCAGAAAAGTCAGTTCGCAAAATCCAACGATCGCGCTACTGGACACAAGCATTGGAGCCAGTAATCGTCTTGGAGGATGCCGTTAGTAGTGCAGTTCAAAGGGCAAAGAAATTCGTCCACAAGAGAAGGAAGCCACGAAGTAATAGTGTCTAATGCGAAGGCTGACAAATTTTCACGAATGCAAATCCCGAACCCAGAAATCTTTAGGGGAAACCACAATAGAATAGAAGCTAGCTACTTCCTGAAGATAGAATCAATAACTAGACATACTAGTAAGGATCTATTATCCAAGTAAAAGGGTCACTGTTAGACATACAAGGCTGCAATCAGCCTCATTCACCAGATACACAAGTTGCAATTGCGAATACGAAAAAGCATTTGTGAAATTGCATTGTCACGTGGGGAGATCGGGGACAAGCTTCGTTAAGTGTCACAAGGGCCAATTCTCCCGACATACTTATGAATCTCGCTCACGTGTGGTGTCATCTTGGTGTCATCTTCAATTTTTCAGTTTCCATTTTTGCGACTAAGTTTTTCCGATTTTATTACTCGGGACTGCAAATCAAAATGGCTGCATCCACAGTCCGAGATATCTTCGTCTGTAATCCGTCCGCATTTTTTCCTTTTTGGATTTCGCAATGCGATGGGATGTCAGATATCATGGATCCATAGATTCTTCGACAATAAGAGGAGCTAACAGTACCAACATGCCATGAAGCTTTCTATTCTTCTGTTCTCGATATGGATTTCAGCCATCTTTGGTAAAACCATCAAGCCGAATGAAAAAGGTCAACAACAAAACGCTGAAAGCAGTCATGGGAAACAAAGCAAGAGAAAGAAAGATGGTCGACCCAACTTTATTGTGTTGTTTATGGACGATCTTGGATATGGGGATATGGGTTTCACAGGTCACCCTACGACTAAGACCCCCAACTTGGACCGCCTTGCCTATCATGGAAAGATTTTGACAACATGGTATTCTGGTTGCAGCGTTTGTTCTGGATCTCGAGCAGCGTTGATGACCGGGCGACAGTTTCCACGTTTTGGCCTTCCCGGAGTCTTGGGTGCTGCAGGAAATACTGGGCTTCCTCTTAATGAAACCACTATTGCCGAGCAACTGAAGAAAGTCGGCTATTCGACTGGAATTGTTGGCAAGTGGCATTTGGGTCAACGTCAGGTGTATTTACCAGCGAATCGAGGATTTGACTTTTATTTGGGTAAGCAAATAACAGGAACACTATGACAATTGGATCAATGGTCAGACCTAATCGCATATCTCGAATCTTTAGGTATTCCGTACAGCGATGACATGGGTGCTGGGGTGCAGTCGGCGTGTCCAGCGGGTCTAGACCCGGGCAATGAAAGGTACCAACAATCCAAAGCGTTTGCTCAAGACTTTCCAGATAATCCATTTGCACCCAACGAATTAATGTATCAGCAAGGCGGCTTTCTCAACTCGCGAATAAACAACAAAGCTTCCATACACGACGCCAAGCCAGCCCATCCTGATCCTGCCGCCAACGTGTTGCCCTTGGTCTATCAGAATCGAAAGAAGAACGAGACCAAAGTGGTGGAACAACCTCTGGATTTTACCACACTGGCGGAAAAGTACAATGATTTTGTTTTAAACTTTGTGGAAGAACATCAGGAGGATCCTTTCTTCTTGTATCTGCCCTTTAGTCACGTGCATACAACTCGAAGTACTCCCGAAGAACAGTATGCTGGTTGCAAGTTTCAAGGGTCAACGGCGCGTGGTACCTTTGGCGATGCGCTGGAAGAATCCGACTGGATCGTTGGCAACCTGATGCAAAAGTTAGAAGACTTGGGGCTAGATGAGGATACATTAATTTTGTTCACTAGCGACAATGGTCCATGGCTCATTAAGGATCTTTCAGGAGGTAGTGCTGGTTTGTTCACTGGGCGATTCGCCGGCTATTGGAATACAGGCAAGGCTACGACTTGGGAAGGTGGCATTCGCATGCCAGCCTTTGCTTATTGGAAAGGAAAGATTCCGCCCTTCAGCCGTTCCTCGGAAATTGTCAGCTCGTTGGATGTCTTTCCGACTCTTTCCTCCTTGGCAGGTGTCTCGCTTCCTCCCAACCGCACCATGGACGGGCGGGACATGTCGGACATTTTATTGCAGGAGCATGGGAAATCGCAACATGACTTCTTATTTATCTATGGCAACTGTGGTAAGGGTCCCTATTGGGAAGTGTCTGGAGTCAGGCATGGCGACTACAAGGCACACTGGTGCACAATGCCCGGATTGCAGGACAACCGGACGGCCATGATTCACCGGTACGATCCCCCATTGCTGTTCAATGTGGCAAAAGATCCGTCCGAAGCCTCTCCCATTTCGTACAATAAAATGCCAGAGGACCCCCACGATGCTGCTGTCATGAATCGCATTTTGAAGGCATACGCCATGGAAAAGGCTACCTTTGAGTTTGGAAATTTGGTACCGTATCCTGATGGTCCTGGTGAAGGCCCAGGTACTTATGGGGTATGCTGCGATAGAAAACGAGACTGCTACTGTCGCGGCGACAGTATGGGTGTCAAGCATAATGTTGGTATTTTTGGACTAGGAACCGCTGAACATCATGACAAGTACCATGAGGCAATGGGAGAAGAGGAGCCATGGCCACCAGTTACTTCGACGCAGGCCATGTTGCACGAGTGGAAAACAGAGAATCAGAAACAGCAACTTCGGTCCAAAGTTTACTGATAGACATGGAATTGTGGGATTGTTGTTTTCATTTTTTTCTTTTCCAACGCTTCCGTACTTTAGCTTTAGACAACAATTGATTCCAGGAAGAACTAGAGTACTGGTACTATACTGTAGTGTAATGTTTTTCAATGCTTGTGTGACCTTCAGTCAGGAGCAAAATCATCTTTGCGAAACAACAACCTATTTATTGGTTACAATACCGATCGCTTTGGTTTTGAGATTTATATTGGCATGCGAAGCTCCGACCAACTTCAACTGGGTACATGTGTATCAAATTCGTCCAAGCACTTTTCTGTCAAATGTACCACTCTGTAGATTTAATGCTACTGATGTTTTCGTACTTCGTAGATCACTACAGAGTGATTGGACAGGATCTCCTTTCGAACACGGCGGCCCTATGCAATCTTTGAATCTCAGTGCATGCTTTTTTTTCACAATACTGAGCTCATAAAGACATTTGATTGATTCATTCATTCATTCTAATTTCTTCCGTCATAGACAAACAGCATCATGGACACTAGCGAGCGCTCCGAATCAAAGAATCGATCTCATCGGACTTCTTCTCGACGACGTGAGAAGGATCGATCAGCCAAAGCCAGAGCGAGGAAAAGCGATGGTCCTGCGAAGGTTGGGGCTGTAGCTGTCGGCGTTGTAGGCAACTCGAAGGAAGATAAGAAACAACGTTCAAGTCGTCGACACAAAGAAGATAAAGAGGCCAAAGACAGAGCCAAATCTAGTCGACGATCTGAAGCAGATCACGATGCCAAGCGGAGAGCTAGACCCTCTTCTCGGTCTATTTCCCCAAAGCCTGGGGCAGTAGCATCAAGTTCAAAATCTGATAGAGCTTCTCGCAAGGCAACGCCTGGAGCTGTCTCGGCCAGTCCAAAATCTGACAGAGCTTCCCGAAAGGCAATACCTGGAGCCGTCTCAGCGAGTCACACAGATAGAGCTTCCAAGAGGGAAATGGATAAGGGTAAGGGATCCGTGATGAAATCCGTCTCTTCCGTCTCTTCAAGCACAAACGACCGTATCCGTCAAAAGATTTTGGAGGAGGATGATGGAAAAGAAGCTACAATCACCTTACCACCCCTAGCTGAAAACAACCAAGAAGAGACAACCTTGGTGGCTGAAGCTGTCGACGAGTATGACGAGGAAAATGCCCATGTCAAGAAACTGGCAAGTGAAAACGAGAGGCTTCGTCAGCAGATGAATCAAATTCAGGATGAAAGAAACCAAGGCAACGAAGAGCCTGAACCTACCGAACCAAAAAAGAAAGCCTTCTTCAATCGTTATGTCGTGTGTGCGATTGTTCTTCTTTTGATTGGTGGTGGCGCCGCTGCGGGAGTTCTTGTATCGGGGGGCGGATCGGATGAAGACCCCGTCGTGCCCACAACTTCTACTAACCCAACACTTGGTCCAACATTTATTACCGCCACCAATGTTCCGACAGATTTGACCAGTGATCCAACGGGTGCGCCCACAACAGATCAACTGTACAACCCCCCATCTCTTGCAGATTGTGCTGCAATCATGAATGGAGAGCCAGTTGAAGATCAAGAAAACATGTCTGTGCGGAACTTTCAACTTCTCATGGATGTCTCCCTAGTCGATGGATTGGAGCTCGACAATACAGGAGTCACTGAAGTTGAAACCAAGACGCGAGAGAATCTCCTGCCCGAGCTGGTTGGATGCCCCATCGAGCGTCGAGCTCTAGCAGAAAAAGGGCTCTTGGAGAGAAGACTTGCAAGTGTCGACTTCATCATCGGAGATGCCAAGATTGTCGCCGAATACGAAGTGGGTGGATCCTGTGACGACGGTACTGATGATCCAGGTTCATGTTTTAGGTTGATTTTCCGATTGGAAATCTTTTTGAAAGGAAACGAGGGGATATACTTGATTGGTCGGATCCTTGAGGTATTTGGAACAGATTCATTGGTCCAAAAGCTGGGTTTGGATGAAGCAAGTTACCAAGCTGTAATACTTGCATCTGTTACTACTCTGGAAGAAACAGGTGTCCCAAGCTTCTCTCCTTCTGCAATGCCCAGTGCTTCTCCAACAGATGCGCCAAGCAAATCCCCTTCTACATTCCCGACACCAGCCCCCTCTTCTAACCCGACTCTGGCTCCTGTCATTGGTCCCACCACTTCCGAACCGACCGATTTGCCTTCTTCCGTTTCATCCCATTCTCCGACTGGTATTCCGACCTCTCTACCAACCAAAGTCCGTACCTTGGCACCATCCATTGCATCATCAGAAACCCTTCTTACAATGAATCCAACTGTGAGCGTATCTGGAACACCCACCTCGACGCCCAGCAATTTGCCAAGCTCTCTACCATCAAGAGCGCCATCTTCCATGCCTTCTGGAACCCCGTCGTTTTTGCCTTCCAACATTCCGTCAGCAAGTCCTTCCAAAACTCCAACTGACATTCCTTCGGCAAGACCTTCTGCTGTACCTTCGTCTACTCCTTCCACCTCCGAGCCATCCTTCCGGCCCTCTGAGACTCCAGTCGATTTGGTCACTGGAAGCGCATTGTTCACATCGTCGAGTTTTCGTACTACTACTAATGATTCAGGTCCCAATGTAAGTGAAGCAAAACCACCAGTGGCATGGGTTTTGGCACCTTCTTATGATTCCGACTATATGCTAACAACATGATTCCCCTGTCTTCGGTTTCATTATCACTCATTGCAGCCACTGACGGCAGAAAAAGCAAACGATGGAGCATACAACTACGGCAGTTGCTTTCGATCAAGAGACGGAGCCGGCCAGTGGTGGCAGGTGGACCTGGGACTGACCGGAACTGTAACAAGCATTACAGTTTCGACTTACAACTCCAATGCGGGAGCTTGGGCATATATCAAAGGGTCGCTGCTTGAATTGTTGGACATCAATGGAAATGTTCTGTCCACCACCACTCTTACCCTTGGTGAGACGAGGGATATTCGCGACGAGACCGTGACATTTGAAGGTGGTGGTGTTGAAAATGTTGCCAGCGTGAAGATTACCAAAACGCTAGAAGAAGGGGATCTCTACGTCTGCGAGGTCGAGGTCGTAGGGTACATTCAGTAATTCCAGATGCATACCTACAGGAGTAGTTGTTAGAAAATGCCGATACTTATGCTTTTATTTTATAGGACCTACAGTACGTACTGGAACGGCCGGGAAATAGAAATTTAGCATACAATTCTTGGGAGTAAATGTTGATTTTCCCGGCTGTCCCTGCGTAGCCAAAACATCGACTTTGTGAACTTCCACATTTTGAAATTTATTGTCAAAACTGTGCTGTGTGACGTCATCGCTTCCGAGTTTTGAAAGTACGAAGGACAGGCAGACGGGTAGAAAATCAGTCATATTTGACTCCACTTACTCAAATTCACACGATCCAAACGGTCATGAACAACAAGAAGACTTCACGTTCGTACCAGTGTAATCCGAATGCAAAACAGATTGCCCTAAGACAGAGCAAAGAGTGTTTTGTCAGAAATCACCGAAGTGCTCTTGGTATATTAGAGTACAGCTACACCGCTTTGCCTGAACCGTACATCCCCATTGTTCTTATTATTCTCCACTTCCGAGACATTCCCCAAAATTATGGATTCGCCGCTTTCACCGGTTTCACAATCCACAACATCTGAGGCACCGCCTTCGGTCTTTCAGAATGAAGATGACTCTTCCATGATGGAAGAATCCATTAACATAATGGATTCAAGCCGATCCCTGGGCACTGCTTCCTATTCAGCTGAAGCAACTCCTTCCATGAATCGATTGGTGGACAACCTAAATGATGTGGACCATCAATTTGACCAGCTCATCAATGAACAATTGAAACAAAGAGTCAGTTACAATTCTCAGGCTACCAATCAAGATAGTGATGTGGGAAGTTTGCGAGATGAATTGAACGGAGCTCGAATGGCATCTTACTCCGATTCCGTGCAAGTCGAGACTGTGGATGAAGCATCCTGTCATGAATCTGGTGTGATGCAAACGAGTCTTCGGCGGATGCCATCTGGTACGGATTCGAGTCTTGGGGACATTCAAGAAGAACAAAATGAGCTACCCTCCTGGGCAGCACCAACAACGGCACAGCCCTCCTGGACACCAACTGCGCAACCAGAACAAGCACCTGCAGTAGAAACAGTGGATGAAGCTTCCTGCCATGAAACCGGTTTGTTTAGTTCCGATCGCCGACGTTCCACAGATTCTAGCTTCAACCTTGGTGGTATACAGGAAGAGTACCAAGAGCAGTTTGATCCATCTATTTACAAAAAGAAGGCACAACCGGATGACGATGGATACGATACCGCAAGCAGTGCTGGATTTTCCAATTCGCAAGGCATGGGTCCTGCTACCCAACCGCAATGGGACAATCTCCAAAGCACTCTTGACCAACATACGGATCAAGTAAGGAGCTCCCCGTATTATAGCACGCCGTCGGGACGACCCAGGGAACGACCCCCCAGCGAAAACTATGATCCAGATACTGAATCACTGAGAAGAGAGTTGGACGGTGCCGCCTTGGAGCCTCTCAACGCCAACAGCGCCACTTCTGCCCTTCATGATGTGGAAAATCCACGGCGGGCGAGTGGATATTGGCAAGGAGGTAGTAAAGATTATGATGAAGACTACGAGGACGAACTCATAGATGTTTCACTGAGCGGAAGAAATGCTCAATCCAATGACGTGAACAACAAGAAAAAATCCAACAATAAGTCTTCCACGGAACAACTCTCCAACTTTGTCGGCAATGATTCCAAATATCAGCTAATGGTCCGATTACTTGGTGGTTGTATAGTCTGCATGGCGATTTGGACCTTGGCCATGATTATTATCCTTTTCACATGAATAGGATTGTAGTAATTATCACAAAATGAATCGTCAGGGTTACACTGATACCTCGAATCAGCATCACAACAAGCATAATATGTAAAACATCGTTTAGTTGTTAACCATTTTCAATACATATGAACGTATAATACACAAGAATTTACACCCTTTTCGAGATGACTTTGCTTTTCCAAAGTATGGTTTCTCGTCCCCTTCGTTTTCTTTGTTGTCGTGTGCCTACTTCCCAGACAACTCATCGTCCAGTTCCTGAATACACTTCTTTTTCCAACAAACACCACGTTTTTGCCGCCTTGGTGCATCAATGGTTGGCTTCATCTGCTTTGCTCCTTGTATTGACACGCAGGCAGTGTACAATTGAGGCAATAAATCCTCGCAACGTCCTGAAATGTTGGTGGCATCCAGCCAGGCGGTTGCTTCCAAAAAGTCTTGGGTATTGAAATTGTAAACAGGCAAGGATTGAGCCCGGGCATGTTCCAAGGCTACTTCCGATAGTCGGACATTGAACGAAGTACCAACAAACATGATGACTTGGGCGTTGGCCAACCAGTCTTCCATCTTTTTAAATTGATAGAAATCATGGGAATGATAGCCCTCGTCAAAGAGTAATGCTTGCGGAGCTACCATATTCTGACACAATGGACATTTCGGTGGCCCATCGAGGCTGTCTCCCATTAATCCCAAAGCCGTGGTCATGGGGAGATCATCAGTTTCAATGGAATCCATTTGTTGGTACCGGCATACTCCCTTGGCTTCCGCCAGACGTCGTTTCCGCCGGTGGCCCAAATGGACTAATCGATCATCATCATCATCTGATTCCGAGTCAGTATCAGAGTCTTCGTCAGGAATGCACTTGAACAATCCCAATCGACCATGAGCCTCTACCACTTGGTCTGACGATGCGTTGAGGCCATCCACATTCTGAGTGATTAACTTCAGATTGGGACAGAGCTCGAGCAGACCCGTCAAGGCTTGATGAGAAGGATTTGGTTTTAGATTGGGCGGAAGCTTCATGCTTTTCAACCAAAAGTCGTTGTACCAGGCCAAGGGATCCTTCCGAAAGGAATCTCGAGTGGCTGTCGACCAAACATACTCACTCCATACCCCTGATTTCCCACGAAAGGTTCGGACCCCAGCTGACGATGGATACAATGTGAATATGTTGTATAACGGTGTCACCAACAAGCAAAGTCATGAGATCATATACTTACAAGCCACTGAAATACCGGCACCAGCGATGATTACGACCCGTTTTCGATACAAGCTGATGTCGTTGGCCAATTTGGACAATGCAGAATTTCCTCGGCAACTGCGTCGTTTTCCTGGCTTGGGGACGTCTAATGAAGCCACATTCCTGCTTTTGCGGGGCAATACCGGTAGCGGGGAAGCCATGTTGTTGTCAGAGATTCTGTGACCAGACACTTCAGTTTCTCCTTTGCTGCGAACAATGAAGACGTTCCCGTGGCGCACAATATGGGAACTACAGTACTGTTTTTTAAAAATGAAGGGTACTACCTTAGACCTGTTGATGAAAGGCATTGGTGCTGATGAGCCATTTTTGGATGAGCACTAGGTAGTCGTACCTATGCTGATACAACTATAGCACTAATCAATGTAATGTACCTTATATACAGTCCCACGGATGAAAAAGAAAGCAGTCATGCAACGTCAAAATGTCCTACCTACAGCACGTCAGATCAATATCCAACTCAGTAGTAATGATCAGACCATGACAAAGCACAAAAGTCAGGATTGCAAGTTTGACTGTAGGCATCCAGCGCCTTACTCTCGTGCAAAATCGAGTTCCGCTCAAAGGTTCGGTGCAACATATCTTCTCGTTGCTTGAAATGTGACTCTTCTGGTTTGTCCGCCAGAACGGCAGAAGGACTAGGATCTTGTGTGGTCATCAACATTCCGTGATAGGTCACTCTGCCCTGGAAGGAGCAAACCTTTTGGACACCAATGGTTCCCGCGATGAATACTAGGAGGGTAACGCCGAGGGCGCAACCATTGACAATCCAATTGTCGGTTGTTGCCATACTCATACCCGCCAGCAGCAGGAACAAATCCAATGCAAACAAGCTGAAACCTACCATGGACATGGAATTGATGTAATCGGCAAAGTGACGAGTTTCCACGACATATTGATGGAACTTGTTGGGCACCACCGCACTAATTACTCGCAGGGACCAGATCCAGGCAGAAGCACACAACAGTTGCGAGATGATGAGGAGAGCGCTCGTCATGTTAAATGCAAACGCCAAAGCTTGGGGGACCCCGCCATGGATGGAGACATCGTCCGTGACGGAATCCAAAGGAAAAGCCCCCCAAAGTTCAATAGCGGCGCCCAGGAACAAGGCCGATGCCACCACGGACAATTCAATCACAAACATGGTGTGCGCCTTCAAATCAGCACCTGTCTTGGCATGCAACAGGGCTTGATCAAACAACTGTTGTTGTTGTTTCATCGAAAAAAGGGGCATCATGGTCAGCGGGTCATTGTGTAAACAGGTATAACCTTTTATGAGATTGGAGCAGAATAGTGTATCTTACCTTGGACATGACAAAACAAGAGGTACCCTCGACGGTCAAATCCGTTTTCATCATGGAATGAAAGCAGTCCGCGACCTCCTTTCCACAACACCTCTTGTTGTTAAGACTACAGGTAGCAGCAGCACCCTTTTGCGGTTCGACAGGCTTTTGTGATTGTTCTTGCGGCGAAGTGCTTTCAGGACGCAGGATTTCAGAAGCATCATTGGCCTCATCTGTTTCTGCCTCGTTCAAAGCACCTTCAGCAGTAGTAGGACTCTTGCCCTCCATAACTTGAAGGCCAGCATGTCTGTTGAACAAGGATGTTTTCTCCATGGTTTTGTGAGGATTCTTTCGAATAGCGGCTGTGCTACCATTCGACGACCGCATGCTATATGTGAGCTGATCCTTCTCTTGAATTGCCTGAGATGACCGGGATGTGAGACTCGAGGAAAATCGTTCGGGCTCCATCATTTTGTTCTGATGAGCTTTGCCTTTTGGCATGTTTATTTCTTGTTCCTCTTGAATCATAGTTTGAATGGCAACTGCCAATCCCATGGGAGCTCCCAAAGCCCGCCATTGAGAAGAATCCAACTTGGCCAATTGCCAATCATGAACAATGTATTCTGTCTTCAGTGAGGCAATGATTTCATCGAGCAAGGGCTCTTCAGCGTCAATACCAATTCCTATTCCGGCTTCACGGACTAATGTAGCTACTTCCATGATGAGGGATAGATATGATGAAGAATATTGTTGCTTGTAATGGTAGTACGGAGTTGTATTATAACTTGTTGAAAGAAGATCCTGTTGTTGTGCTTGAGCAATATTTTGATTGATTTTTCGGGTTTCGAACTTGTTCCTTGCCGGTTATTGGTTCCACCGAATTCATTTCGTGGTTTTGGATTCTTTCGCACCGGTATTCCTTGTCGACCGCATTCTACGCACTATTTTGTAGCAAAATGACAGTGTTTACCGCGGTCAATACCCTCTGTGTTTTTGACTGAATTGGAAAGTGGAGAAGCTGTCTTGTACCCCAATACTGTTGGATTTGAGAAACTGATAGTTTATGTAGTATCTTCAAACCGGCATTATTGAATAAGCAACTACATATGATCTTTAATCTACAATCTCATCATTCCATTTACAAAATCTCCGAATTGATCCAGGAAACCGCCACCTTCCCTTTCATCCATCAATCCATTAGCAATATCATAAATATCCTCAACTTCAGGATTTGAAGGCAAGTAGGGCAACGACTTGATGAGTTTGTATCCTCCTTCGGACTCTTCATCTTCTTGCCATACACTATAGGCATTTGGCCAGGTTCTTGTTAAGGCTCCCCATTGAAGGGTTCTCAAATAGTAGGTATCGACCAATCCATCCAACAAGCGTTCACGCAGTTGTCGTCCCGCCATACCGAATCCAGTGACACCCATATCGACCAAGTTGGGGTTCACAAAGACCGTTAGTTTCAAATTGTCAGAAGTAGTTTCGGTTTTCATCAAGAGTTTTTCGACATCTCCACTTTCCGAAGCTTTGGGACAAAAGAAAAAGATGATTTCGTCCTTGCTGACATCGCCCATTTGCACACCACCACAGGAAGAAAAGAGCACACAGGGTGGAACCTTGGATTCCGCTGCCGAGTTTCCCATCCAGTCGCGTCTTGCCAAAGCAGCAGATCCCTCGTCTGGGAAGTATACTCGTACATTGGGGCCCTCCCATTTATAGTCAGGATCTCGTCCACCAGTTTCTAAGATTTGTATGCAACTAGCCTTCTTTTCTTGGTCAACATCAGCATCACCTGCTTCTTCTTGATCCAAAATGGCTTGCAATTCGGCACGGGCTTGGGCCACCTTCATCATTTCCCCCTGTCGGATTTCTTGTAGACCAGGAATCATTTGATAACACACATAGGACACCACGTTTTGCATAAACTCTGATGACGTCTTTAGGATTGTATACGTTTCATCTCCAGCAGAAGTATCAAAGGTAATTCGGCACCGTCCCAATGGACCGCTGGCTTCCGCGAACTGGGCACAAGCTTTTGCAGCAATTTCTGCCGCATCTTCCATGGAATCTGGAAGTTCGGTTGGAGTGGAGACTAATGGTATGACAAAGGAAAATAGGAGGCGAAATTGGTGAGTTCATAGATTGGTGGGTAGTGGAAAACTTGACCTTGGAATGGATTCATTCTCCAATAGAGCAGACGGAACGACATATGCGGAAACCTACCAGTTTCAGTAGGAGTGCTAAAAAGTGGTGATATTATTTGAGCATGGGAAGGACGGGTGGATGTGAAGGAAACCACACTTCCAGTCAGCGCCAGTAGTAATGCACATCCAAGAGGATTCATCATGTGCGGTCTTGTGTATGTGTTGAAGAGTTAAATGCTGCTTCAGTTGTTCTCTCTCACAATGATGGTGATGAGAGTGAGAGAGAACTTCAAGATCTTCCACGTCGAACCGACGAAGGTCGAACGAGTCGAACTTTATGATTGCATCAGACTTATCGACTAGAGGTAGACTCTAGCTAGACTAATGTCCATCACTGCACCAGAGTAGCTCGAGTAGGCTGGACTGGTCCATCGTGCTCCTGGCTTCTTCTACTGTGATAGAAATACAGCTTGATTTAGTTTTTATACGATTTTAGTAACTCTAACACTCCGTTTGTGACGCAGCAGAGGTGACTCATACTTCACTTGTCCTCTGGTGCTTCTGGATTGTATTCCTCTCGTGTCAGCATGCTTGGGCTGCCAGCGCAGCAAGGTGCTAGAACCAAGGAATCCAAAAGGATAATTCAGAGTGAGGTGCAAACACTGCCATACCAGCATACGATTTTGGTTGTCCGTTCCACAAGAAGCCAGCCACGTTTTCCACAACCACATCTGCGCCGCACTGATACCGACAAATCTCTCGATAACTCTCGACCTTTTCGGTTTCTTTCTTGTATCCTTGTCGCATTCTCATTTTCCACAAGGCCAGTTCCAGGAACGATGTCATTTCTACTCTCGCATAGTGCCTTGTGTGGTCAAAGAAATTGTACACGGAATTATTTCGGCCCATGGGATCATCGCCGTGAATCGACTCCACTTGGCGTACCAAGTCGGCCCGCCATGACTCTGGTGCACCCCATCCTGCTATCCGCTCTATCACGGCTCGATGAACGACAATCTTAATCAGAGGAATAACCTTGTTCGATGTGTGTTTCAACATGTAGTACATCATGGTTTTGCCATGTGCGTCGTTGTGGCTAAGAGCATCAAGTGGATATCTGTCTAGTACGCAGTCCAAGAAATCAATCCTTGGGTTCGGGGAGGTAGCCACAATATGAAACGCTGTCATACCAAAAGGGTCTTCCATGTATCCTTTCAAGCTTTGGCAAGAATCATCGAGTGCCTGGGTCAGATGATCTATCGACTTGGAAGAGGCTTGATAGCAAGCATTGTGGACTGGGAATTGTTCAAACCGTTCTCGAATAGACCAGATAGCATCAAAGGTTTGAAGCAAATCACACCGAGAGAAAGCATCTTCAGTGGCAAACCTAGTAGCGTCTGGAATCGATAGGTTGATCAAATTTTTGCAACCAGCAAAACACTTCTTACCAATTGTAATCTTGCTCTTGCTTGGTATCTCCACGCCCTGCAGGCTAATACAGTTGAAGAAAGCATTAGCTCCAATCTCATCTAGACTGAGAGGTAGGACAATGCCACTCAATTGCGTACAACGAATGAATGATTCATGACCAATGGCTCTTACGCCATTTTGAATTTCCACATCGGTCAGAGAAGTACAAGATGCAAACGCGCCATCACCAATTCTCTCCACCGTCCCAGGTATGGATATGGTGCGGAGAGATGTACACATTAGAAAGGCCCGGTTATCAATCGCTGTCAGCCCAGTTGGCAGATCAATGTCCACGAGCAAATCGCAAGAGCAAAATGAATAGCGACCAATGTATTGTAGTCCTTCCTGGAGCTTTACAGTCGTAAGAGCAGCACATCCAGAAAAGGCCTTGGTACCAATTGTCTTTACAGATGCCGGTAACGATATGGCTTGAAATTTGCACCATACAAAAGCCTCTGCTTCAATCGATTCGAGGGTCTCCGGAAACTGGAACTCCTTCATAGACTCACACTTCCAAAATGATCCGGAACCAATGCTCCTTATACCATCTCGCAGAGTTACCTTTTTCAAAGAAATACAATCGTGAAAGGCATTCTGTCCAATCTTTTCCACGGTACTGGGAATCGATAAGCTTTGGAGCAAGCCACAGCCATCCAAAACACCCTTTCGGATGGTTGTAAGACCTTGTGCTGGAAACCGAATATGAATCAAGGATGAGCAGTCCCGGAATGCCTCACGGCCAATGACCTGTAATCCATCATGAATATAGACATATTCCAAAGAAGAACATCGTTCAAAGGCCCTCTTGCCAATAACCCGGAGTGATTTTGGCAAGGTCAAAGAGCAGAGATTTAGGCATTCTTCGAAGGAATTGTTGTGAATTATTCGGACTGATGGATCCACAATGACATAATTGATACCTCTTGGGATCTCATTCTTGGGCTGTACTGTATAGACAAAGGGCGTATCATTTGTTTCGTCGGCCATTGTCACTCATGTTTCAGACGTCTGCTGTCTATTCTTGATGATAGGTGAGATCTTTTATTTTTCTTTGGGTTTCTTATTGGCTTTTGAATATATTGGGAGCTAAATACGATTATAGATCCCCCGGGGGAACAAGAAGGGGAAAGAGAAGAAAAAGATGATGAGGAGAATAAGATAAGAGAAGAGAAAAAAAACATATTACAGATACCAGGATAGATGTCCTGGTATCAATTCTCTACAAATGTGGAAATCGATATCCCTCAATGTCTTATAGCATAGCGTTGATTTAATGTTGACTAGTTTCGTGCAGTTTTCTTTCTTCGTGAATGTAATTGAAACAGTGTCCTCAGAACGTACTGGCTTGAGTCCGTCAAACCAAGAGTAGGTCTGACCTTCCTCATATTGCTATTTCTCAAATGGACTCGGATCGGGAAATAGGGCTGTAAATGTTTCCAAATATTTTGCCTCAATTTCTGGACTACTTCCATTCAGCAACATATCCTCGAGGCAGACAAACTTTCTAGGTTCCTTTCTAGGTTCTTCCAATCGTCGTTTCCATTTCTTAACCTTTCTGCCATCCACAATGCGAAGGAAGTAGTACATGCCAGCATTTTGGTCTTTTTTAAAGTCAATAACGGAGAGGTAGGGAATTGGCAATCGCGTTGGATACTCGGAGTGAAGCCTATCAACAGCTTCGTCGCACTCCGCGATACGATCTGAACTCAGTGTTCGAGTCTCAAGAATAGATTTGGAGCACTCTTGTAGAATATGAAAGCTGTCTGTACTCTCGACAAAGTGCCGTCTCCCTAATTGATATTTGTTCGTTGTGTCAAAATTGTTACCGTACAAAAAGGGTTCCTTGTTCTTTGTCGTTAGGAGAGCTGCACGCCAGATCATTTTCTTGGTTGGGGCATATACTTTCTGAAAGGCATAGTAGTGGTAGTAGGTGAAAGATAGCTGAAAGTCTTCCACGTGACGGAATCGGTGAGTCAAGGTCTTTGCATACTCGACACGGAATCGCTCCATTATGTCACGATACAGCCGCTTGTTGATCAAGTACGGAAGGTGAGCAATGGGCCCTCGTCTCTTGTTTGCCATCTCGCTCTTGCCCAGTTCTCGATTGAAGAAACCATCAGTATACATGTTGGCCTGCTTGAAGAATCCATCATTTCGCGTATAGTTCGCTCTTTGTCGTTTCAGTTCTTTTTCATATTCCTTCCTTCCCAATGCGGTTGCATTGAGACCACAGTCACCAAAATCCCAATTGCAAGCGGCATTGTTACATTCGAGGTTGCACTGGCCATCACCCTGCATTTCGTAGGTACAACCTTCGTTGCAATCCGGAAATCTCCAGTAGTCCAAGAATACATTTTGTGAACCAGTAGTAGGATCAGGGATCCAGTCAGACTGCTCTACAGGCAATCCAAAAAACATGTCGTCGTTGAAATATAAAAAATTCTCACTGATACCTGGAATGTTGCACAGCGATGCTTCAATTGGTCTGGAACTAAAGGTTGGCAAGTGATCTTGGTTTTCGAAGATATCAGAATGTGATAGAACCGTAATTCGTGGATGAGAGGCATCTAGCCAATCTGGGCCTTCTCCATCAGCCGTCAACAAATAAATGTTCCGTATCCACGGGGCATGTTTGATGATGGATCGAAAGGAATACTTCAACTCATGATGGTCCATGTACCGATTGGCTTGGTTTGGCCCTTGATCCAATCCAGCAATTTTATCCTCTTCCCTAACTTGTTCCTCAGTTTTGTTCTCTAGCGCAGCAAAGAATTGCACTCGATATTTCTCCTTCTCAGCAAGCCATTTTGGTTTGGAACCGTCCACCCACGTGTAAACAGCGTCAATGACAGGCCAGTCCCATTTTTCCTTTGGATCTAAGGCTTTCAGTATTTGGGAGACATTTGTGAGTCTTTCTGATGACCTTGAAGCTGCTGCCGATCTCGATGAGGAACTCTTCTTGCAGTCACACCGTGATGTTGGCAGATAGTGCTGAAGCACATTGTCAGTGTCTCCGTCACGATTGATTTCAAAATAGTATTGTAGAAAGTAGATCCACGTGCTGCATGACAGTGCTATTATGAGAAGGAAAGAGAATTTAGCGATGCGCATTGTTGAACTCTTTGAGACAGTCTCGCTCTGAAAGCGATACAGTGAAGCAGACTTTGACAATGACTGTTTTTGTCTATATTGAATATGTTTCACGTATATTATTTTATTGTTGATGTTATGATTATGATGTTCGTCATGCGTGCGTATTTTTAAAAAAAAATTCAACTACTCGGATACCGGTAGTCGGACGACAGGAAGACCCAAACCTCCGTTGTCCTTGATTCTCATATATTAAAATAAACATAGCCCTCTCTATCATGATCATACAATACTATAGTATATACAGCGTTCTAAATTTTTCAGTGTACTTTTCAATCAGATGTAAAGGCTTCACAAACATTCTTTGCCACTATCTCTTCCGATGATTCAGTCGATGAATGATTTGTGACTGAGCCGGTTACCGAATGCCGTTCATTCTGAAGACCGAGCCAGTATGTTGGAACCTCGCCCAATCCCTTCAAATTGACGACATCTTCCCGCTTCGAGAGCCAATGTTCCTTGCCGCTATCCTTCAGAATGTTGGCCATCTCATCTGATATGTGGACCTTTCCCTTTTGCCCGGAAGATTCGATTCTGGAAGTCTTGTTCATAGAGTCGCCAAACCTAGATTGATTTTGAAAAGTAGTGGGTAAGCACACATCTTCTAGGCGACAACCACTGCTACAATATCGTACGTACAACTGGAAACGAGGTCTTTGTCCTCTAATTACGCCAGCAGTCACTGGTCCAGAATGGAGCCCAAACCGCATATCCAATTCTCGAGTGTCGGCTCCGAGCTTTTTCTCCAGTTTGTCCCTGATCTTTCTCATTGCTTGCATGCATTCCCAAGCGAATCTTGCCATCACAATCGCGTGATTATCGCAAGGCTAAAAAATTCGAATCTATCATGGTGAGATAAAAGACGACAAAGAAGAATGAATGAACGAATCACAGACGCCAAACGAACTTACATCCGGCAGACCACATACGGCTACGTAGCAGTCTCCAACAGTTTCAACCTTGAACACACGCCGCTTATCGGCGATTTTGTCAAAGGCATTGAATATAGTTTCCAATAAGGTGAAAACATCGGAAGGCTCATGCATAGAACTCCATTTGGTGAAGCCAGCAATGTCCGCAAACATGATAGTGGTGTGCTCGAACAAATCCGCAATGGGTGCTGCCTTCTTGGACATGGCAAGAGCCGATACATTCGCTTGCGATGCACTGGAAGACCCAGCCAATTGCTGAACGGCGTCGGACATTCTGGATGATCGACCTCCTCTCGAGGTTGGGGATTCTGGCTCTATCTCGTCCATCATTTGCGCCGCAACGTTCTTGGGAAACAAACTCGAGACGATTGCTGTGGATCGCGCAGCGGTATTGGTCACGGTACGGTTCCTTCGTTGCACATAGAAATCATAGGTGAAGAAGACCAGTGCCGTGAATCCGAAAATAGCAATGACCAAGACTGCAGCTGTGAAAGAATCATTACGCTGCCATCGCTCGACAAACTCATTCGTCGCATGAACGGTCAAGATGTAGCCACAGGAATCATTTCCGAGAAACCCCATAGGCTCGGGGATGCCTTCTCCAAATAGATTGTAGTCTTTGGTCAACGCTATGTTATAACGAGAAGGATCCATATTCTCGCCAAGATACTTCACATATCCTTGTGTCTTCTTAAAAGAATATGTCGATCCATTACTCTTCTCGCAATTGTGATGAACATCCACAATAATTCCTGAAGGTTGATCTTCCAAGACTACTATAAAGTAGTCAAGCCATGAGAAGACGGTAGTAGCAGCCGCAACAATACCCTCGGTGTTATCATATCCCCCATAGATGGGCTCCAAGAGTACGAATTTGGGAGACGGAAGCGCTTGATCTTGTTTAGGGTCGGCATATTTTACCAAAAACTCCAGATCTTGAATGGTAGAAATGGCTGGTTTACCGGTTCGAAGACTTTGGTTCCAGAGATCCGCAAACCAATCAATAGAAAGGAGATCGAACATGATTGGAGACTGCGACGCATTCTGTGGCGTCGGGTACATTTGCCAGATTGGTAAATGTACTTCTGCAGTGCCTTCACCAAATCCTCCATAGATATGCTTGGGAATCTCTCCTGAATTCAAGTTGTCTATATTGTGAAAGGCGTGGGATAATTGTGATAAATCCGAGTCGATCCAGCCTTGATTTTCGACCGCATAAGCTTCCCATTGTGTCCGGTTTGCAGCCGTGACTATTGGAGCAACTGCCATCATTTGAGCATTTCCAACGCTCGCCAAAGCACTCCCAAGAAGGGCAAAGCTGGAATGGGTAACATTGGCCCCGTGTGTGGCATGGCTCTCGTCTTGATTCGTGGTTTCTAGTGTCCAGGAGCTTCCCATGTCAGCACTGGCTTCAACAGAATGAATCAACGTTTCTTCTACCGTTGCTACCAACTCTTCGCCGTGTTCTTCGAACTAGTTCAAACAAAGAAGACGAGAAAAGACGGATGTAAGATTTTGTCTCAAACCTGCAATGACCGGCAAACGATCATATTAACGTACCTCATGATGGTACCAGCTACTATCCTCCTCTTCCATATAGAAAAAAGTCGAGACGCTGGCAATGGCGGCGGATAGAACGAGTACCAAGTACACCACGCCTTTCGAACGATTGATCAGCTTCGTATCCTTATTTCCCAGGCCGGAGACATGTTCCATTGGTGCTTTTGATGACATTGGTGGTGGGGTATCCACTGACATTTCTTCGTCCATACTTGTAATAAGGATTGTTGCAGAAGTTGCAGATTTTGCCATGATATGATATTTGTGTCCAGCAGAAGGAGAAAAAGACTTCTGCAGTATCGGAGTTCTGCTTTTACGATGGGTCGTGGGTTGCAAAGTAGATTCGGCAGCATATCTAAAATATTATGGAGTGAAGTGCTCCCGAAAAGAGACGGTAGTCATTTTTCCATCGTTTACTTAACGATTATATGTTCAAGAACTCGTTGGAAACCTTGGATAGAAATGTATGTTTGAATCATGGGTTCGAATTTCGGAGATACTATCTGCTCTATTTATTGAAAATGTATCGGTACCCGGGATGGCCTAAACCAGTGTGAACGTCTTGTAGCGCTTATATATAACCGCCAAAAGCGTTTCTACGAATTTTGGACACCAAAATGAAGTGAAACATGAAACAAATATAAAAGAGTTGAAAATGAAAAACTTCTGTACCATACTGGTACCGACCTGCCAGTACCGGTACCTACTTAGGTACCGGTACAGTCATGGTGCGTGTCCAACCAAAGAAATTCAAATCCGTCAACCACATAGGTAGTGGTCTGATTTTTGGAAGACCCAAACTCTCTTCCTCAAGTCAACTATACACCATGAAATGTTCCAATCCTGCCTTAACTTGGTCATATAATCATACAATACATATCTAGCGTTCTAAAATTGAGCTACCTTCCAATCCAATCTAAAGGCTTGCCAAAACTTCCTTGCCACTGCCTCTCCATTCTCGCAGGTTATCCTTTGCATTTTGGAGCATGGCTCTTCCTGATGTGCGAAAAGCAACCTCTTCACTAAGCAGGGTCGCAACTGGAATCACAATATCATTGTAAAATGCCTGTTCTCCCTTGTACCAAAATTCCTTTGGATTCTTTCCCCCCCGTCCATTATGGAAGGCCGCTGATATTTCGTCATACAATTTGCCATTCCACTTTTGGTACAATCCCCAGTGTTGCATGGTGTGAGCGATGTCGCTAACCTGAATCAATTGCTCCACTATACAAGTTTTGCGCTGGCCCAGTGTCGCGTTGCCGCCTGCCTTCAAACACCCCTCCCATCGCTTGATTCGATCTTGTTGCATACTCTTGTCAATGATATCGGTCGAAAGGATGGATTGGACCATCACCTGGCGAAAGTGCTCCAACTCTTCGGTTGTCTGATACACAGTTCGTCGCAATTCACGGAAGCTCTCTTGGCAAAATATATTCCAGAAGACATCCAAAGAGTTCCGCTCGGCAGGACTCGATTCGTAGATCTTGGCAAGGGCCTCGTTCTCCGCAACCAACTGCTCGTTCGAAACACCTGGGTGATCAACATCGTGGACAAAGGCTGACAATACCAACGCAAACTCTGTTAACGGATCCAGTGGATTCTCTTGACTCGACTCCAAAAGCTTCTTCAGAGATGTCACGACATGCGAGGCATGTTGGACATTGTGGAAAGGATGAGGGTTGTACGCGTCCGAGATTTGTTGGACGAAATCCTTCAACTGATCCATTGCGGCCTTGTCAAGCTTGCTTGCGGTCTGCGAGTCAAGATCACGAGATGTCGTGGATTCGAATTGGATGCAATCCGAAGGATCGGCATGTCCAAATAGAGCAGTCTTTTCTGCAGCTTGAAGGCCTTCTTCGTCGACTTCAATTTGACGACCACTAGCTTGTCGGGCGTGGACGACTCGAACCAAAAACTTTGCAAGAAACTTGGAATGCCACGACGTGAGCTCTGGCAGATTCTTCCAGTCATTGATCTGATTCTTGATTAGAGCAAGCTCGTCGTTGGAAGAAGGTTCAGATGGATCAGTAGATGAAATACTTGTAACTGAACCAGTTGCCGAATGTCGTTCATTCTGAAGACCGAGCCAGTATGTTGGAACCTCGCCCAATCCCTTCAAATTGACGACATCTTCCCGCTTTGAGAGCCAATGTTCCTTGCCGCTATCCTTCAGAATGTTGGCCATCTCATCTGATATGTGGACCTTTCCCTTTTGCCCAGAAGATTCGATTCTGGAAGTCTTGTTCATAGAGTCGCCAAACCTAGATTGATTTTGAAAAGTAGTGGGTAAGCACACATCTTCTAGGCGACAACCACTGCTACAATATCGTACGTACAACTGGAAACGAGGTCTTTGTCCTCTAATTACGCCAGCAGTCACTGGTCCAGAATGGAGCCCAAACCGCATATCCAATTCTCGAGTGTCGGCTCCGAGCTTTTTCTCCAGCTTGTTCCTGATCTTTCTCATTGCTCGCATACATTCCCAAGCGAATCTTGCCATCACAATCGCATGATCACGGCAAGGCTACGAGAGTCAAAATTAGATACGAAGCAAACCAACCATCTCAATGGCAAATGTCAAGCGAACTTACATCCGGTAGGCCACAAACAGCTACGTAGCAGTCTCCAACAGTTTCAACCTTAAAAACATGCCGCTTATCAGCGATGTTGTCAAATGCATTGAATATCGTTTCCAATAACGTGAAGACATCGGAAGGCTCATGTGTAGAACTCCATTTGGTGAAGCCAGCAATGTCCGCAAACATGATTGTGGTATGCTCGAACAGATCCGCAATAGGGGCTGCCTTCTTCGACACTGCCAAAGCCGATGCATTCCCTTGCGACAAATTGGAGGACCCAACCAATTGTTGGACGGCGTCAGACATTTTGGTCGATCGCTTCCCGGTTCTAGTAGTAGTAGCCTCTTCTATCTCTTCCATCATTTGCGCCGCAACGTTCTTGGGAAACAAACTCGAGACGATTGCTGTGGATCGAGCAGCGGTATTGGTCACTCTGCGATTCCTTCGTTGTACATAGAAATCATAGGTGAAGAAGACCAATGCCGTGAAACCAAAAATGGCCAACACAGTAGCCGAAGCCAAGAAGGAATCATCACGCTGCCATAGCTCGATAAACTCTGTCGTCGCATGAACCGTCAAGATGTATCCGCAGGAATCACCTCCGAGGAATGCTCTCGGTCCTGGGGCGCCTTCACCAAATAGATTGTAGTCCTTGGTCAATGCAACATCTAAAGAAGCAATATCAACGTTCTCACCAAGGTACACAATAGAGTCTTGCGTCTTCTTGAAGGAATACGTCAATCCATTGCTCTGTGGGCAATTGTGATGGATATCCACAATTATTCCAGACGGTTGGTCTCCCAAGACTACGGCGAAGTAATCAGCCCATGAGATGACGGAGGTTGCAGCTGCAGTAATGCCATCGGTGACCTCATAACCCCCAAAGATGGGCTGTACCATTACAAATTTGGGAGATGACACCTCTTCTTCTCGCTCATAGCCTGCATAGTCTACCAAAAAGTCCAGATCTTGAATGGCAGAGACGGCTGGCCAGCTAGTGTAAAGACTTCTGTTCCAAAGATCCGCAAACCAATCAATGGAAAGGAGATCGAACATGATCGGAGACTGTGATGCATTCTGTGGCGGTGGAAACATTTGCCAGATTGGTAAATGTTCTGCTGCAGTGTCTTCATTGTCGTATCCATAGATGCGCTCTGGAATCTCTCCTGGATTCAAACTTCCTACATTGTAGCCAAAGGCGTTGGATAGCAATAACAAATCCAAAACGATCCATCGTTGATTTTCGACCGCATAGGCTTCCCATTGGGTGCGAGTTGCAGCCGTCACTACTGGAGCAACTGTCATCACTTGAGTAAGTCCATTGCTAGACAAAGCTTCCCCAAGAACAGCAAAGTTGGCATAGGTACCATTTGCACCATTCGCGGAAGGATCTTGAGTGGTTTGCAGCGTCCAGGAGCCCCCCATGTTCCCACTGGCTTCAACGGAATGTAGCAAACTCGATTCTACCCCTTTCACTACCTCATCGGCGCGTTCTTCGAACTATATAAAGTGAGCAGAGCACACCAGAGCACACCAGAACAGTAGAATGTCAGAGTTTCTTTCACGAATCGACAACGATTGAAAAATTCACAGGAACATACCTCATCCGTGTACCATCGCTTATCCTCCTCTTCCGCAAGCAGAAATACCGAGACGCTGACAATGGCAGCGGATAGAAAGAGTACCAAGTACACCACGCATTTCGAACGATTGATGAGCTTGGTATCATTGGAGTTTCCTAGACTGGAAGTATGTTCCAGCGCTGCTCTTGATGGCATTGGCGGAGGGGTATCTGCTGACAATTCCCTGCTTGCTTCCTCTACACTGGTGATGGGGGTTACTGCAGAAGTTGCCATGATGAAATTGGCGACAATCACTTGCTGTTGTTGTTGTTGTTGTAATAATGTCTAATGCTTGGAATGGAATGACATAGTATGTCTTTGTTTGTTTGCAATTGCGAACGATTCATTCATTCGTGTGCCAAATGACAGAAACTGTTTGCTAAATGTCGCGTGGAAAGAAGCTGCGTACTTAACGACAGGTCCTAATAAATCGTGCTACGCACGGTTAAGAACTCAATCGAACAACGTCCGAAAATCGTTTCACTCCCGATTTCTGACGCACAGTTGGAGTTGAAATCCCATACCGGTACTGTAGTATCAAACCTGTACCTACCGATACAATATGCCAACGAACCGAGACATCTATCAGTCATCATGATGATGAGACATTGACCTCACACATGTTACGTAACAATCCATCGAGCAGTGAACCTCAATATGCGATATATAGTTCAAAAGTTTATCCCTTTGGTCCCGCGCTCATCATCACCAACACTGATCACCAACAAAGCGAACAGAATTGGAAATTGGATTCTCCATGGCAACTCTCGACTCTACATCAGTCCATGCAAATGAATCCAATGACATAATTCTCCTCACAGCTTTTGCTCCGGTCAGTCAAAATCAGACGCCATCTCTTCCTTCTTCTAGCTGCCTGATGGCGGTGCACTTTGTTGAAAACTCATTCTTATTCTTCTCTTGTTCGCCTCATTCCGGTATCAGTATCACTTGGCAACAATGACTGGCGACTCTGTCTGACTTTCCCACTTTGCGTCTCGTCTATATCTTGTACTATGAACTAACTGTCCGCATGCTGCCGAGGACTGAAAGCAGAAGAAGAACAAGGTCATCGGCCAGTATGTACATTGTGTACGACGAGTAATTACGCATTTTATGGACCGTGAGGTTTTCGAATCATCATTCTCATCTCCAAGATGGTGCAGGATCGCAGCCGTCTCACTGACTGACCCACTCGTCGTCGTTCCAACAGTTTGCAGCATCCATCCAAGCAATCGATCCACCGAACGAAATGCGATCGTAAATGTGAGCGAAACAAAAGCCTTCAAATCAACGGTCTTGAACCGCAACCAAAAAGTCCATATTGTTGGGACTGTGTCTCACAGTTTTGAACCCCAACTTGCGCGCAGTATGTACTGTACTAATAGGAGCTTTATCGTGTACGACGGCTATGTGATTCCCGGACGGGTATGTATAGCTACCGAACTCCAGATTCTTGGAAGGCCCTCCCTTCTTAGTTGTATGCGCCCTCCCTTTGTACCCAGCAGGGACATCATACGATATGCTCATGCACCATCGCAATGAAGATGACACCACCGTGATATGATGTGTGCTGGTCGGTCGATTCTGTCACATCGTTTGGTGATGATTCCCAACTTGGTTCCATCACCATAACTTTGTCTGCTTTGGCGACTGTAGTAATATCATGTATCATTTCAGCGAGCTTGAAAACAAATCAGAACAAAACCTTGAAAGAGTTACATGGGTTGTCATTCTGTTTCTCCCTGGTACACGGTTGCTGTCTGCTACATGCAGTACACTTGTCATTATTTGGCACCCGCCATTTGTCACTTCATCGATTCTCCATTACGCCAATTGTTGAATCGAATTGCCCTGCGTGTTTAAAGGATGTGCATTGACCTCAAAGAATAATCGTAAAACCTTGATGCCTTAAAATTAATTGTGTTGATGTGAAAACATCCAAGCAAACTATCGCTCAACGTACGCATAACGCGCACGTACAAATCGCTAGTGTTGTCGGCTTCAGTCAGCGAGCCAACCAGTCTCAGGTATGTCTGCCTGGCCTTAAAACACTTGGACCATGAAACGTCTGAGCGCCACGAAAATCCCATACTGAATCCTGCAGGAGTTCTGTACGTGGGTTTTGTACCGGCCTTTCTGGATTGCAAACATCCAGTAAAGGTTTGGGAAATTTGAGTTTTCGTGCAAGGCTTTTGCTTTGCCCATTCCATGTAGATAACAAGTCTTTTAGAATAGTTATTTCCTGTAGAGATGATTATTTCCTATTAGGCGGATCGGAGATCGCTATGGTCGGTGCCTCTGCATGACGACTTGATGGGTCGCATGTTGGCATGAGTGGTTGGCAATGTTGGCTTTATGGGCCACAAAGTTGTCAATCGGTTTGGACGAAGACAAGCAGTCTGATGTCCGCCAGAACCGATTTCCAACATTATCTACTGCTCTCTTGGAGACCATTCATTGGAAGCTCCTTGATAGAAGCAGTTCGACACGTCCGATCGGACAGACGGACAAATGTCCGTTTGGTCCGTTTTTATTCGGGGGATTCCTATGAGTCGGTGGAATTGTGGGCAAACGTCTGAACGCCACGAAAATCCCATACTGAATCCTGCGGGAGTTCTGTATGTGGGTTTTGTACCGGCCTTTCTGGATTGCAAACATCCAGTAAAGGTTTGGGAAATTTGAGTTTTCGTGCAAGACTTTTGCTTTGCCCATTCCATGTAGATAACAAGTCTTTTAGAATAGTTATTTCCTGTAGAGATGATTATTTCCTATTAGGCGGATCGGAGATCGCTATGGTCGGTGCCTCTGCATGACGACTTGATGGGTCGCATGCTGGCACGGCTGGTTGGCAATTATGGCTTGATGGGCCACAACGTTGTCAATCGGTTTGGACGAAGACAAGCAGTCTGATGTCCGCCAGAACCGATTTCCAACATGGTACAAAGAGTTCTGTACGTGGGTTTTGTACCGGCCTTTCTGGATTGCAAACATCCAGTAAAGGTTTGGGAAATTTGAGTTTTCGTGCAAGGCTTTTGCTTTGCCCATTCCATGTAGATAACAAGTCTTTTAGAATAGTTATTTCCTGTAGAGATGATTATTTCCTATTAGGCGGATCGGAGATCGCTATGGACGGTGCCTCTGCATGATGGGTCGCATGCTGGCACGGCTGGTTGGCAATCATGGCTTGATGGGCCACAACGTTGTCAATCGGTTTGGACGAAGACAAGCAGTCTGATGTCCGCCAGAACCGATTTCCAACTTTATCTACATGTTGAAATTGCTCTCTTGGAGACCATTCATTGGAAACTCCTTGATGGAAGCAGTTCGACACGTCCGATCGGACAGACGGACAAATGTCCGTTTGGTCCGTTTTATTCGGGGGATTCCTATGAGTCGGTTTTGCAGGGAATCCGAAAACATGGAATTGTTTTAAGGCAACAAGAATAATCGTAAAACCTTGATGCCTAAAAATTAATTGTGTTGATGTGAAAACATCCAAGCAAACTATCGCTCAACGTACGCATAACGCGCACGTACAAATCGCTAGTGTTGTCGGCTTCAGTCAGCGAGCCAACCAGTCTCAGGTATGTCTGCCTGGCCTTAAAACACTTGGACCATGAAACGTCTGAGCGCCACGAAAATCCCATACTGAATCCTGCAGGAGTTCTGTACGTGGGTTTTGTACCGGCCTTTCTGGATTGCAAACATCCAGTAAAGGTTTGGGAAATTTGAGTTTTCGTGCAAGGCTTTTGCTTTGCCCATTCCATGTAGATAACAAGTCTTTTAGAATAGTTATTTCCTGTAGAGATGATTATTTCCTATTAGGCGGATCGGAGATCGCTATGGACGGTGCCTCTGCATGATGGGTCGCATGCTGGCACGGCTGGTTGGCAATCATGGCTTGATGGGCCACAACGTTGTCAATCGGTTTGGACGAAGACAAGCAGTCTGATGTCCGCCAGAACCGATTTCCAACTTTATCTACATGTTGAAATTGCTCTCTTGGAGACCATTCATTGGAAACTCCTTGATGGAAGCAGTTCGACACGTCCGATCGGACAGACGGACAAATGTCCGTTTGGTCCGTTTTATTCGGGGGATTCCTATGAGTCGGTTTTGCAGGGAATCCGAAAACATGGAATTGTTTTAAGGCAACAAGAATAATCGTAAAACCTTGATGCCTAAAAATTAATTGTGTTGATGTGAAAACATCCAAGCAAACTATCGCTCAACGTACGCATAACGCGCACGTACAAATCGCTAGTGTTGTCGGCTTCAGTCAGCGAGCCAACCAGTCTCAGGTATGTCTGCCTGGCCTTAAAACACTTGGACCATGAAACGTCTGAGCGCCACGAAAATCCCATACTGAATCCTGCAGGAGTTCTGTACGTGGGTTTTGTACCGGCCTTTCTGGATTGCAAACATCCAGTAAAGGTTTGGGAAATTTGAGTTTTCGTGCAAGGCTTTTGCTTTGCCCATTCCATGTAGATAACAAGTCTTTTAGAATAGTTATTTCCTGTAGAGATGATTATTTCCTATTAGGCGGATCGGAGATCGCTATGGACGGTGCCTCTGCATGATGGGTCGCATGCTGGCACGGCTGGTTGGCAATCATGGCTTGATGGGCCACAACGTTGTCAATCGGTTTGGACGAAGACAAGCAGTCTGATGTCCGCCAGAACCGATTTCCAACTTTATCTACATGTTGAAATTGCTCTCTTGGAGACCATTCATTGGAAACTCCTTGATGGAAGCAGTTCGACACGTCCGATCGGACAGACGGACAAATGTCCGTTTGGTCCGTTTTATTCGGGGGATTCCTATGAGTCGGTTTTGCAGGGAATCCGAAAACATGGAATTGTTTTAAGGCAACAAGAATAATCGTAAAACCTTGATGCCTAAAAATTAATTGTGTTGATGTGAAAACATCCAAGCAAACTATCGCTCAACGTACGCATAACGCGCACGTACAAATCGCTAGTGTTGTCGGCTTCAGTCAGCGAGCCAACCAGTCTCAGGTATGTCTGCCTGGCCTTAAAACACTTGGACCATGAAACGTCTGAGCGCCACGAAAATCCCATACTGAATCCTGCAGGAGTTCTGTACGTGGGTTTTGTACCGGCCTTTCTGGATTGCAAACATCCAGTAAAGGTTTGGGAAATTTGAGTTTTCGTGCAAGGCTTTTGCTTTGCCCATTCCATGTAGATAACAAGTCTTTTAGAATAGTTATTTCCTGTAGAGATGATTATTTCCTATTAGGCGGATCGGAGATCGCTATGGACGGTGCCTCTGCATGATGGGTCGCATGCTGGCACGGCTGGTTGGCAATCATGGCTTGATGGGCCACAACGTTGTCAATCGGTTTGGACGAAGACAAGCAGTCTGATGTCCGCCAGAACCGATTTCCAACTTTATCTACATGTTGAAATTGCTCTCTTGGAGACCATTCATTGGAAACTCCTTGATGGAAGCAGTTCGACACGTCCGATCGGACAGACGGACAAATGTCCGTTTGGTCCGTTTTATTCGGGGGATTCCTATGAGTCGGTTTTGCAGGGAATCCGAAAACATGGAATTGTTTTAAGGCAACAAGAATAATCGTAAAACCTTGATGCCTAAAAATTAATTGTGTTGATGTGAAAACATCCAAGCAAACTATCGCTCAACGTACGCATAACGCGCACGTACAAATCGCTAGTGTTGTCGGCTTCAGTCAGCGAGCCAACCAGTCTCAGGTATGTCTGCCTGGCCTTAAAACATGCGGCCGCGTGCCGTATCACATCCGACTGCATTTGAACTTACAGGATACAGTACTGTAGGGTCTGCAAATGGTGGGAAAGCAGACATAACGTGCCATAAAAGCTAAAAAAATAAGAACAAATATTTAGTCGACGGAGTTGTGAATCGTCGGAAAAACGAGGAAATTTTTATTTAAAAAAGGCTCCACACGATGCGACAAAAAATGGTAACGAAATAAATAGCTTAATTTCTGACACCCGAACACCAAACCCCACCATACTGTACATCTCAGTTTTCACGTGCACACCCGCAAAGTAGGAAGCAAAGCTGCCCGGGGAAAAGAAGACGGAGCACTTTGCAGACTACTTTGCACTGCATCTATGGTTGGATTGTCAAGGAGAAGAATAGTGCGGCACAGTTATTCAGTTATCCATTTTCATTCATTCCTCCTAACGAGAAGAATCCATCCATCAATCAATTAATACCCCATGAGTGATCTTGCGTCAGACGATAATGACGAATCGTCGTCATCACAACAGCAGTCAAGATGATGGCGAAAAACAAATCACTGAATTCCTCTACACGGGACAGCCAATCGATGAAATTCCTCGCAACATTATACTCATTTGACCGTGTGTTTGTCCGTGATGATGAGAGATATTGAAGACAATGCATTCCATTCGTGTGAAGGTTGGGTATCTCTCATTATTCCCAAATCTGTGATTGCCATTGGAGAAAAAGGCATTCTATGGCTGTACCGCCCTCACCAAAGTCCAACTGAACAATGGATTGCACACGATTGGTCCCATGGCATTTGCCTGTTGTACCGAATGGGTGGAGATTGTACTCTCAAAGACCTTGAAAATTGTCGGAGACTTGTGCTTTGGCCGATGCGAATCTGGAAGCACATTTTAAGTGCGGCGCCGATTGAAACAAGTAGGGATTCGCTGGTTTTGAGGTTGCCATTGTTTGGCCGAGGTCCAATTTCACAATTGGATACGATCCATTCAACGTGGGGCCTTTTTTCAATGCAAAATCGTTGCGGTTGGTAAAATACCCGAATCATCTGAAACGCATTGGACCAGGCGCCTTTGAAGAATGCTCCGCATTGAGTGCCATTGCACTTCCATCCAGCCTTCAGAACATCATGTCACGAGCCTTTGCGTCGTGTGAGGGTCTCATAACGGCGGAAACAGTAACACAAGAAACCACCACCACCCACCTGCAGATTGGCCGTGAAGCCTTTTGTGGCTGTTCGGCCTTGATCAATATTTCTTTGGTGGGTGCTGTGACGACCCTTGCGGACATCGCCTTTGAGGGTTGTTATCTCTTGCAGGGTGATGTTGGTGGCGAAAATGTCTTTTCCGAATTCCTTGCTTCGGGATCGATTTCAAAATCTTCCCATCGTTGGACTTGACCAAGGAAGAACTGATTCGAGTTTTAGTTTTGGAGGAATACAATGCTGAGGAGGAGGTCTCCAGAGACGCCTTTGGTTTCACACCAATGCATATTATGGCGGCATCGTTTCATTTACAAGAAGATATTCTGGATTGCCTATTGGACTGGTATCCTCGTCAAATACTCCAACGAGACCGACATGGATTGCGTCCCATGGATTACTTACTTTGGAATACTGTGAGTGCAACGACGGTTTCTCTCATCAAGATGATATTGCACAAAACCATTGTTTCCACCATTGCCAGCTGGAGGGGAGGCGATAAACGGCAAGAAGAATTGAATGCTCGATTGGATTCTATACTGAAAGTGGACGATCCTGTTGGCGATCGAATCCAGCATGTTCATGATTTCCTAGAATATGCTGGGTACTATGTGAGGTTGCAACCGATATTTGTTTTGGAATTGACAATGTGGAAGTGGAGAATGACGAGAGGAATGGGAGATGAAGGCGACTATGACAATAACTACCGACAAAACTGCAGATTCCAGTCGGGGACCGATGTCGTCGTTGCGAATGTTACAGACTTTTTGTGGCATGGCCAAACGAGGGTTTCCTCGGCTCAGCAGTTACATCCGCTGTCGGCCATGGTGGTCGGTGACGAAATGATTTTTGGAATGGAACAACAACAGCAAGTCCAAGAGCAGGAGGATGAGAATGATGATTCGGACAACGAAAATGATGATGTTTGGGATGATGATGATGATAATGATGATGATTCATTCGGGCGATGATAATGAGGGTGATGATGCACGACAATAATGATGATGAAGGTTCGCACATCCCCAGTCGTGATGATCCTGATCATGATTTTTGGTTTCAACACTGTGGAGAAAGGAGGGAGCAACGTGCTGCAACAAGGGAGCAACGTCGTATATACTGCTGGAAGGGGGGAATAGGGGAATCACAACACGATTACAATAGTCCAGTTTCCATGCAGTATTGGATCTTGCTGACGTTCAAGGAAAATATAATCCAGCATGTACCCGTAGTCACAATTGTTGGCATACAGTAGCATGCCTAAACCAAAGTCAAAATCTATGGGTCGGAAAGTTGTGAGCTACGGTACCGGCATACGGTAGTCGTATTCTGTTTCACACTCATATTCTAGTCTAGTCTCCCTGTAGTATTCAATCTTGGGAGAAGTAGTTTGCTCAGCTGTTTCATGGCTTGATGCCAGGTGACGGCAAAAGGTCATGGCAGTACGACAGTACTGCAGGTTTCATGCAGTCCATGCTGTGTCACGCTGTTTTGGTGCCAGGTGACTGCAATGGCCATGGCAGTCCCTACTGACACTGTAGCTGTTTCATGCTGTGTTTTGCTGTTTCATGCTGTTTCGGTGCCAGCTGATGGCATGAGTTGGCATGAGCGGACCGCTGGAAAAATCGGGACTCTAGTAATAGAGATGAACGGAATGAGGCCGTGTCAGGCAGTGCTAAAATATGTTTGAATATTTGGCTTTTCTGTAATGCCGCACAGTATCTTTTGCACTCAACGTCAGGTGCATTCCCTTCGTTCCATTCAGATAATACATCAGCTTCACTAGCTTCTTCCAATCTGTTTCATTTGGTTTCTGTACTCTTGTATTCTTATGGTTGCGGGTATCTGGTACGGTATCAGTACGGTACCGATAGTCTCTGGATGAATGATTTGTTCCCCCCCCGTTCGATGCTTGATGAACTTTAGGCCAGGCTTCACTGTATCATCAAAATTAGGATGCCCGGTACCGATCTTGCGAGTTTCTTAGAGTCACATACATAGAGAGAGTTTTTAAAGGCCTGTCTCATGGTCCATTCTAATCAAAATGATTGCAGCAATGCCAGTGAGGATTCGGTTGTTCTTCTCGTGCATCAACTTGCGACCACTCGGAAACTGCATACAGCATTCGGGGAACCCTGACGCATCATCCGCAAGCGAACATGCAAAGACTGTAGTCGTAAATGAAGGTTAATTCCCGTACGTTTCTCCGAAGATTCGGCAGTTCCAAAAGCCCGGCCGAACTCTGAATTCGTTCGCCATATGACTTTCAAGCAGTCATCAGCATTTTCGACTTAACGATCATCACCAGTTCTGAGCCTCTCATTTAATAAAACAGATAAGTCACTAACTATTAGGCCCTGTACTTCTTTTCTCCGCGTTGGAACGCTCCGCTACATTTACAAAAAAGATAAAACCTGACAATTCCCTCATTTTCTGAAGAGAAGCCCAAGAGAATCCCTTTTACGTACCCCGAGACTATCAAGACGAACAGCTTGCGCGAAGCACCGTTCAATGGATGGCAACGATCGGCAAGCAACTAACACACCACCCAATTTAGCTGCGCTTCAAGAAGGAGTTCAAGAGCCACGAGCACACGAATCTCAAGTCATGAACAAAACCGCCAGTCAAGATCACAGTGTCATTCCGGCTAGTGACGCTGGTAATCAAACGGAAACAGACAAAAAGATTGGCGAGGCAACGACCTCATCCACATCGAGGACGGCCAGCGCTAGCAGCAATGAAGCCCAAAGCGATCGGCCAACAGTTCAATTTCCGTGGAGACTTCACGAACTCTTGACGGAAGCAGAAACGAACGGAAACGATGCGATAATATCGTGGATTCCTGGGACTAACAATGCGTTCAAGGTGAAGAATAAGGAAAAGTTTACCAATGAAATCCTTCCAGAGTATTTTAATGCAACGAAATACAAGTCGTTTCAGCGCAATTTAAATCTTTGGGGTTTTGAAAGCATCACCGAGGGTCCAAACAAAGGTGGTTGCCAACATCCCATCTTCATTCGGGGGGACAGGGAAAAGTGTCACTACATGATTCGTCAGAAGGTAAAGGGGCAAAAGCAAAAACAACAAGAATCATTGGCATCGCTTTCAGCCAAGGATGCAGCTAGTGCTAGTCTGAGACGAAGCTCAATGTCTTTGCTTACTTCTGGTTTTCCGGGATCAACTAATTTTCAAGCGACCACTGGAGGTACAAGTCTGCCGACACTGGACGGCCACGAGCTTTCCTTTTGCGAAAAGCTGCACCGCGTTTTGGCATTGACCGAATTGCAAGGGTTCATGCATTGGACCGGTGATGGACGTGCCATTGCAATTGTCAATCCCTATCAGTTCAATGGCATTGCCGTCAACAATTTCTTTCCAAACATGACTTTGCCTGTTTTTCTCGCCGAGCTCGAAGGATATGGCTTCCAGAAAGTATCGCATGGAGGATTCCAAGACTGCTACTATCATGATGTAAGTGACATTGACTTTAATTCTCATGGTGTTCTGTGGAGTAACTGTGCCCTCACCTTACCTTTCTCTGATGGTATGTTCTCAGATGATGATGCAAGGTTGCCAACACCTCTGCAAATATATTGCCAGTCCGAACGAAGCCCGGCGCTTTATTTCGAAAGACCCTATCTCTGATCTCAACAAGGGACAGACCCGGAATGTCAATCAGATGGGAAACCACTCCAACCAAGGAATACCAACATCAGATGCATCCTCGCTCCAGCAACTCTTTCAGTTGCAGGCAACTGGTGGATTGGGGAATATACTGTCTTCTCAGGTGCCCCGAACCACCCAGGATTCTCTTTCGAATTCGTTGGCCCTGCTAAGTGCTGGACAGTCCTCCATGCCCAATCATGCACTCAATCCAACCCTCCAATTTTTGGGGAACAACATGCAAGGCAATCGCTCGTCGACCATTGCCTCCTACCTTACGGAACTACAGCTGCGTCAACACCAACAGCACCAACAACAAGGAAGTGGCGGAAGCAATGGCAGTGGGGGAGCAGGAGACGGGGGCCTCGGGGGAATTACGCGGGGCGCACAAGTGTAGCAGTGATTTTTGTTCCGTGTGTGGGGTTTGGCTACTATACTTTTTTTGCCCGTTGTGTATGTCTCTTAGACTACAACATTTTGCCATATTTTTTGGAATCGATCCATTCATTGGTATCATCATCAACACACTGGACTTCCTGTCTCACTACCAACAGACAATTATGATTCTTTTGTTCAACAATTTTGCGAGTTTTTGCTAAAGTAATAGTATTAATAAACACTAGTTTTATCAATACACCACCTTGATCTTTTAAAATCTACTGCTTGAATCTTTGAATCGATCGGATTGATGAAAATCGCTGTAAATGCTGGTATGATTCCTATTCCATATCACGACTAGTACCTACTATAATATAATACATTGCAATCTAAGTTTAGCATTGGTCAGAGACAGTACAAATCTTCAGTCGTCGCCATCGTAGTTGAAGAAACAAAAATTTGTATTCCAGCCTTCGTGATCATCTCCACAGAAGGTTCCCTGATTCGCCGTGGACTTGGTCAAATCGCCGGGATTGTTCAGTACCGAGTCGTCAAGGTTTAAAAAGCCACCAGCATCAATGGACACGACAGTTCCATTGTCCAAAATGCAATTCCCGTCAATTGGGGGAAACCCGTTGGGACAAATCTCACAGCCTTGAAATAAAAAGACGGACCGTTCCACAACATAGCATACACCTGTTTGTTTCAGATAGATAAGGACCAACGAAACGGATGCAATGAACGGAACCAAGGGCATACAATGGAAAAGAAACTGGCGGAAGTTTTGTACAGACCCTTCCAACTTGACGGATATGAAATGCAGAATGATGGAACCTCCTTCTAGACCGAGAACCAGAAACGATTCGTCCTTGTCTGATTGATACAGAAGCATCCATGCAATGATGCAACCAAAGAATGGATTCAGGAGCACCAGCACATTAATGCCCCTGAGCAGCGTCTTGACAGACCACCTGAAACAGTTGCAGAATGCCAGCTTGCCCCCATTTTGCGTGGTACCATCGTCGTTTTGTTCCTTTTCTTTTCGGTCCAAAATACTTGGCCACATGGTCAAGACCATCGCACGCAACAGGATTAAGAGTTCGAGACAAATCAGGAAAATGAACGGCGTGGCAACACTCAAGGGGAGGTTTCCCAGTTCTAGCTCGTATCCACAGCAGTCATCCTATGAACAAATAATAATAATGGTGAGATTTGGCATTCTTGTGTACGCAGCAACAGCAACAGCAACAGCAACAGCAACAGCAATGATCACTTACATCGTTCAACATGGCTCGAAAGGCAATAATCGTAGTCCCCAGATCAAACGACAATTCCGCCAATACCACCAACCAAATGACCACCAAACTTCTCTTTGGCTTTTCTTCCATCTTTTTGAATTTCCGCCACCTTCGTCGTCCATTGTACCGTTCCAGTTCTGTTTGAGATCGCGAGGACGCGGTCCGGGTCATGGAGGGGCGTTTCTTGAAGGATTGCTTGGATCCTTGTCGTTTCAAATCTCCTCGGGAGGGTGCCCGTTCGAGATTTCCTCGGGATGGAGTTCGAGCCATTTGTCTACCAGACGGTGTTCTATTCAAATCTCCACGAGACGGTTGCTTGGACAGTTCCTTCTTGGATTTTTCCTTTTTCAATTCCTTCTTGGACTTTTCTTTCTTCAATTCCTTTTTGGACTTTTCTTTTTTCAGTTCCTTTTTGGATTTTTCTTTCTTTAATTCTTTTTTGGATTTGTCTTTTTTCAGTGTCGCCTTGTTTGCTTTGACCGCTGTTTTGGACGCTTGCTTTGTCATGATTGGTGTCGATGTTTGTTTTGCCATTCCCGGTCGTGCGGATGTTTGTTTTGCCATTCCCGGTCTAGCCGATGCTTGTTTTGCCATTCCTGGACGAGCTGATGCCTGTTTCGCAATTCCGGGCCTAGCGGATCCTTGTTTGGCCATTCCGGGTCTAGCGGATGCCTGCTTCACCATTCCGGGTCTAGCGGATCCTTGTTTGACCATTCCTGGCCGAACCACTCGAATTTTTTTCAAATCCGCAGCGTGATGACCGGATCTGTCGTGCCCGGAATTTGTGGGCGAATGGGCGGAGGCAGCGTACCTGTCTTCCAGGTCTCGCATCTTTTGCCTGGCATTTTTCTTCGTCATGATTCTGTGTTATTGTTGTTGTTGTTGTTATTCGTGTGGATCTTGCTTTTGATGACTATCGCGTATCGTGTTTTCCTCTGGCCTTTTTGCTGACACTTCTCTAGTCGACTCTCTCTCTCACTCTCTAATACCACGTATTCTAACTCTCAACGATGGCTGCTTAGCTCGCTTTCACCAAAGTTCTGATGATGCAGTAAAGTTGTCACGTTTCCAAAAACAAAATGTATTTTGCAATGCTCAGAGATGATTGAAGTCTGTTGTTTTCAATCGTCTCATCAATCAATGACTTCCGGTATATGCCTCGTGCTATTTTATTAAAGTACAGTTAGTATGGAAATAACTTTTCTCAACTGATGAATCAGCGTGATGCAACAGTATGGGAAGACAATACAGTACTGTAGACTTCGGGTTCCTTCTTCTTCTGTGCGTATTTTACTGCAGTGGTATACGGTGTGCCGGAGGTGGCCGTTTCGGAAGTGAGTCCTGCTTTCTTATCATTAGTTCCCAAAAGCGCGTCTCCTCTCCCCCCTTTCCACTATTTCTCCTGCGCGTCTTTGCGCAACACTTATTTTCGCGTGACCGCTTGGGCCTGATCAAAATCTTATATGTTGAATGTTGCCGGGTACAGTGAGTCGTTGCAAATTTGTCGGGACCGAAACACATATTACGCACTCCTCATCGTTGGGTCTGGTAGGATGACATAATGAGATCGAGGTAGTCAAATCACGATCAATTCGCTTTCATTTCACATACGGTATGATACAGTACCAGGTACCGGTACCGGTAGGTAGCGATCGCACACCTCCTCTTGCCCAAGCAGGATGCGGTAGCAATGATGGTGGTAACTTAGCTCCCATGTCACAACTAAACTGCGACCTGATACCTGGTACCGGTACCGGTACGGCATTTCTCTGTCGGCACGAAAGAAGTTGCCGGAGATACTATCATGATACCTGCCTACCTGCACGGAGGCGAATGATCTAGCAAGGGATACTACTGTACCGGTAGTAATGGACGACCCCACTTAGCAACTACCTACTGGTACTGTGACTGTAGCAGCTGCTGATTCCTGTTCCCAGTGATCACGAAAGTTCTCGGAGATACTAAACTTTGCTACCTACCGGTTGCGCGTGATCTACAATAGCAGCCAACCTCCTCCTTGCCAAAGCAGGATTAAAATAATCTACGGCCCCACTTCGCCGCCCATGGACGTCATCATCTTCACGAATGAATGCATGAATGAATGTTGCCGGAGGTACGGAGGCGCATGATCAAGAGCCAATCGTATGGGAATAGGAACATGTTCCAATACCGTCCCTAGCTACACTGTTGCTATCAGTCCAACCCAATACTGAAGTACAAAGCGCTACTAAAATACTAACTACATCTATTTGCACGTAGCACATCTTCACAACACTTTACTAGATTGGCATTCCGTTTCAGTTCGGTAATGGTAACAAAGATTAGAGATATGTATTTTCTTTCTTTTAAAATTGTTTTTAAACTACCTAGATGGGACTATTAGCTAGATATATTGTGATGGGTCTCACTTTATCGCAGACGATGTTCCACCATTTCATCGACACAGGCCGCGTAGGCCAACATGAGACACAAATCGCGATTGGGGCCCACAATGATGCCCTTGCCCTTTTGGAGCGAGACCATCTTGACGCATTCCTTTTTCTTGTCATCCAAAAAGACATGGCCCCTCGACTTGCCTCGGGAAAACAATGAACCAAAGGGCTTGGCCGAGTGTTGTTCGGCCGAACAGGAAGAGGTTTCGCTGGAAAACTTGTTCATGACAAACTTGCCACCAATGGATCCAGTGTTTCGCACTTCGGCCCACGTGTAGTAGCCCGTTTCGTTCGAGAGACGTTGTCTGCGAGTGGCAGGCCGGTTGCCACAGATCTTGAAAATGTTATTGCCTCCCACCTTGTCGCTGTTCAAAAAGATGAGCGCACACGTCCGCCCACAGGCATCCTTGATGAGTCGCTTGCCTTGATTGACCATGCTGAAATCAATCGTACCCAACTTTTCACCATCCGATTTCTCAATGGAAATGTTCCGCTTGTTGGGGACTCGCTTGAAAATGATGCGTTCCGTTTCTTTTGTGAGAGGAAACATGGAGGACATGGAGTAGTCAATCGCATCCGTGTCGGCAGTCAAAAAGGTAGTGGCCGTGGTGCTGGAAGGATAGTCTCGCATCAAGGTCTTGTCCAGAGGACGGAACATGGGAGGTTTTCTCGGAGATCGAGGGGCCGTGTTGGTAGTTTCATCTTCCTCGTTAGATGCAAAGGGCATGGGGGGAAGTGCGCCCATGAGCATGCGAGACTTTCGTCGTTCACTTTTGGAAGAAGTCTTCCTGGATCGAGGAGTGTGAGGACTTGGAGAAGGAGAGGTCATGAGCCATTTTGAGCTTCGTCTCTCTTGCTTGGGAGACGGGGCTGGTGGTATTGAATCATGATCCACTTGAAAGGACAAGCGCTTGGTACGGCAGGATTTGGACAGAGGAGATCTTATAGGAGCATCACTCACGCTTTCCAGTCTGGCGCTTGCCGATTTTCGCAAACCTCTTTTTGCAGAGTTGCTGCTGTATGGTGACATAGAAGTCATGGTCTGTGGTGGTGGTGGTGGAATGTTGTTATTCTCATTGACCTCATCTTCGTCTACCGAGGACATCATTCGTTGCAGCGGTGGATGCGGCTTGGATTGTACAGTGCTGCTCTGCGAAAGATCAAGATCATCTGACCATTCACTGCCGCTGGAAACCCAACTCCTCTTCGACTCGTCCAACAGACAAGGAGGGAGAGAAGCAGCGCTCCTGCTAGAACCGTGGTCCTGAGCAGACGTTGCTGGGCCTTCGTCACTGCGTATGGAATCATCTAAACACGTATTCGCACTTCGCATCTTGCGTCGGGCTTTGGAAGACAGCTGCAGCGGTGACTTTCGAAAGCTTCCGTTCCCTTTGGTTGGTGACTTTATCTTGACGACTACACCATCCGAGAACTTGGAAGTGAAAGAAGGTGATTTTTCCATATCCTCTCGTCTGTCATTATTTCTCAAGTCTTTTGCACCATTCCTTAGAGAACTTTGCATTTGCTTCATCTTTTTCTTAAAGTCGTGGCTTTCTGCTGGACTAGGAGGTGCCTTCATGATATCAATGGCCTTGTTTGTACTGTCAAAAATACTCTTTTCCCGGGCTTCCTTTCCCATAGGAGACTTTAGCAATTCCACCATAAATTCGTCACTAGTGAAAAACAGAGGTTCGTGATCGCTGTGACCGTTCAGGCTATCGCGAGATTGCAATATGTCCATTGAATAATACACACAGTGTTGTGTTGTACAGTATTGTAGTGTATTAGTCAATGAGGTTATGGTGCGCTATTCGGCTTGTTCTCACACAAATTGCTGCGGCAAGCTTCTTTCCTTCGTTCGCTGCTTCTTCCTTTCCTTGGGAACTCTACTGGCATTTACCACGCACAGCTAATCGTGATTCGGCTGCGTTGGACATACTTGTTGGAGATGCTCAAATAAAATAATTAAGTATTGATAAAAACAATTTATGACCATACGCCTGGCCTACTTGCATTCTATCGTGGATAATCACCTCTGTTTAACGCTAAACGAGCCCACTTTCGTGCTGGTTGTTAAACCCGTTTTTGTACGAATGAGCTTGTCGACATTTATATTTATTACCATTGTTGAAGTTCTATTTGCATGGGCCACACATCAATAGCTTTTTCTTCATTAATGTAAATAAATGGCCCTTCCAGAAGGTGCGCTTATTCCATAGGAAGTTTGCCAATACAGAGAGAAGAGAGAAGGCATTGGTTGTGCCAGTCGTCAGTTCTGAGACTAGATATTCGACTGTGACTCTCTTTGCGTGGGAGAATGTACAGTACGAGTACGCCAGGTAGAATCAAGAAGCCCAAAGGGTGTAAAGTGTAAACTGTTCACTATTCCCATTGTGAGGGGACTTTCATTCACAGCTCTTGATTCGAATCAAGAAGCCCAAAGGATGTCAATTGTTCACTTCCAAATAGGGAAAGAGTCGTCGCCAACAAGAAGAGGAGGAGTCGTCAAATCGAATATCTGACCACTCAGCAGTAGAAACGAAGATCAGGAATCTTCATCATCTGACGCCTGTCTCAACCCAATGCTTGTTCGGTGTTGGATTACGGCCTAAAATCAGTCATTCCTGGTTCCATCATGTGATGTTGCGTCCGGCAATGGTGCTAAACTAGTCCTTCGTTTCTGTCTTCGTGTGATAGAAGCACTTTTTGTCAGTTTGCATCCGAAAGATTTGATATGCCTCCACATAGAGTTCTCTGCCAATTCCATCATACATTTATGCCTTCACCGCAGTCGATTCGACACCATTTCATCGATCACCAATGCATAACATAGCATCAATCCAAGGTCCAAATTGGGGCTCACTGTCAATCCTCGGCTTGCATGGTAGTAGGATATCTTGGCACACCCCTCAGTCTTGGTTCCGTCTTCCTTCTTGCGGTAAATCGAAAAGCCATGAGCCTCCGAGCCGATGCAGCTGAGCAAATTGGATCCAACATTTTTGGTCTTGAAGCGTATCGATTGGCCCTGAGGATCAGCATCTCTTTTTAGCGTCATGCAAAACTGGGATGAGAGTTCTCCAATATTCTTCACTTCGGCCCAAACGAAATATCCCTCGACACTCTTGTGCAGACTGTTCATGGGCACTGGACCACAAATGCGAAAGGTATTTCTTCCTTCAATACTTCGTGAATGCAATATCAGTGCACATTGATTGCCGGCAGCATCCCGGAGCACTCGTCTCCCGGAGGCCAATCTGCGTCCCTTGTCACTTGGCAGGAGTTCGGTATAGCTAAGAGTTGCGACCAAGTCCTCTGGATCTTCGGTGGTGATCATCACTTCAGTTCTTCCAGCTCCCATTTTCCCACGAGAATGAATGAAGACGTCTTGAGGTCGCGTCAAAATTGGAAAGGATACAGACAAAGGTTGCATATCTTCTGCTTCTGCATATCTGCGAGCTCGTATTGCTCGTCTCTTCGCTTCCTGTTTTTCCAGTTTTCGCTTCTCTTTGGCCTTTTGCTTTTTGGACTTGAATTTGTATGGTTTGGGCAATTTCCTTCCACCCACCAACGAGGCTTGAATGACGGACGGGTTGATCAGCATAGTACGTTTCGCGTCTTCGAGGTTGGTCGTTGGTTCGTAGAAACTGTTCACTTCTCGAGTCATCCGAAACGAAGCTCGTCTATCACTGGTAATCCTTGGATCAATAGTCATTCGTGACATTCGTGACACCTTTGATTCCGCATCCGAAATTACGCTCATATTGGAAGAATTCATAAAGGCTTTATCAGGTTTGATGACTGCTTTCTCTTCTGGAATGCTTGGCGTTGTTACCAGGAAACTAAAGCTGCGCTGGCTTCCACCCATACTACTCCTCCGAGTCGACATGCTATCACCGCTCCCGCTATGCGAGTTTTTGAGACCGTCCGCGTTCTGCAAGATTCGAAGATCGTCATCATCATGATTGGATTCCGAAGGATCATTATCAGAGTTCATTTGATTGACGACCAATAGATTACTCATTTGCACTGGGGTGCAAAAGCCTTTGGGTTTGCCCGTGGGAGTCCGATTCCCAGTCCGACGTGTTGGACTATGATCACTTTTAGGTCGGCTTGTTTTCGTTCGATGACTGATGGAAATAAGGTCAATACTCTCGACACTTGCTGAATCACCAGTTGTTGGTCCATTAGTGGGCTTCGCTGCAACTAGGCTGGTCATGGAAAGGTCAATACTCTCGACACTTTGTGAGTCCGTTGTTGATGAATCACCAGTTGCTAGTTCATGTTGCGGGCTGGTGGGCTTCGATGCAACTCCACTGGTGATGGAAAGGTCAATACTGTCGACACTTTGCGAGTACGTTGTTGCTGAATCACCAGTTGCTAGTTCATGTTGCGGACTGGTGGGCTTCGAAGCAACTCCACTGGAGGTGGACTTAGTTTTGATCTGGATTCCTGTTGTCAAGTCCGTCGTTGCTGAACCGCCAATTTGTGGTACATTTTGCTGACTAGCTGGCTTAGTCGGAACTGAATCGGTCGTGGTGGGCGGACTTTTGACTGGGATTGATGTCGTCATGTCCTCTGTCGCTGAATCAGCACTTGTTGGATCATTTTGTAGACTATTGGGCTTGATCGGAGATGTAGCAGTGGTGGGCTCAATTTTTACTAGGGTCCTTATCGTCGGATTTGGATCAGCCTTCACTTGTTCTATGAATACTTCACTTCGTGAAATAGGGGATCTGTGTCCGCTGTGTTTGGCAGCAGTGGATTTTGTTGGAGGACTAGATAACTCTTTGATGTCCGTGGTTGCTTTCGCCTCAATGGAACGTCCTCTAGTCGCTTGACCTGTTTGTGGTGACGACCTTTCACTGCTGTTGGAGCTCTGAGTGCTTCCACTGTGATTGGAAGGATTGGTTTTTTTTACAGACTTCCGCCATTCACTCGTAATGTTCCGTTGATTAGAAAGATTGCGATGTATCCCCTTCACATCATTCTGCTTCACCCCATTGGCACGATACAGTTGATTCCCATTGAAAGCACCATGACCATTCGATCTGAAGTCATTCGGAAGTTTCCCAGTAACACCGTTGTTTGCAGCTTCTTTTTCAGGTCGAGGAGCCGCGTGATTTAGAGTCACCAAGCCGTCCAATGTCACAGAGGCTGAAAATGTGCGTGATTTTCGTCCCGGACGCCGTGCATCATAATGCAGCTGCGCTCCACTGTTCATGATGATGATGATGATTCCAGACGAGGTTGTTTCCAGTAGTCACCTTAACAGAAGTGGAAAGGAAAATAGGCTGCCCAAAGTAGAACCAATCCGTACAGATGACGCGCCGCTGCAGCTAAGCTTATTTCTCCTCTATCTTAACATGAGGTGGTTGATGCTGTCACCTATTGTACGATGATATAATGTTCGAGATGGCAAGTTCGAAAGATGAAGGTGGTACCTGGTACTTTTGCTGGAGCTATAATATGATCGGAAGCTATCCACCATCGCTTGACAAGTACCGCTCCACGCGTGTCGATCATTCGACATTCTATTCATTAATTAACACCCTACAAACCGAAAAACGCCAAGGGCCAAGATGTGATATTTAACGACTAGACTCCTTTCCTGCAGGACGGTAAGCTGAAGTTACTCATGTTATCTCTGGTACATCAATAAAGTCATCAGTGGCTGCTGCTGACTCCCCAGAAGTTATCTCCACCATCGACTGGCGATGACTCTCAAAATTGTCATCCTCGTCCTGCAAGTGTTCATCATCGTCGTATTGGATTTCATAGTTCCGTCTGACAAGTAGACATCGCCGGATTTTCCATATGCAGCCAAGGAGAACAATGACTACAGCAACAGAAGCTGCCACAAGGGCAAACGGTACGCTTACCGACGAGTGTTCCCACGGATTCCATGTATCGACTACGCACTCCTCGTACTGATCCTCAAAAATGGAAGAAAGAGTACATACCCATTCCTTTCGACATATTTGGTCCAGGCAAGGCCCCATTTCTGGAGGGGAATAGATACTCTGACGAGAAATGAAGGTTTCCCAAAGCGAGTTCGTCTTGTTTGCAGATTCAGCCGCCAATCGGTTGATGATGGATCGTAGACTTTCTCTTGACATATCGGGAACGTCAAAGGATTCTCGAAAGGATGGTGACTTTATCCAGTCTGGCGGTATCGTTGGATTGGATACATTGAAATAGTAGGTATCGTAATCCAACAGATCTGCTCTGTCTACGTCGTAGGTTACCAATCGGAAACTTGGATTGGATCCATAGATAGAAGTGAACGACGACGCAATGTAGAGTGGATATTTTCGTAGCATGAAAAGATCAAAATCGGAGGAATAAACATCGTGTGCTAGACGAAACTCGTCCGTGTGCAAATGCCCAAAGAGTTGCCCACCAATGACGCTTGGAAAATATTCCTTGATGATATCATAATACCGAGTCATGTAAGGTGCATGCCAAAGATTGTCATGTGCATAGGAACCAATGGTTGGTGCTATATGCCCAACTATCCAGACTCGACGTCCAGCAGTCTGGGCAAATTCTAACTGATCCTTTAACCAAACAAATTGTCCAAATGGGTCTTCAATATTCTGTTGGTCTGGCGAGTGCTCCCTCGAATAGATGATGGTGTTGATGGAAATAATCGTCAGTGTATCCGAAATATTTCTAGAAAAGTACGCCCCATTGCGAAAGGACGAGACTTCCTGCTCGGAAATAAAAGTGTCGTTAAAGGCAGTGGTCACAAGTTCCAACATGGTATTGTTGTCCGTTTCCTCTACATCAATGTAGTAATCTGGTACCAAGTCATTGTTTCCGACCGTGACAACTGAAAATGAATGATAGCATGTTAGATCTTGGATCATCAAAATATCTACAAGCACCATGCTGCGCAGCATAATAGTAATAACTGGAGTTAAAGATAAACTATACTCACGGATTGGCACTCCGGGGAAACGACTTTGGACCATCTCAATCACAGTCTCTATAATTTCTTGTGTACTTTGCAGGGGATTGTCTACAAATTCGTTGCCATGTCTGCAAAAATCACCTATGTATCAATAGCACAAGATCATAATAGAAAGCTTGGTGAGCCAAAAGAGCCGAGAGGAAAAAGAAATAGCAAGATTCGTTCCAAATCCACAAAATCGTACCGGAAGCAATGATAAAATCGACCCCACCCTTCTCAGCAGCAACCTGCTGCGCATGATTTAGAGTCTGCTCGACCAGCAGCATTGGAGCATCGCATCCAAACTGTCCATAGGGGAAGGTTTCGTTGGCAGATGTCAGCGTACACTGTTCGTTGTGGTTATGGTGGTTAATGGCTTGCGGTGTGCCATAGTCTGGCTCCAAATGGATGTCACTTATCCAGAGGAAGGATGATGTAAAGTTCGTGTCTTCTTGTCCTTTGGAGGAGACGAAGAGTGACAGAAAACAATACAGTACTATAGCACTGCAATGATGAAAGGACGACATGATGCCATTGCCTCTTCGTGTGTCTGTATCACAGGTTGAATCTTGCGAATTGCGAGGAGCATTGCAAGCGGTCGAACCAGTCAATTTTGGATGTATTGGATTCCTATCCTACATCCTCTTGTATTGGTACGAGTACCTACAGTCAGTACTCTTTGGGTCTTCTATAATTTACATTCTCTCTCACCACCAGTAGTTGCTACTGCTGTACATATTTACATATTTGGCTGACGCATTGTATTGATTCATTGATTCATTCAGTCGTAAGGCAACGTCGCTTGCCGCCTTGCTGCCCATTTCGTCAATTTTCATCAATTCCCATAGCCATGCAATTTCCGACGATTCCGAAAGGCGTGGGCCACCTTTTTCCGGGCCTCCGAATCTGCCACTTCACCCCAAAGTTCCTGTTCGTCCTTTTTCAAAAAGCGACACCCGGCATCCTTGATCATTCGCACTATAATTTCGGCAATGCAAGCCTTGTCCACCCGTCCTGCCAATTCGTATTTGGCCATGTAATGGTCCACCAAATTGAGAAATCGTGCATTGCCCGCATGGTCCCGAACCTTCCTCCCCCGTCCAAATAGAATATCTCCTGGGGTCGGACGCAGTCCGTTGGGTGGCATTCCGGTAGAATCATTGTCGGACGACGGGGGTGGCGAGTCTACTCGTTTTCGGCCGTTGTTTCCGCCATTCCTACGCTGGAGTTGCTGGTACCGTTGCTCTTCCATCTGCCGCCGTCGGTTCACCCACGCCGAGTGATCTTCTGTGAGAATCGTTCCATCCTCGGCGATTGGTAATATTCCTTTTGGTATTCCAAAGGCTGACATTTTGTCCTCACATTCTTTTCGCGAGCCAAAATGCGGCCGATACCGTGACCGTGCATTGGAATCCAAGGATCCCATCGGTCTAGTGATTCGTTCGTATTCCCGTTCATCGTTGAGACAAAAGTGTATACTTCCAAACCTTAAGGGCAATGACTTTCGAAGCCGACTTCCATAGGAATTGGTAGATCCCTGACAATCCACTGCATAGACAATAATTACCACCCCAGTCTTTTGTGCCTCTTCGGATTCTTCCAAGACGGACATGTACGTGTAAAATTGGGATCGAATCTATTCAAAAGGACAGTTGAGAATGAATGGTGTTGTCAGCAACTACAATGCACAAATAACCAAGGATGTCAATCATATATTGCTTACCGCATTTTCGGCTTGTTGGGTATACTGTTGTTTGACCTTTTCGAAAAAGAAAATGATGGGCCTACCCACTTGATCTTTGATGGGCGATACCTGAATGTACCCTCCTTCCATGGTCGGACGATCGTCCGGATGCAAATCCTCAAAGGTAAGATCTTGGACCATTTTGTCGCGGCCAAAGAGCTCCTTTTTGTATTCAAAGAAATTGATCATCCGCTCGGCGGCATCCTGAGGAACATATCGGACGCTCCGTAAGAACATCATTCGGAATCGATTGTTGGAAACGTAGGCATGAGACATGCGTTCGGCCTCAGCATAGGCCGTGTTGGCCTTGGTGGTGGCCAAACAATTGTCCAAATCGTCCAAACACGAACTAATAAAGGAAGGATCCTCCGTATCCACCTCCACGACTCCGTGTAATTCTTCCAAAGCTCGTTCTCTATCTTGCGGTGAGAGTTCCAACATGGCTTGTGCTACCATTTTATCAATCTCCTCACAGGCTGGGAATTTTAGGTTGTTCAAGGAGGAAACGCTGTCCAGTGGTCCTCTTGTTGTTGCTGGTGCTGGTGCTGGTGCTGCTGTTGAGGTGGAAGAAGACGACATTACGGGAAAGGGAAACTCTTCTATTCGTTCACTCATGAGAGAGGCGGTAGCATGTGAACATTCGTCCGTTACATCCATAATGGTGATGATGATGTGCTATCGCCCGTGTATGTGAAACTACTAATCAACCACAGAGGTGCACTTCTCCGCAACCTTCAATGGCAAAATGGCCACGTGGTATTGCTGCTGTTGTCGTTGTCGTATCTGGTGTAAGTTGCTCAGTGCTGAAAGATAATATGTTATGGTATATTACTATATCGCAGTCGTGCAATGATTGGTTTTACATACAATATCGAATCATCAATAGGCTCAAATCTGACCTCTCCATATATACCGTATGTGTTGTGTTGTATGGTACGATACCTTAGATGGAACGGTAGAAGATATTCCCTGGTTTTCATTGGGCGAAACTGTTTCTGTATTGTCGACACGTGTCCAGTATGGTTACGGTTGGTACCACACATATGAGATTCGATTGAAGCGATCCAAGGTAGCGAATGCAAAGAACAGGCAGAAGGACGGAAGGTCGGACATGTGTGAGCGGCAAGAGGGGCACCGGTAGATCCAATGAAACAACGGAGAAAATGAAAACAGCTGCTGATTGATTTTAGAAAGGGAGACACAGTCAGTTGATATATGAAGGCTGACCACTGACCACTGACCACAATGGTACCGGTAGTGCCGAGGCCCCGAGCTGCATTGTGCAGTCTCTAGTAGTGTGGAGTATGGGGAAGCACTCTCGTGCGTCTGTCTCATGTATAAGAGTACCTAGTAATCCTTGAATTGTGTGCCTTCCAGTACCAGGTAGTCCTACTAACACCTGTATTTTCTTTTGAAAAGCTCGATATTTTAATACTGCTATTATAGGTATACCGTAGAGGGTATGAGATTGAAACATAGCCATATGTGGTGTCCAATCAGTGCAAATAAGATAAGATACATGTTTGAACCACTTTTTACATTGTTGAGAGTGTGACAACGTGAAGTGCCATTTTCTAATTATTTAGTCCCAAATGGTTGGTCGGACGGCGTCGTCCTAATATCCGTTCAACAGCCGGTTGAATCAAAAATGCCACGAACGCCAGCCCAGATAAAATAAAGATATTCAGAAATGAATAGTTTTATACAAAACTCCCGCCCATCATTGCATGTGTGGAAGATTGAAATACCTGAATAATCAGAGCCCCTTGTTTGTGTTTTGGGTGGGTTCAATTTCTGCTGATACTGTAGGACTGGTCCCTTGCTTGCTGGATTGCCAACTCCCTCTACGACTTACGAGCGTCAGTAGAAGCACATTATACTTGTCTATATTGGAGTGGCAATTGCGCCGGATTCAAATCAGACGAAAAAACTAGAGGCACTTTATTGGTGGTTTTCTGTTAGCTGATCAATCCATCACACCCACTGCTTGGATCATTGCTGTTTCCACCCACTCCTTGCATTCAAGGACAAGTTGAAAGTGGAAGTGCAACCACCACCAATTTATACGTGACAACAATATTCATATTTCATAACTACATCATATCACATCCCATCGTATCAGATCATATCATATCATGATCCCGCTAAAACATCATCTTTGGCTAGCAGGCCTTGCACTCCTCATAATGGTACAGCTACCCTCCGTGACAGCCACAGATTTCAATGTTTATTTGCTGTTGCAAGCCATGAGCCAAGAATCCTCCCTTTTGAAGTCAGCCTTTGCCGATTCGCAATCCTGCTTTGACAATTTGATTAGTGCGGATTCCGACTCGAGTTACCAATTGACGAGACGAGAATACGTTCAGTTTATGAGATCGAGTGGTCCCCCTGGCTTTTTAATGGATGTGGCGAGTTTTGAGGACATGCCATTGGCCTTGCAATCTACCTTTAATGCACTGAGCTGCTTGTGTCCCGACTCGTCCCGAACGAATTGCTGCAATGACTTGTTGGATATCAATGGAGCCGGTGGGGATGCCGACCAAGCGGAAGAGAACGAATTGTTTTTGGTGTGTAGCTTGACGAGGGTGGCCATTAATTACGTGGCGAATACTGAGGGCCCCACTGCGGCTCCAACCTTTTTGGAACCGAGCCCTGCTCCGACTTTTGTGCCGAGTAGTGCCCCCACTCGGCAACCCAGTATGGCACCATCCAACAGTCCAACCGTATCACCAAGTGCGAGACCATCCTCATCTCCTACTGTGGTACCGAGTGCGAGACCATCTTCATCTCCAACCATGGTACCATCTACAAGTCCCACCATTTCACCGAGCGTCACGCCATCATTATCGCCTACCATTACAGCTTCCAATGTACCCACAGCAACTCCATCAGTATTGCCAACAGAGACTGCCTCTGGGGTTCCTACTACCGAACCCTCATCGACACCATCCCTTGCGCCTTCCATGCCCCCGGAACCCACTGCCTCGGCAGCTCCCAGCGGTACGGCTTCCGAAAGTCCGACCGGGTTACCGATTATCGAAACGTCTATCGAATATCGAGTGGGCGTCCAAGATGGCGTGTATACTCCAGAGTTTGATTCCATATTGGTGGACGCCATGGATTCCTTGGCGCCCGAAATCTTGGTGGCCACCTTGGGAGAACGTCGTCGTGTGCTGCGACAACGAAGAAGAAAATTGCAAAGTGTGGCATTGCCGACACGGATTGACGAATATTTGCAAGACGGTATGTGTTTGTTTATTTTGTGTTTTTAAGATTGCACAGTTGTGGTAGATAGTATATGTACTCACACGTAATAACCATGTTCACTCTATGCCATGCACAGAATGCGACACACTTTTACCATCCGAAGATGGCTGTGCCGTGATTCAAGCCTCGGTGTTGTTGCAATTCCCGCCTGGCACCACTGGGAGTGATGAAGTGGCAACGGAATTCAAGAACCAATTGGAAACGGCCATTCGCACGGGCGCCTTTTCGGACAAGCTAGCATCACAGAATCCAGACACGCCTCTGTATATCATTGATGATCCACTCTTGGATTCTCTGTCCGGGGATCGGGGTGGGATTCTCATTGAAGAAGATGATGATAATGGTGCGATTGCTGGTGTGGCTATTGCGGGTACCATTGTCTTGGCAGCATGCCTCTTGTTTTATATTTGGCACGATCGCCAACAGAAAGACAAGGAAGAGCTGGAACCCTTGGAACCAGCCCCACGCGATTTGTCCTTTTTGGACACGGATGATGGGGTGGAAATTGAAAAGAAGGATGAAGCGAAAGATGCCACTCCTACGAAGCCACTGCCCAAAACACCGGACCGCAAAAAGAAAAAGCGGCCGTCCCAATCATTGAGTCCCAACCGAGGCGATCACGATTCGGATGCCGGTGATTCGGGGTGGTCCAGCAGTGCTGGTGTCTCGAGTCTCAATACGGGAGACCAAATGACCAATGAACAACTAGACACCATGGACTTTTCTTATGAACAAGCCCAAGTGGGCAGCCAAATGGGCGGCAGCAGTCTCGGCACTCCCAGCCAAGATGATGTGTCGGTCCCAACGACTAGTTCGGTCACCAGAGCTGATTTGGATTCCGCTATTGAATCCGGTGACTGGGCAGCAGTCGGAGCCACGGCTGCCTTGTTGGCTGCGGCTTCGGATAGTAACTCGTACTCGTCTCGATCGCTCACCAATCCGGGAACGAGTACGCGAGATGGATCATCGACCGTTTCCAGTTTTGATGCGGCCCATGTGGCGGAATTGGACCATTTGGTGGATGCCGGAGACTGGGAGGGTGTCGTTTTGGCAGCCGCTCGCTTTGAAGCTTCGACGGTTGCCAGTGATTCGGAATCGCGCATGTCCGGCAGTTTGGCCAGTTCCATGACTCGCAAACAACAAGAGTATCGGGCGCAAGTCGCAGGATTGTTGCAACGAGTGGCTCCAGAAGAGGCAGATAACATTGACGAAATGATTCTGCAGTTCCACGGACGAGAAGACGAGTTGATTGAGACTCTCAAGCTAATGGAAGAACGAAAAATGGCTCAAGAGACCAAGGACAGTCCACCGTCAGCGGCCGATGCTAAAGTTGGAGCGAATGCGAGAAGTCTTGGTACTGGAACGCTGACACCAAAGCGAAAGCCAGCCCCAGCAGCTGCATCAAGTCTTGGACCAGGCTCAGCCCAAAGCTTGGGCACGGCCAAAAGCTTGGGCACTGGCGTCTTGGAAATGACCCCACGCGAGAAAAAACAGTCTCAGTTGGAGAAGGCCATTGAAGCTGGTGACTGGGAAGCAGTCGGTGAAGCTGCGGCCTTGTTGAATGACATTGGATCGGCTTCCTCAGCTGATACTGATGAAATTAATCGCTTGGCAGATGGTCTTTCTGCGGGAACTGGAGAATTCTCGACCGAGTCTGGCAAAAAGAGATCAGACAAGGCTGAAGAGTTGGACAAACTAATTGATCAGGGGGATTGGATGGGAGTCGTTCAAGCAGCCGCCGATTTCGAGTCGGAAGACAAGAAAAAATCCAAAAGTTGGTTTTCCAGAGGAGAACCCAAGGACAAAGACAGCGAACGAGAAGACCGGCTAAAGAAACTAAAAGCAGAACAAGAAGCACTCGAACAAGCCGATATGTGGATGGCTATAGCCGAAAAGTCAAAAGACGACAGCAACAAAGACGACCGAGGTGCCAGCGAAGCTGCCGATTGGGCAATCGGCCGAAGTCTAGCCGCTCTGGTGGAAGCCGAGGGGTCTCCCGGCAAATCACCGAAGAAGAAGACTGCCAGTGGTGACACGAGTGAATATGAAGTATAATCCATGTAAATTGTTTCATTATTGTTTCCAATTGTTGCATTGGTAGAAAATCAAGCTCTTATTATAGCACCGGCACAAGTCATTTCCACAATACAATGCAGGAAACTACAGCACTACCCTAGTCAAACGAAGTAGTGCTATGTTTACTTCCACATTTGAGGACGATAAAAAAGGACAAACGTTACATCATTTTATTCCTTAGCTACCCTTCGCTTTTGCTCGCATCCGTCGTTTCTTACTGGCGGACTCTTTCGAGTTCTTATCACCGGCGCCTGACTTTCGCTTACAGCTCAATGGGTTCGGGCCCTTGGCTTTCTTCTTTCTTTGATTCGGGGCGCTACTGTTGCTGCTCGAAATTATCTTGGAAGCCCTCTTTTCCTTGTGCGCAAGGGTCACCAGTTTTCTTTCAGAATCTTGAAGACTATTTTTCCATTTCTTCTCTTCCACGCCTTTCGCGTGATTCTGACTCATTTTGCTTGGATTTTCAATGATTAAGACAGAGCTATTGGCCAATCGCACAATTGGTACAGTTCCCTTGGATCGCAAGGTATGAAGCAAACCTTCATCCTGAGTTCCCACAATGTATGATGTCTCGTCATTCTTGATGAGGTGTAACAAATCGTCTTGAACGGAAGCTGGTGCTTGTTCTTCGTTCGGTGATGCGTCGTCCGTCTCGTTATCGCCTTCGTCCTTTTTCTCTTCATTCTTGCCTATTCTTTGGTCCTTTTTTCGATGATCCAGAACGGTACATTCGTCCCAAATGAATTTCAGAGCTTCACCAAAAGCCTCTGCCTTGATATGCTTCTTGGATTCTAGTTTGTCGTGAATGGTTTGAAGTTCGTCAACAGCTGATTGGAGAATATAGTAATGGTTGGGGCCATCAGCACCCGTTGTCTGCAACACTCGATCCATTCGTTCTTTGAAGGGCAGTATCTTTTGTTGAAACATTGCTACCACCATTGTGGCATCGAGAAGGATGTCATATGGAGCCTTCAATCCGATCGTTCGGTGGAAATACTGCAGTGTCTTTCTTGCAGCTTTGGCTCGCCCGTGTCTCATCTTGTGTAGGTGTTTGTTCGTTTGGATAAACTTTTATTTCTGTTTTGGTTTTCTTGCGTTTTTGTCGATTGGTTCAAAACCCAAACACGTAGAACGGACAGACGTGACCTCTCTTCTTTATTCGGTCTACCGGTACGATGTGTAAGGCAAAAGCAATGGTACATACTGTCGACTATTCTTTGGTTTGTTTGGACCCATGGTGAGATTGGCAATTCCCAACATTCTTGCCATACCCGCAGGTCTTTGACAGTACCCCAAAGTCCATTCAAAGCGCCATCCATCAGTTGGCACTGAAAGTTTCCAAGTATTCTTCTCCAGGTCTTGGCGTACTTGGAACCAGGCGCGATGAGCATCTCGACACAGCTTCGGGAATTGTTTGTCTGGCAAATGAGGGCATTCCCATGGCTTTCGACACGTTGTTAAGTGAATGCTCATTAGGTTTTCAATGTCCAGTGTTCTACAGTCTTGGCATTCTTTCTCCTTCGTCAGGCATGCTCCAGTTTTCTTGTGATATGGGCTATCGTTGATCATTGCATTATAAATACACTACGACCCAAAGACGAGTTGAAAGCACATGTGTGAGAGAGAGAGAGAGAGAGGGAGAGAAGTTTCGCGTCAAAGAAAAGCTCCACAAACAACGACTTACTCTGTTCAACTCAATTGCTTGACCAGGATAGTGGTGCTCATACACATACGATAAGAAGCCTTGTATTTGCGACGCCCCCCAGAATCCAGAGTGCCCCATCCCTGACCAGCCTCTATACAGCCCGTAAGTTTCATTCGTTAATCGAGAAATCAGTTCTTCATACATTGTCCGGTTTGGTTTCACTGCAAGAAATCCTCCTTGAACTCCATACTGAGACGGATCATCGGTCCATTTACTTCCTTGACGATAATCCCGAGTAAAGAAAAAGTCCGATGCATTTGTAGGTCGCTTGTGAAACATCAAATGATCGTCAGCCAAAGTTTTGTTCGTATTCGTGCCAGGTGCCAACAACATGGTATTGTAGAGCCTATCCATCGGTTTCAGAAGCAAAGCATCGGTGTCCAAGTGAACCGCTATCGGATGGTCCTCCAGGGTGTAAACCTTGAGCTTCATGAACTCTTTTATACCACAACAGCCGTGTTTGTCCACATGTTTTCGAAAGTCGGCATCGACAATTTGATCCTTTTCAAGGGGTAGTTTGTTCTCGACGATAGTTTTCCATCCCACTCTCTCCAACGCAGAAACACATTCCGCGGCTTCGTGCTCATAGACAAAGGCGTATCTTGCATAACCATAAGTACTGTTTTGAGAAACCAAATGAATCGAATGCGCGAGAATAGCTGCCCCATCGAGAACATGTGTTGCATTGGCTTGACATGATGTGATTGATATCACATACGCAATTGTGACTTTTTTGTCGTTTTGTATCTCCTTGTTTTCATCGGTAGCGTCTTCTTCTTCTTTTGCTAACATTTTCGACTCTGATATCGTATATTGAAGTACATCTTTTGTAGAACGAAGCTTACGTTGCGATAAAAATGCTCCATCAGTGATATCATAGGTTGATTCCAGCATGGTGAGTCTCACCATAGAAGAAACTTGAAGCATTCCAACGAATGTTGAAATGAGAAAAAATGACAGCAGCGTCACTTTTGGAACACTTTGATACCACCTGGGTGGTTCTTTCCTTTGTCGCAGCCTCATTGCCGCTACAATACCGGTAGTGGTGAGTGATGATTCACAAGATGAAGAGCTCTCATCGACGGAATAAGACCATCATCGGCATAAAATAAACTTTGAAAAATTCAAATTTGAAAAGAGGCGGGTCGACTGCCTCGATTGCTCCAACTCTCGCACTCGGGAGTGAACAGCATGCGGGAATGCGTCTGCGGGTTCTTCTTACACACGTCATTTCGTTGAAATCAATAATTCGATCATCATCCACTGCGGTACACTACCGGTAGAACAACTCTTCATCACCAAGGTTCTGCAATGACCAATCGAGCAACAACTCGGTCCGCTCGTGGTTTCTTATTGGTGATTACAACTGCTGCCTTGACAGCCCAAGCTTTTTCGACGAGCGACATTTCACAAAGCGGAAGTCGTGGTGTCAATAACAAGAACCTTCACCACAGCGGAATCCAGACGACGACTCAGTGTCAACCGTGGCGCCCTTGGAGTCAAAATCAACGCATCGCTCGTGGATATTCTTCATCCTCTCCTTTGCATCAAACTCGCCGTCCCGGCAATCCAATCACGGGGCTTTTTAGTGACATGGCTTCTTCCATCTCGTCATCCTTGTCGAGTACTCCTGGAAAGCCCAAATTCAATGTCGACGCGTTGGATCAGAAACTGAACGCTGCGGTCGACCAAGCTTCTTGGGAAGACATTCGAACCAAGTTGGGAGGTCAACAAACGGAAGAAGAAAAGGCCTTTCGTTCCAACGTCGAAAAGGGCATTGGGAAAGCCTCGCCTCTCAACAAAGTTCGTCTCTTTGATGAATCCAACAGCGAAAGTGATATCCGAGTGACTTTTTACCGCGACCATGCATCTTGGTGCCCCTATTGCCAAAAGGTTTGGTTGACTTTGGAAGAGAAAAAGATTCCTTATAGAATTGAAAAGGTCAACATGCGTTGCTATGGAGAAAAGACGAGAGAATTTAAGAATCTGCAACCAAGTGGAGCCATTGTACGTCAGAAATAGAGACTGAAATCGAAATGTCCAGTTATTTGGGTCATGTCATCTCACACTTCTTCATTTTAGCCTGTTGCTATCATTGACGGAGAGACCTACAACCAGTCCAATGATATTATTTTTGCCCTCGAAAAAAAGTTCCCAAACAAAAAGTTGCTACCAGAGGACCAAATGGGACAACAGGACGCACAGCAGCTACTTCGTTTGGAACGATCACTCTTTTCGGCATGGATGTATTGGCTCACTGGTAGTAACTCTGCTGGAACAAAAAAGACTTTTGTTGATACATTGACTCAAGTGGAAAAAGCATTGGAATCATCATCCGGTGGAGACTTCTTTCTGGGAAAAGATGTCAGCTTGGTGGACTTTATGTTTGCACCCTTCCTCGAACGAATGGCAGCTTCCATGGCTTACTTTAAGGGTTTTCCAATTCGAGTTGTCAAGGGTGAAAAGACCGACTTTCCAGCGGTGAACAGATGGTTCGATGCTATGGAGACTCTTGAATCCTATCACCTTACTAAGGGAGACTTTTACAGTCACTGCTGGGACTTGCCACCACAATTGGGTGGATGCACATATGATATTTCCAAAGGCGAACCATACACCAAGGCAATCAATGGCGAACGTACGCTTGATGGGTCCCGCGGAAGCTGGGATCTGCCTCTGGAACCACACAACCAAGGTGTCGAACCAGATTGGGACTTTTTGGGACAGGACGAAGCTGCTGCTAAACGAGAAGCAGTGGAACGGCTGTCTTTCAACCATAAAGCAATTGTTCGCTTCGCAGCCCGTGGTGCTGGAAAGAAAGGCATGCCACCCTATTCGGCACCTCTTTCTGATCCCAATGCGGTGCCTGGAGAAAGTGTGATCGGTTCGGTGGACACGATCCTGAAGCTTGTTTCTTCCGCGATGTTGGATGGAGTTGACAACCAAAAGACCACTGCTGAAATGAAAGAGACTGCGAAGATAATCATGGCCGACGGCGGAGACGAGCACCGAGACAACGTGATTGCTAGCTTGGCTTATCTACGAGACCGAATTGGTGTCCCACGCGATATGCGGCTTCCAGCAGCACGTCAGTTACGAGCACACTTGAATTGGTCGATTGGCATCATTCTTGAGGCTAAATAGAAACAATCGCTCAACTAAAGGTTCACCAAAAGCACAAAATTTTGTTTTATGTACGCATCCATTACAAGTACTGGTCAACGAGAAATACTTAAATGCTTCCGAATGAATGGATCAATTCTGGTTACATTTCTAAGCGGACAGCGCAGTGCGAATTTGGGTAGCTTCCTGCTTGATCGACTGTCCAGGCCCTGTCTCTACAATGCCCATCCGTCCTCCTGTCATGTTCTGAAGCAAAACTTTTGGGATGGCCCTTGAATCGATATCTCCAGCCATTGGTTCCCAAACAGTAAGGTCGTATCCCTTTTGCCAACCGAGTTTATCCAGTTCTTCATCCGACATAGGATTTTGATCGTCTTTGAGCCATTCGTGAACTTGCTTGATTCTCTCCAATGCCAATTCAGGGTTGTAGTGTTTTTCTAGTGCCTTGGAAAGATCCACGTCAGGGTCGTATGCTCGGCCCAAGTTTCCTCGGCTCATTGCATCTGCATTCTCCTGGAAGGATTTTTTCTTGTTCCATGGAGCACATACCAAGGATGTGTACCGGTCTAGGCAGAACTCGTACATACCATAGGACACCAACAAATTATACAACCACAAAATGTGTCCGACAGCAATTCCATCGGTCGACTCCTCCATCATGCTGGGCAAGTTAAGCAGGCCCTTTTCGACCCACTCGGCTCCCAACTTCTCGACTGCGCGATCCTTGAGTCGCTTGGTAGCCGCCTCAAACTGCTTGTCAGCCGTACCATGGGCCATCATACGTGCTGCTTCGACGACCTCATCGAGATCGCTAGGACGGGCGACACCAATTGAGGCAGTGTGGAACCCATTAGTCTTCCAGCAGTACAACAAGGCAAACGCTATGGGAGTCAATTCTTTACCACACGACTTGACAACGTCTTGAGAAGGACGGTAAAGCTTTCCTCCCTTGTCCACAGGACTAATCAAGAAAAGACCCATGTCTAGCTCGAGGGCACGCTTGACGCAGGCAAGATTGCCCTGGCCACCCAGTGTGTTTGAGGTTCCACTACCATGATAAGAACCAAAAAAGTGCTCGTGGATGTTGATGTAATCAAACTGATGGACAAATCAAGGGCGTCAAGTTAGAAGACCCAAAGGGACGAATGCGAGTGAGAATGTGATAGTTTGCTTGCTTACCTGCTCGGTATTGATCAATTCCATAATCATTTCGGATGTTCCGTGTGTTGAGAATCCAATATGCTTGATTTTGCCCTCCTTTTTCTTTTCGAGCAAAAACGCCATGGTATCCTTTAGCTTTTCATTATTTTCGGCAGCTGCATGGACACCCAACAAATCAATGTAACCCAGCTTTTCACCGACATTTTTCCATGTAGTATCCCAAATCTTTTGGAAATCCTTGGTAAGCATAGGAACCAACTTGGTTTGGAAAATGACATCCTCGCGCTTGCAGAAACCTTCTTGCATCAATTCGTGGATAGCTTCGGTCATTTGATATTCACTCGTTCCATACATTCGAGCAGTCTCGAAATGGTTGATTCCCAATGAAAGACAGTGTTTGATGCACTTCTTTATATTCTCTTGAGGAGGACTCTTCAGAACAAAGTTGCGACTAGGTGATAAAAGAGGGACATTGTCTGGTATCCACGTATTTTGCAATCGCATACCACCACAGGTAATCAGAGAAATTTGCAATTCGGTCTTTCCGAATCGAACCTTGGGGCACTTGGACTTTTGCAGAGCTTTGCGATCCTTGTCGGTACCAATCTTGTCAGATACCAAAGGAAGGTACCAGATGCTTTGGTCGATAAGTCCCTTGGCGATTTCGACTATCTCAGCTTCAGAAGCCTTTTCCTTGTCGTAAAAGTATTCCAACTGCCGTCCGATTTTTGCAAGGGCATCGTCAGTCAGTAGGTCCAATTTGCTTTGCTCAAAAGCCTTCGAAGAAAGTGCCTTCACCAAAGCTTCATTGTCCAAGAAAGTTGGTCCTTCCTTCTTCTCATCGGCGATGGTTTTGACATCTCCTTGGTACGCAACTTTGCTCCATCCGTAAATCATGTAAGCGCCAATGTTCTTGGTCACATCGAGGCCAAAAACGACTTTAGAAGCAACTGATCCCATCCTTTATTGCTTTATTTGTTTGTTCTGGTGATTGTTATACTACTTCCGAGTGAAGTGCTGCAACAAAAACAACCTGATGATAGATGCTATGTTGTGCATTACAAACGATATGTTGGCATTATATCCTGACGTGCACACACATCACACACCCGCCGTCAATTTCTTCTTTCGTCCTTGCTTCGACGGACCGCGATGAGATGTTCCAAAACGGACAGGCTGACGTACAGCATCCTGACCGTTACCACATTCGACTGTGTACAGATCCCATAGACCTACTACAGCCTACAGCATATTGATAGAATAGACGAAGCAAAACAGTGGACTGGCCTTCTACCCTCACTACAGTGCTATGATTTAGGGTATGGTACTCTAAAGAGACAGGCAAAACCTTCCATATGAGCTATCCTGCCTCCCCCCTGCTGGCTGGCTGCCCACGAAGCAGATGGTGCAAACACCAACAAAGCCAGTGACACAGAGTGGCTGCATTGGCTCAAAATGATGTTCGACACAGAATGAACTCCAATGACAAATACAAGTCCTCGCTTGTTGTACATGGGAGAGAAATAAAGAAAGCTGGCCATTATTGCGCAGAGCATGTGAATCAATCAATCAACCATCATCACTGACACATTTGAGTATCGCGCGAGGCCGCGCACGTGCCATCAACAGAAGAAAGTTACATCCCATCGAATCTTGCAAATCGTCAACCATCCATCATCTCTACCGGTATCATCAGGGGCAGCATCGCAGTCGCCACCCGCCGCCAAGTCTATACACGAATGCTGACTTTCCCATCGTTGCTGCTCTCAATATGGTTACTTGCCGCAAGTAACACTGGCAGCAGGAAAGCGAGGAGACCCGCCTCTAGGAGGAGTGATAGCATAGAATCATCATCATCAGATGCTGGCAATAAGTTGGGGAGACGGCGGTACAATCGATCGGGCAGTAAACGTTCACCTACTAGCGGTCCAAATAATCAAAGGCAGAATTCCAAACCAGATAGTGATCCCATCCGGCTTCCTGAGACAACCAGTTCCAATGGAGTTCGACCCACTTACTTTACATGTCGACACACCTACGAGGAGATCCTAATCAAGGAAATCCAGGAGACCTTTGGAAAAAACATACCGCTGTCGTCTCCAGCTCCGGGACTTGTGGAATGTCTCCAATCAGATATACCGGCCCTCTTTGACCCCGTGTATGCCCTGCAAAGCCTTCCCGAATGTGTGGTGGTGTCGGCCGATTCTATCAAGGGTCTTTCAGATGCCATCCAAGGCGACGAGTTGTTGTTCAGCGATATTGTCCAAACACAGCTGAGAGAGGCTCCCAGAGCAAGTTTGGCCATCCACAGCCTGGTGCCGGGTATGTTCAAAGGACAGCCTAATCCGGTAATGGGGAATCGAGCGGAGAAGGTGGTAGAAAACTTATCGAAATCCTTGAAACAGACTTATGGAGCCGCCAGGAACCAACGATCAGACGATAACGTCGAGTCAGATACAACAGGAGAAAGATGGCTGCTACAGGTCCTTTTACTTGCCCCAAATCTAGCCGCTGCTAGCTTGGTCAAATGTCAACCCCTGACCACTCATTATTGGCCCAATTGGCATCTTCCAGCCGGGATGGCCAAGGTCGACATTACAGATCGGACGATGCCTAGCTCCGCTTATCGAAAGCTTATGGAAGCTTTGGAATGTTTACGGATAAGACCGCATCCCTCCACCACAGCCTTTGTGGTTGATCTGGGTGCATGTCCTGGCGGATGGACATCGGTGCTGCGATGCAATTTGGATTGCAAAGTGTTGGCGATCGATCGAAGCGCTTTGGATCCGGCTCTTATGAAGGATCCACAAGTCGAATTTATAAAGGGAGACGCCTTTACCTTTGAACCGCCAAACGCTGCTGAAAACACGCCCAAGCAAGAAGTTTGGATGGTTTCAGATGTCATTGCATATCCAGATCGAATTCTGGAGCTAATTGGACGCTGGTGTGGCGGAAGATGGGCGACCCATTTGGTGGTCACAATGAAGTTTCAGGGGACAGAACCGTCGTTCGCAGATCTACAAACATCTATTGACTTGGCCAAAAGCCTTGGTTACGGTTGTCGAGCCAAACATTTCTTCAACAACAAGAATGAAGTTACCCTTATGCTCATCCAAGACAAGGAAGATGGTTGGGCTTCCTACCCACTCGAGCCGGGAGTTCTGGGCAAGCCCATGTACAAGCCCTTGTTACCAAGCCGATAGCGCCAACCCAAGTAGATTGAGATGATATAATAGTCAGTGATGGACGGACTTGAAAAATCTTCTGCCTTTCAGAATAAGAAGTGTAGAAAGGGCGGTCCTTGCGGGGATGTTTTGATGGAAAGTGTGGACGATAAATGTACTGGGATGCAACCGAGAGTATTCGAACGATTGAAGAACATCTCTTCTTTGGTCATGGTGATGGACACGACTCTACTTGAGAGCATTGAGGATACTAGGCTATCCGAGACTTGCCACCACTGCGGCAGATTGTATGAACTAGAGGCCCTAATGCAGTGTAGTCGAGGCAAACAAGTCCACTATTGCACCAAAGACTGCCAAAAAAGCCGATTGGAAGTTGCACAAGCAACACTGCCAACGCATCACCAAAGCTACCAAAGCCCGTAGCAAGAAGACTGATAATGCATGGGATTCGTTTGATAATTTCCTTAAGATGCTCAAGATGGTTGAAGTATGTGACAAGACTGGTGTGAGTATAGACGAAATGGTCGTTGAAATCGATTTCATGGCCAACGAGGATGGCGTCATTCCTGCCCTACAAACTCCACCTATCTTGAAGATTGCTCCGATTCGGAACTGCGTCGAAGGCTCTCGAGTAGAGAAGCCTCATTTCTGTTCTTGTAGTCAAAAGCACAATCCGCATCATTGGAAGGAAGAAGTGGGATCGGTCCGCAAAGGTATCAAAATGATGGACGCTTCAAACACAAAGGAGTTGATTTTCATTATGAATTACGCGGGTACTTATTTCCCTCGGACTTTGGAGTAAGCTCAGTGGTAGTTCTTTCCCATGGTGAATTCTGTTGATTGCATTTCTAATCTCAATATTTCTAACGGGCACAATCTTCAAAAAGGCAGCGGTCGATGCATTTCGATCCGACATTCGTTACCACGATATTGAAGGGCTATCCAAGCTGTTCAGTCCAAATGATTGCAGATATTTTGTTGCCCAACTTGTCGAGTGTGGTGTACTGCCAATCATTCTACTGCATAGTGTCCCAGAATTTAGACTTCGCAAGGTGCTACCAGAAGAATAGGATACTATAAGTAAATTCATGCAAAGGACTAGTCACATGATCCCTTAAAATATTATGACAGTTTTCAGATTCTCAGTATCATGGCTTTTTTGAACTCTTTTTGTTGTGGCTCTTCTTGCTATCCAAACTCCAAACCTCGCGGACCAAACGATCAAGCTGCATTTCGCGACGGCTATTATACTCATCATTCCACCACGGCAAGGAGTACTTGCGCGTCAGGTCCTTGAAGAATCGCTTTGCCTCGTCCTTTTGGATGCTTTGAAAATGATCACTGTTCCAAATCACGACAAGAGACTCCAGTGCCAGCTTCCGATGATTGCATGCCATTGCACTGCCAACGATACGCCACATATCAAGAAAGTACTCCCAAATTCCGCTTCCTCTCACTGCGTACCCAATCTTGGCAGCTTGTTGATATGACTTCAGCGCTCCAGCCGAATCATCGCTCATGGACAACGAAGATCCTTCCAAGACATGCAAACGTGCTAGAGGAGTGTGTTGTAGTCGCAATGGAAGATCGGCGAAAACATCAAAGATGACCTTCCTATGTGCAGGCGACATGGCCAAATCAGCTGCAGTTCCCATTTTTACACCCTGCATTGACACAGCTCTGGCGGCTTCTTCGTATGCGTTGTCTACTTCATGGGCAAGCTTCCTCAAGTCATCGCGCTTTTGAAGAAAGTTACAGTAGTCACAGAGGCATGCGAAACCCACACCTTGCTTTGTCCAGTTTCGAAATGTTTCCATTCGCTCTTCATGTGAATTGTGACAGGAAGAATATGCAATGCACAGTTCGTCGCCCATCTGAATTGGTTTCGTCGTGCGGATGAAGATCTGATCACATGTGTGGGACCATGAACAATTTGGTATGCAAGAATGGTTCAGCATTGATTCCTTGGTCCACAAGCCAGATGCTGGAGTTTCGTTCTGGAACGAATGGTCCAATGTAGTCGCGTGTCCCCCAAAAGTCTTTTTCCACGAGGCTCTGATCTGCTCATCCAGCGGGTGTTCCGAAAAGGCATTGCTACGGATAATGTTTCGGATCTTGGGAAGGTCGATCTTGGTAATGTCTTCCACTCCTTGATTGTTGGACGCAACGCCACTGCTTAGTAAGTAGAACTGCGTGCCCAACGATGGCGATTTCCATAGTTTCCGAACAATTTCTGAAAACAGCTGCATCCCACGTTCGTCCTCCAAAGATTTTTCATAGACATTGGCTTCGAACGACAAACATTCAACCTTGGGGCTGAAGGCAAACGCTTTTGACGACATGATGAGCTCGCCCTCCTTCAGATCCATTATTGCCTTGCAGCCTCGGTAAGAAGCACCCGAGGCAAGCGGAATCGAAACTCCAACTGCAATCTTGGGGGAAACAAAACTTCCATGGAAACCAAGTTTCCCATTTGGCGGTTTCAGTCTGGCTTCCTTCAACAGAGCGTTGTAGTTGTACTCTCCGACTTCTTCCTTGGCAATAATTTCGCATTCGTGAATGAATTTCTGAATGCCAGATCGATCTTGAGATCCTTCCTTCAGCAGTTCTCGAGCTATGGCAAGTGCCTTCGAAGCTTCTCCTAGGCGTGACATCGCCTTAGCTAAGCGAAATCGTGCTTTGGCATGATCGGCTTCAAGTGCCAGTACTTTGTTGGCATCTTCCATCGCCTCTTGCCAGCGCCCCAAGCGAAGATTGACTTCCGCCAAGTTCCCGAAACAGGCAATCTTGTCTGACTCAAACACTTCGATATCGGGATGTTTCAATCCCAAGGAGTAGCATTTGCTAGCAAGTTCGAGATTGCCGATCTTGAATGCTTCATTTCCCTTTTGTCGGATTTCCCACGGATTGCTCTTCTGCAGTCGGATTGACGAACCCCTCCAGATGAACCTATCATCATCGTACATAACAACGCATTGTGGATTATCACAGCGTAGCATAAGAGAATTGGACCTGTCATCTTGGGCATTCTTCAAGTAGGGAGCCACTAAGGCAAATTCCGTCCCTACTTGAAACAGCTCGTTGGGATCTTCATCTGGACCAACGTAGTTGTACAGAGAGAGCATAATGACACCTCCACGCGAGTCTTCCACGAGTAGACTCGTTCCAACTTGGCGGTACGGCTCATGGATCACTTCGAGTAGCATCACACAGTCAGAGTGAAAATATAGTTGACCATCTGAATCACGTCCGTGACGAACACGGATCTCAAATCTTGAAACGACGATGGCACAGGACCGTGCTCAATGGCAGGGCGGGTCGTTTGACGCGCCAATATTGTAGCCTGACCAGGCAAATCTTTCGATTCCGCCACTCGTTGCTGCTGTTGGTAGGCGTGGGCGAAACTCATTCGGACAACGAACGGATTGTAGCTATATGATGCATCATAGGTCTCGGGAACTCGGCTGTCTCTTGACAATCGCATCTGCTGAGAAATATCAAAAGGATTATCACGAGTACTTGACATAACTTGCATACTATAGAAGAGATCCCCGATCGCGCTTTCAAAATCCCTCATCTTGAGACGATCAGGAGGTCAAGTTGGATGCAAGTCGAGTGTTTTCAATTCAGGCGATGATTAGACTATGATATGAGATGAAAGTGGCTCGGAAAGTGGCATTCTGACAGCCACAGAATGAGTTCATCCGTTGAGTTCGTAGGAGTTGGCCATAGCCGTAGCGTTGTATTGACAATAAGTCATGGATGATGTTTGTATTTGCTATACCTGCCGGTACAGTACAATCTGGAAAATTTCAAACGCGATCCAGCCAATTGAAATGACACCTATTTCCTGGTTTGGAGTCGGAGTAATCATGATGTGATTTATTGCGCTACAGTATCTATCTTCATCTACCTATCTCAACCTGCCTACCTGGTACAGTACAGTATTGACTTGAAGACGGAGGAGCCAGTCTCATAGATTTAGTGAGCAGGGGACAGTCTCTTCAAATGAAGATGACCTATTGCATCTTTGGATTGACTTCCAGCTCTCTAATGTTAGATAGATCATGATCTACGAATCCAGTCCCGCACTGATCTTCAAATCGGGTCTTGTGAAACGCCCCTTTTGTCGAAGGGAAGATTCCCCAAGATGAAGAAGCTTATCTGAGTACCGTTTGAGATGCATGCATGCTTCGTTGGTGGCATCACTTAGTCGTGAAAACTGTGACAAATATACCAGCTTCGTCTGTCATCCTTTCGATAAGACCGTTGTGACACCCCGCCGACGCGAACCACATTTTCGAATTTTGGCAGCTCTTCCATTCGTTCGTTCGACCATGATCATTATTTTCTACATAACCGGTGTTGGAATACCATAACGTGTCAATTCCACTCACATCTCCAACTGGTGTCCATCTGCTATAATCTTCACCAATTCAGTACTGTAATCTACAGAGGCCACATACCCTGCTCCTTTGCCGTTTCTCAGCGGAGTCATCACTGGCTAAATTTTCGGCTTGAAACAAGAATCAAATTTTCCAATCCATCCAACTGCTCCCTTTGAATCTTTTTGTTCCTATACTCCATCAAAATGACACTTCAATGGACCACGGAAGCCAGCCAAGCGGCTGCAGACTTGATCAATGAGAACAGCAGCCTTGATTATGTATTGTTCACAATCCCAAATCCAAAACAATCCAAACCTGAGGTCGTCGTCGAATCCAAAGGCAATGGTGGGCGGCAAGCCGTCTTTGATTTATGCTGCAACGAAGCCTCGCAGAAAAAGGTTCTGACGGGAGCCTTTGTCGTCAGTGCCGTCGATGAAAAGGGTTCTGTCACAAGTGTCCGTCGAAAGCTAGTCCATGTCACTTTTGCCGGAAGTCAAGTGGGAATCATGACCAAGGGCAAATTGAACGGTTGGTCGGGTCCCTTTCGGGATCCCTTTCCAGGATGTGCTACCTATTTGCAACTAATGGGAGGAGATATGGACGATTTGCAAGAAGGAGACTTGGCAGCAACCTTGATGGCAGCAGGAGGTGCAACGAGATATGACTTTTCGAATCAAACGTTGCGAGGATCACTGGGGTTGCCGGAAACGCCTGCTCCCGCTCCAGCACCGGCTCCTATTGTATCAAGTGGTAAGAGATTTAAAATGCCAGTGGCGGCCCCGGAACCAACGCCGGAACCTGCTCCAACACCGGAACCAGAACCAGAACCGGAACCTGCCAATATGAACAAAACGATAACGGCCTTGCAAAAGATGAAGGCCCACAAGCAAGCCATGAAACGGACCTCTAAAATGGAAAAGACTTCTCCTGAGCGACCCGTCTTGCAACCAGTCACCGTTCAAGAAAAGGAACCAACAAAACCAGAAGCACCGGAACCTGGACCTGCGCCCAAACCGCCTCCTGGTGATCCCGACCGCCGCCAAGTTCTCATGCTCGTGTCGACCCAATCTGGTTCGAATCGACAATTGAACGATTGCAAAGCTAGCAAGCAAATGTTAGAGAGCATAGGCATCGCGCCAGTGATTCTAGACGGTGCGGATCCAGGAGCGAAAAAGAAGAGGGACAAGCTGTTTCGATTGTCTGGTGTTCGAGGCAATTATCCACAATTCTTTGTCGTCGAGAAAGGCATGCTAGAAGATATAGACGACGATGAAGATGAAGGAGAAGCTACCTTTTTTGGTGACTACAAAATGCTGAACGAAAAGAGGAAAAATGGTACCTTGGCGAAAGACATTGGACTAGGTGACGACAGTCTAAGTCCCCATCCCGGACAAGAAGAAAATACTGAAGCGAAGGCTAGCAACAAGAAATTTATCTTGTTAATATCGAGCATGTGCAATGCCCGGGTCATGGCCGAACAAAATCATGCCAAAGCCGTCATTGAAGGTTTGGGTATTGACATGACGAAACAGTTGGAACTACTGGATGGTTGCGATAAACAAATGCACGAACGTAGAAATGAGCTGTGGGGGGTTTCGGGCATACGAGCCCAGTATCCACAATTGTTTACGGTGGATGACGATGCGAAAATTCAGTATGTGGGGGATTATGCGAATATCATGTACCTGAATGATAATGGAACCCTGGCGCAAGAAGTTGGATTGGCGGCGTGAGTTGGCGTGCTGGTAGCAGCAAACAGACTTTGCACTTGCTCAAATGCCGATATGCACTAATGAAAACTGTAGAACCAAACGTGATAGAATACAATGACAGAATTTGAATTAAAACTTGTTTTAGTCGTGGGTATGGTGTTTATGTCATAATCTATCGTCGTCACAAAGGAGTATAGCATTGGTGACTTCAGGTCAGCTGTATTTCTTGGATGCCCGAAGAAACCCAGCAATCGATTGTGACCCATGTCTCTTCTCCCCATTCGAAATCATTCTGGAATCATTTTGTATGATTCTGATTGGTACGGCTTCCTCTTTTCGTCGCTTGGCGGATGTACTGATGACGACAGCCGTCCTCGAACTCATTGGATCCACCATTTCTCTCGCCCTCTTTTTGTTTTCCAGGTGCAAACCTCTCCGTATCAGGTCAGGAAGGATATTGCTGGATACCAAGTCTCGAGACTTTGCACTCCGAATCATGGTGGCACTGAGCTTGTTGATCATTCCTTCCATCGATGGAGTACTTCTAGTAGTAGTAGTAGTAGGAGGAGGAGGAGGAGGAAGCTCGTGACTCCTACACCACTTATTGGGGAAATCGACTTGTGGTTGGTCGGGTATGAAAGGCGAAGTCAGTTCTTCAAAGAAACTTATATCTTCGCTTCTCTCGTCGTCATCAGATACCATACAGTAGTTTGGAAGGTTGATTTCGAATGGAATGTTCGCACCAGCCATTGTTTGAATGACGGAATTTGGATCCATGGACGCTGTGCCATTATCCAAGAATCTAAGAAATGAAGCATCTTCAATATGAATAAGATCGCTTTCAATGTATTTGTTGTCGGGTGTCGTCTTGTGTGATCGGTTCATCATGAAAGCAGTTTTATAAAAAGTTAAAATATTTTATAAAATATTATGCCAGCACTGCATTTTTGGATTCCCCGTTCATGTTGGTGGGACCAGCATCTCATAGTCCGCCGCAACCAAGAAGTATTTTTTGTCGAAGCACTGTCCAATAAAAATAGCGGAGCATCTTTTCCGCGGCAGAATACTCGCAATGATCATAATGTGGCCGATATATCTCTGTGGGAAAAGAGCGTTTGATTCTTCTGAGGGAACTGAAACCCCGCTGACATGGTGTACACGCAGCCTTTTCGAACTACAGATGGTACCACCAGTACCATTTACCATGTGAGTGGCAGTGAGACAAAGTTTTTCTTGACTGAAGAGAGTCTTTACCAGTAAATACTCGTAGTTGGCAGGAGGAAAGCATTACGACCCATTGCACCACTCCAACCATTTACTTATTTAGAACCATATGAAGCATATAAAACACAGAACAGCAAGCGCAACAAACCGCAGCAAATGAAGGCTACCGTGCTATTGCACACGCATGCAATGATTCGTGTCCGTAAGTGAACGGGATCGGCCTTCGCGGAAGCCTGTCGATGAAACGACGATAACACACTCTTTTTAAGAATACGATTCGATCTACGTTACTACCTTTAACATCTACTACTTCGTAAGTCAACACCCTCGTAATAACATAACGATTACGTTTATATGGTTTATCAGACCCAGCAATAACTGCCGAAAGTTATCCGACAAACGAAACGAAAATAATACGTTTGAAATGTATTGAAATGTATTGTATTGAAATGTATTGAAATGTATTGAAATGTATCGAAATGCAATGCCACCAAACGTTATGAACGTAATAATGATATACGAAATGACATCAAATGTTATGAACATTATGATGAACGGTGCTGAGCAACACCAATGAAAACTGTCACGAATGATGGTGCTGAGCAACACCAACGAAAACTGCCACGAATGGTGCTGAGCAACACCAAC